TTGAAAAACGTGAATTTTTCTTAAAATAAAGCTCGAGAGGTTTTCCATTCTTTGTTGATATATACTGAAAAGTTCCTGTTTCTAATTTCGCACGATCCCTTACAACAGGGAAGGCTTTTAGTAGGGCAGTCTTGAAATTTTCGTAAGTATAGGTGGGACTTCCTGCTTGACCCAAGAGACTTCTGCCTGCGATACATTTGAACCAGTTAAGCGCTTGGCCCCTCAAAGCGCTGGTAGCTAAGGTAACTTTTTGAAACTCGTGCACGGGGTAGAGCATGAAGTGGTCATCCAATTTTTCCAAAAAACTGGTTACCGGTGAGTTTCCATTAAATGTTGCTTCTGGTTTCATCGAAGCGCGCATGGTCTGGACGATGTACCCAAATCCTTCCAGGGCGGCAGCTGGCATTTCTGGATTCTGAGCCGTTTCTGCAGGCAGCACAGGTTCTTCTTGAAACTCGGCCATGGTTATTCTTCTTCGTTCGTCGGGCGCCACTATCAGGTTCAATGTTTCTTCTAACCTTCTTCGGAAACATACAAGGACCTGACTAGAACAGAGAGCTTACTAAAGCTATGTTCACTAATTGTAGTAAGTAGACAGGATACAGACGAAGGGTATACAAAACCCTTTATTTTTCTTATATACAATAATACTTCCGTACTTCGGAATACAATGACCCTCCACTCGGGGTCTAACGTAAAAGATATCAAAATAAAACTAAACTCTAATTTAACTTTAGAATAATAAACGTGTAAGATTGGCCTTATATATAACAGGAAGCGTATGTAGCACAGAGAACTGTGAACACTACAATACGTTTAATTTATCAAGAGGATTAAACCTCTGGCCTGGAAGGCAAATTGCAACTGCGTAAAACTTCTAAGGTAAGCGGCCTGCTTCGAACTCACTGCTTCCTCTCTCTCTCTTGGCAAAAAGGCCACACTTAAATACTTGGCGTTCGCCAGACAACTTTGCATAAACTCCTTCACGCTTATAATTCTGGCCGGAAGTAGAAAATAAGAAGTGATAGTAAAGATTTAAAATAAAATAAACGTTAGTAAAACTTAAGATCCTTACAAACGATGCACCTTTGATTTAAACTACTCAGTTCGAATGAGTAAATAGAAATTTTTAAAAGAGTTATTCTAAAGAAACTATGCAACGTAAACAATTAAAATAAATTCGAAAAAGGAAAAAATTGCTTAAAATTAATAACAGCTATAATTAAAAATGTAAGATAAAGAACATTATTTGAAAGAAGGAACGATTGGATCTTTTTTTCCTCTCATGCACTATGTAAAAATGGAAATGAAAATAGGTTGCCACATATTAAGAAGTTCGCCAAGTGAACTAATTTTGGCGCAAACTGAATAAAAAGCGCCAACATAAATTGTTGAATTTCTCCGTAAATTTCGCACCACATTTTAGAAAATTTAATATTTAGGCATAATTTGAGTCGTAGAATCGAAATATCTAAAAAAATCGGCATGCTATTTGTTATTGGTCATATATATATCCTAAGTCGCGCTTTCGAGACATGAAGAACGCAATTTGAATTTCGTGAATAGGCCGAGTAGAACGGGAGATATAGCACTATCCCCCCCTTTTTTTTAGCAGTGTACATACCCACCCACCCCTTACCCGGCTTAAAAGTGCCTACCCGGCCTTTATTTTCGCAGTTATTGGTTTCGTAAGCATATACTTTCAATTACACAAGCGTCTTAAATAAACAAAATAACAAAATATTCATGTTTTTTTTTTATTTCAGTTTTTGAAAAGAAATAATTTTGGGCAAAGAACGAACTCTGATTTATAATGCAGTCTTTCAGTTCCTATATTTATATTTGGGAATATTTTAAACTCGTTATGAAAAAATAAATATACTAGAAATTCGACTCACGTAGGACAAAAATTGATCGGGATATTTAATTTCAAAATTTGCAATTTTTGGTGCTATTTTCAATTTGCATTAAGGGAGCGGTTAATTAAGTTAGAAAAATTTTGGGAATAAGTTTACCTGAAATACAGCAAAAAAATGTGTATAAAATAATAGGCGTACAAGGAAATCATGTAATATTCGCGTCCGATTTTTTTTGGGGGGGGATGTGTGACTGTTACGTTGTTTGATGCATGCGATTTAAAATATGAATTAGAACATATTCAGAAATATGGATAATATTTTTACAAATTAAATAATTAAATGTAGGGTGATAAAATTGTATCAAGCAATGTCACAGCGAAAGGGCTTTTTAAAGCAAGAAAAATTAAGCGCATGCGTATCATTCTAAATTAAAATGCAGATTTTGCATCGTTATTATTTGTATCTTTTCTGAACAACCTATTGAAAGACATATTAACCGTGCTTTGCTGTCTCTCTTTTAATGTAGAATGCAATTTTCAAAGGCATCGTGACGAATAACGGTCACAAGGTATTCATTAGAACGAAATACAATTCAAATAAATAAAATCCCATTGAAAAAAAAATTATATGAATCAATATTAGAAGCATTTGTATGAATCAATATTAGCCGTAGAACGTTGAAATTTTATATATATGGAATTGTTATTACATCTTGTGTGGACCTCCCTAATTTTATTGCAATAGACAATGCCAAATATATACAGGGTGTCCCGCAAATGTTGCGAAAATTTCTGGGAGGGAGGTAGGACACATCATAAGGATTAAAGAATTGCATAGGAACCCATGCCCGGAAATATCAGGGGTAAATGGTAGCAGTGGTAGAAGACGGGAAAGGAAACAAGAGAGTGATTAATTTGAAACATTTATGTATACAAATGGTGTAAGACAGATTGAATGTTACAAGAGATGCTCGAAGTTTGTACGATCAGACGCCAAACCTGCCTGACACCGACGGACCATTGATTGCCGGACATGTTCAAACACACCGGGAGTTTCTTTTATTGTAGCAGCTGCGCAGGCGAGTCTTGCCACGAGATCCATTTCAGGCACAACAGGATCGTGATATACGACACTTTTGATGGTCCCCCACAAAAAGCCGGTGAGCGTGGGGACCAGCGAACCGGTCCACCACGCCCAATCCATCGATGCAGGAATGATCTGTTCGAATGACTACGAACATCCCGTCCTAAATGAGCAGGCGCTCTATCATATTGGAACCACATTTTGCACCTCTCATTTGGTCACATTTGTTCAAGCAAGCCGCAAAGAAACTGCTCCAGAAAGAACAGATATTTCGCGGCATTCAACCTGGATAGTAAAAGTTACGCCCGACTAAGCAGTCGCCGACCAAAACCGCCCATACATTAACCTTGTAGCGTTGTTGTGCTGCGTGGTGTAACAGTACCGTGGGGGTTTTCTTGAGCCCACAAATGCTTATTGTGATGATTGAATACGCCATCCCTATTGAATGTGGCCTCATCCGTGAACAACAGATAAGCTGGAAAATTAACATCACCGGCGCTTTCTTGCAGAAACCACCGTGCGAAACGTACACATTAAGGATGGTCGTCGGCGAGCAGTAACTGAACCCTTTGGAGACGAAAAAAAACGTGGAATGACTCGGCGTTGAAGACACGCTGGACATTGGTACGAGACATTCTTAATTGGGAGGCATTGGCTCGTATGCCGGTCCTTGGATTACTTTTCACCGTATCCAATAGACTTTCTTTCCTAACGACCGAGCGAGTCTATCGTGTCCTCCCACTTCTTAATGACTCGTAGTTGCACAAATTTTGATTCAGACATGCAAACAAACTGTGGTATGGTTGATGTCTGTCGGGGAAGCGTTCTTGGTAAATGCGTGCAACGGCTCATCCATTACCTCAACTGTTCCATACATTAAGTGCATGTCTGCAAGATCTACGTTCGTATAGAGTTCCATGCTCTTCGTATGGTGCAGCTCGAATGAGGCAATCCTCACTTTCCAATAGCACTTTCCTGCACAGCACCTCCTGGCGGCTAACAGTGACGTTTCTGGGCATCGGTTCCTACGCAACACTTAATCCTCATGATGTGTCCTACCTCCCTCAGAAGTTTGTCGCAACATTTATGGGACCCTCTGCATATATATGATATCCAAATAAATAAACAACAACAACAACAACAACAAAAATATTTGAAGAAATGTAATGCAATCACGCAATTCACGCAAACAGAAATGTACAGTGGTGGCCAAAATTGTGGACACTTTTGGAAATTTTTATGTTTTCGTATGCTTATAGAAAATGTTACGTTTCGCAAAATGCAAACTTGTATATATCATTTTAAAGAGAGTTTATTACTGAATTCAATACAAAACACAAAATCCAATTATTTGCAATACAAAAAAGTTATATGTACTTTAATATAAATAAAAAAACAGTTATGAAGTGGTTTGTAATGTCTAGCTTTCCTGGCCAATCACTGTTCTTGTTCTGTGAACCAATCAAATGTTAGTAACTGCCAGTAGAAGCTGACATCATGTTTACACTTGAAACAATTCATTATTTTGCTTTGTTCTGTATTCATTATTTTGTATTCTTACTTATAAAAATATTTTCTTAACAGCAGCATAATGTTTGAAACAAATACAGTCTGTCTTACTATACAAAGAAATGTTTTCCGGGGTTGCCCACAAGCGTGTAACAGCGCTCCTCTGTTTTGGAGGTTCTGGTTATTAGGAAGGGAGGTCGACGTGGTAACATACGCCGATGATCTATTTCTATTCATTTACGCTGATTCTTTAGAAATTTTTCTTAATTCCTTAATTAATGATAACCAATGATTTGGACTAATCGATATCGAGCTATTGGAAGAAATTATTTTTCTTAATTGAAAACGTATCAGATCTTGTTCTTTGCGAAGCGTAAATGGTATTATTTCTAGCCATTTTAACTTTTTTTTTTTTGATTACGTACCTGTTCACGCATCTGAACAAAGAAGCATGTTAGTAAATACAGTCTGAAATCAGAACTGACTGATCTGCCTCCTGATAATTGGAAATCAGTCAGTGTATGTTTTTTTTTTTCGGGAATTAAGCGCGAACAAATTGGCAACAATTTCGCCGGAGAGAGGCAAATAAAATGAAAATTGAAAGGCAACGTGAGTATTCGTTAGTATGCAGTTAACACATGAAGACTATGATTTGGTTTGTTCTTAATGTCTGAAGTCTCAGTATAGGTAGGTATCTGTTAATTTTTATTTTGTCATGTAATATTCATAGGAAACTTGGAAATTGTTCACTATAATGGTTTATTCCGTCAGAAATGCTTTTATCCATATAACGAGTTAAAAATTCACTCTTAAATAACGTCATTATGCTTGGAGTTAAAAATTTAACCCTTAAATGCGTTGCAAAAAAGCTTTTATACATAAAATAATGCAAACAGTTTCTTATATTTAAGAAGTTCTTCATTTATTTTGCTTGAAATGAAAATTTTTGGTTTGAATGTTGGGCTAGTAGTTTAATGTTGGCTCTAATGATTTTATTTCAAAGAATATGTCAGATAGTATGTAGAATTATACGAATGTGCTGTTGGAAAATAGCAACCATTCCTTTTGTGTTCTCCTCACTTTCTTTCATCGCTCCTAATTTGCATGTTGTAATATTCTTCAACTTTGCAAATTATTCAGCATTGCCATAGCTGTGACAGAAATGTCATTCCATCGAATTACCGCGATGCCATACTCGGTTTAATCCTACTATCCAGTGCACACGGGATTTGGCGACTTTTATGATGAGCAGTAAAAACGGGGGCACAGCTTTAGTATTAGTCCTTTTTGGCGAGAAATTTGTTTGGCGACATTTTGGAGCGATAAATGAAAACTTATGATAATCTTGGTAACCCTAAATACTGAGCTTCAAACAAGCCGCCATTTCTGTCCACGTAACTTTAACGAATTTGATAGGTATCAGAGCTTTGATGGCAGAAGCGATAAATTGTGTGTTTTTCTTAAAGTTACTTTTGTGTTAGGAAAGCACAACATTTAAAATATTTTTTAAAAAGCCAAATTTTTGATAGTTAAAACTGGTGCTTTTAATATTACATCATGAGTCTTGACATTTTTTCATATGTCAACTCTGCATATTATTATAAACTCCACCACCCCCCAAGGAAAAAAAAACACATTTTCAGTAGCATGAGGTAAACTCTTGTTTCCTTTGCTAAGGAGATCAAAATTACCATGGTCTAAAAATACTTATTTACCTCATATTAGAACTAAAGGGATGTGTAATTGCATGAATTCATAGGTTCAAATCAAGACCAAAATCAGGTTTCATTATTGCTTCTATAACATTTTCATAATTTGTCTGACTATAAAAAATATAATGTTGCTTAGATTATGGAATATATTGCTTATAATTTAGAGTTATCAAATTTTGTAAATCTTACAACCTAACAGCTGTATATGAATAACCTTCACTGAGTATTATTACTTTTATTAATAGTATGTTGACATAACAGTCGACTTTTTATTTTAAATTTTATGCAAATTTTCTACATTACTTAAACATTTTATCTAACAGAAATCTGAATTTTTGTAATAAAAACTCTATAATAAAAGTAAGAGTACAATTTATATATAAAAATTTGACTACATGGCAAGCACTTAGATACTGATTTCAATATCTTTAAATGTTATTATCGTAAAGTTTATATATATTAAGTTAAGATATACTTTTATTCTATTATAAAGTTTAGATGTACAGAACAGAAGGCACACTTTGTGCTTACGACTCAGTCAACCACTTGTGGCAAGATAACTTATGATAACAATTAAGTTCAAATGTAAAATTTAAATTCAAATAAATTTGTAGCCCAAAGGCTGCACAAATCAATTTAATGCAAAGTTGTCTAAAAACTTAATTGGCATGGAATTCAACTATCAGCAATTATAATGCAAGGGTGAAGACTACAAATCTTTTCTTATCTAGCAACCTATTAATGTGGCCTCAAAAGGCAAAACACGGTTTGTTTTACAAAATAAAAACTTCATTTGGATTCTGGTGAGAAAACGGATGGAGGAAATTGACAGTAAAAATCCCAAGCATAAAATAACTCTGGTTACAAAATAAAGGAACGTTACAATATATTTTGTTCCCTGATTAATTATTCAGTACATGAAATAGTGTAATGCATTTTTGTATTTAGTTTATTTAAATGCTTTCCAAAACTGACAGGATTTTGCAAACATATTGACCATATTTTTCAACCTATAGATGCAACACTTCTTCTCTTCAGAAGTAAGATTTAGAATTAAGAAATAAGAAAATAAGAGAGAATTATGAATAGAAAATAAATACATATGCTGGCTAGCAGAAGAAGGATGCTTTCATAAAGTACTTTTTAAGAGAAACTGGCTCAGATTCACATTACGGAAAACTACTAAAACTCCCATATAGCCAGCCTGAACTACCACTGTTCAGTGGCTATCACTCCACCACTAGTGGATTCCAATGACTGTTCGAATTTTTCACAGAAATCATCATTTACAATGATTGTTGTATTATTACCATTGGTACAAAATTTACTCATTATGATAATTTAATTTTAGCTTTTAAATTATAATCATAAATTACTTGTAATAAATTGAGGGATTAAAAAATACACACTCTTAATATTTTTACCATTTACAATATTTAATCATAAAAAATATTTCTAACACTGGTACAAAACTTGCCCATTATAATTGAATTTGATTTCCTTCACTTTGAAATATTTTTTATTTTCTTTTAATAACAGAACCTAAGAACTTAAAGTTTTAATTTAAGTTAAGAAACTAAATACTAGGGTGAAATGCATTTTTTAACCTTTTGTAAATTTCATTATTCATAAACATAAAATTAACCCTTTTGTAAATTTAAAATATTAGCTAAGTACTAATATAAAAAATAAATATGAACTAACTACTTAAAATATTAATGTTTAATACATTATATTTTGTAATTAAAATATTAACATTTGTAAATTTCATTACTCATAACATAATAATTGTCATAAATTCATTTACATAGTGTTTCAAGAATGTTTCAAGAATTTATCATAGCAGTACTAGAAATATTGAAAATTAGAGAAAGACAGTTTATTCTGATTAAGAGCTTATTTTTTAGGACTGTTATTTAGTCTAGATCGGGTTTTGTTGACAATCCGCCATTTTTTTCCGATCTTCAAAACCGGGTCTACCTTGGCGACCGAAGTTTGTCGACAAATAATATAAAAATCGCCAAAAGACCAATACTAAAGCTGTTCCGTAATGTCATTCCATCGAATTACTGCGATGCCATACTCGGTTTAATCCTACTATCCGGTGCACATGGGATTTGGCGACTTTTATGATGAGCAGTAAAAACGGGACATATACGATAAGTAGTAAACGGGTATTCAAAGAAATATATATAGTGTATAGTGTACTATCACTATATATACATAGAACGTTCTTTTGGTAATTTTTGGTGTTGGCGATAATTTTTAAAATCGCGCCAAGGCTGCACCGTATACTAGGATTTTACCCCATACTCTTTACCTAATATGCTGCTATATGTTCTTTTTCATTTTGTTTACAGGTACAGTAGGTCAGTTTCCTAATCTGTACTCAAGAATTGTTCCAGCCACATAAAATTTCATTTCATTCAATTCCGACAACATTTGTGTCTTAAAAAAAGTTGTTGAAATATATGTAATGTTTCAAAGAAATTTCCACCACACTTGAAGTATCTGTTACAGGATTTTCACTTAGTCCAAGATCAGTGAATGTTTTTGAAGATTTTCCTGAATATATATCAGACTAATATAAGTACTTTTCTTAGGGATTCAAAACACCAAACTTCGTACTTGAAATGGACGGGTTTTTTTTTGTAAAACGTTTTGCATGAATGTCTACCAGAATATGATTTGCTTATCTATAGAAAGATGCCCTATAAGAACCTCATACTGCATGAAACTGACATTTAAAATATTTAAATAGAGATGAACTTAAGCCAGTTTTTATGATTTATCCAATGCATTACTCTCAGCTAAATACAATTTCTGTGTGATATTAGTATATGTAGAATGTGTCGATGTATACCAATACATTGTGTTTACTAATGGATTCTTTAACGACAGGCATCACTGCATGTACAGAACAACAACTTTTTTTTTCCAGATGATTCAGAATTTCGCTCTAGTGTAGATTTGGGTGCCCCTTCGGTTAGCGACAATTTGTTTTTTAAATTTTGGTGATGTAACCTCATTTTTGGCTACCATGATAGTTTTAACTTTGTTTGGTTGATCTTTACAATATGGTAACTTGGCGATTTTTTGGCGAAAATTTGGCAACCAACTCTCCTACAGCAACCCTCTATTTTTTCCCCCACCGCCATTTTGTCTTCACGAAGTAAAGACATGTTTCTTTTCTTTTATCTACTGAACCTTCTTCCAACAATCTACTAGCCGAATTACACTTATGCTAGAAATTTTATCAACAAAACTGCTTAATCATGACAAATATTCACTGCAAAATTGGGAAAAAGTGCACAATACCATACTCCTTACGCGTTTTTCAAAATAACACATACACATAAACCATGTACAACGCGACTTATTTTTACTTAAAAAAAACATCCCAGAATTGCACAAAAATGGCATTGCGCACACTCTTCACTATATCCATGTACACTGCTTTTTTCTCATAAATTAGAAAAAATTTCACGAAAATACATGACAATTTTCTGAATCTTTAAACCCGGTAAAAAGAACATATATGAAATTACCTGATCGCGAAAAGTATTACCCTTTCCAAATATGAACATTTCCACATAAAATAAATAAAATATCCAAAAACTTTTACCTCTAATCATCTATTACATTATAAACGTCACCAACAAATTCATACCGCAACCATTACAAATACTTAGTGTCAAATATTTAAATTATTTCCATGCACGTTTACTTCAACTAAAACGTATACCAAATTCCTACAAACATAAAATTCACAAAATAACTATCATTTAATTAAAATATAATTAAATTCAAAAACACTACTTAAAATATAAATGAGCACATACATTAAATTAATAAAAATTACTTACAATCCTAATTACTTTAAACTAAATCATTGCTAATAACAATTTTCCCAATAATACCAAATTCCTTTCCACCTTACATTTAGAACAATCGCATAAAAATAATATCCTCAAATAATTAAAAAATACTAACTTACCTAATCTTCTTCAGAATCTTGATTACTGTGTCCGATAAACTTTCTTCTTCTGTTTCAGGATCTTTAAAATCATACTATATTTCACAGCAAGGTTCAGGTAAAATAAATAACTTAATAAAACATCTTTATTTCTATCTCGCACAACCTTAAACAAACATTTTATTACACCCTTTTCAATACCAACTAAATACCCATTTCGAATTCACTTTAGTTACGGCCCATGGGATCCAAAAATTAACGAACACTGTTTTCACACAACACAGAATAAAGCCAAATACAAAAATTTTCAGATTTTTTTTCCCGATTTCCCCCCTTTTCCGATTAAAGAACCGTAATTCGTCCATTAATATCACATGACATATCCCATGATCTCTCATTTCCCTCACACAAAATAATGCGTAATCGGAACTGAGTACTGCTCACATTATTACCAAAGTCCCAGGTAGTAACCTTTATCGCTTCCAAAATGTCGCCAAACTACCAGTTACCATATTGTAAAGATCAACCCTTTGTTTTGGCTTCCAGATTTTTTTAAAAATGAAAATAGATTGATTTGTACATGAAAAAATTTAAGGCAGTGCGCAGTGCTTAGTTTGTGCAATTCTGGGATGGTTTTTTTAAGTGAAAAACAGATTGATGTGTACATGGACACAGAGTTTGTGCAATTCTTTGACTTTTCTTTTTCTGGCGTCAGAAAAGAATCTCCAAAAAACAATGGGCATTCAAATTGTAAACTTTTACCCAGAATTTTTATTATTTTTTGATGAATTTGAGGTACAGTCAAAAGTCATTAATCCGGACTCGTCGGGACTTCGGCAATTCCGGATTATCGATTTTTTCTGGATTATCAGTTTAAATCTGGTAAGGCATGCAGAAATTATAAAATTAAAAATAGAAACCTAATTTATTGAAATAAAAAATTATGATCTAAAGGTATCAATTTACCCCCCAAAAAGCTTAATATTTATTGTTTCTTATTAAAACTTTCTTTCGAGTAAGTTTTAAGTTGCTTCGTTTTATGTGATAATACTTTCTGTTTAATTCTATAAACAGACATAATTTCTTGTTCAGTTACAAAGTTTTGCTGTTTGCTGTATAATATTTTCATTACATTGGAGTATATGTGGAAGTTTTAACTCTTCTCGAGTAATCATGTTGGTTGGTACAAAATGTACAGTGTTAGTTTTTTTAGTGAAAGCAGATTGCTACGTACTTAAGGAAAACATCATAAAAAACTGCAAAATATGCATGTGTTCTATTGAAATAAACTAAGTGGCAGTAGATGCACTGTTCAAATAGATATAAAGGTACCCCAAACAAACATTTCTCTTCAATTGAAGAGTTTGCAAGTGCTCTGCAAAATCGGCAATGAATTAGATTTTTGGAAGGGGGATTCAAATAACTAGAAAGTACCAGAAATGGTGTTATGATTTATCATTGAAAGCAGTTGCTAAATTTCCTTTATTCTGTCATTTTTTTAGATTGAATGAAATGGTGTCAAGAATGCCTGTTATGTCTGCTCCGCCTAGCAGCGATCCTGTTGCACAAATGAACACATATCGTTCTTATGTGTCTATGCTTGTGGATCCCAGTGCAAGTATGTTTCAGATTTTTTTAAACTGTTTTGCTATTAAATGACATTTTTATTGAAATAAGTGATTACATGAATTATTAATTTTTTTATTATTTTTTTATTTCAGAGGATGAGAATAAATTAAAAGCAGTTCAAGAATTAAGCATAGAGCTAGAGGTTTGTGTTTGTTTTACTCTTTATTTTAATTTTAAATGTTTACAATTTAAAATTTTTACGATAAATATAGCTTCTTGACAAATCTAGCTTTTTAATTATTGCAATATATACTGAAGAGCCAAAATATTATGACTGCTTACTCAAAAACGCATTGTGCGACCTTTGGCCTGCAACTCACCTTGGCGTGGATGCCACAAGTTCTTGGTAGATGACTGGAGACAGGTTGTACCAAATGTCTAAGCAGTGTTCATGTCGAGATATTCTGACATGCTGGTGTTTGAGCTCTGAAGGGCCGCTTCATGACATCCCAAATGTGTTCTATCAGGTTAAGATTCATCAAGTTAGGTGGCCAGGACATTAATTCGAATTCATCCTTATGCTCCTCGATCCACTCCTACACAATTCGAGCTTTGTGACATGGGCGTTATCCTACTGAAAGATTCCATTTCCCAGTTGGGAAGACAAATGCCATATTATCCTCGATGGATCTTAATCATGTAAGGATGTAACTGATCTGCAGTTATGTTCAGATAGTCCGCAGCTTTCAAGGTCTGCTCTACCACAACTAAGGGTCCCAGAGCCGCCCATGAGAGTGTGCCACAAAGCATAGTACAGTCACCAGCAGCCTGTGTATCGGTATATTCAAATCAGTAATCATTAATGCATAATGGCATCCAACAATTTCTGGCAGTTTAAAGTAATTTTTATAATGTTGACTAATGAAGTCGCACGTTCGTAGCAACAGCTGTCAAAGTGTTAAAAATTCTTGCATAACTTCTGGTCACTTCTGTTCATCTGTGGAGCAACAGCCGGGAAGATACTACACGGAATTGCATTACGTGACTCTAGATATTCAGCTACCCTCAAATTTGGGGAGGTGGCCTCAGCAGAAGCTCAAGAATATGTATGTTTTAGTTATTGCACTATTTGTTTGTCATATGAAGTATGTTGAATTGTAGCATCTGATAACTATGTTTTGCTTGTGACCACCGTAATTAAAAAAAAAATCAATATCATTTTACATTTAAATGCTCAGTTTTATTCCATTATTATGTGACTGTTTTTACTCAGTTACTGGCAGTAGTTTTTACTTAGTTAAATTGTTTAAGGGATGGCTTTTTTTTATTTGATTTTTTAAAATAATCTGTGAATCATTTTAGTGATCTTTTGATTATAAAAATGAACAAATCACTTGCAACCTGATGTAATAAATTTGTAAATATATAGGATTTCACAGGTATTTTATCTCAGGCATGCTTCAAATCATTACAAGGTAAATTTATCTTGGATTTGAATCATCTTTCAAACTAAGGTCTGAAAAATCCCTGTTATCATGTTCAAAGTCTGAATGTGTCCTGTTGAAAAGAAATAAGATACATATCTAAGTAATTCTGTAGTGCATTTTGTATGAGATACAGCATGATACAGTCAAAAGTCGTTAATCCGGACTCGTCGGGACTTCGGCGGTTCCGGATTATCGATTTTTCCGGATTATAGACCATCAGTTTAAATCTGGTAAGATGGCATGCAGAAATTATAAAATTAAAAATATGAAACCGTAATTTATGAAAAAAGAACAATTATTGATCTAAAGGTATCAAAATTTACAAAAAAAAAGCTTAATATTTATCTGTTTACTTTATTAAACATTTCTTTCAATGTAAGTTGTTTAGGTTGCTTCGTTTTATGTGATAATACTTTCTCTTTAATTCTATAAACAGACATAATTTCTTGTTCAGTTACAAAGTTCCGCTGTTCAAGTCCTATAATTGCTGTGTCGAGAATACCGACTAATTCGTCAATCGAAATTTTTTCGTTTTCAATAACCTCTGTCATTTTCTTCGCTATTATTAGACTTGCATGAGAATTATAATGACGAGAAATTTTATTTAAATCATATCAAAGATGGAGTACATCGAGATGAAATACTACATTCAGTAAGGAATTATAAGCCAAATAAAATAAAAACATCTGCCCTGAAGATAAGGATAGTGCTGACAGATCAACTTCCAATTCATTGCCAGCCACAGCGTTAAAGATAAACAAAGTTTAAATAAACAAAGAATATGCCTTTATCCATTTTTTGAAGCAATTCCACTTTTTGTTTAGTAGTTCTCGAAACATACTTTCGATTTGTAGATCCTTTACATATTAGTAAATACATATCGGAAATTCTGTTTGACATAATCAAAAGTTCAAGCTTACTTTTATAAAATTGCTCCAACAGTCTCCGGATCCAATTCGAAGATTAAGGAATGACGCAATCTGCAACATTAACAGCTTAGCTTATACCGTCCGTTATACATTAAACGCGCATGCGTAAACGTATTATGCGCTTGCGCACACACATATTCGCAGCCGTAAAGATCTTGCGCGTGCGCAGAAAGTTTGTAGCTTTGAGGTCCGGATTATAGATCATTTCGGATTAAGGGTGTCCGAATTAACGACTTTTGACTGTACTAATTAAAATTTATATACTTGAAAAATCATTATATTGTATGAATATTTATTATATTTAATGTTATATTATTGCATTAAATATAAAATTTTTTACAAGTCATTTATCTTATGTACGTTATCCTATGCACCATCTTTCATACATTAAAAGTGCATTTTTATAAAAAATATGCAACACTAAAAAGTTGTTTGTATTTCACATTTGGCCTGTTGAAAGCATATATAGGAATGCATGTGAATTGAGCTTAGGCCCTTAAATTACTGTGAATTTCTAAGATGCTTAGTATTTGATACATGTATTGGTATGTAATTTCATATGAAAGAAAATTTATATTCATTGTTTTATGTCATTATTGTACATTTCATCAGGTTTGTTTTCATAATTTTGTGTTCATTTTTAATTGATTAATATGAAAACTGAAGTTTTCCACAATTTGTAAGCTCTAAAGTAATGAAGCTTGCATTTCTGTTTCTTGAAAACTGTTAAGTACAAACAGTGATAATTGTACAAATTTTTTTACTTAAAGTTTTAAAAAGATAATTCTTTTCAGACGATTGTGTCAAATCCACAATATCCATCATTTTTGGATCATGCATTGAGAATTTTTATCAGAATATTGCAAGAGGGGGAACCTCATTTCATATCGGAGCACACAATACATGTAAGTTAAAATGCATTTTGAAAACTTATTTTCTGTAACTTGAAAATTTTAAATGTAAACTACATAAAATGTGAAAAAATATTTTTATGTAAAGTTTTGTGTCTCTTATTTAGTTTAAGAAAAATATAAAACACTTATCTTCAAGTAATATGTTGGTTTAGATTTGTTAAAAATGTCAGAGCTAACCTTTAATTCAGCTTACTTGGGAAGGGGTACACTGTAGGAGAACAGATGATATTTTTTCTCATTCTGCTTGGCCATTATACAGTGATGAATCAGAATGTAACTACTATCCTTTTAGTGCTGTGTTATTATGCCTCTGGAATGCAAAACAGCTGAAACTCATGACATGGATTTGGGTTCATGTTGTACCTGAAATGCAAGCAGAGGTAATTCAGTTTTCATAGATTATGTGAAGATGGTTGGTGACCTCTGAACTGGCATTCCATGATATCACAGATGTGTTCAGTAAAAGTAATACGTAGTGCATTAAGAGCCCTAGATATAAACTGGTATTTGCTAACATGTTTCTTGGACTATGGTACTAGTCTAGTTTGTAAAAAGGAGGGAGGGTATCCTGCCAGAAAAGTCCTTTTCCCTTGTGTAAGACAGAAGCCATGAAAGTGTATAACTGATGATCAGTGATGTTCACACGATCTGAGGATGTCTGGGTTTGTTCTATAACAGCCATTGGATCCAGAGACTTGCATGAGAATGTCTCCTGAAGCATACAAAGTCAGAGATCTGGTCTCCTGGGGACTTCGCAATTCTGGATTGGGAATTTTTCAGGATATTAGGTCATTGGTTTTTAATTATAGCAAGATGACATGTAGAAATTATAAAATTAAAAATAGGAAATTTATTTAGGAAATAATGAAGTATTTATGCTCTTAAGAGAATCAAAATTAAAAAAAAAATCTCAATATTTATTTTTTTGTTATATGGTATTAGTCATACCATGATGGGAAAAAATAATAATAATAAACAATGACTCACCAGTTGGTGTTATTGTAAGTGAAATTAAGAACCAGGACTCTTCAATCTTTTATTTTGGGGGAAAAAAAAAAAAATCAAATTTGTGAGCATAAAGCATGGAAAAAAAAATTTTAAGGGGGGGGGAAGGTAGCATGGGATTTAGAGGCCTGGATTTTAGATCATTCCTGAAATTGGACATCTAAATTTTGGACTTCGTACTGTAATACTTTCATTACTAGTTTGTTTATATTCTGTGATGCATATTGACCAAGTAATTGTTCACCTGGAATATGACTTTCCTTGTTGTGGCAGTCAGTATGATCTGGAAGAAATAACAATTCATCCAACTGGGTTACTTGTCCATTGTTGTTTGTTCCATCAGGAGGTTTGCAGGCCTCCTTCATTTTGAATGGTAATGGTGCTGAAATAACAGATGTGTGAAAATGACTATAGAGTTTCTTATTGAACAGAGCCAAGTCTGTTCACATACATTTGTACTTGAACCTCATTATACTCAAAACTTTTAGAACAGATGGCAAAAAGCAGTGTGTTGTCAACTGGTGATGTACGCAGCCATTGCAAAACAATGTGACGTCAGTTGGACTTACAGCTGAACTTGAGATAGCCACTGAGTATTTCTCTAGTGACACAGTCTCAAAACAAAAAGGAGTTGATTACAAGGGAATTCTAATAAAAGATATGCATATTCTAATATGAGTTATACATTAAATTCACGTTGAAGTGTGCATATAAAATAAAATACGATACACAAATATTGATATGCAAGTAATAACATGAAATACTAATTGAAATATATGGCAAATACATGTTATAATGAAATAAAAATAATGAAAAGTTAAAAAAATAAGAATTTAGGCAATTCTCAAATATATATATATATTATATATAAACTAAGTCTAAATGTTCTATAATTTTTGTACAGATAAACAAGAAAAAATATTATATTACAGTTATCAGTCTTCTGGGAAAATGAATACAATGTTCGCAACAAGTAGTTATTTGTTTTGGAGGCATATTTGAGTTTTCACAGAATTCTTGATACAGAATCTGAAATAATTACAGTGTATCTAAATATTCCAACAACATACACGGAAATTTTAAAGAATCAATTGAAAGTACTATTATTTACTTTAAAAATAAAATTTTTGTCTATTTGTTTAATAATGGTGTGAAGTCCAGTATAAGGTGGAGTTAAAGGAGGTTTAATGGAATCAATCCTAAGTAATATGTGAGAACAGGTTGAACATAAATTGATGGCTGAACATGTTTAGAGGATGGAATTGTTCTATAATGATTGACTGAAGCTGTCAAACATAGGATTCAGAAGGAAGTAAGGAATTAGTAGTGGCATTCAGCATATCTGAGGGTAATCTAAGTTTGGTATCATAAACAATGCTACAGTTTGGCACATGTGGTATTTATATCGTTTTTAATTCAGATTTTATACCTAACAAAACTATTGGCAGAATTTCAGTCCATTTTGAATTGTTAGAGCCATCACTGCACTTCTAAGCTGCATATGAAATCTTTCAATCTATCCATTGGACTGAAGGTGGTTAAGCAGCAGTTCGAATGCATTATGTAGTCAAACCTTTCATCAAATGAAAGTGGGATTCAAAATTTCAGCCTTGCTCAGTTGTTATTGATATGGGGCAGCTAAAATCTAGCTATTCAGTGATGTATTAATGCCTTATGTGTCTTAGCATCTTATCAGACATGTCAGCAGTAGGTTTAACTTCTGGCCATTTGGTGAAGTGGTCAGTAATTGTCATTCATATCAACTATCACCTTCCGATGGTGGAAGAGGATCTATGAAGTCAATATAGATATGTGCATATCTTGCATCGGGGAAGAAAAAAGTACCCAGAGGTGATTCTGAATGTGCATGAATTTTTAGAACTTTGGCATTGTAGGCAAGATTGAACGGCAGTTTTAACAAATTTCTGCATGATAGACCAAAAGTATCCCTTAGTGATTAGCTTTGTTGAGGTTGAAATATCAAAATGAGAAAGGCAGCAAGTCTGCTGAAAAATTTCAGAGTGAAAATATTTGGGAATGAGTGGATGAGGTGTACCTGTATCCATATTACCATAAAGAAGAACATCTTTTAAAAGAAAAATGTTTTTCTACGTTAAAATGCGGTAAAGCTTACCGTTAAAATGCGGTAAGCTTGAGAGAGAATTTTGGAGTCCTGAAGTTGAGCTTCAGGTAACTTTTTATTATCAACATGTGAATTATCAGAAACTATTTCAGATCTATTTCCATTCTGGATAAGGCATCAGTAACGATGTTATCACGACTTTTGATGCATGGTATGTCAGTGGAAAATTGGCTAATAAAATCAAGATGGCAATATTGCCATGGAGATCATTTTCCAGGCTTTTTCTTTAAAAGCATATATTATATTAGGGGCTTTTGCTCTGTGTAGATTAAAATGGCTCTGCCTTCTATCATGTGACAAAATTTCTTGATTGGCAAATATATAACCATTAGTTCTGAATCGTAGGTTGACCACTTTTTTTTACTGTTGCTGAGTTATTGGATAGACGTGCAGTAGGTTCCCAAATTGAATTACGTAACACTTTTCATTAGGACCAGGAAGCTTCAACAGTGAAAGATCATTAGACATTAATTTATCGCATACACTGTTTGCAGTAACTGTTTTGATATAATACAAATGTGAGTTGATGATACTACAATTAATTTTTAAGTTGGTTTTTAAATCAAGTCTTCTATTCCTTAAATCAAATATTAAATCAAAATAATGTAGAAAATAAGATCTAATAATATTTGTTGACACTTGACACATAAAAAGCAAATTGCGACAAAGTCCAAGGTCAAGACTAAAAAGTTTTTGTCGATAAACTGGAACTGGAGTTCTGTTGGCAGCAGAAAACAGCATAATAGGTGTCTGAAATATTTTTTTCCTTGGATGCTTGGTTGACATCTGAGCCACTGTTGGACAAAAGGATTTTTTCTGTATCTAATAAAAAGGTGACAAGACTCGGAGGGCAAAGTAATTTGAACATTTCAGTGCCTAATTTAGAATTATTAGATACATACCTCTCTAGCAGCGATGCTAATTTGTGTTATCTTGTATGTATTGCAGTTGATGTTTGTTCATTCGAAAAATTCTTGTAAAGCAACTTTTTGTTTCCATGCTCTTCATGCTTACTGTGCTTCTATATTCATGGTTTGCATTCCACTATTCACTGTATTACAAAAATTCTCACTTTTGACATATTTTATCATCCCTTGAAGTTGTGATCATCTTTCCTGTTACTCCCTGTATAAAACTCATAGATCAAACTGATGTCATAGGATAACAATAAGGGAGTTAAGTTTTTTTTTTTGGAGGTATGTGTGTGTGTGAGAATTTAATGAATTAATGAAGACTAATTAATTAAGGAAAATCAAGTTAAAAACATGCCAGTGTCCCTTTGACCCCCTAAAAATTACCAAGAGAGTAAAAGAGTCTTGCTGAAAAAACATTTGCTGTAATGTTGCCTCAACAACCATTGATCATTTTCCATTACATTTTGTTGCATATCCTTAATTTATACAGCAGCTTTTCTATATCTTGGATGTTTCCAGAAAATATATGTGTGTATATATATATATATAGAGAGAGAGAGAGAGAGAGTTGCATTTTGATTTATTGATTGCAATACTTTTCTAGCAAATGCGGAAATTAATTTTGGAAATGATTCATCGCATTCCTACAAACAATCATTTGTTACCTCATGTGAAGAGTGTTTTAAGTCTCATGTTCAAGCTTTTAGAGGTAAGTTACTTCTGCTATTAACATTAATGACTATGATGAATGTAAACTTTTAGGAAATAGTGATATAAGGACCAGAGGGTCATATGAAACTTTAGCTTTACAATTTTTGTAAATTTAATTTTTCTAAATTAAAAAATGCCAAAAATGAGTACTCTGTTTTATTTAAAACAATTTTATTGTGGGAAGTAAATGTCTAAGATCAGCGATTACTGAAAATGGAGACTGTGTAAAGATTTTTGTAGACATGCTGTATTTTCTGATATAAGACAAGATTTATTGTTATAATGATTATACATATACACATACATGTATAATTGTGCTTTACTTTTAACGCCTTAAATAAAATTACAAATAATAATAAAAATGTGTTAATTTATTTCTGTGTTTCTACAGTACTCAATGCCTCAGTTGCAAAGCTTGTAATTTAACTTAATGTGATGTATGATTACTAATCTTGGTGTGTCATGGATGTAAGTATGACAAGTGGAAATGTTTTCGGAAGAAACCAACTTGCTGCTTGATCTTTGTGTTCAGTGTCCACAACGAAGGTTCAGTAGTGCAGTCAGACCTGTTTTTGATAGGGGTTGCATAAAAGAAACTATAGGAAAAATAATATTCTGAAATTTTATAAGTATTTATAGCAAATAATTTTTTATAACATATTAGAGGGGAGAAAATATGCAGTGGGGAGAGACTGCATAAAAAAAGTTGCACTTAAAACATGTGTTAAAGATTCATGAAATAGTAAGAAAGGGCTTTCAAACAAAATAAATAATTAAATTATACATTGAAACATTTAAACAAATTAATTTCTCATTTTACACACTGAAAATTTCAGAATGCACTTAATTCACTGCTACATGTCATAGTCCAAAATGCGCATATTCTTGGGATGAACTGGTTCAAAATTGCATTCATCATTTGAAGACATTAAAATTGATTTATCTTTTGTTACCATAAAGTAAGTTATAAGTTTTTGCAGTGATAGTCATTTGATTGGCTGCTTGTAAACATAATGATAGCTGCTTTCGTTTGTTGCACAAGTAGTATATTCATTTATTTTACTCCCTTCATTTTTGTATAGCTCTTATAGTGGCTTCACCTAATTTAAATTTGATAATAATAGCTGTGGATCCTTGACCATCTGCTAGTCTAGTTGACATTGCAATTTTAGTTTGTAATGCAAATGTCTTTTTTTTTTTTTTTGCTACAATTATTCCTTTTAAGGGAGAACTTATGTCTAAAAATAAAATAAAAATCTTAAAAACTATGTCTAAATAGAAAAAATAATTAATTTACCTTTAATCTCACAATAAAATGAGTCATTAATTATGTAAGTCATAGGGAAAACTTTGAAAGCAAGACACACGCTGTTAGTGCGTCAGGACAAAAATGATTCAATGTGCATTATTGGGAGACTATTTATCAACATTAGTAATAAATGTAGCGCCTTACAGTGTACATATGTACACTGATACTACTTACTAGGTGTTATGATGCCAACACTGTTGGAATTCATATATCGCATAAAATAAATTGCACACACACATACACACACACACACAAAAAGAAAAAAAAAAAAAAAAAAAGAAATCATGCGCACACACAAAATTGCATAGAAAAGGACTGCACAAAAACAACAGGTTTGACTACTTCAAAGACAAGCAAATCTTTCTTCAAGGGATTGACATGTAAAAGTTCATGTGATCATTAATCTTTATGTGATTCCTTTCTTTCTTTTTTTTAAAAAACATATTTGCAGAATTAATATAGGAGCTTTGCCATAAATCTACCAAAGAAGCCTGCACCTCTATTCAGTTAATTCTTCAAGTATGAGTGTGTTTTATTTAGTTACTTTTGTGCAAACAATTCAAATTTTAATGGAAAGAATTTAAGGAAAAATATAAACACAACCTGGAAAGATGTGACATATCTCACAAATTTAGTAATCTGCATTACCCATAGTTCTGTGGTGTGTAGGTTATTGGAATTCTGCTGTGTTATAGAAACTAGATTGCAGCAGTAATTTGCATGTAATTTTAATTCTGTATTTTTTAAGAAACATGATTACTATTGAATATTGTCAATAAAATATTTGTACTTATGGCATCTTTGCTGTTAGCTTTGAGATTGTTGGGCTTATTGCAACCACTAAGCTAGCTCTGTGGATTGTATTAGGAGCCACCGATTTCCGAAAACGAGTTGCAGACAAGAACTCAATAACATTTAACTTAAAACTTTAATGAGTCTCAACTTCATGATTAATAAAAGTATACAGATAACAGGGTAATAGACTATGCTAAAATTCACAAATCAGTTATATTCTAATAGGAACTAAATTTTAATTTTAACTGATTTTATCATGCTGAGCTTTAATCTTTAGCTTACGGATTTGGGAAGAACTCTGGTATTATCTACTTCAGCTAAGATTAAACATTAATAATCAGTAGCTGTTGCTTACTAGAGGCTCCATCAGTCAGCTTGCTCCATCACACCTAGGCCTTAGCTGTTGTTCTTCTGATAGCTTCCAGCTTCAGACAGCTGAAGGCAACAGACATCTTCTCAGTTCCAATTAAATTACTTTATATCTCTATATACTCATCTGGAGAGAACAAGCTATGTGTTTAAGTCAGAAGGGATAGAAAACATGTAACTGTTATTGATTCTAAAGCGGTTAAAGGCATGAACATTCAATTAACATGATAAATACATTTTAGCGTAGCCCTACTTGAAACAGCATTGGAATTTAGCTTGGATCCAGACCTGTGCCATAAGTTCTCCGGAATGTTATTGTCAGTTCTGTATTAAGATGTTACTGTCAGTTCTGTATTAAGATGTTACTGTCAGTTCTGTATTAAGGTCATACAGAAATTAATGACACAAATGCTACCACAGAGCAGAATACAATTTATTAACAAAAAACTGATAGTACATTAAATATAAATAATCCCTGCCCATGTCAATACACTTCTGCCATCTGGCTGGGAGGTCCCGAAGGGCTTTGGTAAACCAGTCTGGGGGGTGTTAGTGCACCATCTATGACAATTGCACCTGTGGAAAATTGCGCATAATTCGGCAGAAGATCCAACATATTGGTCTTTGAATGCCTCCTTCGTCTTGTCAAGCAAGGCATAGTCCGAAGTCTTTGTTTGAGGTCTGAAGTCCACCCACTTTGCACACACATTTGTCATCTCCAAATCACCATGCATAATCGCTTGCAATGTTCCTTGTACAAGCCCTGTCTCTTCCTGCATCTTGTTGAACATTATGAGCCTGTTTGACATGATCAAATCCAACACAGCTGCTACATCTACATTTGTATGTGATGTTGCTGGCTGTCCAGCACTAACACCTTTGGCTGCAATCTCACTCCACTGCTGAACTTAACCAACCAATGACATACAGTACGCTTTGAGGGTGCTTTGTTCTCGCACACCGACACCATGCGACGATGGATCTCACTACTCTGTATTCCTTCCTTCCATAGGAAACATGCTGACCATGATTATCATGGTCAGCATGTCACTTTCCATTGTTGCTCACTATGCTCTCAATGACGATGGTGAAAGGGACAGGAGCTGACTTATTCCGCTCGCTTGTGGTCAACTCCATCTATGCATTCTGAGTAGCTCACACCCCCTTGTGTCTATTTCACTTGTTTTCCCTGTTGCATAGTGTAATGTTTTGTTGTGAGAGCTGTTGTGTCAATCATTTCTGCACGATCCAAGTATTTAATTATAGAAAATATAATTGTACACTTTTCCTCAAATTTAATTATAGTCTTATAAAAATCATCAACTGTTTTATAATTTCATTATTTGCATGTTGTTTGTTTTTTAATGCTTAATTTTTTTTACTTAGGTTGAAAATGAAGAAAATATTTTAGTTGTACTTAGAATCATTATAGAATTTCACAAAACCTATAGGCCTCAGTTTACTCCTGAGGTAAGTATTGTGTACATTTATTTTCAGATTAAAAAAAAAAATTCTTTATATATTTATGCCTATATTAATAATATTTTGTCTTTACATATTCTCTTCTGAATTTTGAAAATGTTTTTGAAATGATTTTCTTGTTTCCAACTAAAAGGTTTATTTTTAGACAATTTATTCTCTGTTAGAATTGTGAAATGAAAACATTTAACTAAAACATATGATGTTTTGTTTTTAGTAATTCTTATTTCTGGAGGATAATTAATCGTAAATTTCACAATTTTATTATCCATTGAAATTCGAGACACTACTATTCTGCAGAAATGTGAGGTTTTTTTTTATAGTTAAATAGTTTCCGTAAACTTGTAGAACTTTATTATTGCTGTTCCAGTCATTTTTAATTAGTTATTAGTTCTTAGAATAGCTGCAAAATGAAAAATTTGTGCTGCATGTTATTCCAAAACAATTAATTCAATACTCAGTTTATATAAAAATAATTTTAGAGAATTTTACGTGTTCTTGAGCAGGAAAAAGTTAACATATACCATTTAGATTTCATTCCTCATTTCAAGAATGTACAGTAAGACCCCGCTTAACACTGTTTTGTTTAGCACTGTTTCGGTTTAATGCTCTTTTATTTGAATTCTGAGATTCCCCAAAATTGCACGCGGCATTAGGCTTCCCAATATCTGAAGCAGTTTATCTCCTGCGGTGTTATACAAATGTATTTTTTATCATTTCAAACATTTGTCGACGTTATTGTAAGTATAAATATATATAATGATTGATATAGTGACAAATATTATGATTTTTAGTTTTTATCATTGGTGATAATAAAGAACATGAAAATAAAGCAACAAGAAAAAGCATTTCACTAGAAACTAAAATGCAAGTGATTAGAAGATTAGATACTGGTGAACGTCAATCTCATATTGGTGCTGCATTGAATTTGGCAACTTCAACAATAAGGACTATTCTTAAGAATAAAGAAAAAATACTGTCATCGGCAACTGTGACGAGCTCTGTAACTAGATTTTCCTGTTCTAGAAATAATACAATAGAGGAAATGGAGAAACGACTTTTATATGGATTGACGACGAAATTGAACGCAGTATGCCATTAAGCCAATCTATTATAATGGAAAAATACAAGAAGAATTTTTAATTACATTCAGGTTGAGGCAAGTGACACAAGTGAAACTTTCTTTGTAAGTTGAGGATGGTTTAATAGATTTAAACATCGAAATAATCTTCATAACATACAGATTACAGGAGAAGCAGCAGGTGATACAAAAGCGGCGGCTGAATTTCCAGTGACATTAAAAACAACAATTGAACGAGGAAACAATCCTCCAGAATTCGTTTTTAATGTTGATGAAAGAGGCCTATTTTGGAAAATTATGCCAAAACGAACATTACTATCCCATGAACAAAAACATGCACCAGGATTTAAAGCTGCAAAAGATCGCTTAACACTTCTACTGGGTGGTAATGCATGCAGAGATTTCACCACTACTTGTTTACCCTTCCAAAAACCCTTGAGCGATGAAAGGAATATCCAAATCAACTTTACCTGTAATTTGGGAACCTAATAAAAAAATCATGGATATCTGTGAAAATTTTCCAGAATTGGTCCACTGAATATTTTAGCCAGTCTGTTAAACACTATTGCGAAATTAAAAAACTTGAATCAAGAGTACTACTTTTAATTGATATTGTTCCAAGCCATCCAACGAATTTCTCTTACTTAATAACATGCATTCCAGTCGAAGTGGTTTTCTTGTGCCTAACACAGCTGCCTTAATCCAACCAATGGATCAAGGCATTATATCAAATTTTAAGGCTTATTACCTGTGGCGAACATTTAGACAGATGTTTGAAAAAACAGACGGAGAAGAGAAACAATCAATAAGAGAGTTTTGAAAAGAACTACAATATCATGAATGCTGTAGAAAACATAAACCTTTCTTGGAATGAGGTAACAGAAAAATTCCACTATTTCGTTCATATTCGATATGAACGAAATAGTGGAATTAGCTAAACAAACCAGTTTACATGAGTTAAATGTGGAAGATGTTGAAGAAATAGTGCAAGAAACAGCAGCAAGTCTTTCTAATGATGAGCTCAAGGAATTAACAGACCAAGAAGAACACAAATATATTGAAAGTAGTGATTCTGAAGAAGAGCAAAATGAACTTTTGTTTCTAAAAACTATTATAACAGAAATTATGGGCCAATTTATTGAAAATGACCCAAATTTTGACAGGAGTTCGAAGGCAAGACGTGCCTTATTCACTTAACAACTTCTTACAGAGCGCAAAAGGAAAACGCAAATTACATTAGATACCTTCTTGATAAAAAGGCAGAAAATTGGAAATACAGAAGAGACTGAATGATCTGAAATGTAAACATACTTAGAATTTATTATTTTATATGTATATTTGTTTATTATGTTTCTATATTTGTAAGAAATAAATTTTGGTTTTATTGCTATAAAAACATAATTAATAAATTTAATGGTAAAATACCTGACCAATTTTCTACCCATCTTCGTAATCCCATTATTTACATAATGAAATAACCTTGTTTAACGCTGTTTCATATTATGCTCTACTTTGATGGAACGTATACCCCACGTTAAGAAGGGTCTTATTGTATGATATGATAAAATCAAATATTCCATGGGCCACAAAAAAAGTCGCTCACTTTCAATATCAGTGTCCCATTCTTTCGAGAAGACTTTTGCCTCCAGCTGTTTATCCGTAAGGTGACTTGATTTCACAAATAAAGCAACATTTCGGCTTTGATTTGCCTGTGCCCATTGAAAAATGATGTCCACCTTGTTTGTTATGTTATTCCTGGTAAGCAAGTGACTTTTTTGTGGGTCTCTTTGAATATAATGAAATTCGACATTTATAATTGTAAATAGAAAAATTTTAAGTAAAATTTATAGATCATACTTAATGAGAAATGTTTGCTTTAACCGGGAATTTTGTTTTCCATATTGAACCATGTTTTTATTTTTTCGTTTATTTACATGATATTTATTACTTTGCATTAAATTAAATTTTAAACTCTTGTTACATATTTTCAGTTGTTTCTATATATTGACAATAAATATTCTAGGCAATAAATTTTAAAGTTAATTAAGAGCAGTATTTTCAAATTTTAAAACTTGTATAGTTTTTTCAGTATTGTGTATAAATTGATGTTGTTTTATAAAATGTAATTTACATTTTATAATATGTAATTTTTAATTAAAAGAATTTTCCAGAGTGTTATAATTTTTTTGTTGTTTTGACAGCAAACCATTATATGTTTCAAATATTAACCATGACAGTTTCAGAATTTCCTGATAAAGATTAGCTGTAATTCCATGTACCTTTTTATTTGACTAGACTGTTTGGAGCCAACTTATAAAACTCTTGTGTTTCAGTGATAATTAATTGAAAATGAACTCTCATTTGCTTTACGTTACAAACACTGTCTGTGGTAATAATAACTGTTGCTTTTGAACCCCTTACAAATGCAGCAATTTTGTTGATGCATATCTGTTGTACTGCTTCTAGCACCAACAATCATTACCTATTATTTACAAGTAATACACTTCAACTAGTCTTGATGATAATCTAATAGTGGATGAATGTCACTAATGGGCAAGAATGATATAAAAATGCCTCCTTTTCACGACCTTCTTCATTAATGGCAACAGCATGATGTTTTACATCAAATTTTTAGGTGGTCATAATAAATTCTCCATCCAGTGTATGCATGTCTGCATTAAATCAGAAATTGATTACTTTACAAAATGAAATAAGTTTCAGATTTCAAAGCATATGTAAATAATCAGCTTCTACATCTGCAATCTAATTGGAAGTCTAAAAGTAGATACAGATATTTTAATAAATTTTATAATGTTTAAGTGTGTGATGCATATTTTTTTATGTTTATTTTTATATTTATAGATTCAACAGTTTTTGCAGTATGTTAAAAACATTTACCGAGAATTACCAAACCATTTAAATAAAATCTTTGATCCTCGTCCAACACCTAAAATAAAGGATTTAACTTTGGCGAGTCTAGAACCAGTTTTAAATGAGACTTTTACTATCACTGTTGTTCAATCTGAAAGACGAGGGCCAGATGGTAATTATGCCCAAGTAAGTTTATACCATTTAGTAATTAAAGTGCTTTCATGTTTACATAGTACATGGGTTTTATTAATATTTAAATGTTATATCAGAATTATTAATTACATAAAAAATTACAACAGTTATTTGGCTTAAAGCAATTCATTGAAGAAATTAAAATGCCACTATTTAAAATAGTTTAAAGAAATAAAAACTAATTTTTGAAGGTAAAAATTTTTAAGCAGCATAATTAAAAATATTTTTCATAAAGCAAGCTATTTAAAGAGTTCTTAAAAGTTTGAAAATTTTACTGCCTTGCATTTTGTGTGCTTAATGTTATCTCTTAATGTTATCTCCGTATCTTAAGTGCTTAAATGTTATCTCCGTAAGAGTAAAATTTGCCTTCTGAAAATAGGCATTAAATTTCCACTGGTTTTAAATGTTTATATAATGTGAAAATCCCCAAATTATTTTTTTTCCCTTTGCATTTTATAAAAATCAAGGTATAGAATATCATCTTGTAAAATATCACTTGTGAAAGAACTAGTTTTTTTTTTTTCCGGATGTAAATTGGTGCAATTCATAAAGTGTTAAATTATCAGAAAACTCTATTTTAATTTAAATAGATGGAATAGATATAAATATCTATTGCAATGTACTTTTTATTGTAAAATTTCATTATTACAATTAAACTTAAATTTTGATGCAGATGATAGTGTGCATTGTTTTAGTGTTAGAAAAATTTCTTATGCTAGCGATATAAAATAACACTTGTTATAAAGTGTTAGAAGCTCAGATTGCATTTAAATGATCCTTTTTGTTATGGTCTTTAGCAATATATATTTATACTATAGAATTTAAATGAAAGTGGTTATATCTCATTACTTAACACTAACTTCTTCACATTTTTCTGATCCTTATTTTAATGGACAGAATTTTGTTTTAATTTTAACACCCCTTCAAGATGCTTTGGAAAAAAAGCCCGTTAAATCTTGCCATTTTATGCCGCAAAAAACATTTTTATATTATCATCGTGTCCACTCAGGCAAACTTTGTTGTTGAAAATAGTTTCATTTCTTTGTTGTTGAAAATAGCCTGCGCCTTTGGCTCTACCCTGAAATACCAATATAGCCGATTTTCAAATCTGTGAGGTTGCGACTTATTCACATAAATCTATGGGCAAAGATGATAGCCTTGGCAATCTTCAAAATGTTATAATCGTAGAGTTTCGGTCTCTTAAACAAGACCCCCAGTTTTTAACAATTTACCAAGGATGGCAGGACAATAAAAAATATGTGCAGTTGTAAATTCTGTGTCCAGGCAGTTATCACAGTTTCTGTAGATTTTCATATGGAAACTGTAATATCTGCCTGGACACAGAATTTTCAATTTTCTGTGATGGCCAGTTCTAAGCCATGGTTTTGCTATTCATTGAAATTAAGATGTCCATTGATCATTTACTAATCCAATCTCCATCAATGTTATGGAGCTGGTGTTATATTGGAACTGAATGTTCCTTCAATCTGTGTTTGGCATTTACTGAGAGGTAGACTTTTACTTTACAATTATTGTTGAGATTTTGAGCCTGTTTTGCCAGTTTATCTGTGCTCTTGCTGTCATGTTGACATGCACTAGCAACCATTGAAGAATGCATACCTTTTTGAAGGTCGTTTAGGTGACAGTGTATCCCGTTGGTGATTAAGGAGATTCAATCTGGGTTTGGTTTTGGAGCTGCCTTTGAGTCACAGAAGACAGAGTCCTTTTGCTTGCAAGTGCCTCTGCTATTGCCAAGAGCTCACAAGTAAAGTTGGACTATACAAAATTGGCATAAATACCAATTTTGTCTTGATTAATCGACTATTGCTCAGAGTCCAGCAGTATTGATTCTCCAATAACCCCAAATCTCCTAAGTAGCAATGAGTTTTGCCCAAAAAATAGAGCAATACTCAGGGTTTCTCTTCTCTTAAAAATCTTAATTCCGTTCCCTTGCCTGATAAATATTTCGCTACCCGAGATACTTGCGCCACCACTGCTACCATCAGTATAAATTTGTGTCGCATCACTGGGGATTTGTGAGTAACCTCCAAAGCTAGCAGCTGTCTAACATAATCAGGATGCTGTGTACCTTTGTTAGTATAAGAGCAAAGTTTGGTCCTAGAGGAAACTCGCTAAATGTCGTACCATACTCCAAACAGCTGGCTAGAGAGACATGTTCAACATCAGTGTGCAGCCATCCCTCATTTTCAGCACGACTGAGCAAACTTTCTCCCTTAAGATGATGATTATTGTTCCAGTCACATACATATCTATAGGTTCTGCACTGATTGTGATAACTGTTGAGCTTGGCAAAGTATTGGTCAATAGATGCCTACTTTAGACCTCTAAAGTCTGAGGGGTTGAAGGTCGGCCTCATGCAGGACAATGTCTCTCGGGCAACAATTGCGGAGACCATTAATGGTTCTGGCAGCCAAGAATTGTACCCTTTTCAGTTTGTTTAGCTTGCCGACAGAAGCGTCCTGATAAATCTGAAGACCACATTCCAGGGCAGGCCTAATAAGGGCAAATTATATATTTCTCAAGATCTGAGTATCCGCATCTCAGTCTGTACCAGAGATATATTTTAAAATTTTGAGTCACTGTTTAACTCTTAAAACCAAAATGTCAGTATGAGCCTGGCTTGTATTCAAAGTATTTGGATAGAGGATTTAAACGACTGGGAATTATTTGTGTTTAAGAAGTGTTAGTGATTGAAACTTTTAGTGATTTCCCATTCAAGTGCATGTAAAAGTTACACAAAAATATGAAAACATCTAGTAAAAATTGAATTTTCTTACTTAGTACTGGTATTTCCATTTAAGATTACTTAAATTCTTCTGAAAATGGACAAATAATAAGTTATAGATGTTAGCATTTTTTTTTTTCAAGATTTGCTCAAGCTCCTACAGAAGTGATTGAGATGGGTAAGCTCAGTTCATGCTTTTTAAAACTTCCCACAGACAGGGTATAATACAGAGGTTTGACAATTAAGGAAGCCATAGATGACTGGAAAATTTACAGCCATGTTCAGAAAACCACAATTGGATGATGCTGGATATATGAATTGTAGCTTAATCTTTATTAAAAATTCACAATTCTCATTCATAAATTCTTTTTTCAGGGCATATGTGTACCATAAGATAGCCTTGATTGCTCAGAATACTTACATATAGGCCTAGGAAAAGATATGACTTAACAGAGTAATATTAAGTTTCACAGGATATTATGATATGGCTGATCATCCTATAGATTAATTTTTACAGGCAATCTAAAAGCTTGTGCTGTTGTTCTTTTAACTAATTTACTAGTCAGAAACATTGTGAAGATTAATTCATCGGATTAAATGAAAGTCTTCCATTAAGTGGCAATCGCATTCTTTCTTCACTTTTATTAGTCTGGTTTGAACAGTTGCAACTTGATCAAAAATTTCCCGTTGGTTAAATTATCATATGCTTCTTTTACACTAACTAGATTAAGTAATCACATTAAGTTCAGTGCTGTGCTCAAAATTTTGCATAATATTACACTTTCTTCTTTCTCATTCAATGAGCACTCTCAACCATGCTGTTGTTTGTTGGATGATTGTTTTCGAAGAAAACAATGTGAGTTCAAAATATTGGATTAATTACATCATGATACATCAGATACATTGTCTGATTTGGCTACAGAAATCCTCACCAATCTACTGAAATTTACCCCTTTTAGAACTCGTAAATTTGTACATACTGCCTAGAACTGCGTCTTTCTGCTAATTTAATAGTTTCCTATTATACAAGAAATATAAATAAAAATGACATAATCAATATTTTAAGTAAAAACATTTGCCATTTTATCCTAACCTTCTACTATATGTTTCCTTACTTTTGTGTAACTGCTGTGTTATTAAAAAATGTCAACTTTGATTTCTGATCTCTTTGAAATCTCAATAAAATAGCATATTTTTATGAATGTTTGTATATATATGTCCTAATACTGAATTTCATGTAATGTAATGTAACTATATATAAATGGTTATACATATGACTGTTATGAAAGTGGGTAATTGCACATTGCTAACTAAAAATGCTGATATACTATATTTGCAGTATAACCTAATCCCAAAAGCAACCATGTCACTAAAAGCTTTAGCTGAATTACCAATCATAGTTGTCTTGATGTATCAACTGTATAAAATGAGCGTTCACAAAGATGTGGAAGAATTCATTCCTTTAATAATGGTGACCATAACTCTTCAACCAACTCCTCAGCAAAGGTAATTTTTTTTTTTTTTCATTTTATGAGGTACATAAATAACAAAGTACACTTTTTGTTAATCCCACTCCTCACTAGTGGCCTAACAGTAAAGTCTCTGAACACTAGTAGTTCAACTTGGGTTTGATTTAAGGCAAACTGCTGGCTGCATTAGTGTTTTCATTGTTTTCCACATATTTAATGTACATTCTAATTGCTGAGGATCTAAAAAGGTTAAAAAAAAAAAAAAAAAAAAAAAACTTCTCTCTAATTGGAAGTGAGCATATGAAAAGAAAATTCTGATTATTAGAACTCTACTGTGGGTTCTGCATACATCATGAAAATAGGAAAATGACGGAGATTATAGATTTGCATTCTTATGTCTGAGAGACAGAGTGCAGAATTTATATTCTGGATTAATTTCTTTTTGGAAAAGGGATTAGGCTATATTCCAGGAAATAGGCTTACTGAACAAGAGTTGTACAAGTTCAAAGCAGATGAAACTGTGGTATATGCTTATTTATCAGACTTGCATGCCTTTGATAAATGTTTATGTATGCATGAATAAAATTCTTCAGTTAAATTTATAGCTTTTTTATAAAAAAGGATTGTATCTAAAAATACTAATTCTAGCTTTTGAATTATTGCAGATGCTATATTCAAGTATAAAGTTTACGAAATTTTATTACATGTTTCAATATTTTTGCATTATTATTCATAGCATTAAGTGTTATGCAAATTCACATATTTAAATGCTGGAATTTTTTTCTTAAGATATTATTAATATTTATTAAATTCATAATATCATACCAAACAATTTGTACATGTGATCATTAAAAATTGTTTTTAAATATATCTTTTAACTTCAATATCATATTTTAAATTAAGTCATTTATTTTTATTTCTTGTTATGTTGCTAAAGAGGAAATGCCATTTTTATATTTTTTTGTTTACTTATACTATGTATACATGGATTTTGTATGCATTAAGTGATTATTCTCATTTTAGGAGTAATCCAAATTTCAATAAAGAAGTTTTTGTGGATTTTATGGCAGCACAAATTAAAACATTGTCATTTTTGGCATATATAGTGCGTATTTACCAGGTGAGATATTTTTCTGCAGTTTTCTAATTCTTTTTGTATTCTATGAAAATCAGAATTTCAGTCTGTTGTTTAACTTTTAAATGAAGTTCAGTATAAATTACTTTTGCGTCTACTTTCATTAACCCCTGAAATACTGCTTCTTAGAGGTTTTTCAACATTTTTTGCATCATCATTTGTGGGAAAGTTGTTAAGCAAAAGGTGTAATTATTAATTGAAGTTGCCATGTTTTTGGACTTTGCATCTTCCATCAACAAGCTTATCTCTTCAGCATACTTCGTTGTTTATTATCTCTTTCCTAGTGGCCTTTTTTTCCAGCCACCATCTGGACTTGAATCCTTGTCCAGTGTGAGGTATACAATGTTTTTGTTTTCTCCTTCTGTCCCAGTGTAAAACTTTCAATTGCTATTGAAAGAATGAAATGACCACAGGAGAAACTGGACCCACCAACGGCCAAGTTGTAAAATCGCTGAACATTGGTACTCCAATCTGGGTTGATTCCATGTGAATTGGCTGGCTGCATGGCCGTTTCATGGCTTTCCTCTTGTGTAATATGTATATCAGCGAGTTTCCATTAGAAAGTCCTCCATGAAGGCATCCCTTCCCTTAGGCAGATAGCCCTAGTAATCTGTCAAACCATAGCAATTTGGGGAAACTTTCAGCTCGAGGTGAAGAGTTATGCATTGTGTGAATGAGATTTTACTGTTAACATGAAAAGGTATGAATTACGACAGAGATGAAACAACATAGGAAAATAAAAGATAAAATAAGCAAATTTTCAAAGTAAAATAAACACAGCAGAGTAGATTTATAAGTGGGCAAAATATTAACAGCGTTTCACTGTATAATTGCTTTCTTGGAGGTGGATGGAAATTGATAATTCTTTTATCCTATTTTAGGTACTAAAATGTATTTTTTATACAGAATGCATTTATGCCAGAAAATTATGAGGGAAAAAATTGAATTTGAGACATCAAAAAGATAAAATGTAAAATCAGTAAATAGTTTAGTCAGTTATAAAAGTGATAAAAGGATTTTATTTATGCATAATAATTAAAGGATAAATATCTTTGTCACTAGATTTATTACAGTACATTTAATAAACCAGATGTTTTCATTAAAAAAAATGTGTTGTAATTATAATTGTTGTATGTTTCTGTACAAAGTTGTTTTATTTTGTGATCTGTTTTGTCACTTATGGTTTGTTTGAAATAAAAACTTATGAACCTGGATGACTTGTAGTTTATGTACCTTGCATTTCTCAGTTAATGCCCAGGAATTGATATGGAGTTTTATTCATTTCATTCTAGTGATTTTATGATATTTACTTCATTGTGTTTATTTTCTGTTTTTGAAATAGTAATTTGAAAGTAAAATGTTTATTGAAAGTAAAGATGTTTTAATATTTTTGATTGCTTATATAATAATTCTCTTGTTGTAATTTTATCTTACTATTGTATCAGCATTACATTTATGTTAAATAACTTTAAAGGAAAGTCTAAGGTCTTTTAAAAATAATTTTTGTAAGCATATTTAATGTATTGGATACCGTGAATATCGGAACAATACCTTTCCTTGTGCATAATTCACTTGTTTTCAAATTAACTTTTTTCATATACCTGTTTTTCTTAATGTAAAACATCTATATAATGTGACTAACGAAAGTTATATTTTAGAGTGTTGTGAACGAGCATTCTTCACAGTTGGCCAAAGGCATGATTGGTCTTCTGTGTTTATGTCCTCAAGAAGTTGCTCATTTACGAAAGGAGCTTTTAATAGCAGCTCGTCATATTTTAGCTACAGAGCTCAGAGAAAGTAAGTGCTTTTTTCAAATATAGTAAATTTGACTAAGTGTTAAACTTTGTAAATAATAACAAATGTGAAGTAAATACACAAAGGTTTTTGAAATGAATTGCAGTCAATAAAGTCTTTTAAATTAGTCTTTAAATACATGCCTAATGTTTTCCCCAACAGTTTGTTTTTGTATATTGATATCAATGCAGTATTTCCCTTTTAATTTTTTTAAAATTCAGTCCACTGGTTACATGCTCTGTTGAATCTTAACTGCTGTTTTACATTGCTTAAAAAAGTGGTACATGTGTTTTTGGTCACAATTTCCAGCATTCCTCAGACTCATTCAGCTATAGTTACCAATATACTGAATAGCTATAGTTACTGAATAATTACATCTATTGAAGCTAGCAGGAAACTAACATGTAACATGCATATGATGACAGAAACATGTTTTGTCTTAAAATCCCAAAATCTTAATCCCAATGTCTTAAAATCCCAGTTTAAATACTAGCTACTCATTTGCATTCTAGTGAATATGGTGAGAAATTATTGTAAAGGCTGAATTTATAAATAACTGGTTAATTAAAGTAAAATTCCTCTACAATTAAAGCTCCGTCAGATGTATATCAGTATGCTTTATTAGGCTGTTCTAGAATGATAATTTTCATTATTAACATTTATACTGCTTGTTTTTTTAAATCAATTCCCAGTGATTTGATGAAACTTTTGCTTCTGTAAGTGTTTCAAATGCTAAAAAATTTAAAGAATTTTTGTGTTAATTAACTAATATTTATGATTTGCATCTGTACTATAACTTCTTTTATTCAGCCCTTCACCAGGATGCAAATGAAATTAGAGTATTTGAGGCAAGGTCATCATATGTTTTAGAAATAGAGCTTTTGGTAGCAACACTTGCAACTCTATTGCAAGGCAACTTTATTGAGGGGCTCTGCCAGCCAATATTATGGCATCAGCAATCTGTTAGCCAGTATTAAATTGCACCTTCAAGGTTTGAGCCAGCTTAGTTATGTCAAATTTTTGTAATCTTGGGTTACAACCCCTCCATTATTTTTAATGCCGGCAAGGGGAGTTTTGACTATATGCACTAGTTGTGCCTTTTAGTTCAATCTGAAATAAAGTCTTATTTAAAACTTTTATAACATTTTGTCATACATTTTTAGAAAGAGTGGTAACTCACTTGGCAGCCTAATATGGTCTGAAGGACTTTGATTTAATATTACAGAGTGAAGCCCCTAAAAATTTACTGAGAGAATTAGACATTTTTTCTAATTTCTTTGTCTCACTTTAATGATTCTTCTTCCCCCCATGTTTCATTATCAGATAACCTTTATTTTCTTAATTTATTTTTAATTAAGGCCTGTAAGTGATTAAAAAGGAAACATTAATACTAAATGGGATCCTTCTGAGCTACAAGTATATAAAACAGTTGAGAAATGATTCAATTATATTTGCTATTTATAACCAACATCTCCCTAATTGAAAGGCAAAATGACTAGCAGTAGAGATGCAAAGTGAAATTTAAAATGTAGATATTTTTTGGTTGGGAGGAGGGGATTGATTCAAAATTAAGACTATTCTTCAGAAAGAGATAACAATCAAAAATCTAAATTATAAGCACAGTTACACCGATAACAGTATGAGAAACGGTTTTCTTTAGCAAAGTATTTCAGCTTCCGGTTATCAGTATTCATATGCCAAGCATTTTACTCTACATCAGGTAATCAAAAGTAGCTTTTTAATAAGCACAGATGTCCTTAAAATATAGGGCATATATTTTGTTTCCAGTGGCATTGAGGTATTCAAAAGTCTGTTTGTCTCTGTACATGACATTCAGAACAGTATTTTATCTTTATTATTGCACTACGACATTGTCGCTTGTAAGGAAACTTGGTTTGGTGTCCTTGAAAAGTTGGTACTCCAAACAGCTGCCTGTGTTGCCGTTACTTGGAGCCAGATCTACCTCCTGTGAATGTTAATTACGTAGAAAATGTTGCAAATCATAGTGATGCTACATTGCTGTGCTTTGGATTACATGTGCCTATGTGTGTGAACATCATTCATATTTGGAAAGTGAGTCATTAAAAGAGGTATTTTGTCAGTTTTTTATTTGCAATCATTTTAATACATAATTTGAAATAATCTTATCTCTTATTGATAACCCTTTTTTTAAGTAATGGAGAAAGCCTGTCTAGTACAAAAATAGTTCTGCTGCTTTCATACTTTGAAATTTTCTTCCGGTCATTCATAATTGTGAGAAGTCTTTATTGTTAAAGTGGATAGTTTTTTTGTTTAAACTAATATTTGTGTTCTGTCTGCGTTTTTTTATATCATAACTGGGTTTTCATTTTTTGCATCCATATGGCTTCTAATTGACTCAGATTATGCTGTTAAATTTAAAAATTGGAAGACTTGAATGAAATGGTAAAAATAAGTCACTTGAACACTTAAACTTTTAAGCTTAACTTATGATGGCAACTTTATTAGAAGCTCTCCCCCCAAAAATTTTTGAATAAATTCTCGTTAGCTTCACTTGATTGTTTTCATAAAATCACCATAGAATAGATAGATTTTCTTACAAGAAAATAGAATTCCTCATCAATGGTTTTAAATACAGTAGCAGAGTTTTTTTGGCTAATATTTTACATGGAAAAAAATAACTTTGGGAGCAAAGTGTTGATAATTTTTGCATGTACTGTTGTTATGTTTTGAAAAGATGGTTTTGTTTTAGGCATTATGTAATATATATATATTGATTACAATTTGCATGAATGATTATGTGTAAATATTTTCTGTATGTCTTCTACAAATAGTAAAAAAAAAAAAAAAAAAAAAAAAAAAAAAACTTATAAAACAGTTGTGTTCTTGAAATAAGTCAATGTCATAGCTGCCACCTCTTCCAGCATTTTATTACATTTCCTGGTAGATCACACAGTCTCTTGATTTACAATTTTTAGCTTTTAAAAGAAAGCGTTTTGCAGCAATAAATGGAATATACTGAGTTAGTGGAGCTTGAAGAAGAGCTAATTTAATTTTCCTGAACATAGTAATTTTTGGTATAACTTTTCTTATTAAATTTTATTTGATTTGAACTGTCTTAGTTTGCTGTAGATATTTATCAAACTTTTAACGAAGATGCAAATCTGATTAATCAATTAATATTTGTATTTAATTTTCAGATCAGTTTTTGGTACATTACTGAGTTTATCCTTATGTATGTACATTAATTTTTAATGATCAAACTTTAAATGAAGCCACAAATCTGATTTAATCGGTTAATATTTGTATTTATTTTTTTATATCAGTGTTTGATATATTACAGAGTTTATCCTTATGTAGGTATGTACATTAATTTTTATTTTTATTGTATTTAAAAGTACATTGGCAAATAAAATCTTTCTTTCCCTATTCGGGAATTTTTTCTGTACAAAAGTGTAAGCAAATCAGAAAATAAAATTATCCAATGAATATAAAATTTAGGATATCTAATTAAATATTAGTGTATTTTACATCAGATTAATATTATGAATAATTCACTAACCTGAATCATGTTGTTATAAAGTAAAATCAATTTTGAATTCTTTTGAAATGGTATCACCATTTTTAATTTTCAGAATTTGTTGGCTCATTAGAAGAACTTTTTGATGAAAATATATTAATTGGGACTGGATGGACAGCTTATGAATCATTGAGGTAAAATGTAATATATTTCTTCATAAATTTATTTTAAGGCAACAGACACTTCCTGAAGTAGTTAATAAATTTTTGGTATTTATTCTCTGAAAAAAAATATTACAGTCATACTACTTAAAGTTACTTGTTTAAGGACCCATAAAAAACATTACTGTAAGAATTATACTTGCAGACCCACATGTGTCTTTTATATTTGATGCTATCAGGTAGGATCAATATTCTGTTGCAAGTAAGAACAATATCAAGGAATGTGATAAGAGTGATAGACATTTTGGTTATAATATTAAGATCAAAAGAAGTATGTTGTAAATATTCATTTTTATTATTATTATATGTCAAACAGCATTATTATGAAAAGGAGGGCACTTTCTAGTTAATCTTAACAGAAGTATTTGAAAAAGAAATATTTTTTCACATAAGTTTAAAACCTTTTATCTTTGAGCATTTAATATAATTTGAGTTTAAATAAGCAAAAAATGATCTAAGGTATCTATGTATGATACATGCAAATTCAACATCTTAGAGATGGGATCACATTGAAGAGCTGTTGTGTCAAACTTCGGGAGCATTAAGAGAAAAAGGGCATTAGTTTGATAGGATTTATAAACGTAATTCAAGAGATTTTACTTGAAAATTACTACTTTTTGAAATAGGTAATGGAATATAAAATGATAGTTGCTGGAGTTATTTAAAGTAATTTCAAAGTAATTTAATTAAATTCTTTTCTGAATTAAATGCCATTTTGAAAATCGAATTGTATGTGCTGGAATATATATTATGAGATAGTAAGGAATAAAAATTTGATTTCTCCAATAATTTCAGAAATTACAAATATATTGGTCTTAGAATGTACACAATAATTTATGTAAAAATTAACTTGCACTTGGTACCTGAGCAAGTTCCTTGCATATAATACTAAACATTTGTTTTAAGTTATAAAGTTGTTCAAAATAAGCTATAGAATTTTATGAAAAAAAATTTAATGATGGGAGTACCTTAAAAATGCAAGGTCTAACATAGTGAAAGCAAATTTGAACTATGGGCTACATTTTTAATTCTATCAGAAATTTGTAATTTAAATTGATACATTTATTTTGTTAATAAAGAGTGTAAAGTAACTCAGTTATATCAGAAATATATTTCTATTTTAATATTATAATAATTCAGTTACACTGGTTTTGAAAAGTTAAGCATGAGTAGTAAATTTGACATACCTGGAAAAGTTATGTTTTGATTGATTCAAAATTTCATAGGCAACTAGGTGATTTGGTTATATATTCATGATTATAAAATGTCTGTATCAGACATATAAACAATATATATTTAAATAAATTTTTGAGCTTTTATATGACCTTCATAAAAGCTGATAAGTAATTTTCCATACTTTCAAGTGTACCAGAGTTCTTCAAATAAGTTTTCAACTGTATGAGAGCAATTGAAGAGGTACTTGGCCAGAAACAGCTTACTTAAGGAAATCTCCCAACTTTTTGATGGGTTTGAAGCCAGATAATTATGGTGTTCACTTTATACAAGCAATGTCTTTTCTTTCAGTAATTATAATACACTTATTCAGGGAATTTTACAAAGACATCTTTTTCAATGAGTGTCTAATTTGTGCATATGTGGAGAATAAATTACTAATTTGTTAGGTCTATTGATGTAACATATTTCCTTCTGCAAATGAAGTGAATTTCGTCTACTGAAATCAAAGGACACATTTTGAAGCTTAGAATTTGCATCTTATTCCCAAGTTCTGTAAAGTAGTATACATGTTATATTCTGCCATATATTCAACTTTTATAATTAATTATATATATATATATATATATATTATAATAATATAAAATAATAGCACAAGGAAAAGCCGGAACACTGTTGATGTATAGTTATCCTTAATTGAAGAAGTAGTATTCTGATTGCATCGTAAGCTAATTTGTTAACTTCGTAAAGAAAACTTGGCGGTCAAGGCAATTTTAATTCCATTTTTGTTTCCAATTGACATTATCGTGCTTACAGATCACTTGGCACCCTTTATCATGCTTGTTCAAGAACATTTACATTATTGATATTATTGCAATAGGAAGCAGCATAACGAAATTGTGTCCAAGCACAGCACAGACAGATAGCTGAAGTGTGTAGTTGTGCAAGATGGAAGCACATGCAGAGAACAAGTTTGGGTTTACAATTGGTAGTTTCAGTTCCTAGTTATTACATCATCAGCGCTGCACAGGCCATGCAAAAAAGAAAGAAAAGGAAAGATCTAGAAATGACGCAATGCAGAGAAGTTATTACGATTTTTAGAATAGAGAGGGAGAATAAATGTTTGACCGTCAGTTTAAATTATAATTTTGATTTATATATGTTTTATCTAACATATTCTCCACCTTCAAAAAGAAAAAGGCTTGGTGACAGAAAAGCCTTTTAAAAAAGAGCATTACAGAATTAGCGAAACAAGGAAAATGTAATAGAGGGAAAATATAAAATTTGATGTAAGTATTTTTTTTAAATTACAAAATCTTGTAGGTAACATTTTTAACAATAAATTCAAGTTGAAAATTTTATTGAAATTTAAAGTCTTCAACTGTAAAAACACTGTAAGGAATGTCCTAATTTTTTCAAGAAATACTAGAAAAGTTCACACTTCTGTAAAATCTTTCCTATATTTATGGACTCTATTAACTTATGGCCATAAAAACCAAACTAGTTAAATGAAATAAAAACAAATATACAAAAATTAGACATATATTAAATTCTACACTGCCCCACAATAATAATATGGACTATATAATTTTGTGAGTATAAAATAAGAAAATAAATTTCATAATCATATCTGTTGAGGGAAGGCTTTTAAAACTTTTTAAATATAAAAATTTCAAACACATCCATTAATATTACAAAATCGCAAAAATTTTATAATGTAATTAAATTTTCATTTGTAATAATATACTATTATGGAAATTTCTAATTGACTTATTTTGTACAAACTGGAAGATCCCCCACAGCTTTCTCCTACTATACACTTCCAACTATTTGGACAGTTACTTGGAAAGGCCTCCGTTCTTTTTATAAGGTAACTGACCTTTGCAAAACTGCATTACAAAACTCCATTTATAAAAAAAAAAATTAACCACACTCCATTATATTAAAAAAAGGAAAAAAAATATTATATTCGAAAAAATAAAAGTGGGAGCCCTTCAAAGTTTATCTAAATATCTTATGATCCATACATTTTTTAATCAGTTAATATAATTCTGTACTACTTATGATTCCTACAATACTACTCAAAACACTTTTTTTTTTCAAATTCTACACAAATTTTTTAAAACTATTTCATTCACTTCAGTTTTCTTATAACAATTCAAAATTTTGAACCATAAATTCAAAATTATAATTACCTACCTCAATATCCTTCCCTATAAATAATTAAAATAGCTTAAAGCTCGTTACTTAATTTGCTCACACATGAAAAATTAGGAAAATTAATGAACAAAAATTTCCCGTTTTCACAAAACATCACAATCAAATTGCAGTAATTTTAAGCAAAACTGAAATGCAAATTATACAATCCGTAGCATGTAAATAGTTTTGTCTCGTTCCTGAGTTAAATTCACACAAAGATAGCACTTTTGAGCTATCGATTGACGAAGTACTATTAAGAAAAAGCGAAAGCACAAATAATTTTCTGTCGCACATACTTGAAGCAAAGTACAGATCAACGATCTTGACTGTATGCTGAATCTCCTTAAGCAGTAATTCACTGATGATTCAAAGCACTTTCTCTTTTTTTTTTTTTTTTCTAAATATTGTAGAGATGGTCAAAGCAAATTCAATATTGCTTTTCTCTAGGCATTCAAACTTCTGGCTTTATCGCGTGATTTTTTTTTTTTGAAGCACTTGCAAAACACCACAGCAGAAGGATCATATGTTATTTTTTAAACATTATTTAAAAAAAAAAAAAAAAAAAAATGATTCACTTATTTCACATTGCCTTTGAATTTATCACAAAACGCTGGTTTGAAGAGCTGAATACATTTTCCATTGAGGTCTCAGGCTGCAGGAAACTATCCTGTTGATTAATTGATGTAATAAAACGATCAGGCAATTTTAATTCCATGTTTATTTCCAATTGACATTATGTGCTTACAGATCACTTGGCACCCTTTATCGTGCTTGTTCAAGAACATTTACATTATTGATATTATTGCAATAGGAAGCAGCACAACGAAATTGCGTCCAAGCAAGCGCAGACAGACAGCTGAAGTGTGTAGTTATGCAAGATGGAAGCATGCGAGAGAAAAGTTTGGGTTTACAATTGGTAGTTTCAGTTCCTAGTTATTACATCATCAATGCTGCACAGGCCATGAAAAAAAAGAAAAGGAAAGCTCTAGAAATGACGCAATGCAGAAAATTTATTACAATTTTTAGAATAGAGAAGGAGGGAGAATTAATGTTTTACCGTTAGTTTAAATTATAGTTTTGATTCACATATTTTTTTTATCTTACATATATACATGTGTGTGTTTTTATATACATAATGCAATTATATATTAAAAAATGAATGCAGAATTCAAGTTTTGCTAAAATCAGTTTTCTGTTTAAAACGGAAGAAATGTGAAAATTTGTACAGTTCCAAATCATCTTTACTAATTCTTTTTTTTTTTTTTTTTAATGTGCATGTGTATAGATGTGTTAAGTAGCTGTAAATAATGCTTATGTTTACATAAAAAACTTTGGCTGTCTTCCGTTGTTATGCATTTTGAGTCAAAATAAATGAGCCTTTTTTTAAATACTTTTTATTATTATTATTTCAGGCCTCTTGCTTATAGCACATTGGCTGACCTTGTGCATCATGTGAGACAGCATTTACCATTAAAGGATCTCTCCAAAGCTGTGAATGTTTTTTCAAAAAATGTTCACGATGAATCTCTTGTAACTACAATTCAGACAATGTCATGTAAATTGCTACTGAATCTAGTGGAATGCATTCGAGCACGTTCTGATCGTGAAAATGGAAATGTAAGCCTTTTTTTAAACATATAAAATGAAAGTTTTTATTATCTGTAAATGAAAGTTCCTGTAGTTTATTCAAATATATTGTTAGTTATTTTTGCTTTGGTTATTTATAGAGAAGGAAAAACATTACTGTTTTATTATTTCCTTTGCAACTTTATATTTCTTAAGTAATAATCAGGAGTTTAAAGTATGCCATTACTATTGAACTGAATATAGTTTTAGCATCCTGACTTTAAATTTGATCACGTTCTGGGTAATGTTGGTGTTGGCTGTTTTCAGGGGAGTTGAAATGTAAACAAACAGAGCTGGTCTCTTTAACTGGCCATGTGATACAACTATTTGGATTTCTATATGCCTTTTGAATCTTTTTTTGCTACTATGTAAGATCTTTTAGTATTACTATGTGAGGTTCTATTATGCTGGGCATTGCTGTTTTTTTGAAAGCCGTAACTCCAGTTTATTATGGCAGGCAAGCAGTATTATTTATCAGAGGAATGTTGAGCCAATTAGTGATATGAATAGGAGTGGTGATTCATTATCTTAAGAGTTAGCGAGGGATATTTCTAGTGATTCACATACTGAATGTTATTTTAATGTTATTTTGTCAGAGACTGAGCTCATTGAATATCTGCCTCCAGTTCATCATGTGAAAGATTATACATAATAAATTAGGATCTCTTAGATTATAAAAGGCAAAAAGCTATTTTTAGATTATATTAATCCCTTACTGTTTGATGTCGTCATTTTAATAGGTTGAGATATTTTTAGCTTTACACTTCTGTGACACTGCCAAGCTAGAGCACTAGAGAAGTTACACTATAGGTATTGTTGAACTAAATATATGTATCACTATCAGTAAACGTTCTTGATGATGTATGCATTATTAAGAAAACTTTGACATTATTGTGTATTGTGTATGATTTTAATTGGACATTTTATTAAGAAATATAATTACTTTTAAACTTCTTCAAAAAGTTTGTTTTGGCAACAGTTTTTAATAAAATTGAATTCTTATGAGACCAAAACTGCTGCAAACTGAATTTTGACCATTAAAGTTATGGGAACAGTCTGAGTATGGAAACTCGATATTGGAAGAATGTTTTGAAGTATTAAAAAAAGGGTCAACATTGATATAACATCATATGCAAAAGAATACTGTAAGACTATTTAGAAATGACTTAATAATACTATTGTAATTGAAAGGCATTATGCGACTGCTGGTGCCATTATTAAGAGAAGCGGCCCTTGTAATCTGTTACATTAGATTAGACACTTTAATGTTATTTCCTTCTTTCTGGCTTGCCTTTTATGTATGGTAACAGCTATTAATTACCTAATCAGCTGTGTGCGATTATAACAATACACAGTAGGATTATGAAAGAGAATATGGTTGTTATGATTTTGAAGTGCCTTAAGGTTGTAATCATCCCTAATATGTCATTATGTGATTTACCCTATCTTTTCAGATTTTGGGTGTGGCTATTCTTAGCAATAACATCTGTGGAATTGTTAGTGTGATTCTTGGTTTGCATTACTATTCAGTCACCACTAAAGCAGTCTTGACTGGCACTATGGCAAAAGCCTCCAGCTCTCCAAAATAGGTTTTTCAACTGAAAAATCTGTACCAATGAGAAGTAACTGGCAAACTCGTAGGATCTTGTCTTTCTTCCCGAATCAACCACATCTGCTCTACTTTGTAAATAAAAAGGTCTGAAAGGCACATGCGAGTTTTTGCTCATGATCAGACTTGCTTGGCGTTTTCTAAAATATCAAGAGTAGATGTGGGGAATGTGAAGTCAGTCCAGCTACCAAATATTACTTGCTGCAGATGGATTATAATTAAACAATTGTTTTCATAAGGCATAATTTAGAATCAATTGCACCATGAAAAATATAAACTTCACAGAATTCTAATTCTTTTTGGCTCCAAGACCTCCTTTCAGGTCACTAAAAAATTTCCAAAATACCCTTCCAGGTAAGAATGCTGTGGTTACAATATTAATACCTTTTAGCCGTGTTTTTAATGTAGTACCATGTTCCAGCCTTTTTGTCGGATTAATTATGATTCTAATATTTTGTCATATTAATCCAAAATTAGTGGAAGAATGCAAAACAATTTGTTGCTGGAATCACATCTTTAGGATTATTTGTTATTTCCATTTTGAAAGAAATGAGCACCTGAAAAGAGGTGCTTTTTTATTGTTCTTTCTCCTTTTTTATGTAAGAATTTTCAGTTAGAAATTTTGACTACTCGCAGTTAGGAATGTTCATTCATAGGAATGAAAACATTGATGTTCTTTTTCAGGATTTATGTGCTTAGAAGATTAATTTGGAAGTATAGATTTAATTGTATATATCTGTCTGTTTATGTCTGTGCATTTGTTGAAACTTGGTGTATATGCTATACGCACCTTGGAGAAAAGAAATCCCCAATAAAAATTAATAGTTCAAATTTTGACCAACAGATGTCTTTTTTTTCATGCCAATGTAGAAAGAATGTCATGCAAATTTGGAGTGTTTTAAAAAGGCAATAGTCAGTGCCATAAAATCATTCTTCACCATGCCAAATCAAGCTTTACTGAACTTTTATCAGACTAAATTTACTTACTTCTTTTTATCAGAACAGCAATAATTTTTCATCTGTACTGTGAGAGTATTGACGTTTGAATGGCTTATGGAAAGGCCTTATGTCGAGGTAGAATTTCAAAAAGATGTTTGCTAAATTTGAAAATACTGGGGTGTGTACTATGAGGAAGAGGATGGAAATGGATTTGAAATGCAACTGTGAAAGAACCACGGCGCGCAATAAATTGGAAGTTGATCTGTCAGCACTATCCTTATCTTCAGGGCAGATGTTTTTATTTTATTTGGCTTATAATTCCTTACTAAATATAGTATTTCATCTCAATGTACTCCGTCTTTGATATGATTTAAATCAAATTCCTCATCATTATAATTCACTTCCAATAGCAAAGAAAGTGACACAGAGGTTATTGAAAACGAAAAAATTTCGATTGACAAATTAGTCAGTATTCTCGACACAGCAATTATAGGACTTGAACAGCGGAACTTTGTAACTGAATAAGAAATTATGTCTGTTTATAGAATTAAAGAGAAAGTATCACATAAAAAACGAAGCAACTGAAGCAACTTACATTGAAAGAAATGTTTAATAAAGTAAACAAATAAATATTAAGCTTTTTTTTTTTTTTTTTTTTTTTTTTTTTTTTTTTTTTTTTTTTTTGTAAATTTTGATACCCTTTAGATCACAATTGTTCTTTATTTCATAAATTACGGTTTCATATTTTTAATTTTATAATTTCTGCATGCCATCTTACCAGATTTACACTGATGATCTATAATCCGGAAAAATCGATAATCCGGAATCGCCGAAGTCCCGACAAGTCCGGATTAACGACTTTTGACTGTATGTATTAAAATACCAGTATTAGTCAGTTGTACACCCAGTGTTTCTGTTTTCCTACTCATATTTGCATAGATAAAGTAGTTCTTGGTAAAGTTTAATATCTAAAAAATGTTTTAAAATTATAATTTAAATGTAGTAATTTATGCTCTAGTTGTAAAATAAATATTCTTAACATTCTTTTCAGGGTCGGGAATTATTGATGCGGATGCTTGAGGTATTAGTTCTTAAATTCAAAACCATAGCAAAATTGCAGATTCCTGTGCTAATGGCAAAGTTGTAAGTGCATTTTAATTTTTAAATTTGTAGTGACTGTCAAAGTTTAACAAAATTATGGATTTCTGCTTGAATGTTCAGAATCATGTGACTGGAAAGTCAGTGATCTTGAACTCAAATTGCATAAGGGTCGAATGTGCAGTGTAAAAGCAGTCGACTGGTATTTTCTTTTTTAACAAAATGAAAAGTTTTAATAATATTTTTAAATTTGATTTACTAAATATTTATCACAACATAAATAAGGAGTAGTATTAGTGACGTGAAGGGAAAAAATCAAGTTTATATTTATTTTTGGTTTGAAATCTAAAGGTTGGTTATGTGCAAGAAACTTTTGTTTGTGACATGTAATTCAAATATATTGGCAGCTAAATATTAAATTTTCAGGTTGACATTTATTTCAAATAACTCTTATAGGTTGAATTTATCAATAAATAACTTTTAACTTGACCTAAAAATAAACAAATTATGAAGGAGTGGAGCAAAACTTGAGAATAATTGCCAACCTATTATCTTTCTTTTATTATTAAATTTTTCTTACAGACAGACACAGAAAAGATGCATATATATGTATGTAAATAATTATAAACTTCTTTGTTTCTCGCTATAACTTTTAGCTATAACACCTGATCACATCTAAATTTGATGAGCTTGTATCCTTGGAGAAAAACTACATGAAACTATCTTCATTACAGGTTTGTAGGCGCACGTCGGTCAATCTATTATTAATTTTCATTTCTGTTAAAAAACTGTTTATATTTAAATTTACTTCCAGTCAAAGGGATTATTCTTATTATTAAAAACTCATAATTGCAGTTATTTCATCTTTTGATAGATACAAGCTAACGTTAATCAAATCTCTTATCTTTAAATCTGTAAATCAGTTGCCTCCATTTGTAGATTTTCTGGGCATTACTGATATTTGATTGTAATAGCAATGTAAAATTGGACTCCAGATCATTAAAGTCATAAACATTTTCTTCAGATTCTTGTCATAACAATCAGTGTCATAATAATAATTAATTTATGTGAAAATTATTCGTAACCACATAAAATAGCTTTGGGGGCATCTTGCTCTTAGAATTCTGTAGCAGTCATACAATAGTTAAGAATTCCTTTCCATTGTTTACTTTAGTTCTGAAGGTAGTTTGACCACATAGTGTGCTGAAAACTTCTTTTGTTGTGGGATTCTTTGTTGTCAGTTAATGACAGTTTCCTCATATTATGAAGCACTTAAATTCTGAATTTAAAAAAAAAAAAAAAAAAAAAAAAATATTTTAACAGGTTGACATACTTAAAACATGAATGAATGGAGAGAGAACTTGTTGGAGAAAAATATTTAAGATTGTTTTGCTGAGTAACATAGTATAAACATGGTATAAAAATAAGAAATAAGAATAAAAATATAAGTCATCGAACTACACTGTGATTTTGCCGTACACTTAAATTGAGCAAACATGTAAGTTAAATTGAATTCATTTCTGGCCTTATTCAAGTACTATTTTGTTGATTTCAAAGAAACATTTTTATTTTTATACCCTTGTTATGTTACTTTTTTATTTATTTAATTTTTGAATTGATTTAACTATGAGAAAAGCAGATGTTTCGGAGAATGGACTTTTTGTGAAAAATATTTACTTAAGTTTTGTTCTTGACCTATTGTTAAATTTTTACTTGAATATCTTTACTTGAACCTTTACCTGAAATTTAAATCTTTACTTGAAGATATACTTAAGTTTTGTTCTTGATTTGTTTTTTTATAACTAGTTTTTACATAAGAAGCTGAGAAAACATATTTGTTTCTATTAATTATTGTGAATTAATGAAAAATGCATTTGCTTCCCTTGAAAAGTCAATTAATTTCCAATTGATAACAATAACTGTTTCAAATTTTACTTTCAATATCTTCATAAAGTTCATTATTTATCTTCATAAATTGTTATCGTAGGAGATAATCTAAACCCTACTTTAATAACCTTCATATTTTCTTACTTAGCAGTTACTTACTTACTTTCTTTCTTATATGTACATATATATACACACATGCAAAATGACATATGCATAGTTGCCAGTCTTCCTAGTTTTTCATCATATATCTCTTGGTAAATTACTGAATTTTCCAGATTTTATATCATCCAGTTTCCCTTTGAAAGTTCTGTAAAAAGGCAGCCCTTCACTTGGCAAATAGTCCTAGCATGTTTTGCTATAATCTCAATAAATCAAACCCAGTTTTTTAATCTTTATTAAGAAAAATGTTTCTGAACAATTGTGCAAATTCCTTTCCCCCACCCCTAGTGATTTTCAACATAATTTTCCTTTAATATTTTATTTGATCTGAGTGGTTTTTGTCTACTATAGACATTTGCTGAGCTTCTTATGAAGATTTGATTAATATTTAATCAGTTAAGTAAATAAGGATAACTTTTGTGGGATACAAATTCAAAAGGTTTACAGATTTTTCTATTTTCTCAAAGATTTTTTCCTTTTTCTGATCAGGGGAATAAATTTTTCTCATTTTATTCTGGCATTTATTCTTTTAAAATTCATAGAATTATTCAAAGGGGAAGCTATGAGATTGTGTAGATCAGGGATGTTACACTCATAGGTACACTTGGGTCAAACAAATAAGGTTTAACTTTAGGCAGGACGCAAAAAAAAAAAAAAAAAAAAAAAAAAAAAAAAATTCATAGAAACGTAGATTTATTTTGAATAATACAATAATAAACATATATATATATATATTTATATAGAAAAGAACAAGAAAAATTTAATGTTTACGTCCTAATACTTGACATCTCTTCTCTGCTATTATCTTTCCTATTTTGGGAGAAATTTTGTTTGCAGTGATAACTTTCAACGCTGACCCAAGGTGAGCATCATTAATACAGTTTCTAATAGGAGACTTATTACCTTTCATGACTGAAAATAACTGCTCGCACCGATAAGTGCTACCAAACATGGAAATAATTTCATATGCGAATTTTCGAGTATTTTCAAACCCACCTGGTAAATATTTGTAAAATTCAGGCACTCCCACTTCAATGAATTTTGCCTTCAAATTTGAGTTGCGTTGAATCTCGATCACCTCCATTTGCATATGGCTGGGTACTGAGTCAATACTTATTGAGAAAATCGAAGGAAAAAAAAAATTGTCTTCGAGGGAACTAAAATCATTAAATCTCGTTTCAAATTCAGTTGTTAAATTTGCAATTTTTTCTGCATATTTTTGATACGAACAAGTATCATCTAAACTTGATTTATTCATGCTGCACGTCGGGAAGTGCGTCAAATCTTCATTTTTAAGTTGTTTTTCCCAAAGAACTACTTGACGTTTGAATGCTTTAATTATGTCAAACATGTTCGTAATGATATGATCAACCCTTGTAACGATAAATTTAAATTGGTTAAGTGTTTGGTTATATCAACCAAGAAAGATAAATCTTGTATCCATATTGGATCGTAAAACAACTTACGTCTTGATTTTTTCGTTTTTAAAAACTGACATATTTCTTTCTTCTTTCAAATCCCAGAATTGTTTGAGAATCTTGGAGCAAGATAACCAACGTACCTCGGTATAGTAGGACAAACCCGAATATTCACTATCTAACTCACTTAAGAAAGCAGTGAATTGACACTGATTTAAACCTCGAGATCTTATAAAATTTATAACTTTTTTATATATGACAAAACATTCTCCATATTTATTACTTTCGTGCATAGAACTTCTTGATGTATAATACAATGCATATGATGAATGTTTGAACCGTGAATTTCACTAAGTTTTTTTCTTAGTAATGCTACGAAGCCCTTGTTTTTCCCGGTCATTGATAGAGCGCCATCTGTAGCTACAGAATTTAATTTTGCCAAAGGTAGATTGTATTTCTGCAGAAGTCCAAAAACACAAGTAAATATATCTTCTCCTGTGGTAGTACCAGGCATCGGTTATTAGTTCCAGTAATTCCTCAAAAATGTTAGAATTCTTTTCACAAGAATGAAGAAACACTGCTAATTGAGCTTTGCCACTAATGTCCGTGCTCTCGTCACAGGTAATGGAGAAACTTTCGAAACTAGATGATTTTGCTTTGATCTGATCACTTAAATTCACGGCTAAATCAGTAACTCTTTCCGCAACTGTATTTCGAGACAATGAAATTGATTGAAAAGCCTTCACATTTCCAGGACAAAACAATTTTTTTCCAGCTTTCATTAGGCATTCCTTGATGAAATCACCAGTCAGTAAAAGGCTTCGAATGTTTAGCTATCAACTCGGACAAGACATAGCTTGCATGTACCGCCGCTTCACTTTCTTGCAATACTTTACTAAACATGGACTGTTGCTTTTTCACTCCTAACTTGAGCTCTTTCAACTTTTCTTCTCTCATTAATCCTTCGTAATTGTTATATTTCGATTTGTGTTGTTCATAATGACGTTTAATATTATATAACTTTGGTACATTAATAGTATTATTACATATCAAGCAGATTGTTTTATCTTTTATTTCACAGCAAAAATATTCTAATTCCCATTTTACTTTGAATATTCTATGTTCGTCAGCGATTTTTCGTTTAATTTTACTACCACTTGGTTCTGATATAGACATACTGAATACAAAGGGCTGGAATAAACAAACAAACACGGTTAACGTAAAAAGTTAACAAAAATTTTTATTCTTTCTCCAAAGAATAAATCAAAATGCTGAAATATTTCTTCAAAAATATTCTAACAATATAAAAAATGTCAAAAGTTTAGCAAAAATCAATTCAAACAGAGAAACTAATTCTATCTCACACGCGAAATCGCTACAAATCAATCACAGCATTAAGTAAACAAACAGTTCCTAGAACTACAGCTACTACTGAGATGAGTTGTTGTTCTCTCGGCTTTTAAAGCTTTATAATTAATTCTTTCGAATATACTGGAAACATTTATAAATATCTGGATTTTTGTGGATGGCAACAGCAATTACGAGATATTTATTTATTAGGTATTAAATGCACGCGCTGTTCTATTTTTAACCTTCCAACCAGCTGTCTTTTCAAAAATCGTCTGCATTGCTAAGGCAACATGAAGCAAATCTAATTACAATTCTAAAAAAAAACTAAACTAAATAAATAACTATGAAATCCGTAACAATATGAATTAAGAATTAATAATAAAGCAAAGTGCATGCATGCATGCCGGCAATCTATCGTACAAACTATGATTGGAAAACTGAGACCATGAGTTTCGGACCACATTCGGCTATCGGGGGATCGTACAAGTTCTGAGTTTCGTGTCCCCCAAAAGCCGAAGGTAGCTGAACGCAGCTAACTCACACGCATTTGTAATTTAAGTAGTGTGTGTGTCAGCTCGCTGTGAGTAATAACAACTGAGTAATTATCGTTAATTACTTTAAACAGTAAACATTTAATTTTTTTTCTTTCTTTCTTCGTCGATATGTTATTTTATTACTATATATTATTATTTGCCGATAAATTGGCCGGGCCGCAAAAATATTTATTGTGGGCCACGTGTGGGCCGCGAGTTTGACATCCTTGGTGTAGATGATAATAATTCATAAAATTTCTTGTTTTCTTTTAGTTAATAATATTTAAGATAAGCTTACTTTAAACCTTTATAATTGTCAGTAGTTTTCTTTAATTTGGGCTCATCAGTGGCCGAGCGGTATCGTCGCTGAACACTGGTAGTTCGGTCTGAGGTTCGAATCCCGCGAATGGCCTGGCTGCATGGGTGTTTTCGAGGTTTTCCCCATGTGTAATGTGTATGCGAGCCAGTTTCCCTTAAAAAATCCTCCACAAAGGCATCCCACCCTTAAGGCAGATAGCCCTCGAGTGCTTTGGCGTAATCTAATAAACCAAATGAAACCAAACCAATCTTTAAATTTGTTTGTTTTTTTAGTATATATACTGACATGAAAAACAAATTCTTGCCTTTTTGGAATGTGAATTCTTTTGTTATCTTAACATTTTGGTGCTTTTAAGATGGTTTGAAGTAAAAAATTTTGATTCAGTAATTTGTGAATTTCATGATGATTTTTATAATAAATACACTGTTACTACCATATCATTAAAATAATGGGAATATGTTAAAATTATTCATTTTAGAAAATTAGCATTAAAACAAAATATTCTTATTTCACTGTTTTTTATCTTAGAAATTTTTTAATGCTTTTGATTTTGAAATTTAAATGAGATAGTAAATCCTGTAGGTACTTGTGTATTAGTGCGACCATCTGGGCACAGTTTGGTGATCTTTTAAAGAAAAGAAAAAAATTATGACTTGTAATTTCAAAAAATTATTTATTACATATATACATGCAATTGTATTCTTACACTTTAATTAGGTATTTGTCCTGAAAATCAATCAAAAAACTTATTTACTAGTGAGATTTAGTTTCTTTTGTTCTGGTGGAAATTTTGGGGCGAATAGATTTGAAGTAATTTTCCCCTTTGGTGGTTTTGCAGCTAATTATTGTATGTCTGTTGAAATTTTACAGTGTAGGTGATTCACGCTAGCAGATCCTTTAAATTTAAAGTATTCACAATAAATTGTTAGAAGTTGGAATATAACAAAAAGAACACTTTTGAAAATGACAACATTGCTTGTTTGTTATGAGCTTTGTTGCTAAAGTTTGCTGCGTTCTGAAAATTTGGTGACTTTAACTGAAGTTGTTGTGATGTTATATAAATATAAAGTATAACTTTTGAATTGTGTTTTAGCAAAAGCGAAAAAAGATATTACTGTTATGTTAAAAGTAGTTTCATTTCCTTAATTTTCCATTTTTTATGTTATGTGTTTCTCTGTATGTATTGTTTCAAAATATTCATATATGTTAGTTTTAGCTTTAAAATTCACCTTTTTTTTTTTTAGGGTAGGGGAGGGCAAGTGTTCTAATATTTGCTTGCAAAATTTGTAGATGCTTAACCATAATATCTCACCAAAAGTTTTAAACTGTTCTTTAGAACATTCTAGAATTTAAATGATGAACTAATTATTAATATTATTTTAAATTGACTCATAAATGAAAATTTATTGTTGCTTTACATCCATATGCAATTCATAGTTTATAATCCGTTTCTTCCCCCGACAGTCAAGCACAGCAGATTACTGCTACTTCCATACCAGTGTTGCCACAAGCAGTGCAGCATATTAACATTCCACCAAATGTCGCCCATCATGGTGTGACTGAAGTGAAAACTGAGCAAAGAGAAGAGCCAAAAAGCACATTCCCAGTTGGCGGTTTATTAGACAGTAGGGAGGAAAAGGTATTTTATAAATTAAAAACTTTGTTGTAAAATTTTTGCTTTAAATTAAATCCTTTTATGTTTTGAAATACGTTCTCAAATAAATGTTTTGAAATACTCTCAATGTACTTTGTTAGACAAAATTTGGGTTTCCTGCATCTCAGGCAGCAAATTATAGTGTAAGTGACTGCAGGGGCCTCGTCAAAACTCTTGTCTGTGGTGTAAAAACAGTTACATGGGGCATTACAGCTTGTAAAGTTCCTGGAGGTAATTGAAGTTTTTATTTCTCATATTTTATATTCTATATATTGAACAGGTTATTGTTTCAAATATTTTGTTATTAATTGTCAGTTTAAACATATATAATTAGAATTTTTTTTCTGATAATTTTGAACTGATTAATTTTCTTTTAGTATAATAATCATGTAAGGTAAAAGAAAAATTTGTATTTCATGCTACTTGTGGTTTTTGAAATCTAGATCTGATGGAAATCTATAGGTAAATGAAGAGTTTGATATACAGCTATGGCAGAAATAAAAGAACCTTTTATTTTTTAAGTTTCAGAATAATTACCAAGTTTTTAAATCAGGATTAGTGTGTAGTCTCAACCGGTTGAGGATTTTGTTGTTTAGGGAGGGGAATGCAGTTTTCTGTTAAGTATTTAGTTTTAGTGTATGAATTTAAAAAACAATTTTGTTCAATTTTTGGTAATTATTAACATTTTCTACATACTTTGCTGTTTAATTTCTAAAACACATTGAAAACTCTAAATCTGGTTAATCTATATATTTATTTTTTGAGTTTTGGAAAGGGGTGATGATCTAGCAATGGTGAAAGGAGTGCATGGGGAAAGAAAGGTTGAGAACCCCTGCTTTAGGCCCTAGAGATATAATTTTCTGCTTCTGTAAGCATAGATTTTTGGCTTATTTTTGTATCATAAGGTCCCCTCCCCCTTTATCAAAAACAAAAGAGTTTTATTGCAGAAATTTTAACTTCACTATTAATATTTAGTTGTAAATCCTTTGTCATTATGGGCTACACTAATTCTGCATGGTATGGAGTTGATTAATTTAACATTTTCAACGCTGCCTGTTGATAAAAACTGATCCAATACCAAAACAACTTTGTGATATAAGACCGACATGTGTACCTTATATAGACTGACATATATGACATATATACTGACTGACATATATGACATATATACTGACTGACATATATGACATATATACTGACTGACGACGTGGTCTGAGATATGCGACGTATATAACATATTATATATATTATGTATAAGTATTTGATTTATGGCTGGCCTTGAGGGAACAAACTATTCACATCCATACCAAATAAATTTATGTTTTGTTTATCATTCCGGAGTATATTTCTCCACTATTTTATTAATTTTTCAGGTTTATTTGCGACATGGGACACTCTAAAAAAATACATGCACTTTCTTATTTATTTTGAACTGGATGTTCCTTGGACCTTGTGAATACAAATTTTTGTTCACTAGGCTAGATTAAATTTTTTTATCATTTTTATTAAATCAGATTCTTTATGAAGCTGTTTAATGACAAAAATAGTTCCCATCTTAATTTTCAGAAGAAAAAAAAAAAAAAAAAAAAAAATTCTCAGTTTAGAAGGTCTACCCTTAAATTCTGGCACATTTTTTGTATGTATTGAAAAAAAAAAAAAAAAAAAAAAAAAAAAAAGTCATAACGCTTAGAGGGTTAATGTTACTTGTTCATGCATAATCATTATTGTTGGGTACCCCCCGAATTAAAAATTTCTTGAAACTTCACATTTTGTATATTGCCATTAAAAATAAATGGGCACTTTTATGCATACTATATTCTTTATTTGTCTTACAGAAAATAATGTTCCTATGCAGAATAAACAGTTTCAGCCCAAAGAAACTCTAGTTTTTATAAGGCTTATTAAATATGCACTTCAGGCTTTGGATATATATACTCTTACTGTGCCAGCATCCGGGCAGCCTCAACCAAGGACAGTTACGTGAGTACCTTAAGAACTTTTTTTTTTAAAAAAAAATCACTGTTGAAAATGCTGAAGAAATAATAATACAAAAGGCATTTTGTTAGCTTTACAGTTTTGTTAACTAACTGTGTGGTGTTATTTATGAGCTTTATTTTTTACCCTAACATATTATCAATTAAAAGCTCAAAAAACAGGAAAACAATTCAAAATACCATATAAATTATTTAGGAAATTTTGGTGTGCATAAAGTTAAAATTTTGAAAAAACTCCAAAAGATAATTTTTGGGTGCTGATTTGGAGTAGTCGTGCTAAATTTTTAAACAATATGTCTCTGTTAATTGGATATCACTTAGTGCCAACCATAAATGCTTGTGCAAAATTTAACTAAATGGCAGCAACCTTGTCAATGCATAAAGCTTCCATGAAAAGAATGACTTCTTCATTAAATTCAGAATAAATACAAAATTGTTTTTATCAGATGAATTTTGAATTATACAGGAAAGGTTAAAACTGCCAGTTTCACTTAACATTACGAAAAAGATGTCTTTTCATTCATTTGCTGCCACATGGTTTTGAGGTAGGAATCTATTTGATGGTAGCCAGTTCCATGCTGCTGTTTATTTTTCCATTTTGCATATGCTGTAACCCACTGTATTTTCAGTTAATACTTGGCAGTTGCCAATTCAACTATTTAACCAACAAAAACTAGCAGAAAATTCCTAGATTGATTTAAATTTTTCATAAGGCAGTGTAAGTAGTCTGTTACATTTGTCTTATTAACAGAGAAAACACTGATGATCTAAATTGTACAAGTAGCAAATGTGAATATACATGAATATTTATTATGTCGCCTTAATTAATGAAACTGTTGTAAAATTGCCCTCGTATATTTCAAAAGTCATAAAATTTTAACATGTATTTTTAAGTTTTAAAAGACGAAAAGGTAAACATTTAAAGAAAAACTAAAATTTCAAAGGAATTTCTTACATTTCAAAATGTTTTCAAATCAGATTGTTAGTCCAATGATATTAAGTTCAAATCCTTGCCACACTCAGAAAATGGTTTCAGTTTTAGACATTTTGATATGTTTATTTCTAAAATGCATACTTGTATTATTGAGGTATTAAAATTTGTAATCAAGTAATAACATTTAATTTAATTTAGAATTCAAACTGTACGCTCAAAGGAAGAAAAGGAAGTCTTGGAGCATCTTGCTGGAGTGGTAATTATCTCATGTTTAACTAGAGTGTTTTTTTTTTTTAAAACAGATAGTGTATATGTTTTTGATTTTGTAATAAATTATTCTTAATTTTAATGATTTGTTCAGGTTAAAGAGCCCAATAATATTTCTTGAAATAAAGAATACAGAAGGAGTAGCTTTAATATGAAATATTATTACAAATTTTGTATATATGTAAATAATGTTAGTGAAGTTATGTTTAAAAGATATTACAAACAAACATATATAACATGAAAAGTCTGAAGAGATTGAAGCTCTTCCAGAAAAATAAGATTTCAGAATAATAAAAATAGAATATAATAAAAATAGAAAAATAAGATTTCAGTCAATTTAATGTTGAGGTAAACAGCTATCTTCCTAAGCTTGCAGTGGTTTTCGTGACTAATTTTTGTTTCCATATTTGGCATGAAATTGCTAAAAGTGGCCAAACTTGATAACATTTTAATCCAGTCCCTGTATAACTGTAGTTGGTACTCTAATTGATCCTTATATGTAACTGTAACTGCATCCAGCCCTTATATGTGAGTTTAGCTGTATATGCCTTCCAGAAATTTCTAGAAATGGAAGGTACTAGAGATTTCTTGGTGACCAGGAGAAAACTACATGAGGCCGGAGCGAGCATCAGTTCCCAGTTTTTAGTTCAAAGTCGACCTCTGAGTATTGCGATATCTCTATCCAAGCTTTGCTCTTTAGCTGGCACTTTGCATTGTGTTGTGTTTAATGTTCTTAGTAGTCTGAGGTGGTAGGTATTGAATGTGTTTGTCATACTGAGAAGAAGAGCTGTATGAGTATTGAGTATTTTATGGAAAGTTCCAGAATTGTGAAGTGCTTCTTTTGGTAAAAAAAATTTTATCAAGCTATCGTCAGTTCTGTATGCATTCAATCCATTACAAACTTATATGTACGTAACAATATGAACACTAGTGATATGAGTAATAGTGAGGAAAACTTGAAATGACAGTTGCTTTTACCGGATTAAATTTACTTGATTGGAGGATGTGGCTCTTCTTATGTTTTTATTACATTATTCAGTTCCTTATTTGTGATTATGAGGCTCGGTGGCGCAGTGACTAGCTCATTGTGCAGCAGTACTACAAGTCCGGGGTTCGAACCCCGGGCTGGACAAGGTGGACTCAGCCTTTCATCCCTTGATTTCCATCCGTTGAGTCGATAAAATGAGTACCGAGTTTACATGGGGACTAAACACTGTGGGTCCTGCGACAAGCTGACCACTTGTTCAGGGAATATGCTTACGCATCCCGGGGCCTACGGTCAAGAAAGCACATTTCGGGGCACTGCAGGCCTTAGGCCATTAGGGCTGTTTGCACACTGTGTTTATTTGTGATTATTCTTGTTATTTTATATTCTATTCATTAATTTAGAGATCTTTGAATACGTTTTGCTTGTCACTTTAAAATTTTGATAAAATGGTGTTTGTTATTTACATAACATTTGTCTTCAAGTATATTACCAAAGATATGAGCTTAAGTATAAGGTTATGAAGGTGATGTACATTTAATATTTTTTTCCTTAAATAGATCTTATGGAACATTCTGTAAATATATGTGTGCTAGAAGCCATTAATATAAAAGATTGTTTTTCTTACTGTGTCAAACTGATTAGTAGAAATATATCTGATGTATGTATATATAAGGTTTACTGGAAAATATTCGTTTGGGAAGTGAAAGAAAATAATACATTTTTCATACCTTTAATAATATTTGAACAATGTAACCTTTTCATTAGTTATGTCCTCTTGCAAGCTTGATGGTTAAAGTGATTGTAGATTGTTAAATTTGTAGATGCCATTTATTAAAAATGTCTTGTCCTTGGAGGCAAAGAACTCAAGTAATGCTTGGCTAATATCTGCTTCAATTTTGAATTCCCCCCTTCAAAAAATTTTGCAAGGAGGGAAACAATTGATAATCAGAGGGGGGTAGTTCTGAGGAGTATGGTGGGCATGGCAGAATTTCCAAGCATAGCTGTGCAATTTTCTGGCCAGTCACCAAAGCAGGTCAGTTGTTAAAATGCAGTATGATGTGTTTCCCGTTGAACATCACTGAGCGTTTTTCTTTGACTGCGTTGTTTATATCATCCCCCTTTTTTTTTGTATATCCTTCCAAATTGAGCTTTTCTGTAGTTTTCAAAAGCTTGTAATGTATTGATCTTTTGATGTTCTACCATATACACAGTATTCTTTTATTGAGACTGAAACTCAGTTCAGAAGTGGAGCGAGCAGGTTTTCTGGGCTTCCGATATACAATTTTCCTAATGATAATTTTGTAGGTAATCCACTTATCTGTCGCTATCATCCAGTCCAAAAAGGGTTTGTTTCTTTTCCAAGCAAGCAGAGATGTTCATATAGCAATTTGATCAAGTAAATTTTTCTCATTTACCCCATTAGGCACTCATCTGGAATGTTTATAGACCAGTTGTAGTTTTGAGTATGGTCTGAAAAAAGCATTTTGCTTAGTCGTGGTCTTGACAGTACCTTCATTGATTGAAGATGGCCACCCAAAATATGGCTTTATCATTAAGGTCGAAATAATCTGCTTTAGTTTTTTCAAACTATCTCTTCCACATTCTGTCCAAAATAATAGCTCCACCAAAAACTTTCACTAATTTTGACACACTCTTGTAATATTTCTTCCTTGGAACTTGTTCAAAATGCAATGTCATAAATGAACTTTATTGGTAGCCATATTTACACAATCACATCACATTTAATAATAATATGAGACACTTTTGTTTCACTTAATCAAGCAGAGCAGATTATGAATGCAGTGATAGAGAAGGCCATATATGTCACAAATACCTTCATGCATGTTAAAACTTGATATAATATTATCAGGCAGAACTTTACGGTAGACCTTGTATGTTACTTACATGCAGTTTTTCCTTTTATGTATTATTGTCTTATGTACTTGTGTGCAAAATTTTACTTTCCTTTGCTATTCTCACTTTAGTGAAGACAATTATTTATTAATCTTTTTTATAAGACAAATTTTAAATGCTTGATAAAATTGCTTTTTGTTATTGATCCATTTTGAAACTAATCTTTGTTTTACTTTTAGTACACTATGATGCATCCTTTAACATTCAGAGAAGTATTTTCAACTACTATTGATGTAAGGAAATTTCTTCATAAATTTAATAATTATTTAAAATTTATCAAAGTTTGATGCATGTTTAATGATTATATACTTATATTCTTTCTTTTTTTCAGTATATTGTGGATCGCATTTATAAAAATAATTCATTACAGGTAAGATTTATTCAAATAATGTAATAATATATCCTAGTTTTAAAAGAATAAATAGTAAATTAAATTTAAATAATTCTCTTGCGCCATTGCTGCAAGCAATGAAATTTGAATTTTACAAACGTTCTGTATTCGTATAAAGCAAATTTAAAGATAATTAAAATTTAAATTTTAAATTATGAAATTTTAATTGCATACGAATAAATTATTAATGCACATTAATTATTGCATTTTAAATTCAGAATTTATTAATGATATTAAAACCATAAATAAGTTGAAGCAAAAATTAATCCCAAAAATGTTTTCAAAGAATTTTTAAGACTAAATTAATTTGCATAAAGTGAATAATTGTTGAGCAGGCAGGAGATGGATCTTTTCGAGGGGAAGTTGCACCCAAACCTAACCCTTCAATTACACAATTCATGTTTCGTCATCCATGTAGCCATGGGTATAGTAATATTCAAAACCAAAAGTAAAACCAAATGTAGTGAATTGCTTAAAAAATTTTTTTATTAAAGAATTTCTAGAAATTTTGTAAGCAAATTGACTAGGAAAGCGAAACAACTCAACCTCACTTTGTTACAAATGCTACTGCACTCTTCGGGGTAAAAAAACATGTAGTTACAAAATAAGTTAAATTAAAACTTATTATTTACTTTGGTACAGTCAAAAGTCGTTAATCCGGACACCCAAATGCGTTGACGCATGTGCATAATACCTTTACGCATACGCATATACACGTATGCATGAGCATAATACGTTTACGCTTGCGCGTTTAATGTATAACGGACGCTATAAGCTAAGCTAAAATTATCCAATTATCTATTTCAGTTAATGTTGCAGATTGCGTTGTTTCTTAATCTTCGAATTGGATCCAGCTTATTATTTTTTGCAGACTGTTAGAGCAATTTTATACAAGTAAGCTTGAACTTTCGATTATGTCAAATAGAATTTCCGATGCTGGAGCTGGCAAAGGATCTACAAAGGGAAAGCATTTTTCGATGTCTATCAAACAAAAAATGGAATTGCTGCAAAAAATGGCTAAAGGCATATCCTTCGTTTCTGTAACCATTCCGAAATCTGTTTATCGATTTCACGCTGCTCTGCGGGGAAGGGGAACGTCGCGACACGCAATGAACTGGAAGTTGATCTGTCAGCACTATCCTTATCTTCAGGTCAGATGATTTTATTTTATTCCGCTTATAATTCATTACTAAATGTAGTATTTCATCTCGATGTTCTCTGATATGATTTAAATCAGTTTCCTCGTCATTATAAATATCACGCATACACATCAAATAGTTTTCTGGTTGCAATTTTCTAATTTCGACTATGCGTAATATATGCTATACACATGCGCGCGTTGAAAGAATGTTTAATAAAGTAAACAAATAAATATTAAGCCTTTTTTTTTGTAAATTTTGATACTCTTTCGATTATAATTGTTCTTTATTTCATAAATTACGGTTTCATATATTTAATTTTATACTTTCTGCATGCCATCTTACCAGATTCAAACTGATGATCTATAATCCGGAAAAATCGATAATCCAGAATCGCCAAAGTCCTGACGAGTCCGGATTAAAGACTTATTGACTTGACTGTATTATATTTGAGTTTTTATAGATTGTATTTAGTTTATTTTGATTTACATGCATAATTCATGTTTGGGAAGTTTCCACTAGGCAAGGGTTTTCTAAATTGCTTTGGATTTCTACTCTTAATTACATTGGCAATTTACTTTTAATTAATAACTTTGTTTCCTAGTCGATTTCCTTACTAAGTTTCTCAAAATTCTTTAATAATTAAAATTTCTTTTTAATCAATTCTCTACATTTGGTTTTACTTTTGGTTTTGGATATTACTATGCCCATGCCTATATGGATGATGAAACACAAATTGAGTAATTGAAGAGTTAGGTTTGGGAACAACTTCCCCTTGAAAAGATCCGTCTCCTGCGTTTAAATGATATTGTAAATTAGTTCGCAGCAATAATCAACTTTTAATTGTACACAATTAAATTTTCATAATTTAAAATTTAAATTAGTTTTATAAGAATAGAGAATATTTGTTAAATCCTAGTTTTAAAATATTTAGTATATGGAATATTTTATTTAAGTTTTAAACATTTCATCATATGACCTTATTTTAGAATAAATTTGAGTAGTGTAAGGAAAAAGCACTATGTTAACATTTGTGAATAAGTGTCATTGATTCATTGGTAAAATTTCAGATATTTCCAGAAAAGGGTAAATATTTAATTTCTTTTTAAGGTGCGCAGAATTTATGCAGAAGAACGTGTGAGCAGTTATAAATTTTTTTTAATGTGTAAATGTAACATTAGATGTATACTTACTATTCAATCGCTTGTATATTGGCTGACACATTCTCAGATTTTCGAATGTTGATAACTACAGTACAAAGTCCATAATCCGGACTCGTCGGGATTTCGACGATTCCAGATAAGCGGTTTTTCCAAATTATAGATCACCAATTTAAATATGGTAAGATGGCATGCAGAAATTAAAAATATGAAACTGTAATTTATGAAATAAATAGCAATTATGATCTAAAGGGTGTCAAATTTACCAAAAAAAAGCTTAATATTTATTTGTTTACTTTATTATACATTTCTTTCAACGTGCGCATGCGCAAGCATACTTACTCATAGTTTGAAATTAAAAAATTGCATTGCAACCAGAAACTATTTGATGTGTATTCGTGATATTATAATGACGAGGAATTGATTTAAATCATATCAAAGATGGAGTACATTGAGATGAAATAGTACATTTAGTAAGTAATTATAAGCCGAATAAAATAAAAACATCTGCCCTGAAGATGAAGATAGTGCTGACAGATCAACTTCCAGTTTATTGCACGCCGCGTCATTTCCCCTGCAGAGCAGCGTGAAATTGATAAACAGATTTTGGAATGGTTAGAGAAACACATCATTAAGCCAAGCTGTTCTGGTTTACGCAAGTAATATCGTGCTAAGTAGAAAAAAATGCGGTTCATTTAGACTATGTACTTTAACGACACTTAAAACCTGGTGAATCCCTTTTCGAGAAATAGCCAGTCGCAGTTCTGTTGATGATTCACCAATTCTTGATTATGTAATCAATGGGATACCAGATCAGAGTAGTAACAAAATTATTTTGTATGGGTGTAAAATTTTTTTCTGAATTAAAAGAGAAATTTAAAATTTATGGGAAAATTCGCATTCCGGATACGAAGAATAAGGGTTATTCAAGTACTAACACACAAAATAAAGCATGCGCTATACCTAATAAGAGTAAAGAACCAAGGTGTTATGACTGTGAAAGTATAGGGCGCGTAATGTATGCGCATTCTTTACGCACATGCGTAAAGCATACAAAAAAAGTTTGTGGATTTGAAGTTCGGATTATAGATTATTCCGGATAATGGATGTCCGGATTACAGACTTTTTACTGTAGTAATTTGGAGTAGAACATAGGTAATCAAACATACTGAATTCTTTCTAATGAAACTTTTTAATTTTATGATAAACAAGTAAATGCAAAACTGATGTGACATTCTGACTTGCTTCTTATTTATTATCACTTGAGACCTGCATGGAATATTAGCTAAACTATCACAAAATTAGTTGAGGTATTGTTCCTATAGTGGGAAAGAGAATAATCAGAGGTAAAGTTACTAATTAGTATTTCACTCTGTTTTCAGGTTTTCAGCTGTTAAAGTTATGAATTTGTAGAGTACACTTTAGAAAGCTGTTATTATACTTCTTTCATTACTAAGATTTTAGTTTTATTTTATTTTCGATTGGGGGGGGGAGTTGAAAATCCTAGAAACAATTTTCTGGAAGACTTTAAAATTCTGCTGTCTTCTTTGGCAATGATATAAATAGGATGTTCCTGGAAGTCTATACTTCAATTTGTTATAAGCAGTGTATGAAATAGGTACTATAGCATAAATTTATATTATTTGTGTTATTTTGTTTTCTGTTGGTGTTGTGCTATTTGATAAAATTGTGATCTTTTTGGTCATGCTTTTCAATTTAGAATTTATTATGTAACATTTTTTACAGATAATGGCAAATTCCTTTCTTGCAAATACAACTACTTCACCTATCTTTGCCACAATTTTAGTGGAGTATTTATTGAAAAGAATGGATGAGATGGGCTGTAAGTATTTATTATTAAATGATTGTATGTATATTTCATAAGAAAACTGAGATTTATGTATACTGCATAGATATGTTTTAATTGAAACATCTTTTATAGATAATATGGACAGATCAAACTTGTATCTGAAACTTTTTAAACTGGTATTTGGATCAGTATCCTTATTTCCTGCTGAAAATGAACAAATGTTAAAGGTATAGTTAAATTTTGTTTAACGTATAGATGTTAGTTACATGACTTATTATTACTAGGTTTCCTGTAAATACACAGTATAAAAGGTATTCTTTTTCAGCCCTACTTGCATCAAATAGTAAACCGGTCAATGGAATTGGCTTTAAGTGCTAAGGAACCTTACAATTATTTTCTTCTCCTTCGTGCTCTTTTTCGATCTATTGGAGGTGGTAGCCATGATTTACTCTATCAAGAATTTTTACCTCTTTTACCAAATCTGCTGCAAGGTAGGATTTTTCAAAATTGAATTCATAATTATTCTGTTTCTAAATTTTTCAATCCAATACACTTTAAAAAAAATATTAATTGCATTTATATTGTGCTGAACACATGGAAGTTGTTTATCATTGCAAAATAATACTATAAATTTTTAAACAGTATTCTAAGCATTGTATCAAATTTCATTTTATATCTATAAGTGGCAGCCAGATAAAAACGCGACAGATTATTTACTGAGCATGACACGAAACTGTTATCGCAGGGGTAGATTTGTATATAGAAGTGCTCTGTATTGGGAATCTGGAAGGAACAGCATGAATGCTTACTTCTGTCCGTGTCTGTGCTTGCATCTGCCATTGGTATGGTGGCTGGAAATAAGAAACACTGTGCTGTAGTGCATTTTTTGTCAGAAAGTGAAATTCATGTCCAAGTGTCTGCTGTGTATGAGGAATACAGTGTATCACTTGTGGATATGTTTGAAAGGAATAAGTAACATTAAAAAGGTCGGGTGTCATTGAAAGACGAGCAATTGGCCAAAATAGGCTCATTGTGTCATTACCTCTCTTGCCATTGCTGCAGTGAATCCTGCCATCAGAGACGGCCAACACAGACGATGGAACATTGTTCTCATTTTGGACATTGGTCATTTTGAGCTGTTCACCCCATCATGACAGAGCATCTGGAGGTCTGGAAAATCTGTACACGGCCTGGCGGAGTAGCAAGAGTTAAACAGAAAATCGACATCATTGTAGCACCTAGAACGGTATCACAATGAAAAATTATCGTCTCTTGTTCCATATTGTCTTGGCAAATGAAATATTTTACCATCATTCTAGGCCTTAGATCAAGCATCATAGCCAACAGTGGAAGTACACAGGTTTACCCTCCACAGAAAAAAATCCAAAGCCATGCATGCCAGCTCTACGAAAGTCATGCTGAACTTTTTCTTTGACTGCAAAAGACTGCAGCTCATTGACTTTCTGGAACATGTCACAATTAATGCACAGTAATGTGTGAAACTTCAAAATTGAAGATCACTATGAAGTCCAAATGTCCAGAAATATTGATGGATGGATCATTCTGTTACAGGATAATGCCCTCCCACATGTTGTCGCAGGTTTAAGACCATGCTGCAGAAGTTTCACTAGGAAGCGTTTGAATATCCTCCATACAGTCCAGATCTCTCCCTTATGATTTCTGTACTTTTAGAGCCCTGAAGAAAGATGTTTATTACCATGGATTTTCTTCAAACAAAGAGATGTATAACCGGGCACAGTCACGGTTTTGTACACAACTGAAAACACTTTTCCATCACATCATTGACTGTCTTGTCTCACAGTGAGGTAAATGTATTAACAGTTATGGGGATTACTTTTGAAAGAAACAGCAGTGTCCCTATTAGCTGCTTTTATCTTTATTTGCTACTCTTTTATTATATTGACCGGATTCAGAAATGTATGTATGGTGCACGTGTTCATGTATAAGGTAGGCATGCCTTCATGGTGTGGTGGTCTACACGCTCAGCGCATAATTTTAGAGGTCCGTGGTTTGATTCCCGGTGAAGGCGTTGCATATTTGGCATAGTGGTGTCTGAACTAAAAGGGTGATGGATGATGACTCTCCACACCCAGGATTTGGCGATTGGGTGGCCTAAAAACCCCAGCCGCCCTTTAAAAGGGGGAGTATTAAGGTATTTCCCCGCCTTTTTGGCATACATGCATGATGTGGTGGTCTGCACGCTCAGCGCGTAATTGAGAGATGGTTCGATTTCCGGCGAAGGCGTTTGTTCATTTTTAATCTTTCCTGCTTCAAAAAAAAGAAAAAAGGAAAAAAAAAGTAATGTCTCTACACATGTATGTATGTTGTATGTATATATGTTTGTGTATATGCATGTAAGTATATATGTTTGTGTATACATACATACATATGTACTGCATGCATACATTTCTGAATCTGGTCCGGATAACAAAAGAGTACCCTTGTATTTTTGTTTTAAAAATGATGTAATATAAACTGTTCCTATATTAAATGAATTTCAATCAACTTTTGGGAAAATTTTTTAGTGTTTATGCTAATGTAAATGCTGTAACCTGTTTTTGGCATAGTACAATAGTTTCATTTTATAAAAACTGAAGTGTTATTAAGCATCTATGATAAATGTTATGAAAGGAACAATTTGCTGCATCATTTACTTTGATTAATTAGTTTTGAAAGCCTATATACTTGAATTCCAGGTCATACTATTGTAAAGTTTTCATTTTGTTTAAACTATAATGCACTCACTTATGATTAACTTGAATTTTTTTACATCTTATAAGTTGTGTTCCATGTAATTTTATCAATGAATTGAAATTTCTTAATGTTTTTAAAATCATGCATATTAAAATGTTTATAATCATAATTTTTGTAATTAGAGCTCATAAAAGAACTTTTTGAACCTTCCTGAAATTATAATGAAAACTTAATTTGTACTACTTGCCTTGTAGGATTGAATAGTTTACAAAGTGGTCTTCATAAGCAGCATATGAAAGATCTTTTTGTTGAACTTTGTTTAACTGTTCCTGTTAGATTAAGCTCTCTACTTCCATATTTGCCAATGCTCATGGATCCATTGGTTTCTGCTTTAAATGGATCTCAAACTTTAGTTAGCCAGGTAATTTCCCCCCTTTATTTAACACTTTTAACATTAATAAACTAAAGGACAGTGATATTAATGATTTATTACTTTTTTAGGGACTTCGAACTCTTGAACTCTGTGTTGATAATTTGCAGCCAGATTTCCTGTATGATCATATTCAGCCAGTTAGGGCTGAACTGATGCAAGCACTGTGGAGAACACTAAGAAATCCAGTGGATAGTGTTGCTCAAGTTGCATTTAGAGTGCTGGGAAAATTCGGAGGTGGAAATAGAAAAATGATGGTTGAGCCACAGCGAGTATGTTTTCTATTTTTATTGCATAATAAATTGTAGAAATATAAAGAGGTAATAAAAAGTTTTCAGATGTAATAAAATGCAAATTGTGTAACAGTAAAGACTAACTAGTATTTGTGTCATATCCAAGATTGTAAGTTTTGCTAAAAATATCTAGATGTATGCCCATTGATCTAAGTATCATTTACTTTGATTAATGGAGGTAAATATGGCAGCAGCGGGAAAACTTTCTTCTCCTGCCCACATCAACTTTATTATTATTATTTTTTTAGGGGGATAATAAATGCCTAGCTACTGCCTGAAATATAGATTCAACAAGTTATAGGACAGTAGCCAAAAAATAAATTCTGTAGCTTCTGCTTCATTTTTTGCTTCATATAAAATCAGTAACAAATTGAAATGAGTAAAGAATTAAACTTGTCATCTTGTGCTCAAGAGATTCTTCAATGTTAAGGATATGATTTCAAAAAGAAGGCTATTTACAAGCAAGTTATGACAATTTTAACTCTAAAGTTCATGGTTTAGAATAAGATACTAATATTAAATATACTTTTTAAGATAACAATCTTGGTTGCAATCCATGGTATGTAGCTTTTCTAATGTATTAATATCATATTTTTCGCCTGTATAATTAAAAAAAAATTGAGTTAAATTGCCTGCAATTTATCAAAATGGCCAAGGAAATCAAATCAAAGTTCATTATGTTACTACATGAACAGTAGTAATTTACATAATACTTAAATAGTACATCCATGAAAATAATATACTTATTAACATCTAAAAATATGTCATTTTCAGATTTCAATTTTAATGCAATTGGAAATTTCTGTCATTTCATTTACTAGCTTTATTTAAAGGCATAATTTTGTTTATTATTACAATGAAGTTTAGTAGATCTTGACGCACACAACAAAAGTGGATTCGGCTGTAAAGCAGACTACAAATACAAAATCCCTTTAACAAATGTAGTGAATGTTTCTTCTCATTTGTTCTCATCTTTTAAGTCAAGTTGCTGGTTTTTCATTGATCCGTCACTCGCTTTGCTGTTATCAATAGTGATTATTTTCACCATTATAGTTTATTACAGCATTTAATTCAGGAGCAGTGTATTACTCCTGCTTTTGCTAGGATCATACCCCTCTTTATCTGAGGACAGGAATTCTCTACTTAACTGTGTTATCAGAATTTCCTTCTAATATTATTTGTTTTACGACTAATTTATAAACTTTTTTGCAGTCCAGGCACATCCTTGCCTTAATTATATATACAAGGTAATCAAAAACGGTTCTTGCCATTTTGGACAGTCAGAAAAAAAGTCTTAAAACAAATAATAATCATAGTTAATCTTCAAAGTAATCACCATTGGCATCCAGTGCCTTTTGCCAATGAATGGCTGGCTAGCTGTGAGATGCCATTGTGGTAAAACTCAGGAGTCTTGAACGTAAAGACATTTGTGAAGGTCTTTCGAAGTCTGGCCGGTTTTTGAAGGATTTCCGACGAAGATTCACTTTTACTTGTCTAGGGAATGGGAAAATCTGTTAGTCTGTTGGCACGAAGTTTGGGAAGTATGGTAGATGGGGTAGTGTCTCTCAGCCCAGTCGCTGGATGGTGTCCCTGGCCTCCTGAGCCACATGCAGCCTCACATTGTCATAAAGGAGGAGTATATCCTTACAATTGACCAATGCTGGCTCTTTATGCATCAGTGCCTGATGCGCACTTTCCAACTTCGCGAGTACAGGCCTGCCGTGATGTTTTGGCCCACTGGCAGGAACTCGTAGTGCATCACTTAGCAACTAGTCCACCAGATACAGAGCATGATCTTGCATGGGTGGAGAGAAGGTCTCACAGTGTGAGGCGCAGGATCCCATGGTGACAAGCAGTATCTGGAACGCCTGAGTGTGTCGTACTGGACCCACTTTTCATCACTGGTGAGTTCTCGATTAAACATGGATGCATCGCTATGTCGAGTAAGCAATGACAAACAGGCAGGGACACGCTGTTGCTTGTTTGCATGGGACAGTGAGTGGGGTACCCACTTGCTCAGCTTGTATGCCTTTCCTATGCAATGCAAATGGAGTCTGATTGTTTCATCAGATCAAATTTTTTCATCAGACCTGAAAGTGTGCAGCAAGCTCACCACATGTTTGGCTACTGTCACTCTCTATGGCTGCTTTCGGTGACTCGTCGTCCAGTGCTTGTGGCCGACCGCTGCTTGGTGTATCACTAAGAGACATATCCCGACCTGAACTTTTGGAACTGTTGCCTAGTGGTTCGTTCATTAATGGCATCATTCCTAAAGGCCTGGAAAATTCGGCAACTTGATTCTGCTGCTGACAGGTCCACTTTAAAATCATACAGTAAACAACTCCGAACGAGCACCTTTGACGCATACATTTCAATCAGTTGCTGTGTGAGTTATGCTTGAAGTATAAATGCAACATGCTTTTATACTCTTGGTCAGTGTCCTAGACTCCCATCCTAACCACTTCATTGCCAGGTATTTTGAATATTTTTATGTTGAGCTTCACTTTTCCAATGTCATATCAGAAACGGCAAGAACAGTTACCTTGTCTATATTCAGCAGATTCAAGGAAATTAACTTTTATCTTAGTATTTATTTCTAAGTTCATATTTTATTTTTATCCCATATAATTTTGATTTAATTATATTTCATCCTATATAATTATTTTTAAAATGTTAAAATATTATATTACAAATACTTAATAATATGAATATTATGTATTTATCAGTGCTTAAATTTAAATCTTGACTAATTTATTGAGACAAGTACTTTATCTTTTGCAGCTTGAGTATAGCTCTCGTGAAAGTATTGGCCCATGCATCTCTGTTTATTTTCAAGAACATAAAAATAATATATCACTGCCAGTTGGAAAGGTATGGTAGTATTTAAGTAGTTTTAAGTTTTGATTGTATGTTCTTAGAACTTTGCAGGTTAATTGTATGTTAATGTACATCTGCATCTACATATATTTGTAATTCTAAATTTTAATTTTAATTATTTCTTTCCTAAAATTGGCTTAAATGTCAGGTTTGTTAGGCAGCTTCTAATATTGTAAAACATCTAGTTATATAAGGTAAGCCTCACAAATTATCAAGGTTGGAAAGAGTAAAAAAGAGCCTAACAGCTTAAATTATGGAAATATAATTTGCTAAATATGTATAACTTTGTTACAAAAAGTTTCATAAATTATTTTATTTGGTTTATATTAAATAACACACCAAAATGGATGCTTACAGTGGTAGAACTTATTTACAATAAAAATTATCTTCAAATGTTTCTAAAAATGTCCTAACTTCCAGCTCATTTTTATCTTTACATTGTACATAAAACTATCTTCAGAGTACACATGACCTTAGTTCTTATAATATTTTGAGTTAGATTTTTTAAAAAAAAATCTATCAGTGAATATCAGCTTATTTAATGAGAGTCCCCCCCCCCATTGAGCATATTTACCTATACAGAAGGCTGTACTATGCTTACAGTTTATTCTTAATTTTGCAAATGCAACTTGTTCCTATTGTTTGAAGATGTTTCTTTTTATCTTTCAAGCTAATATTTTACCTTTTTACTGGATAAGGGAAGTTTGGTTGGAAGGAAAGCTAATTTATATTTAAGGAAAATAACTTTGTGTTGTTTAATAGTGAAGAATGAAATTCAATATAATAATTAGTACTAATAGCTTAAAAAATTTATAATTGAGACTGCAGTTTTGTTGAGCTCTGTCCAGCATAATCAGTAAGTTGTTGTTATGGTGTTTAATGTGGAAGTGTAGTGCTTAGCATGGAAGTTGTAGTGCCTGATTGGAAGAAGAGAGGTGGAGCTTGGAACAAGTTTACACTGTTTTTAACAGCAGTGAAGTGATTGCCAACCAACAAGATCTCTTAGCAAGAAAATTTCAAAAACTTTTTTAAATATCTACTTGAGGGGCAAGATAGTGCAAATAATAATTTTGGCCTCTTAGAATTGAAAATTTTGATTTTAATTGCATTATTGAGACGGTGTTCAAGACTTCATTTCTTTCTAATATTTAATTTACTGTGTGTGCTTACCTAACCTGAATTCTAAAGATTTGCAGAAAAACACATTTAATGTGACATTTTTTAAAAGCCCAATGTATAAAGGTCTGGTATTCTGTCTTTTAGAAATGAAAATTTGATTTTATAAATAAGATTAAAAGAAACCCAAATCCATATTGTGTGAAGTTTTTAGCAAATAAAGGGCTGAGTTTAGGGATTGATGGCAGACGAAAAGAAGGAAATAAAGTGTCCTTAGTTTGAAGATTTTGGTTGAAGTGAAGGTGCAGGTAAGTTTTCTTATGTGCACTGTTGATGATGTTGAAAGGTAGCAATAGGTGCTACTCCCCCAGAATATTAAATTAATTTGCCAGAGTATCTAAAGTTGGAGCATAAATGAATTGCACAATGTTCAAAAGCATAACTGGTCACAATTTTGAGGAGATTGGATGGCAGAAGTAAGGAAATAGCAAACGGTTTATAAAACCTAATTTGAGATTGGTTCTCACATTTCATAATCAGTGCACATCTGATAAAGGAAAAGTGTTGTTGAGCTAAACTTCAGAAGTAACTTGTATGTTTTCACATAGAGTATTATGTATAGGAAGAAAATTCAGGAGGTAATTGTCCCAAAGAACAAATAAATGTGTTATCCATATAGAATACCCTAAAGTGTAAATTAAACATTTATAAAATTCTGCATTATAAATAGTGTTTCTAAAGTGTATGCGAGTAAGACTGCCTATGATAAGAATTTCAGTTTGCTGGTTCAGTTTTCCACTGAAGAAGAAACATCATTTGTTTGATGAGAGTCTTGATTAGTTTTAACATTTCCTAAGCATAAGTAGGTGAGTGTACCCAGTGCAGGAATGTTTGAGATTTCACATTGAATGAAACCAAAATATAACTTTATGATATTTGGGAATGAAGTTTGGTCACAAAAATATTTGTATTTTTAAGGAAAATTTCAGAAGCAGGAACATTCAAAAGATCTTAACAACGTGTGAGGTTTATTGTGAAATAAGCTTTAGAACAGTTCTCAATTATTGCAGCATTTAAGTTCTGTAATACAGTATAGTTAGTATTGCAAGGTACAGGGTGTTCCCCAAAGGAACCCCGTTTTTGAAATTAAATAACTCGAAAACAAAGATCAATAGAAGAATGAAACAAAAGGTATGTTTATTGGGACGGCTATAAAAATCTGATACTTTTGTAACTAAATAGAAGTTTTATATTTAATTACAAAAGTTGTCAATAAGTGGTGCTGTACACTATATTAGCAAGAAGGAGTCCCTATAAAGAGTGATCTGAAGTCTACTGCGATCAATCTGCAAACAGTTCCACTGTTGAAACATGAAAGGACATTAGGGTATCAAAGGATGAGCATAAAATCATGTATTCTATGGAACAGCATGTTTTTCTGGTCTAGAATTTCACAGGTTAAATTACAGTCCTACGGCAACAAACCACAGTTTTCAATCCCGATTTACCATTGCAAAAGGTCTTGATTAAAAAACAATTCTTGTGCTTTTCAATAAATTTCAGCAAATGGGAAGCGTCACTAATGAGTTAGTTGTGAATGTTGGTCCCAGTCACTTTGTAGTTACTCCTGAAAAATATTGCGAGAGTTTCTACACTTATTCAGCAAAATCCAAGGAATTCCATCTGAAGACTTGGAGCAGAATCCACCTTAACACAATCTAGCCTGTACAGAATACTGAGAAACAGGCTACACATGTTTCCGTTCAAGATACAGTGTCAGCCATTCCTGTTCGAGCTGTGTAACAGAAGTGAATGAAATGCTCACAAAGATTTGTGATGACGGACCCAATGTTGGCTGCAATTGTTCATACATGAAGCACATTTTCACCTGAATGATGTTGTAAACAAATAAAATTGGTGATTTCAGGATACTGAAAACCCCTTATTTGTGTGAAGCAAAACCATTATATTCCCCAAATGTTACTGTTTCGGCTGCAGTATCCAGCAAAAGTATTATTGGCCCCTTCTTCTTGTGAGAAGCAATCACTTCTGACTGTTATGTTGAAATGTTGGAACAATTTCTCACCACACTGTTAGCGTTGGATGATCAACCAGGCACATGGTGATTCATGCAAGATGGGGCATTACCATACCACACTGAACAGGTGTTTCAGTTGCTTGAGGAATACTTTGCGGATAGAGTTACTGCTTAAGGCTATTCCAAATTTACTGGAACAGGCATAGATTAGCCTCCATAGTCATCCGATCTTACTCCTTGTGACTACTTTTATGAGGCACCTTGAAGGTCTCTGTCTTCCAGAAGAATCCTAAAGTACTGGACGAGCTTGAAGAGTCGATCTGTGAGGCATGTGCATCTATTTTCCTTGATACGCTACGGGAGGTGCATGAAAATATTTTGTTTGCGCCACCTGTGTACTGCAAAAGGTAGGCATTTGAAAAGATTGTGATGTGATTGCAACTTCGGCATGCAGGGGACACATTTGTTACCTTTTCCTAGAATGTACTGCAACTACAGCATCACCTGTCGGCAACTTTTGTAACTAAATGTAAAACTTCTATATCGGATTTTTACAGCTGTCCCAATAAACATACCTTTTGTTTCATTCTTCTATCAATCTTTGTTTTCAAGTTATTTAATTTTTAAAATGGGGGTCCTTTGGTGGACACCCTGCCTTTGTATTACAATAATTAGTTATAATAAAAAAAATAATAGTAACAAACCTCCTTTCTTTCTAGAGGGGGGAGGAACTACATAATTCTTTTCTACACATGTGTAAGAAAATAAGATAATTTTTCATATTTGATCTACGATCTCCAGAACTACTGGACAAATTTTAATAAAATTTGGTGTGAACATAGGTGGATATAATACAACCAAAATAAACATTCAGCAGTTATAATAGGCACACGTGTTCGTGTGTAACACTCATGGGAGTCTGAAGGTCTGAAACATCAGTTGCAGAACACACAAAAGAAATGTGTTAATAGGGGGTATGGCCCCCTCTTACAGCCATACAAGCCTCGTAGCGTGATGTCATACTGGAAATAAGGCAGTTTATCAGTGCCTGTGGCAATTGGTCCCACTCATTCAGCAATGCTGTTTTCAATTTCTGGGTGGTTCTTGGAGGAGGAGGGATGCGAGTTGCAATTGCCTTCCCCAGAGCATCTCAGACATGCTCTATAGGGTTGAGGTCTGGAGACCTGGCTGGCCAATCCATTCGGCAAATGCCCTCATTCTCGAGAAATTCGTCGACCAGAAGAGCTCTATGTGGTCTCGTGTTATTGTCCTGTAAGATGAACTTGGGGCCCACTGCACCCCGGAGAAGGCGAACATAGAGCTCCAAGACCTCATCCCTATATCTCACAACAGTCACAGAGCCTCCGTCAAAGACATGGGAGGTGTGCGGCCATCCAACATGATGCCTGCCCAGATTACACCACCATCACCATAATTGTTGATTTCACGGACATTGGAGGGTAGGTAGTGGGTCTCTGGCTCTCTCCATTTGAAAGTACGGTGAGAATCGTTGTTTGGGCTAAAACGGGACTCGTTGGTAAACGGAACAGTCGCCCGTTGCTCCATACTTCAATGACTATGCTGCCTGCACCATGCTAATCAGACTCTCCTGACCGTAGACATGAGCTGGATGCAAACAGCCGGTCTTCTGGCAAACAATCCTCTCTCATTCAGTCTTTTGGAAACAGTCACCCTTGTTACACGTGTTCCTGTCACTGCATACAGGTGCCGAGAGAGCTGAGAAGCTGTAGCCCCTCTGTTATACCTCGCTAAAATGGACAATAGCAATCTCCTCTGGCCGTCGTGGCTCTTGGATGACCTTACCCAGGCTTTCTCACGATGGATCCAGTATCCTGGAACTGTTTCCATAGGTTACACACGACGCTGGGCGTTAAACTCTCTGCATATCTGGACTTGTGATTGACCTGCCTCTAATCTCACCACAATTCACCGCCTCATTCCATCATCATCTACAGCCCACCAGCGGCCGAGTGGTAAAGTCGCTGAACACTAGTAGTTCGGTCCGAGGTTCGAATCCCGCGAACGGGCTGGCTGCATGGGTGTTTTCGTGGTTTCCCCCATGTTTAACGTGTATACGAGCCAGTTCCCCTTAGAAAGTCCTCCACGAAGGCATCCCTCTCCTTAGGCAGATAGCCCTCGAGGCTTTGCCGTAATTAAATAACCTAACCTAACCATCATCTAAATGTTGGTGGTTACTCATTTTTACTGTTCTAATGTGAATTTAACCGATTGCTGCAATATAACACCAAGAAATTCGCCGAGGTGTGCTAGCGAACGCAATTGGTCTTACCCTCCATGCGCTTATAAAGCCTGTTTTTCTGCTGGCTCGACCTACACTCACGTTTACGCTTACGTATTTGCCGTACAAGATTTGCATTTTTATCTAGAAATAGTGGTTTTTCCTTCTGTTCAGTTCTTTTCATGTAGTTCAATAAAATATGCAAATTCTCTTACTTTATTTCACCAGTGTAGTTCACTTCGTCATTGAAATAATGAATGCTTATAGTATGTTGTTGGTATAAAGTAATGTTTTAGTAATATATTTTGCTAATGTTACGGTATTGATTTTAACTAAATTTGACCAAAATATAATATTTTGCAGTTATATAAAAATGTGAAATTTTATAAAAGTTTGTAATTTTGTAGAACACTGTTGTATATTTAAAAATATTTTCTCTTTAAGGTAATCGAAACTGCCTTTAATGCTTTAAAAACAAGCAGTACGGATGCATTTTATCGCAAACAATGTTGGGAGATTATTAAAGGATTTCTTTCTGCAAATATTGTTTTAGATGATGAAAAGCACAATGTTTATCAGCTGTTTAGCCATCCCAGGTATTTTTGAAATAATGTTTTTCTATTAGAAAGGAAACGTGAAGTTTATTAGTTTTGTGTTGTTTCTAAAAATATTTTTGAATGCCCTTTTTCATGAACTTGTGCATTGGCTGGAATTCGTAATAATTATGAAATTATACTTATTTTAGCACTATGTTGTCATATCTTGAAAAAGAAGTTTATTATTTAAAAAATTCCTGATTTTTCCCCCTTAGTTTCCCTTTCCCTTGTTGTGATTTAGCTTGTTTTTTTGGTATTTCGGGGATATTGAGTTTCGTAATATTTTATAAAATATGAGTATTCTGAGCAATTTAAAAATTATGTATAGAAAATTTAAATACTATTTTAAGAAGTTTCTAATGAAGGTCTCCAGTTTTCTTGAATTTGCAAAATGTCTTAAAAATTTGACATAATTTATTCAAGGTAAGTTGTGTAACATACAGCATTAGAAACAACTATTTCTAATATTGACAAAGCTAGAAATGTTCAAAGTTATTAATTGAATATAAGTTTGGTCTTCATTTTATCAATTTTATACATTATTAAGAAAAGTAAAAGATTTAAATTATTAAAAAATTCATTTACTGTTTTTAAATTTCTCAGTTTGTTATAGTAACAAGCTGCAGTAGGTGTCATTTAATGTAATGATATTTGTTCAGGCTATTTTGATAACATTAAAAGATAGGAAAAAAAAAATACTCTTGAAAATAGTGATAAAATTTAACTAATGTAATATAAATATAGCTAAGAACATATAAATAGCTACTTTCCCAAAATTTTAATTAGGAAAATGCAAAATTTTGTTCATGAACTGCTCATAATATCTTTAATGCAAAAGTAGATGTATGAATTGTTCTTAAAGTTGTTTGACCAATACTACACTTCTAATCTTAATACTCAGAGGGCGTATCTCAATAAAAAATAACAATGTAATGCTTAAAATTGGCCAAAAAAGGCAACTGAAGTTTGGCATAGATTATATATATATATATATATATTTTTTTTTTTTCCCAAAAAGGGGGATAATTCTGCAGAATTTTATTACTTTATTTATTTTTGCTCTTGAAGGAAAGAGATCAATGTTTGGAGGCTTCAAAATCAATACTTATTCAAAATATATGTCAGAGTAAAGATGCTTTCCTCAGCCTTATTTTAAAGGTTGACTAAAATCGAAACCAAGCTGTTTGGCAGTTTAATCCCTTACTTGGCAACTTTTCTGGGACACATTGCAAATTTTATTATCTATTTTCACTTTGTTTGGTATTTTTTCTCATGTTATTTATCTTTATTTATTTGGTGACTTGAGTTTAAAAAAAAGTGTTCTATGATATTATGTTAACCGAACTGTTGATCACACTAAGTGATTTATTTTCCTCCTTGTTTCTGCATACAAACAGGATCAACTTTAACAATTTGATAGCAATACCCAAATGACAACATTAATCACAATCACCTAAAGTAGCAACAATAGTAAAATTTGAGAGAGGAAATTCAAAGTTTTATCCCTTACAGAATGACAAACACTGAGAACCAGCTATATGTAAACATATGCAGAAGATGCTTTATTTTTCATTGTATATTTCATTCACTATAAGTTAGATGAAAATAATGAATCTTCTTCAGGATGGAGATGAGGAATTCTTCTTCTTCTAAATCTAGAAATTCCAGATTACAATCTAAAACCTCAAAAAAGAATTTACCTTAAGAGCTTAAAAAATTTACTAATTATATTTAAAAAAATTAGAAATTATAAGAAAGATGCAAATATTTTGCTTATGTTCTTAAATAAAAAATTTAGTTGTTGCCCAGCATGTAAAACTAAATCTTTACTATTGAATGTCATTGAAATTCAATTTTGGGGGAGAGGTAAAGTCTTCATTTGTATCTCCATCTCTTTCTGAATGGAAAGTGATATCTATATTTGGTATACTGCAATTTGAACAAAGTTAAGAACAAAAATATGTATACAGCGAGAACGGCTTTTAATATAAATTTTTAAGCAGTTAATGTTTGTCAGAAATCTATTTATGAACTTATAGCATAAAAGATCACTTATGTGTTATGTTAAAAGTAATAGGAAAATGTTAAAACTTACCTGTAACATATCGCTTGCATATTATTTTTATGCCCTGAAAATATCATTCTTCTGACATTCTTTTGTTGCAGTATCTAATTGCCATGGTTAAATGACTCATCAAGTAATTAATTTATTGTGTATTTTATAATATCAAAGAAAAATGAAATACTTTACGCACTGTTGTCAACTAACAGTGCCTATTTATCATTAACTGAAAACAATACACCATGAAGAGATTTTCAAGGCATCAATAAATAGGAAGAAGATTTTTGCTTCTAACTTCCAGAATGTTGATAGAATTGTAATATAATGCTTTGAGAAGGGCAGAACAATAGTTAGTGTATTATGCACCTTTTTAGGACTATTTAAATGGTTTAAAAAAAAATTAATGATTTTGTTTTGGAGTTTTTTTGGGGGGAGGAGTGAAACTTACTGGTATAAGAGATTGTAAGGACAAAATTTTTAGAATTACATTACAAAATATTATTGCACAGTTCCCTACATTCTCTAGATTTAGTACTGCAAACTGTTATTTGTTTTCATGTAGGGCAGAAATTGTGATAAAATTTAGGTATAATAAGTAAGTAAATGCCTTTTATAAGAAAAGTCCGACTAATCTCACCATATGGAGACTTGGGAAAAACGTTTAGGGCAACAAAATATTCAGAATCATTCAGGAAAGTGAATCAAGGAAGGAAAAGCAAACTAAGTTAGCAAATGAAAAAATAAAATAAATTATAGCAATAGATTATTCAAGTGAATAAAGGGAAGTGATTTTATTTAAGTAGTTTTATTCTAATAATTATTATTAAACAAATTTTAATGCATAAATTTTTTTCCCATCAAGGGATGTGTGAATAGTTTATTTTCATAATGTTATTTGTGGTATAAAATAGATTTTGTTATTTGCATAGTAATTTTGTTATCCAGTGCCTTTTGGGAGTTTGGCAACTTATATTTATTTTTATTTGCATTCGTGGTAATTTAATATTGTGCATTTATTCTAAATTTTAACTTGTTTTCCCACTATTGTAGTTTTACTGTTGGAGAAATACCTTCTTTACAAGGCCCATACTACATATGTCCAGATTCAGAGTCCCGAAAAGTTCATGAAATGGCATTAACTGGGATGTTTGGTGTGTATTAGTTTTTTTTTTTCTTTTCCCCCCCCCACATTTGCTTATTGCGTTAAACCTATTACATAGGTTTTGAATTAAGGTGTGCTTATCATAGTTCTGTATGGAATAATTAAATGTAGCTCTAACACAATTAATCGCTACCTCTTTGATGAAATATTTACAGTATTTACTGCACTTGCAAATTTTGATTTTATTACAGCTACATATGTTCAGCATTTACACGTGAAATGAAGTTTAGCATAGCAGTGATATCCTGTAGGTGATTGCTTGTAAATGTTACTGAGAATATACACAAGGGCTGGACGTTAACTAGTATCAACACATTAATAACTCTGAAAAGATTTTATTATCATAAGAGCAAACACTTATGGCAAGCCTTTATATTGAGGGGTTGTTTAAGTCAGGGGTTTTCAACTGGTGGTAAGCGTACCACTACCCCAACATCCTGATTGATTTTTTTCTCTAACACTCGTAAATTTATGTGATTTGAACTTTGTTCAAGAGTGGTGGTGCTAAAGGTTTTTTAATTTTTGTTTAGATGGTATGCGTTAGTCAAAAGGTTGAGAACCGCTGGTTTAAGTGTTTTACCAGTGGTCAATAAAGTGTTTTCAGTATTCTGAAGAGCACAAAACTCTCTACTGTTCTGTTATCGGGACAAGAGGTGTCGCCAAATGTTTTGCTAATTGCTAAACTCGCCAAGAGATTGGTTTATTTGAAGTTGCCAATATTTACTTTAAAAATCTTAATAGTGTTTACATTCTTGAAAAAAAATAAATAAATAAATAAAATGCGATAATTTTAATTCACTAACCGAGTTTTTTTTCTCCCAGATTTCTTTGGCAAGTGGTTTAATTTACATTAAATGTTTCTAATTGTACCAATATCTGTTATATTATTTTTTCTTGAATTTTTCTTCAACTTAACCATATTGCAAACATTTTGGCAATTTTTTTTTTGGCTTCGAATTTTTTGCCAAATCTTCAACTTTTGGCAATATCTGAATCTGTTTGCCATAAAATAACAGTACCCAAACTCTTTAGAGGATTGTGTAGCGAAGTTCATTGTATATGCATTTAAAGTCTTCACTACTTGAGTAATCCAACCAATTTTTCTTACTTAACGATTTTATTGAAATGCGAGTAATCAGAAGAGCTTCAAAATGGACTTAGAGTTACAAACTGTTGAAATTTGAAATAGATTGTGTTGAGTTTCCTCGCATCATTGCTTACAATATGAATCTTGCAAGGTAAAATTGATTTAGTTGCAGTCTTAAGCTTCATCCAGTTATATACAGAGTTCTTCCTTCTGTATTTCTGAACAAAAATAAAGGATTTCCTGTTTCATCTGAAAATAATTTTTAAGAATTATCTCAAGGTTCAGAAGAAAAGAATCCTCTTTTTTAAATGGTTGACATAAAGTAGTGACATTTAGTTAAAATGATCCATCATAATTACCAACCAAAGAAAATGCTCTATAGTGTATAGTATGTTATGCAAATAAATAAGTCACATTTAATCTGTTAAAAAAATATGGTAAACCAGTTTTCGTATGGTCCTTAAAAGTCCTTAATTTTAATCATGTAAAATTTCTGTCTGTTTTTACGACTGCCATTTTGAGTGTGAATTAGCATTTCGGAGGAATATTTTTGGTGATTCACTGACATATATGGTTATCTTTTGAATGGGTTCATAGGTTATAATTCGTTTCTATTTCTAATATAAATAATGGGATACTCAAGTTAATAGGCAAGAAGTGAAACATAAGCATTTCGAAATTCAGTTTTTCCAATAAAGAGCTGTTAAACAACTTTTCGCTTTTGGTGATGTGAATTCTTTTATTTTTCAAATTTTATTCAGTTCTAAATTGGAAACTTGTAAACATTTTGGTGACTTTAAGATCAGTTTCTATAAAAAATTTTAATTCCAAGATCTGAGAATTTTTCGGCGATTTTTTTTTAAACATCATAACATTGATAAATTTCATTAAATAATTGTAATATATTGAAATTATATATTAAAAAATTACATTAAAATAAAACATTTTTATTTTTTTTTCTGTCATATTATAAAGTTTCATTTTGGCAACTTATTATACAATATTTTGAATCTGAAAAATAAGGTATAATGCTATAGAGCATAATTTAGGAAACAGCTCTTAGCAAAAGCAAAATTAACTGTGTAATTAATTAAAAATGTTCTTTTAATTTTTTCATAGTAAAAGTTTTTCCTATGTAGTTGTCTTGGAATATTCAAAATTCTCAGAATGTGCATCAGTTTTCTCTATAAAATTAATTTTATACTTTTTCCCTCCTTTTTTCCAAAATATTTCTGGCTTTTTTCTGTTACAGAAATGGTAGGAATAATTTTTCTTTAGAATTTTAGACATTGAAGCTTGGAAAGTTTAGAAGGATTTGAAGGCAAAATTTATAGATCCACGATTCTAGAAGATTCAAGAAATATGTGACAAAACGAAAAATGTTCAACATTGTGATGTATTTTACAGAAAGTTTGCAATGAATTTCTTACTTTTTGGAGAACATCTGAAGAATAATGAAAACATTGACTCTTATTTACTTACTTTATTTTTTACTCCTGATACTAGAATCTTTTTCTTAACATGTTCATCTTCCCTTTATTTTCTCTACTTTTCACTAGACAAAAGCCTAGAAAATATTGAAAATGCTTCTAATCTTATCACTTAAGCAAGCATTTATAGAAAGAGATTTTTTTATTAATAAAGAAATTGAAAGCTTACAATTTAAGATTCATCTAATATGTCTAAATGCATCATACAAAGAGCTGGCACTAGGCATTTTCCCACCTAATGCTATCTCTGTGGATCCTAAATTCTGCTGCCTAGTGATTTTCTAAATTCTGCTTCCGATGACTACCCTGAATTCTAAAAGTTTTGCTATTTCTAGATTTTGTTGTTCCGTGTGTCACTAAATTCTAAAAATTCTGCCGCACCAGCTCTGTAACTGGCTTTTACCTTATATATTTCATATTCCATCTGAATGTTCATATTACTAAAGAAATAAAATCAGCCACTTTTTCTATACATTCTAAATACATTTAGTGTTTTTTAGAGTAACAGAAATCCTTAATTAAATCCAAAAATTCTAAAATGAAAAGGAAACGTGTTGAAGAAAGAAACTGAATACATAAAGAAAATTATTCTTCAAAGATATGTGCAGTTATTATATTATGTAAATTACCCAATTGTTTATGATTAGAGCCTTTACTATAATTTCCCACTTCTATTCTCCTCATATGATAGAGTTACTAAGCCAGCTTAAATTAAAATTAAACTGTATAATCTTTGACCACTAATCCACATTTTTAGTTTGACTGTTCTTGTTTAATTACATCACCGTGAGCTGCAATTGATTTTGTTAGCATCAGAACATGCCTTTATGTTTTAAGTTCTTTTTAAATAAGAGGCTTATTTAAACCTTTGTCTGATATTGTAGTTACTTTCAGACATAGCGATAATTTGCTTCACGTCTGTCAGGGGTTTGGGACTATTTAACTTTTACCAGATCAAGTAAACCCTCATGAGTACATTGTGGAGAGGTCGACAAGTTAGGAGATAAAACATGCAGAAACTAGCAAGAGCATTGGTTTGCATATTGAGAACAAATCTCTAATTGTTAGAAAAGATGCTTGAGAAGGAAGTTGATCTAAACTAGCCAAGATGTTTGGGAAGGCATCAAATTAAAATGACGGATAAATATTTTGTTGAATGTTTCATAAGATAACATTCAACATAAATGTTTGTAACAACACATTAAAAGCTATAAAACATAAATGTTTTGTAGCTTTTAATGTGTAATTATCATAATATCTTTTAAGAATCAATGCTATAAATTACATGTATTTTAAACTGTAAAATTTTATTAGATTTTGATTTTTAATAAGGCTGTTTAACAAATATTGCTAAAAAATAAAATTTATTAGTGGCCATGTAAATTCATAATGACTAAGGTCATCTAATTACCTAATTTAATTATTTATAACTAACTGCTTACCCTTCAAAATTATCTCTACGTATTAAAGCAAAGTTACTGCCTTTCATTGATACTCACTGTGGTCACAAGATAAAATACAAAAATGTGAAAATTCAAGTAAAACTTATTCTTTGCATCTAGTAAGACTTCAAATAATGCAAAACAACTTATCACCTCTGGTGCTTTAATGGCTTATTGGAACCTTAAAGTATATTAACTGGGTTACAACCCCTGGAACTCTACACAAGCTATGACACTAATTGAACAGAGCCTGACTAACTTTCAACACTTGCCAACTGTTTCAGGTTTGTTTTAATCAGCAGGTCTCTCTCTAGACAAGCAGCAGGGGTGATAACTTTCAGTCTTTTGTTATGAATCATGCTGATTATGATCTTGCTTCTCATTTTAAGCTATGCTGCTTGACATAAAATCTACCTGCTATTTACTAAACCTATTGACCAAGTATTTAATGTTACTTAATAAACTGCATAAAGTTTATTTTATTCTGTAACTTATTAATAATTATCTTAATTAATTCATGTTTAGTAATAATGCATGCTACTTAGTGATCTATTTTATTTTTAGGATTGTATTGCAAAAGTGAAATTCAGGCATAGAATAATATTTTTAACTGAATTTATTGAATTCCCATTTGCTCATAGGTCCTAAATTTTTTTCATAATGGTCCTTAAAAGTACTTAATTTCCGCATGGAGAAATGTGTACGAACCATGCAAAAAATAATATATCTAACAAAGTATATTTAATCTGTTAAAAAAATAATAAGTCTTTACATTCTTAAAATTTTGATTTCTAATTTTGCACGCACTACAGTTATTCTGAAGCAAAGTAAAAATAATAAATTTAGTAAATAATTTCCTTTAGCTTCAATTTTGGTTTAAGAATTAAATTAGTTTAAATTTATGTAATGTATCATTTTTAATGAACTCATAATTAATGTAGTATTGGTGTTAACATGTATTTATGTTTTTATATTTAATGTATTATGCCATGCATTTATGCTCAAATTAATTTATGTATGAAAAATAAAATTTTCATTTTTTTATTTTTCACTTAGGCTTTCTGAATTTTTGTCGTTAATAAGTATGCAGTATTTTGCATATGAAATTTTGAATTTCACTTTGCTATATTAGTTGTATAAAACTATAGAAGCAATTTTGTGTTACAACTTTATTATTATTATTAATAGTTGCTGCTGCCATTAAAGAGCTACGTCCCACTGTTCTACAATTTATGATAACTCTTGTTCGACATTATACATTAGTGGCTATTACCCAACAAGCTGGACCATTTGTGAGTTCAAGAAGACAGATGAAACCTCAAGGAATGGACCCGCTAGTACTGGTTGATGCAACTGCTGCCATAATGGGCCATGAAGAAAAGGAATTGTGTAAACCAGGAGGCTTTGCCCTTCTTATAATTATTGAGACAGCTACTGTTTTTCTGTCTTCAAAAGAAAGGGTATTTGTATTCTTATATTTATATATTAAGAGTTTTTTCTGGTATTTAATTAAGAATTTCATTGAAAAATAAAAAATGATTTCATCGAAATTATTGCAGATGGGAGAAAATTTCAAGAGAATAGTATTTTGTTACTTTATTTTTAGTAAAATCTCTAATAATAAGAGTTCATGTGTTTATGTATTGCATAGCTCATTCCCCCCCCAAATTATTAAAAAAAATTCAATATAAGGTTTTTTTGTGTATGTGTGTGTACTGTTTGTATCATAGAACAGAGTGAGAATATTTAAATTTCAGTATCCAAAAATGTACTTATGAAAATTATGAAATTTTTCAGAAAAATTTTTGCCCTCTTTTGAAACAGGGATATAAAATATTAATTGAACAATTTTGCAACAATTCTTTTTATTTCCAAGTATGCATCATTAGTACTTTTAACAAAGAGGTCTAATATTTTGAATTAAAAACTACATGATCTGAGCTTGAGTTTCCAAGCAAGGGTCATGTAACTTTAACATCGTCATGATCACAATGTCAACAAACAAACAAACAAAAAAGTCTTGCAGATACTTCCAGATTGTCTACAGCCGCAATATCAATGCTAAGAATTGTAATGGCTTTGCTGCATTTTTGATGCTATAACAGTTGTGCTAATGCATTTGCATGTCGCATACATATCTGAGTGCATATGGATTTATTTACATGCATTATATTTAAGCATTATTATAATATCTTAATGACTGAAAAAATGTAAATATTGGCTGCATAGACTTTGATTTTATCTCATATAATTTCCTTTTTTGCAGAATGCTTTTTATTATTGTTTCTGAACAGATCATTACCTCAAATACCTTAACTGTTATACACTGAAAGATAGTTTAGCCCTTTTTGGAAGGGCAATTCGAAAAGTTGTGAACGAGTAGATTACTTTTCATGGGGTTGTGGATTATTCAGAAATTACTGTCCCGCTATTCATTTGCCATCTTATAATTGCAGAATTATTTGCCACAATTATAAGATGGCAAACAAATGACCGTACTTAATAAATGATTTTCATAATTTTACACCCAACATTATTTAAAGAAAGATTTTGCATATAGTGTCCATTTTATATTTTTAATCCTGTGTTATCTTGATGTAATTTTTGTTTCTTGTTTAGTGTATATATAACAAAGGATTGTCATAATCAACTGAATTAGCCATGCTAAAATTTTACTGCTAGTGAGGTATTGTTCTGTAATTGCTTAATAGTACAAAACTGTTTAGTACTGGCCATGTGAAAAGTTCAAGAAGGGAATCCAAATAATTGTCCATCTACAGAAAAAAGTGGACTAGACAGCAAAATATCACCATTGGCCACACAGGTATATAGTGATGTCCAAGTTTTGAGGGAGAATACTTTTGTGAGGTGGTTCAAGTATCTTCCCTTCTTTTTATCATCAACCTGTTGAGATGACTTTTGAGTCGCTGTGTATTTTGAGGTTCCCTTTACCACACAGACTCTATTCACTTACAAATTTCCATGCATTCTCCATTATTCAAATCCAGGCCTGTATGCAGATCAGTTGGATTCAATTCCAAGCATATGGGCAGTCAGCGTCACTAACCACTATACTGGCTGGGTAGTTAATTAATTATCCTCTATGACAGTGTTCCAAACAGTACTGGAGCATGTACAATGTCATCTTCCCTGCCTCAAATATCAAAGAAATTACTCATCAAGCTTGCAGCTTAGACCTCACTTTTTTGACTTTTTATTCTTTGAAATCAAGAAACAGTTGCAAAGAGTATCTTTACCCTTTTCTAGTACAGTATTTACTGAATTTGGCCAATGCATTGAAATTTGTCTTTTAACATTTAGAACCGCTGCTTTCACAAATAATTAAAGTAGATACCAAAGCACATAACAACTGTAATTGGGCATGCTTTGAAAAAGCATGATGTTCATATCTCAGTCTAAAATGTTCATTTTTATGTGTTTAGAAAATGCTATTGTTTCATTCATATATTATGTAATTTAACATGTAATAATTAATAGTACTTAAGAATAATATTCTATCTAATAAGATTATGAAAATGCTGAAATTTTTATTCTTTGCAGGCATGTTCTTTGCCTTTGTTAGAATATTTGTCTGAAAAAATGTGTGCTCTTTGCTACGATCGAGCATGGTATGCTAAATTAGGAGGGTAAGTTTCTACTACTTTTAATATTTTCCTAATTGATTTGTTTTTGTGCATTTGAGTAAGGATTTATTGCCACTGAGATAATAAAAATTATGTATATCTTAATACTTGAAACATGGCTATGAGGAAAATTCAAGAAAACAGTTTCTTGCGATATAAACTCCTGTATTTTTAATAACTGTTTTTATTTGCTAATAAGTATTGTTTTTAGGTATTCTATTTCATTGTTCCTTCCTTATCAAGGTATCACTAATTAAGAAATTAAGTTGGCAAATGATATTTTTAACTTAAAAATTTAATGCTAAAATCGTTGCTATATTTCCTATATCTCTGCACCTCTTTTGTCTGAAAAGATTTAGTTTATATGATAAAATTCTTATGGAAAGATATTAAAAATAAATTCAACAACATTTGAATTTTATCTCATAATTTCCTTATTTTTATTGTTAAACTATAATGTTTAATGTTATTATAGCAATGTGTTATTAAATATTATTTTTTGTAGGTGCATTGCAATCAAAACACTTTTTGAGAAATTCAACAACATTTGAATTTATATAACAACATTCTTACTGTATATTATTTTCATGTTAATTTATTGCTTATGATATGAGTATTCTTATATTTAAATTAAATGTTGTGGGAGAGGGAACTTTATATTTTCTTAAAAATTAAAGCTCTTATTTTTATTGTTAAACTATAATGTTTAATGTTATTATAGCAATGTGTTATTAAATATTATTTTTTGTAGGTGCATTGCAATCAAAACACTTTTTGAGAAATGCCACCCCAAATGGGTTTATGCCCATCTCTATGTTTTCTTGAAAGCTTTGCTCTTTGTTATGATGGATCTCACTGGAGAAGTTTCTAGTGGTGCTGTTGACTTAGCAAAGTATGTAGAAATATTATGTAGTATTAAGTTTGATCAAGCCAATTATTTTTTACAGACAAATTAATTTTTTGTGATTTACTTCCATGGCTTTATTAGGTTTGATTTACTTGGATGGCGAATACAGTCAAAAGTTGTTAATTCGGACACCCATAATCCGGAATGATCTATAATCCGGACCTCAAAGCTACAAACTTTCTGCGCATACGTCACATTGACGCATATGCATAGGCGTTCACGCATGCGCGTAAAACCTTTACGGCTGCGAATATGCGTGTGTGCAAGCACATAATATGTTTACGCAAGCGCGTTTAATTTATAACGGACGGTATAAGCTAAGCTAAAATTATCTAATTCAGTTAATGTTGCAGATTGCGTTGTTCCTTAATCTTCAAATTGAATCCGCCTTATTATTTTTTGCAGACTGTTAGAGTAATTTTATAAAAGTAAGCTTGAATTTTCGATTATGTCAAATAGAATTTCCGATATATATTTACTAATATGTAAAGGATCTGCAAAGCGAAAGTATGTTTTGAAATCCGAAATCTGTTTATCAATTTCATGCTGCTCTACGGCAGGGGGTGGGGAAGCGCACAATGAATTGGAAGTTGATCTGTCAGCACTATCCTTATCTTCAGGGCAGATGTTTTTATTTTATTTGGCTTATAATTCCTTACTAAATGTAGTATTTCATCTCGATGTACTCCGTCTTTGATATGATTTAAATCAAGTTCCTCGTCATTACAAAGTGACACAGAAGTTATTGAAAACGAAAAAATTTCGATTGACAAATTAGTCGGTATTCTCGACACAGCAATTATAGGACTTGAACAGCGGAACTTTGTAACTAAACAAGAAATTATGTCTGTTTAATAGAATTAAAGAGAAAGTATTATCACATAAAACGAAACAACTTACATTGAAAGAAATGTTTAATAAAGTAAACAAATAAATATTAAGAATTTTCTTTTTGTAAATTTTGATACCCTTTAGATCATAATTGTTCTTTATTTCATAAAATTACGGTTTCATATTTTTAATTTTGTAATTTCTGCATGCCATCCTACCAGATTTAAACTGATGATCTATAATCCGGAATCGCCGAAGTCCCGATGAGTCTGGATTAATGACTTTTGACTGTATTAGGAAAGTTCTTTCATGATTTACAAGCAGCTGTTGTATGTGGCCTATCTGTATAAACTTTCAACTACAGTCAAAAGTCGTTAATTCGGACACCCATAATTCGGAATGATCTATAATCCGGACATCAAAACTAAAAACTTTCTGCGCATGCGCCGCATTGACACATGCGCAGAGGCGTTCACGCGTGCGCGTAAGACCTTTTACGACTGCGCATATGACTGTGCGCAAGTGCAGAATACGTTTTAGCGTGCGCATTTTATGTATAATGGGCGTATAAGCTAAAATTATCTAATTATCTATTTCAGTTAATGTTGATGATTGCGTTGTTCCTTAATTTCGAATTGCATCCGGCTTATTATTTTTTGCAGACTGTAAGAGCAATTTTATAAAGGTAAGCTTAAACTTTCGATTATATCAAATAGAATTTCCGATATATATTTGTTAATATGTAAAGGATCTAAAGCGAAAGTATGTTTTGAAATCCGAAATCTGTTTATCAATTTCACGCTGCTCGGGGCGGGCGCGTAATGAATTGGAAGTTGATTTGTCAGCACTATCCTTATCTTCAGCGCAGATGTTTTTATTTTATTTGGCTTATAATTCCTTACCAAATGTAGTATTTCATCTCGATATGCTCCGTCTTTGATATGATTTAAAACAAGTTCCTCGTCATTATAATTCGCTTCCGATAGCGAAGAAACGTGACAGAGGTTATTGAAAACAAAAAAATTTCGTATGACAAATTAGTCGGTGTTCTTGACACAGCAATTATAGGACTTGAACGGCAGAACTTTGTTACTGAACAAGAAATTATGTCTGTTTAATAGAATTAAAGAGAAAGTATTATCACATGAAACGAAGCAAAACTGAAGCAACTTACATTGAAAGAAATGTTTAATAAAGTAAACAAATAAATATTAAGCTTTTTCTTTTTGCAAATTTTGATACCCTTTATATCATAATTGTTCTTTATTTCATAAATTACGGTTTCATATTTTTAATTTTAGAATTTCTGCATGCCATCTTACGAGATTTAAACTGATGATCTATAATCCGGAAAAATCGATAATCCGGAATCGCCGAAGTCCGACGAGTCCGGATTAACGACTTTTGACTGTATATCTTTTAAATAGTGTTATTATTTTTAGTCAACATCCAGCTGTTGTAGAATTTCTGTCATTCATATTGAAGAATTATATACAGTCTTTTATATTCTTTAAGTATGGACTATCATGTGTATTGTTTTAAAAAAGTCAACACTCTTAATTATTCTGCGAACTAGATTTGCACTGTTCATGGAAATGATGCCTAAAAATGTTCAGTCTATTCTCATTTGGTTTTGATCTGGAAGTTAATGACTACAGTAATTGCCCACCCACTTAGATATACATCAAGGCCATCGTTCATGAAAACATAGTGTTTTGAATGAGTGGATGTTTAAACATTCTCAGAACAGAAGTATACAGTCTCATAAAGGTCACCTTCAATGTAGTTCAGCGAGCTCATAAAGCTAAGCTACATCAGTCACCCTTCATATAGGTTTTGCTTCAGCTGGTAAGAGTGCATCCTCCTTTAACTGTGTTACCATGTGCAGTTTACTTCTTTGACAAAATGAGAGAGAACCATTTTTGTAGAAATTTGTTATTGAGGATGAAACTCTTGATTCTCTATCAGTATTAACCATAAATGCTCCCAATCATAATAAGCCTTTAAAATTAGCAAAGTCTGACCTTCATTAGAAGAAAGTTTTAATGTTAGTTTAATGGAACTGGAAGAGTGTCATTTATCATGGACTGTTTTCACAAGGTTAAAAAAAAAAAATGGTAACAAAATATGACTTCCAATTAGGCAAATTAAAAACGTGAAGCATTGGTTGCCTACAAATATGTTAGGTCGTATGTCTTTAACTATAAAAAACAAATTAACAACATTTGATTCTAATGTTTTACCTCATCCTCAGTAGTTTCTAGTTACCTCCCTATATGATTCTCTGCCATTTTCATTAAAAAATTCTTTGTAATAAAAATATTTTAAGAAATGGCGTAAAAATGCATTTAGAACCATATTTTGTTGGCAAACCAAAAACATTTTTGAGGAAAAGTGAAATTCCGCGTTAAGTCAAGGATGATAATCGACCAAAATAGATAGTATGTAACTTGGAAATAAAGCTTAGAATGTAAAATGTTGTGTATATTGTATAATTTTGTATATTTAACTAATAAAATGAAAGAAATGTTGAGACTAATGCTGTATTTATTTTACTCAAAACTGAAATTTTAATTTTAATTTTTTTACCATGAGTGATTTATACTTTATATTAACTGACATTTATCATTAACCATGTATGTTAATTTTGATTTTTAAAATATAGCTCGTTAAAAATTTAATTAAGGCAAAATAAAAAGTTAATGTATTGGCGATAATTTCTAAAAGCATAGTCGCAGTCATGGCAGAATTTAATATTGGAATTTTTTAGCCAGCATAGATACAGTAAAGTAACTTTTCTTGAAGAACGACATTGTTACCATATAGAACATTGAAATACATTTGGAGTAACAGTTACAGGATAGTTAAAGAAAGAGAAGCAGAGAGTAAATATGACATATCCACAATGACATTATGGATTAGGCTTTGGTTTATCTTCACTTAGATTGCCTAACTTTATTAGTGTTAAGTTATTATTGATTTACGTCTATGGTGTTGTTATGGAAAGAACATGCAAAGTTTTCGCTTTGTAGAATTGAGTTACAATTTATTTTTGCATTGTGTTCTATGAAATATTGCAGTGAGATGCAGCAGTTTGCTATTCGTCATGCTGGATATGGTTTATAAAGTTTATTTTTATAAATTTGCCTTTTGCCCCACCATTAAACCTCCACACGTCTTTGTGTAAGAATCTGTGTCATCTGCTTGCATAGATACTTTAGCAAATAAGCAATTTGGAATTCAAAATTTTTTATTTATGGGATTATTTTATTATTGAAATCAAAAAGCCCAAACTTAAATCACTTTGAATCCAGGTTTTCGTCTTAGACACATCACATTTCTGCTGTTGCTTTCTGTCCTGAAAACGTGTTGGCTGTACCCTCTCATTCATCAATTATATTGTCACAAAATGTCAAAAGGACAAATGTATCATTAAGGTGGGTATGAAGATCGTGACTGTTACAAACCTACCTTACAGTTACGGTGCATACCCACCTTACAGTTACGATCATGACTGCTACAGTTACATACATATTAAGATTATGTTTGTCAAGAATAAAACATAGTGTAAATAAAGCAAAAGATAAATCCTCATGATCTCTAATATTTAACTGCAACTCTTTATTTATGTGTCTAGAAGCCCTCAAATCTACATTCCATATATGATATATTGTGACAATTGGTTTCCATTTTTCTTTGGATAAGTGTTTCTCATATAGAATTCTGCAGCGTGTCCTGCGTTGAGCAATATGCTTTGGAAGAAGACGATGCACATTGCGTTTTTTCACTTTCTTAAGATTTAAATCAACGTTTATCATTTTGTTTACAGTGGACACCGAGCATTTTAATGATTTTGCAACTGTCCTTTGACTAGGGAAATTTTCTTTTAACATTAAACAACGTACCTTTGCTATAGTCCAAGATGTCTTTTTCCTTGGATACTTGTTTGGAATTTTTGTCCCACTTGAGGCTCCAATTTGATGTTTTTTCCTTTCTTTTTGATGATATTACATATTGACGCTTTAGATGTCACAAAATCAGGACTCTCACATAGTTTTTGGATAATGGAGTATGCATATTTCTCTTCGGAAAGAGTGTAAATGTAGCCTTCGAACCACTGCTTTGTTAAATTCGCCATTTTGAATAAAAACAAAACTTTCAAGCTACAGACGATAATTTTGACTTTTAAAAACATAGTACAATTGCAATTACTTCTTTTGCAGCGAACGATTTTTTATTACCACTTACCAAAATCGTCTAATTTGTTCTCTTCACTTTTAATACAGTCACAGTTATATGTGATAGAAAATGGTTCATAAAATGTGAATATTATGATTTATTAATTATCAGATACTGACATATTAAAAAGGGAGTTTTAAAAATCTTTAGATGATTATTTTACAGATACATTTAATTCACTGTTTATAATTAAAAAAATGTCATAATAATCTGTTTTTGTTTCTCATGTAATAAAGTTAGTGCTATAAGGCATCTTTTTGACATTGCTGCTGCATTGTATCATGTACTGTAGTGAAATGAACTGATACAAAATGCAAGTCATGAAAAGGTATTATGCTCAGAATATGTATAAAACAGATATAAAACAAACTTATAGTTAAAAAAAAAATTAGCATCATTAATGCCATGTGCATTCAAATTTAGCCTATGTACAACTAATCTCTTCCTCATTTTCATGGCTGCAGAAAATATTTAAGTTGGTACTATGGATATATCATGCATAAACTAAAGGGTTACAGCATGTAATTAAGGTTAAATGTAATGCTATCCTCTATAAATGTTTTGTCATGCTGTATTAAATTGCTTTCTTCATGCTACCAGAATCATGAAGCAGAATTGGGTACTACTGAAATGAAGATCTCTTGCTCACAGGCTAGATTTCTGATTGTGGAATCTAAACAAATGGACAAATCTTTAAGGGGTAATAGAAGGAACTATATTTATCATATAATGTATGGTCGGAATGTAAATGGTGAGCCGCTAGGTGGAATTGTACAAAGTATAAAGAAAAGGTCGCTCTTCGCACCCAATGGCATTTTCTATCATGGATTGCCAAGATGATGGCTGGTTATACAAACCACGAAATTTCTAGGGCGATGGATTGGTCGAGGTGGTCTTTTAGCCAAGATCACCCGACCTCTCGTGTTTGGACTTTTTTCTTTGAGGTCATATGAAAAGTCTAATCTGCAGATGCCTCATTGTCATGAATATGGATTTAATTGTCAGGGTTGCCATTATTGCTGGTGATACTCGGGAAATGCCTGGTGTCTTTGCAAATGTGCATCAGTCCCTGTTGTTCAGGTTTGAAACCTGTATTACAGCTGGCAGAAGTTCTTTTAAGCAATTTCTTTGAGCATGTATATCAATTACTTTCCTGTTAATAAAATGCTTTTTGAAGTATCTCCTCTCACTCTTGGGTTAATTCTTTAAATGTTGAAAACTGCTCTTTAACTTCTCACAGCTTGCATTGCAACCATACATTCTATAATAAATATTGCTTGGATAGCTGCCTTCTATCAGCCCAAAAAGTTTTGCCTACTTGTTCAGATTCATCATGTATAAAAGTTCCTGAAAATACGTCCATTGATTCCAACTGAAAATGAGTCTTTAAAATGCAGCAGATATCAGAGTTCTGTAGCTGAGGGTATCTTTAGCAAGCCTTTTCAATGAAGATAACTGCACAAATACTAACCAATTTCTTAACAGAATTGTTCTATTCAAAATAGATTTTGTTAATCCATATAACCCTTCAACATTTTGATAGGCACTTGAAATCTTATTTTTGGTGCACCTGTAACCCTTCTTTTATCTTTCTGTATTTAAAATTTATAATATTTTATGCATTTTGAAGGGAGAATTTGGAAAAAATGCTTACTACTTACTGCAAACCTTGCAAAAGTGAGGAAGCGAGCTTAGTTGAAGCTCAAGGTAAAGCAATAAAGGAAGTTGTGCAAGAATTAGTAAGGCAGTTAACACAGCCTAATAACTGTGTGAGAGAACAGGTATGATCATTGTATGATGTTTCATTTCATAAAAAAAGTAATTATATGAAAACATTTTTTATGCATTCAGCTTTTGCATGTTTATAAGTTCCTGTACTACATGTAATTTGATACAGATGGCATTGTATTGCATTAGAATTAAAACAGGATCTTTTCAAAATGGAAGAGATATAAATTATGTATTGTCTGCCTGTTTTAAATACTCTGTCTTGAGGCAATTAGTTGCTTGTTCATCTATGTTTATTTTTTTATTAATTTCAATAAAATGAATATCATTGTTTCAGTTTTTTTAACTTCACACTATATATTTGATATAAACACTTATTCTGTATGTATTGAATATACTATGCATATTTGTATACGCTGTATATATTTGATATATACAAATATTTCAAAAGGACTATTTTCATTTTCATGAAAATTGAATTTAGCAATATTAAATTTTAAAACGAATTTTGTTTGTGCTATTGTTAAAATGATTGGATTGTTAAAGAATAAAAAAAGATTCAGCATTTATTTTTATATGAATGGGAGGTTTTTTTTGCCTAAATATTAAAATTTTTTTATGTTTACTGTAGAGCAAAAATTCCAATTAGCAAACTGTAAGGCATTTTCAGAATGTATATTCTTTTTAACTGGGGAGGTTGCACGTAAAGCAAAATGAATTGGGGCATTCAAATATGACCTGGACTGTGTGATGTTTTTGTTTGAGGCTTCATGTTGTACAGCTATTGACCTTAACCCCTTCGCGCCGACTGTCACGTCTATGTGCCAGCAACGAACACACTCACCTACCGGCCGACACGCAGGCGTGACAGAGCATTTTCCCGCTTACTACCTACTGTCACGTATTTGTGCCAGCGTCCTGGAACATTTTTCAAACTATAATTTCTGCCACAAGATGGCACTGTATGTCCATATGGTTTCAGATACATGTACATTAGACCTTCTACTCGAAATGAGAGAAGCATGACTCCCATACACGTGTTTTTGATTATATAAACAAATGGGGAACTAAATGTTTCCGAATGGCGCGATTTATAACGTCTCTTTAAATCGCACTTTATTCGCACGTGGTAGTTGTTTATTGTAAGTAGAAGTTTTATATGCGCTAAAGCGTTGAGTATTTCGATTTACAGTTCAGTTTTTAGAAAATAATCAGATCTTGTTAGACGTGAATTCTTTGTTTTTACTGTTGCAATGTCGAAGCGTCGAAAATGTTTAACAGAGCATGAAATAGCAGAAATGATGCAAAATATTTCAGATATTGATTCTGAAATTCTGATATTGACTCTGAAAGCTTAACTGAAAGACATTTTCCAAAACTTTGTTCAGAAGAGACTGATAAGAAAATGAGACGACGATGCTTTGTTTGTTCACATTTCCGGAAATATCCTCCAAAACGGCAAATGAGTTATTACGAGTTCAAGGAATGTAACGTAAGACTGTGTGTAGATCCCTGTTTTCAAATTTTTCATACGAAAAGAGAATTTTAAGTAATTATTTAGTTTTCAGATGTATAATGTTAAAAGTCATAAATGGTGAGTAATTAAATAAAAATGTGTAAAATATGCATTTAAACAAGAAATAAGGTAATTAAAGTATATATATAAAAATATTTATAAATCATAAGCCGTTTAAATACTCTATAGAGCATTATTAAACAATGCGTTGATACTTCGGAAATTTCATGGATTTAGGCTTAGTAGCAAAAAAGCCCCCGGCCCTGGAGAGACGCTCGCGGAAGACACTGCCAGCCTCCGCGATAAGCGTGCGTTTTCGCTACCCGGCTCGAAGGCGTTAATAACCAAAACATGTTATGTAACTATACACTGAGAACTTGATTTTGCTAGTCATTATAGTGCCTCTAAGACATGAGTGTATGAAATATGCATTGCAGTAAAGAATTATTTGTAAGTTTTTAATTGGGGATGTGTGTTCTGAAACTTGTGGATTTTGACCAGACTTTATAGACAAATGGAGAACGGTGTCTTGTCATGAACTGGAATTAATAAATGATCTAAGTCTTTTTGAGAAGAAGAAAATCTTTTGTAGTTATGGAGATTTCCGGTTATGTTTTACCACCAATCCTCGAATTCCATATCACAGATTATGTTCTTACTGCATTAATATAAATATTAACAAGACATAGTGCACAATAAAAATTAAGCTTTATTTAGGAACATCGCGCATACTCCCCGACAGCCTGCCTGTTTCGCTCTGCTCGCTACTCGTAAGAAACTTCTCCTCTAGGGTTGCCACACTTATCAGAGGGCGCAAGGCGCGCTCCTTATCGCCATCACCACATAGTATTGATACATCAACTGTGTTCTCCCAAAGCTGTTGTGCTAAGCACTTTGCACTCAGAGATGCCAACCTTAACTGCCAAGACTAAACTGCTGCATTGTGGGTAGCTTATGACTGTTGAAATATCCTGTAATCCGGCAATTATCCTGCAATTATAAAAATCCTGCAATCCGGGTTGTATTTGAATGCTCCCTTCCCACATATATATATATATGTTTTCTTTCTTGCTTATTTTAACATACTGATGGATTTCTATGAACTGTACTTAGTGCATAGCAAAATATCTGGTTGTAACGACAGTTTTCTGCCAAAAAACGTTCTTAATAAAGTTAGGGGAAAAAAAGCATGAAAGCAGTGTCTTTAGTGTGGTAGATATCACCACCCAAATCTATGATTTTCTGCCAGCATTTTGATAGGTTTTCAAAGCCTTCGGGGCAGAAGCTTGATGGCCGCAAGTGCAAAAACAGATCAACCTCATTTCGGATGTCCTGTGCAGAATGGAAGATAGCAGCAGCAAGACGTGGCTGCAGTTGTGAATAAAGGTAGAAGTCCAAAGGAGCGATGTCGGGATATATAGTAGGTGTGATGAAAGATCCTGTTTGAGTCCATATAGAACCCAGACTGTGAACATAGACACATGGTTATCTTGATGGTCATGTGTTATCTTGATGGAACATTACCTTTTTACACCGGAACTCGATTCGATGTTTTTCCTTGATAGCACTCCACGGACTAGCATCTTGTCGTACACCTTACTATCTAGGGTTTAACCTTTTTCCAGTTATTTTTTGTGGTTAAAACCACAGCAGTCTCACCAGATACAAAGCATGATCTTTTTGTTAGTCAAACTGCACTTTGCGACCAGACGCAGACCAACCCCCTTTTTGAATTGTGTTGTTGAAGTAAATCCACTTTTCATCACAAGTGATGATCCTGTCCAGAATTTTGTCCTTGCATTGATATTTGAGCAGATTAGTGCAGGCCAGAACACATCTGTCTTTATCTGCTTGACTCAGCTCATGTGGCATCCAGCGGTTCAACTTGTATGTTGCGTTTACACAGTGCGTAACAGGGCTAATGGCACTAACATCTAACTCCTTAGCAAGCTTCGGGTGGTTGCATACTGATATTCTTCCACAAGTTCTCACAAGCAGGCCTCATTAACATCAGTAAGCCGACCAGGGCGCTCTGCTTCTTAAATGTCATAGTCCTTGTTTTTGAACTCTGGTCCAAACCTTCACAGTGTCATATGATACAACATTAGTACCTAAAGCTGTACACATGCTTTGGTGACATTTTGTAGCTGATTTTTTGTAACACAACTGGAAGTAAATTAAGGTTCTAATCTGGTAGCGTGATATTCCCTGGAAGTAAATGATGTTTCTAATCTGGTAGCATGATAGTTCCCTGGAAGTAAACGATGGTTCTAATCTGTAGCATGATAGTTCTCATTTCAGACACCTTGTACTTAATGGATAATATTTTTTTACAAATTTCACAACACTGTGTTCTAAAGCAAGTCTTTTTCTATCAAATGCCAAAAATAAATCAACAAAATTTGATTAAACACGACAATGCGAACTGTTTGGGCAAACAATATTTGCAGTGGTGTGAAACTTTCGTTAAAACCCGATATTTGTATTGAAAGTTTTAGGACATGCAAATTCTTCTTGTAGAGTCTTCTTGATTTCTAATCGTAATAATAGAGGGTTGATTGAAAAGTGTTTTAGAGGTTAAAAAAAAATTTAGCATCTTTTTTTTTTAATATAGAAGGCAATCTGAATCTATGTTTGAAAATAAATTAATATATTTTAACACATTGACTGCCATGGCACTTTTCGGATTCTGGTCCTAGAAGCCAAATCGATTTAATCATATTATATTATTGAGAAGCCAGTTCTTTCTTTTGAAGATTATTTTAAAATTTATCATTTATTATATTCTTCTTCTTTTTTTTTTAACTAATGAATAAACATTGAATGTATATTTTTGGTTCATTTTCAATAAAATTTCTATTCGTGTAAGCCAAACTTGATTGTTTATTTTCTTCCAAGAAGCCATCTATTCATATTTACACTTACAAACTACAAACTAACTCGTAGCAGCGCAAAAGTAGCAAGTCATCAAACTACGAGATAACTCGTATTGGAAAAGAGGGCTAATATGTATCCTGAAAAAGAGTGCTAATACGAGTTATCTTGTGTTGGGCAGTCAGCGTGTTAAAGGAACTCCATTGATTTTAATGTTGTGCTGAAAGCTTAGTATTTTAAATTTTATCTTATTTGCTTAATTTTTGTAATTTCTGTAGGCTATGCATTCTCTTAAAGTGATAGCAGAAGTGGGAAATAAAACTATTACTCAAATTATCGAGCCACACAAAGAATTGCTTGCTGATTATGTTCCTCTGAGAAAGCACGTTCTTCGTCATCAACCTGTGCTTTGTCAGATTGGTTTGCTTGAAGGAAATACCTTTTGCATTACATTAGAACCACGTTTGTTTTCATATGGTAAGCTATTGAAAACATTATTTTTTTAGATATTATTAAAAATACATTGGAAGGATTGATGTTTTTATGTGTAATTATTTCAAATACAGTCAAAAGTCGTTAATCCGGACTCGTCGGGACTTTGGCGATTCCGGATTATCGATTTTTCCGGATTACAGATCATCAGTTTAAATCTTGTAAGATGGCATACAGAAATTCTAAAATTAAAAATATGAAACCGTAATTTATGAAATAAAGAACAATTATGATCTAAAGGGTATCAAAATTTACAAAAAAAAAAAAGCTTAATATTTATTTGTTTACTTTATTAAACATTTCTTCTTTCAATGTAAGTTGTTTAAGTTGCTTCGTTTTATATTATAATACTTTCTCCTTAATTCTATAAACAGACATAATTTCTTGTTCAGTTACAAAGTTCCGCTGTTCAAGTCCCGTTAATTGCTGTGCCGAGAATACCGACTAACTTGTCAATCGAAATTTTTTCGTTTTCACTAACCTCTCTGTCACATTCTTCATGTCTTTATCCATTTTTTGGAGCAATTCCACTTTTTATTTGTTGGACATCGAAACATACTTTCGTTTTGTAGATTCTTTGGAAGTTCCAGCATCGGAAATTGTATTTGACATAATCGAAATTTCAAGTTTACTTTTATAAAATTGCTCTTAACAGTCTGCAAAAAATAATAAGCGGGATCCAATTCGAAGATTAAGGAACAACGCAATCATTAACATTAACTGAAATAGATAATTAGATAATTTTAGCTTACACCGTCCGTTATACATTAAACACGCAGGCGAAAACGTATTCTGCACTTGCGCACACGCATATGCGCAGTAGTCAAGGTCTTATGCGCACGCGTAAAACGCTTGTGCGCATGTGCCAACGCGGCGCATGCGCAGAAAGTTTTTAGCTTTGAGGTGCGGATTATAGATCATTCCAGATTATGGGTGTCCGAATTAACGACTTTTGACTGTAGTATACTTTTCAAATCTTGCCTTAATTATATTTGGAAAATTTTTATGTATTTTAAGCTAAACTTTCATTTTTCTTGCTTAGAGTATTAAGTTTTCACTTTTAGCTCAATTTGGTATCGTAATAAAATAGTTACTATTTCTCTTGTAGATTTGTCTAACGTAGATCATAAGCAGTTTTTTGATGAGCTTGTTACACTTTGTGAGTATGATGATGTTACCTTGCAAAAACTCCCATGCTACAAAAACCTCAGTAGTCTTATACCAATTCGCAAGGCAATGCTACGCCTGCTTGCTGCTTGTCATTACATGCAGGATAAAAGGCATGATATTTTCCAGCATCTGTACAAAGCCCTTAGTTCTTCTGTACCAGAATTGCAAGAAGTGGGTTACAAATGTATAAAAGATATTATTAGCAAATATGATATTGATGTTGATATGGTAAGTTAGAATTTTAAATATGACTTCGTGCAAGCAAATCAGAAATTATACATAATTCTAGGCTTAATAAAGGAAATTATTATATGTAAAAACTAAGATGAAAGAATCTCTTTGTTTTGTATCCTGTATGTTACAGTTTTATATCCTGACTGTTAAATGCTCAAGCTTTTAACCATACATAGGTATTTAGTTGTCAAAAAGACATGCATATACAGAGGTGGACTGAGAAAGATGGCTATACACATAATTTCCTAAAGTGACGTCTAGTTAACAGAGTTTTTAAAAATACAGTAGAGAATGCTGTAAGAGCAGTTGCAATAGTATGCTTAGTAAGATTTTGCAATTTTAAAATCTGTTTTCATGCATAGTGTCCAGAGAAAGACATTCCCCCCCTTTTTTTTTTGGTTAATTTGTCCTTTTTTGGGTTAGTTGTGTTTAGGCAAGAGATAAAACTCTAAAAATTTGCTTATACAGACAAACAAGCTCCAGAACTTCTGGATGCACATATATTTATTACCTATGCTTTTTTGGAAGAATAATGCTTCAAGGCATATTTTGAGATGCATGTTATGATATTTGAATTGATTGTTTAAATCATATCTGAAGAAAAATACTTTGTCCATTAGTCATATATATATACAAATAAAATCACATTTTTTTATAATAGTCATGCATATGACACAAATAAATTTACTGCAAGATTAAAACTACTTTTAATTTGCTTTTTAATATTCTTGTATTATATAACTTTTGAAATGTAGTTCTTACAGTCAAGATAAATAAATATGCAAAATTTTTTTTACAAAAGGTTTTCTCCTGTTCAAACCAGGAAAGAGGGGAATTGTGTTAACAATCATTTTATTATAAATAGAAAATCATATTTATCAGATATTTAAAGCTAACAATTTTCTCTTTCTGCGATATACATGTACAGGGATATAAAATTTGACGAGAATCTCAATGGAAATTGTGCACTCATCTAATTAGTTCCCAAAGAATTTTGTTTCCAACTTTCGATCCCGGCAAACGGGCTGACTCCATGGGTGTTTTCTTGATTTAACGCATGTGTATCGTTTATGCACTATCTTCTGCATGCATACGTGAATAAAGCGGGCACCGCACGCGCAAAATCGCTGAAAAATTGTATTTCGGTCCAACTTTCGAATCCCGGACAGCGGGCTGGCAGGAGGGGTGTTTTCGTGATTTTACGCATGTGTACGGTGTACGCAGTATCTTTTGCATGCACACGTGAACACTGTTTTGCGCCGGTGCAGCCTGCCCAAAAGCGCTGAACACTGGTATTTCGGTCCAACTTTCGAATACCCGCGAAAGGGCTGGAAGCATGGGTGTTTTCATGATTCTCCGCATGTGTATCGTGTATGCGGTAACTTCTGGATGCATAGGTGAAAAAAGCGGGGGAAGCCTGCGGAATGCCGCTAAAAAATGGTAGTTCGGTTCAACTTTTCAATACCGGCCGAATTTAACATAGGATATCTTTTAAAAAAGAACAATGATAAGCGGGCTTCAGCCCGCTTAGCTGGCGGGCTTGCCCGCTAGTATAATATTAATTTGAGTATTGGGTGTTCATAAAAGGCAACTACTGAAATGCTAAATTAAATGTCTTTAAAACTATCACTACCAGTCAGTACTGCAGCTTGACAGATTGAAAGGGGGGGAAGAGTTTCAAAAGTTTCCTTTTATTTTGAAAAATAAAATTTTTAAAGCTTTGAAATTCTTATTTTAAAATGAATAGATTCTGTGTACTTCATAAGTAAAATTCAAATATATTGTTGAGAAAACTTCCTCTTTATTTCGTTGATTTTGATTTTGCAATGTTTATTTTATTAAAAATCTAATTCATGCATCTATTTAAAATGAGTTTTGCTATTGGATCTTTTTGGTCTTTGAACTGTTTCATAGGCATTTCAGTATTAATTAATCTAAAACACATCGATTAGCTTAATCTAAAACACATCGATTCAAATTTGAAATTAATATTAATACACATTCTAATTTGTTAGCATTATTTAACATGCTAACTTTATTTACCATATTTTAATTGGATATTCTAATGATATTAGTTTATTTAAGGATTAATATAAAGTTAAATAAATTTTTGAATAGTTCGGTATAGAACTGTATTATAAGATCAGTGAAGATCATTTTTCGTAAAGTGTTATCGAACGTGTTCTTTAAAAGGTAAGATACTTACGTAAAGATACTTTAAAAGGTAAGATACACTTTAATAATGCATTTATGAATCATAAAATTTATTAACACTAAAATTTGATATTTATTTTTTACTAGGTTCATACCACTATACGACCTTTGTTGTTAAAACTGGGAGATTACAGGTCATTGAGTTTGCCTGTTATTCAACATTTTAGCTACCTTACATTGTTATTCCCAAAGATATTCAACGATAAGCTCTGTGAACAGCTGTTGACACATTTGCGTAAATGCTTAGAAGTAGCTGAAAATACAGTAAAATCAAATGAAAGAGCAGCTGTCATAACTGAAGTAAAAATTTGCTCTGGGATAATCAACATATTTCATCAGGTAAGAAGATTTTAAAGAAATGCTTAATTTTAACTTTTCTGCTATTTAGCAAAGTTCTGAATTTGAAATGAGAAATCAAAATACTTTGAACATTACATCCATAATCACGAGTGTCTCTTAAATAAATAAATGAAAATCAATCTGTGATGTAGTTCGTCAGTTACTTAGAAATTTAATTTTCATAAATATATTTTTTATGTAAATAGTTTTGAATCTGAAGTGGTCATTTATGAAATGTTGATGCCTTTAGACTAGTGTTTGGCAACCGGTGGTACACCAGTTTTTCACAGACCAGCAGCTTTATCTTAATGTTTCACGGACTACTGATGGTCCGTGAAAACTTTTTGATGGTCCTCGGAAAAATTGGGAAATTATTTATATTTTTATGAAGATTCAATTTAAAAAATGACGAGTAACAAAACCTATTATGGAATATGGTTTATACTTTTTTAATTTTAGCCACTACTTTTAGCAAAATTCCTTCTGAATTTAGCGAATTTTTAGCTACTTTTGCAAGCATATCTATCGACATTTGAAAGTGATAGTTGGCATCCGTAGATAGGCTGCTGTTATCAATAATAGCGCGAACTGGAATTCTCTTTTCTTTTGAATTACAAATATACAGTCGATGGACAAAAATATGGAAACACCTTGCGAAATGCATGTTTGAAAAGAAAGATTGATTTTAATGAAATATGTAAGTGGCGCTGGCGTTTTTGTCTACTGACGCCACCTATACAACTTTGTAAATGTGCTAAACAGTTCAGTTGTTGTTGGAGTACTGTTATGTGAGGTTGTCATTGCATTATGTCAGAGTTAACAGACTTTGAACGTGGGCAAATTGTTGGAGCACGTATGGTAGGTGCTTCCGTAAGCAAGGTAGCCGAGGTGTTTAGTGTTTCAAGAGGTACTGTATCGAAGATTTATTCCGCATATTTGAAAAGCGGAAAAACATCATCTGCTAAATCACAGCGCGGACGAAAGTGTGTCCTGAGTGATCGTGACAGACGATCATTAAGGGCAATTGTGACGAAAAATAAGAAGACCACAGCTGCAAAAGTTACTGCTGAAATGAATGTTGTGTTACCGAACCCTGTGAGTACCAAAACAATTAGAAGGGAGCTTCATAAACAGGGAATTGCTGGCCGTGCTGCAATTGAGAAGCCACTCATCAGTGATGCTAATGCCCGTAACAGGAAAAGGTGGTGTTTAAGTCATAAAGCCTGGACTATAGAGCAGTGGAAGCGAGTAATATGGTCTGACGAGTCTTCTTTCACATTGTTTCCCACTTCTGGCCGAGTTTACGTCTGGAGAACGCCATCTCAAGCCTATAATACAGACTGCTTGTTGCCAAGAGTGAAACATGGCGGGGGTTCTGTTATGGTTTGGGCAGCCATATCGTGGTTCTCTGCTAGCCCCATGATAACTGTGTCAGGGCACATGACTGCCAAGACTTATGTGAACATTTTGGCCGATCAAGTTCATCCCATGGTACAAACTTTGTTCCCCGATGGTGATGGTGTCTTCCAAGACGACAAAGCCCCTGTTCACACAGCTCACATTGTCCAGGACTGGTTTTCTGAGCACGAGGATGAGTTGTCCCATCTCCCCTGGCCACCACAGTCACCAGACCTGAATATTATCGAACCTTTGTGGTCTACATTGGAACGGAAAGTGCGTTCTCGTTATCCACCGCCAACATCGTTATCTGAACTTGCCACCGTTTTGCAGGAAGAATGGCATACTATTCCCTTGGCAAACATACAGGAACTGTATTTATCCATTCCGAGAAGACTGCAAGCTGTTTTGGATGCCAACGGGTTTCCTACACACCATATTAAGCAAAGAAACATGTTTTTTTAAAGGTGTTTCCATATTTTTGTCCAACCCATGTATGCCATTGTAGTCGTTAATAACACAGTTTTTCTTGGTATCAATAGGCAACTTGATGGATTTTTATGAAAACCATCTGCATTCTTGTTTATAATTGCATCACTGGAAGTTTCCGTTTTTGTTTTGTCTAATTGTTGATCAATGGTGCCATTGCTGAGTAAGCGATGATTATTATGTTTACATTAATTAAAAATTTGGGGCATAACACTTTCAGTTTATTGATATTGCTTTGTGTTTGCCGGTTTATTCTTGCTTTTCATGAAATTCCTTTTCAGTGATATGGAAATGTTAAGCATTCTGTACAAGAAGGTACGATTTGTACTTTTCATATAATTTTTCAATGTGAACGAAATTATGTGTATCAGTGAGATGTTAATAGTGTTTTAATTGTTGTTCATAATCAGGGTTGTAGCCTAAATTTCCATAAAGGCATGCTGCTGAACAGCAAATTTTCCAAAAATTATATTAAAATTAAAATTGCATGTATTGGAAAGTTGAATATTGTTTTTGCATATTATGTTGTTTTTAAGGTCTGATTTAACGAGTTTTTTTAAATTTGTATTAGTGGTCAGCCAAATATAAAATTATGTATGTAGTGGTTCGTAAAGTTTTAAGGGTTGATGATCGCTGCTTTACACAATTCTGGGTTTTTCCAGTTTAATATCCAAAAATATATTGGTATGCAAATCACACTGCATGCAAAGTATTCATTCAAGCAATGTAGATATCATTGAATTGATCGTTATATAAAATATAGTAGTGCACTTTGGTGAATCTTACGAAACATGCGAGAATTTTTCTTCTATTACAGCATATAACTGTGAAAAAATTGTTTACTGGTGTGTGTGTGTGGTAGTTTATCAAGTACCAGGCTGATTATTTATCACTGTAGTAAAAACTGATATTTATATGTATGCTTATTTTTATCTTTAGATTCCAGCTGCTACAACTAAGTTTATTGAGCCTCTCATTAGCGTCGTCTTGAAAACAGAAAAAAATCTTCTAATGGAAGCTGGGAGTCCATATAGAGAACCATTAGTTAAATTTCTCAAACGATATCCTATGGAAACTATAGAACTTTTGCTTTCGGAAGAAAATATTCAAGATGAACAATTAACAAGATTCTTAGAAGTAAATATACTTACTTTTCTCTTTTTATAGACTATTTTTTTTATTCTAGTTAATTATTTAAATTTTCTTTGAAATATCAAATGAGGAAAGGGGAACCTTACATTCTTAAAGTACATTTTATGATTAAAATTACTTGCATTTCCTAATATTGATAAAGCTACATATCCAAAAGCATGTTTCAACTGTTATTAAAAGAAGCATTGTCTTCCATTCTTCTTTCAACTTTCATTTAAGTAAGATAGTATTTTCCATATGTTTCATACCTTATCAGAATATTTTGCGTTTTTTTTTTTTTTTTTTTTTGGGGGGGGGGGGTGCTTACTTTAATGCAGATTCCTTCTGAAATAACTGATATAATTGCCACATTACTTTGAATTCAAGCTGCAGTAGGATTTTAAAATGGAAACATTGAAACAGTGATAACAAATACCTAACTCAAAATATAAATTTAGTAGGATTTTTAAATTTGAAAGATAATAAAAAATAAAAATTATTTTATAGTATACATTAAAAAATAAGAAACATTTTCATTTCTTAAACACATACTAATCAATTTCTAGAGAAATGCTAAAATTTGAATAAAAACTGCCACTAAAATTTAAAGTCCCCTCCCCATTGGCAATAAACATTTTTTAGTTTCTATCAGTAGATATGTTAGCTTCATAATTTTTATTTTAAAAAGTATCATTTAGTAAGCATTGTTCGAATAATTGTTTTACTTAATTAGTTATTTTTTGAAAATGTTAAAATAATAAGTATTTCAAAACTATTCCAGAATTGAGTAGTGATATTTCAAATACATTAAAAAAAAAAAAAAAGTGTTGATTGTGACATCCAAAACCATGAATGTTGTACCATTCACACCAATTTATTCAAGACATGGGGATTTTATTGTTCTTATTTTTTCCTGGTTATTTTCACTGACTTTAAAAGAGCAAACATGTAAGGAGGCAGAAAATTGCATGTAAGTAATCTAAGATGATATGCTGATCATCATCTGTTATTAACTGCGTGATTACATTGTGTTTAAATTGGAACATTTATATATTGGCAAAAATAAAGTATTTTCAAAACTTAATTCTGTTATATATACAAAATTTTATAAAATGTAATAACTACTATACAATAATAGTATATAATGTTTGTTTTTTTATTTAATTATTATATTTTATTGTATAAATTCATTATTATATTACAATGAATTACTGCAATTAATAATTGTATCTTTTTATCTTTGTGCTGAAATGTACATATATATTAATACACACTCAAAAAAATTTCTTCATATGATAACAAATTGTTATTATAGTTATTTAAATAAGTATACTGATTGTATTATAATAAACAATTGCACAAAGCGTCTAATAATCTAAAAATGGATATTTTGCGTTGAATCACTATCAGAGTCTGAATCCCTTTTCAAATTGTTGCCACCAAACATTATCTCCCTGTTTTTTATTTAGAGAAATTAAATAATGAAAAATTTGCATGGATGTATGCATGTTTCGCATTGTAAAAAAAAAAAAAAAAAAAAAAAAAAAATGGTACATAAACAATACTGATTCGCTCTTTCTGTAAAAGAACAAACTCTCGTGTGACCACTTCACCCTTGACTCATAATTAGCATCCCTTCTTGATGATTCTAAATTTTTTGGTAGAGTGCCAGCCAAACTTGCGTTTGCCATGGTGAAACTTTATGATTGTCACAAATTATGTTTTGCTTATTAGTTACTCAAGAGAATAGGAAATATTATTTGTTTGTTAGTCTCTTAGCAAATACTGTTTGATATCAGAAAGTGTGTAAAATTACTTGTGCAGAAGATTTTGATGTCTTATTTAGAAACGATAACTGGTTATGACTGAAATCTCATGTGAGAAAAAATGCTGTATTTTCCATGCATAAGGTGTGTGGTGATTGGTCAGTAGACCATAATACAGTTTCCCACAGAGAGACAGATTTTTATCTTTGGAGACTTATCTCTTCTTTACTCCAGCAAATAAACAATTTAAAAAAAGCTAGGTCCATAGTAGAAAAAGATCTTTCAAAAAATATTTTGATGTAATTAGTTAAAAGCAGGGGACAGCATTAAAAACAATTACACGAGACATTTCGATTAATATTCACTAAAACTTATTTTGCATTACTGTTGAAATGGCTCCTCACATTTGTAGTGTTAAACTATCACTAATGTTATTGTATGTACATTTTAATAAAAGATAATTTTTCTCTTTAGTATCTTCTGAAAGGTGAACAAGGTAAACCTTTTCGTGAAGTTCTTCAGCAGAATTCTTCGAAACTTGTGTCTATGACTTTTGGTGTAAAGCAGTCACCATCTTCCAATGCTGGCATAACACCTGCTGCTACCAAACATGAAATACAATACCAAGCTATAAGGATAGTAAGTTTATTAGTGCAGTTTGATGACCAGTGGCTCTCTGAGCAACATCAATTGGTAGCATGTTTACGAAAGATTTGGATTTCAAAAGAATTTCAGGAACGCCATCTGAAAGCCGATTCTGTTGATTTCACGCAATGGAAAGAGCCAAAACTTCTTGCAAAATGTTTGTTAAATTTTGTGAAACATCATCCAAACGAAATTGAATTGCTTTTTCAACTTCTCAGAGCTTTCACAGGCAGATTTATACCAGATTTTGAATTTCTACGAGACTTTCTCGAGAACACTGTTGCTAATAATTATACAGTGGATTGGAAACGAATGGCTTTTTTCAAGTTCGTAGAATTATTTCATGAGAACGATTTCCCTCAAGACCTGAAAGCCAAAATTTTACAATATATACTAATTCCATCTTTTGCTGTGGCTTTTGAGAAAGGTGAAGGTGAAAGATTGATTGGAGGTCCACCTGCACCAGAACAAGACTTAAATGAGAATGTGATGAGTGTATTCATTAATAAAGTTATTGATTCCGAAAATCCTTTTGCAACATCAGATGCTGTGCGAATCTTGCTTCTTCAGTTTTCTTGTCTACTTGTAGAACAAGCATCACCTCATATTCATGATGCTGCTAATAAGTAAGTTTTTGGAATTATATTTAGAAAAAAAACAAGATGTTTTGTATATTTTTATAGCTGGTGTATTAAAATAGAGAAATGCATATATTTACACATTTTTATTTTTTAATTACCTGATGTATTGTTTTCATTTTATTTTCCATAACTGCAGATTATTTCTTAAAAACAATTTTTTCTGTGTATATAAATAAATGTTTTGCTATGGTAGATTTACTTTATTAAATCTTTATTATTTTTTACTTATTTAATATTCACAGAATTATTACTCTTCCCCCTCGTATGAATTTTTTAAAATATACTTTATTATTAAAATTATCTGGAAGTCTTTCCTAATATTAATAATGCCATATAACCAGAAGCATGATCCTGTGATTAAAAAAAAGCATTGATTACATGCTTCGGGACATGAAGCATTTATTAATTTTATGTGCTCAAGGGCAACCATACTGAAACTCTAAAGTTGGTATAAGTGCTAAATATATATCAGTAATCCCCTTTAACAAACAGTACCCTCACTTTTGTTATTCATGTTTGAGATCACACACTGTGTAGTATGACAGAAATAATAATCTAATAATTACCATGATATCAAAAGGGCTGTGTTACCATAGGGGTCATATTCAAGTTTAATAATGGATTTGCAAGAAACATCAAGTAAGCATTGATACATATTTTTGACAGATTCATCAGAACTATAGTGAATAAAGTTAGTAGATAGTGGCAACACGAGAGATTCTTAAATTACAAAAGTTGTCCGTATATGCTGTGACTTCAGGTGTCGGGGCTAGAAAAAACTGAGAGGCAAAACCCTATTTCTGCAGACTGGTGCTGGCTAATATGATCGATGAATTTTGTTTCCCTTTCTACCTGTGTCCTAAAAGTTGTATTGCAAATGTGATTTTGATGTAGCTAAAGGGGAAAAAAAGTTCTTTCAATAACATAAGAAAGGTCATTAATAATAAATAAAACAACAATTAAATGTATATTAGGCTATCTCAGCCTTCCACATCTGACATGCTTAGTTCATCACCTGCCATTGGCTGCTGGTGTGCAGGTAGTTCCTAAATGGCATGGGAAATATGTAACAGGCTGTGTATAGTTAAAGGATCAGGTAGAGAGTATGACATCCAAAGATTCTTTAGAATGTCTAAAGAAGACATTTTATATATTGACTATATGCTGCTAGAATTTGCTAACTTATCACATCTATTTCACAACCTTCATTTAGTCTAAGGAAGGTAGCTTATTTTTTATGAATATGGGAGTCCATGAGGTTATTTTTATCCTAGGTGTAGCTCAGAAAATTCATTTCAGTTCTCGATCATCAATTAGCTTCCAGAATTAACAGATTTAAGCTCTCCTGAATCTGCTTGGGATGTAATTGTGTGAAATATTATTAGATTCATGAATATAGGGTTGGCTAGCATTATATTTGTAGTCTCTGTCAGTAAGTGTAGCTTGTAATGTTTTAGTAATCTTTTTCTGGCAGCATTAACATTTGTTGGAATTGGTGCCTTTCGCATACAGGTAATCATTTATGCTAGATGGAGGATTGAATCATTCAGTATATTTTAAACTGCCTTGACAGGAAATTATTAATTCTCAAAAATAAAGATTTCGTAGGAGACCCATATTAATCAACATGCAAATACTATTAGAAGAGAAAGTAACATAAAATATGTATTACTTGCAAACAATTTGAAATTTTTAGGTTGTTAAAAGAATTCATAATAAAGTGTGTTTATTATGGAATTGAATCACAAATGTTCATATTATGATAAAAATGTTACAGTACAGTAACCATCACTTAAAAAATACCTTTCGTTAGACTTAATTCATAATGAACTAAATGTTTGAGTAGATTCGGGTTCCGAAAAGGACTTTCGACCACTAAGCAGTTGGGCAGACTGACTGAATTTATGGAAGAAGCTATCTATAATAAACAATGTGTCGCCTTACTCATACTAGACGTGGCGAAAGCTTTTGACCGTGTCTGGCATGAGGGGCTAATTTAGAAGTTAATCCACTTCAATTTCAGCAGAGAAATCATTCTACTTCTTTGCTGATTTATCACTAGTAGAAAATTTTATGTTAGTTTTGGTAAGGAGACCTCTGACAGCAAAAGGATTACTGTCGGCTTCCACAAGGATCAATTTTAGGCCCACTTATCTATTTATTTTACATTGCGGACTTTCCTAAAGCCCATATCCCTGATAATCACTTTCTCGGATGCTACGCGGATGATACCGCGCTAGCAGTCAAATCTATGAGAGCAGAGCTTGCCATCCATATACTGCAGGATCTCATGTCACAGATAGAACCATGGTGCACCAAGTGGCTCATTGTTATAAATGCCCAGAAATCTCAACTGTTAATCATCCACAAAAAATTCTCCAGAACTCCTTAGAACTTTTTAAAACAGAAGTTCCAGTTGTCAAAAAGTTCAAATATTTGGGCATTACCTTGAATAATAGACTCACCTGGACCGATCACGTTACTAACGTGAAAGGAAAAGCTGTTGGTGTGACACAGCTTACGCCGTTAATAGGGAAGTACTTGTGCTTAGATCTGCACAAGAAAAGACATATTTATATTGCCATAATTAGGCCTATATTTACCTATGCCTTGCCAGCTTGGGCTGCCTGTATTAGGAAGGATGTGTCAAAATTACAAGTCGTGCAAAATGTGATTTTAAGGGCCATTACCAATGCCCATTATTATGTCTCGAACGAGACACTGAATAAAGACTTAAAGATTGAATACATGGACCACTACCTGCATAGAATGAACACTAATTTATTCACCAAGGCTCAAAATAGTACACACATGCAATATTTTAAAGTCTTTGATCACTACATACTAGAAGAAAATTATAACATTAGGCCCTTCGCCAGGCATCTGGCCAGGGATTTAAATTTCCTGACCTAATCCATCTCCTAGGTTCTCTTGATTCTATACTGATACACTTTGGTATTTTCAGTATGTTTTTAAATTTAGACATGTATTAATGTTTGTATATAATTGTAAATAGCTTGATGTTTGTAAATAAGTATTTTAGGTATCGGAAATTCCTAAATTTTGACTTGTGTTTGCACTTCAAGTTTCGCGTTACTCCCTTTTATCTTATAGAAATTGTCAGACTCGCCGCGGCATTCCTATCCATTGTTTGCCCTCACTTGTTAGTTTGTAGTTTGGTTTCACAAGGCTTGGCAATGTACAGTCACTCCCTTCACTTTACGTTTGACCTTTCAACCATCCGTTCTGACGGTCTTATGTCATCGGCCTCTAATGACAACTACTCACAGAGCCAGATATATCGCGCTTCCCGCGATATCCCAGTGATACTAGTACCGACTAGGCTAGACTGTTTGAGTAGGGATTTTGAACTTGAGTTTTTGTGTTTAAATATAATGGGTATAAAACATTTTTTTTTTTAAATCAATGACTTAAAAAAAATCAGATTTGTGTGTTTTGCCATGCTGCAGATTTATAAAAAGAAAAATTATTGATTTTTTTTAACTAGAAGTGTATTAAATTGTTTAGTTTACTTTTCCAATTAAGATCAAAAGCTAAATTATATCAAAATCAGCCATTCTAGGTTTTCATTAAAAATTTAAATGACCTCCAATATTTATATGCTTGTAACTGCTTTTTTTTTCCTCTTTCAAAATAGATATTATGTTTTCATATGAAATCAATGCACAATAAAGGTAGATTTGGCCAAGTTTAAATTGAATCTACAAATTTGTAGCAGTTTAATAGCTGATGCAATACTTCTGCAAAATATAATTTTTTACTTGCTAATGAATATAATAATAATGGTTATGGCTAGCTGTGTATAATGGATACTTTTTATTGATCATATTTCATTGTTGCTAAAGAATAATTTAAATGTAAAGGTATAAGAGCTTATTCAATAGAAGAATCATTGTATATAGTATAACCAAGGAATGTCATTAGGTTTTCTTGTATATTATTCCTGGGCTTTTTAGAATTTTCATCTAAATCATTTTCAGTTATCTTGCATTATTTTCATTTTAACATAATGTAACAGTTTATAATTATGTCTTATTAAATCTTATATTTTTATAGGCGGCAAGGGAACAAACTTAGAAGATTAATGACATTTGCATGGCCTTGTCTTTTGACAAAAAATTGTGTGGATCCTGCTACAAAATACCATGGTCACTTACTTTTGGCTAATATTATAGCAAAATTTGCAATACATAAAAGGATAGTTCTGCAGGTTTGTTTTTTGCTGATTCTCATTTATTATTGAATCATAATGCCATGAAAGAGTCACTTTTATTAAGCTTGATTAATAGAATGGAATCTTTTGAAATATTAGTTTATAATTTTGTTTTCTGTCATTTATTTTATCCAAATTCACATCACTTTATGTGCCAGTTATATATAGTATGTACCATTCCATGCTTCATTTATAATGCAGTTATATCTGTTTCATGTTTATGTGTATAATAAGCATTTCATATTATATATATAAACACAACTTAGAGCATCAATGTACATTCTTGCCTAACAATAATCTACTCACGGGTGATGCAACTAAAGGAAGAGTAAATTTCAATTTAAAATTTAAGTAATGAGAAACTACACAATTATGTTTTATTCTAAGTAATTCTAACCAGTTTATCAAATTCAAATGTTGACAGCAATAGAGCAAAGCTGAATAATTACAACCTATCAGAACTGGCAGAAACTAAACTTAGTGTGACTGCACAGGCCAGAAATATGCTCATTTTAAGTACTATCTAACCTCATTTACATTATGTTGAGGAAATAGAAAGAAGCTATAGTGAGAGCTGAAATTACAAATAACTTGTTGATTTAAATAATAACTTTATAAAAAGTACCTTTAGTAATCTTGGAATGATGTCAAGGGCTAAATGTCAACACATTACAATAAAAATGTGGAAACAATATGTGAAAACATCTTCTGTTCACAAATTTTCAGAAGATATGGTAGTTAACACCACCAAATAATTATGGCAAGTCCATGCGACAATGTGTAAAATCTAACATTGCTGTCGCAGAAATTTAGTCCCAGATTATGATGGTAAACTTGATTTTAATAATAATATACACTTAATTGTTAAAAAATTTTTAATGTTCATAATTTTTATGTAAAAAATGTATTTTTTCTAGACCAAAACGCCTCCAAATTTGGCGCCAAAAATCATTGCCAGCTTAGCGATATCTTGCAAATTTAGCTAGATAGCCATTTGACCAGATGTTAAATAGACTTGCCTATGTATTCTTGCTTTTCCAGCAAAGCCTCACCTCTTTAGATTTTCATGTTGCATTATAGGAAAAAAATACTGCAATTTCACATATAATTTTCTTAAAATTATTTACATATGTACAAAAATTCGTAATAATATACTTTGCTAAATTATCCTGCACAGCTCAGTATCTAATTTATGCGACAGAACATTGTCTTTTAAACACATTTTTGCTATATTCTCAACAAATTTGTTTTTCCCAATTTTGGCACTTTTTTAAATTTGAAAATATAACAATTGTAGTCTGCCCACTGAATACCATATGGCTGTAAAGAGATACATTTTTCTTTTTAAAATGAACTAGCATTAGTCATATATTTAATCAGAGTATATATTTACTGGCTTCCTAAATGAATAATAAAATATTTTCACATAATATTTGTGTCACTTAAGTACAGAATTTTTTGTGTAAACTCTTTCTTTCTGTAAGAATTCTTTTATTGTGATCCATAATGATAAAAATCTATGATCACTTTATTGAGCTATGTATTTAGAAAACAAATGGGAAAAAATGTGCACTTATTTTGTAGTTTGTGACATGACTTAACTCCCTGAGTAAGAAGAGTGGTGCAGGCTGTATGAGTAGGTACATGTTAAGAGTGAAAAGATTCTTTATAAATAACTTTAACTCTGGCATCTCGCAAAGTATCTTTGAATATCTGGCTTTTCACCAGTTTTCATTCAAAAATTCATAAACATTATTTCACATTTATTTGCATATATTTCATAAATATGAAAGTTATGTATCTCTAATAATGCCTGATGAAAAATCCAGATGTACACAAGATCATTATTGGCAGCTTCGAGAAATACTGTTAAGTAAGAAAAACTTACATCATTTAAAAAAAATTTGAAATTAAAAAATTTGTTTTATGCTCTGTTTTACTCCGTTAAGATATTCTGAAATGTAATTGATAGTTTGCAAGTTACAAGCAATTAATTCCTTTTATTACAGGTTTTCCATAGCTTGCTGAAAGCACATGCTGCTGAAGCACGAACAGTTGTAAGGCAAGCTCTAGAAATACTTACTCCAGCAATGCCTGTAAGGATGGAAGATGGAAATAATATGCTGACCCACTGGACTAAAAAAATCATAGTGGAAGAAGGCCATACATTAGCTCAGTTAGTTCATATGCTTCAGTTGTTAGTACGTCATTATAAGGTGAGATTTTAGTGCTTTATTCTGTTAATGGATCTTTGGGATCATATAAGGTAAATGTTTCTAGCGAAACTGTTCTGTAAGAGGGTTCATGTATGCATATGACGTATTCATAAATTAAGTTCCATTTTGAAATATTTTTATGAAAGTTTTGTATTATAAATTATGCATATGCAATAATTTCTTTGTATTCTAAGGAATCAAATGATCCTTTTCTGTTTCCTCTTTAGAATTTGGAAATATTTTCAAATCATTCTCTGAGATTTTAAAATTCTAAGAAGCATGAAAATCCCACTAAAATGTGAAATCTGTATTGTTTGTTCAGTGATGTGAGAGAGAATTTAATGAAGGTTCCGATAAAATATTGTTAAACTATCAAGTATGACTCTCGCTGTTTTTTTGAATTGCTTTTTAAAAAAAACAAGCCATCCTCCAAAAGGGGAAAGGTTAGTGCTGCTATCTGCTTTCTCATTTGATATCATTGGGAAGAAGGCAAGCTGATTTAGTTATTTTACTAGAAGAAAATGAATTATCCTGCCAAGAATTAATGTGAAATATAGGTCACTTTTTATGGCATTTGAAGGTATTCTATACTTCGGCTAACACAATGCATTTTGTTTCATTAAATTAAAACTTTTCATAACTGCAAATATTTATGGGACTGGCAGCAGATCACTGTAAGAGAAAGATAAAAATTTGTGCAAAATAAAAAATGCTTCAGTGGAGGCAAAGATTGTATAGAAAATTAATTTAAAAATTGAAGATCATGATGATAAATATTTTTAAAGCCTTAGTTTTTGACTGGAAATCTTTATTCTTTGACTATGGAAATGTTCTTCCTTTTTTCTTGGGCTATTTTTTACACTACTTTGTACTTAATTTTTTTATTTTATTTCTAGTAATGTATCTTATTTGTCTACTTGAAATATGGTCAATTCATTTTTGTTAATTATTAACATTTGCAGTATAGTCATAATTAATAAAAGATATGTCTAATACGATATGTGTACAAAATCATTTTTTGACTCATGTGTGTAACTAAATGAAACTTGACTTTTCTTTGTAACTAAATGAAACTTTCTGAAATGCAATCCATATATATATTATGGAATGTTGCGGTTTCAAAAAATTCTTTTAAAAATGCTTTTAAGCAGTCTATTGTAAGGATCTTAAGTTTTACTAACGTTTATTTTATTTTAAATCTTTACTATCACTTCTTATTTTCTACTTCCGGCCAGAATTATAAGTGTGAAGGTATTTATGCAAAGTTTGTCTGGCGAACGCCAAGTATTTAAGTTGTGGCCTTTTGCCAAGCGAGAGAGAGGAAGCAGTGAGTCAAAGCAGGCCGCTTACCTTAGAAAGTTACGCAGTTGCTGTTTGCCTTCCAGGCCCGAGGTTTTAATCCTCTTGATAAATTAAACGTATTGTAGTGTTCACAGTCTCTGTGCTACATACGCTTCCTGTTATTATAAGGCCAATCTTCCACGTGTATTATTCTAAAGTTAAATTAGAGTTTAGTTTTATTTTTATACTTTTACGTTAGACCCCGAGTGGCGGGTCAGTGTATTCCGAAGTACGGAAGTTATTGTATATAGAGAAAAATAAAGGGTTTTGTATACCCTTCGTCTGTATCCTGTCTACTTACCACAATTAGTGAACATAGCTTTAGTAAGCTCTCTGTTCCGAGTCAGGTCCTTGTATGTTCCCGAAGAAGGTTAGAAGGAACATTGAACCTGATACTATTACAAATAGTAAAGAAATGCAAATTTAATGAAAGTAAAGCAATGCATGAAAGAATGGGAGGGCGAGGTGTTAGTCAACAAAATGGTAATAAATGTTCATGCTAAAAATATAAAGCATTCAGATCTATAAAATAGAAAGAAGGAAAAAATTATATTTAAATAACTTGTAGTCTAATATATTATATATTGTATTTTTTGTAGGTCTATTACCCTGTACGTCACCATCTGATTCATCACATGGTAAATTCTGTTCAGCGATTAGTTTTTACACCTAATGCTACTATTGAACACAAAAGACTTGCTGTTGATCTTGCTGAAGTGATTATTCGATGGGAAATCCAGCGCCATAAAGAAGAGCAAGAGAAACTCCTTACAGGGATAGATAAGAACGAGGTAATTATATAACACCCATCAGTTTTTGTTAAAAATAAACTTATCTAGTGTTTTTAACAAATGCACAGTATATATGACTGACAGTGATTTGATATTAAATTCTAATTTACATGTATGTGCAGTACTTTCTGGTTAAAAGGGTGCCAGTTGTGAAAGGAGAAAATGGGGTAGCTTTTTTATCATGAATAGCTGCGCAAATAAAAGATGCAAAATTTCAGCCCTGCACACATTTAACATTGTCATACCTGCCAACTTTTACGAATTTTTCGTAATTTTTACGAAAATGCGTTTGTTTTAACGATTTTGCGATCGTAATCCATTTTTTACGATTTTTTTTTCCTTTTTCAAGTGTTTTTAGTGATTTTTTGTCGGAAATTTTAGAATTTTTGGCCAATTCAGAGATTCCCAGCGATTTTCGCCAATTGCATCGTGTTTTACCGCCAACTACCGACTACTTCGAATCCAGTGACCTGCGGTTTCTTTCTCCCAACTCGCCGCTTAACCAGGCAATCCAATGCACAGAACTTGTTTCTCCCACTCTTTTCTTTGTGGGGCGCCAGATTATTTTTTTTCGCGTTTCGCTTCAGCAGCAAGGGAATTACTCAGCTCGACGTCAGGATTGTCGCATTTTCTGTTTTGTTTTTTGAATTCTGCACTTGCTACGAATTTTCTTAATACCGTCGTTGTTACGAAATAAGTTCAAAAAAACCGTATTTTCAATATTTTCGGCCTGCCTACAAAGCCGAATTTCCAACAATTAAAGAATCCTTCAAAGGAAATAACTATGCATTTTGCAACGTGAGTGTGTGTGACTTCATAATAAGTCACGGTGGAAGAAGCGCCATTGTGAAGCATGTTAAGTCTAAAAAGCTAGAACTTCGACAACGTCTAACTAAGCATCGACAACGTCAAAGAAAGTGGATGATTTTTTTTTTCAATTTCGGCTACGAATTCGGATGCCGATGTCATTTTGGCAGAGTGTTTGTTTACTGCATTCCTCACCGAACACAACGTGCCGCTAATCGCTGCCGATCACACCGGTCAACTTTTCAGACGGATGTTTCCCGACTCCAAGATTGCTCAGAAATATGCTTGTGCTCGCACGAAAACATCTTCTATTGTGAACGAAATTGCTTGCGATGCACAAAGTAAAACGATAGCTGCACTCCGGAATTCAGCATTTTCGGTGTCAATCGATGGCAGCAACGACAGCGATCGGAAGCTTTACCCCATCGTTGTCACATATTTCTGTGATGTTTCTAATGAAATGAAAACTCATCTTTTGCGTCTTCTACTGTTAAATGGAGACGCTACGGGGGAAAATATTGCCTCCTTGGTAATTAATGAGTTGAAACAACTTAACATCCCAATATCAAACTGCATTTCATTTGGTGCAGATAATGCTCATGTCATGGTGGGTGACAAAAAGGGTGTAGCCTCTTTCCTCAAAAAAGAACAAAATGAATTAATTGTTATTGGATGCCCATGCCACTTAATTAATTTAGCAGCAGAAAAAGCTGCAGCTGTAATTCCACACAGTAATGCTGAGTGCGAGAGAGTCTTCAGTGTTGTGAAGAAAAACAAAAACTATGTTTCATTCTTCAATTTCACCAAAAACTCTAGAAAACATTTTAATTGCTAAATGTTATGAGGAAACTAATTGTTATGACAGGAAATTTTCCAAAGAATTTTTGGCTAAAGCCAAAAAATGCACTCTAAATTCATTGCAATAATTTTTTTTTGTGTAACATTAAGTTCTTGTTATGTTTCCTAATAAATTTTTTAGTTACTACTTAATTGAGATTTACTAATGCAAGTATAATTTTCTTTTTTCTATTTGTACATATTGTTATTTTTTTAATATCAAAGCATGATATTAATTCTTCGTGTTCTTCTGAATTTTGGAGAAATCTTCTGAATTTGGCGGAGATATCTTCTGAATTTTTATCTTTAGAGGTTGGCAGGTATGCATTGTATGTATTATATATGCTATGTGATAGATCACTGTTATTAGAAGTTAATTTTTTTGTGAGCATTATGTAATATTTGTTGCTGCCATCTAGTTAAATTATGCACCAGTATATGTTTGTTGTCTTGTCTTTTTATGTCTTTTAACAGAAAAGTACCAAAAATGTCTTATAATATTAATCACAACAATATTTCTTTTAGTTAATGCAACTGATAAAAGATTTTCAAATAATTAATTTTCTTATAAAGAACAAAATAGTGGCAAAACTTTCTTAAAGCAATTGTTTTGCTTTAAAAAACTTTTATTTCAAAAGCTAATTTGTTTCTTTAGCATTAAAAATAAGAAATCAAATATAGCAAACACAATAGTTTGTGTAAATAATTTTTCCTATTCTTTTACTTAATGATCTGACATCATTACAGTAACTTTGTACTGTATATAAATAAATACTTGAAAAAATTATTTTGATTTGTAAATATTTAAAATACTAAGAATTTTTAAACTGTAAAAAATAGAATCGCAGTAATCTGGAATTTCTTGAAAAACATTTAGCAACCTGTGTTGTGCTACCTATAATTTTGCTTTAATTTCTCATGTATCATCTAACTTGTCAAAAATCTTCAAATTACTGAAACGAAGTAATAATAAAATATTAAACCTCTGAGTTTAAATAAGAGACTCTGAATTTTTTATATACCATATATTCCAGTATATAAAATAAAATAATAAGAGTGAAATTTATGGTGATAAATTTAAAAGTAAAGGGAAAGTGTGCATTAAAAAAATTAAATTTCTACATATACCTAAATGCTGTTTTTATACCTTATGAACTTAAAAATTCTTATTATTGGATGACATGAAAGGTTTGTCGTATTAATCTTCTGTTATATCTTCAAGTACATGAAGAAATTCTGTTTCATCTTTTTCATCATTGTTGCTCTGATCCATAAATAAACATCTTACATTCTATCTAGATTGGCAGATATACTACATTTTTTAAATGACTAATTTTTTTGACTAATCATTATCTAGATGGGTAGATATACTACATTTTAATAATAATTAAGTTATTTTGTTAATTTTGACTGTTGTTGACTACATTGTTTAAATGACTTATGTTGCTGAATTATGCTAGGTTTAATTCCATTCCATGCTTATTCATTTTCACACTATTTCTAGACTGGCATGACTCATTTGGACTCCTTTTGTAAATGTTTTTTCACCTTCTAACATCCATGTATTCTACTGTTGTTTTAAATCTCATTTGAATATTTCATTGATATGCACATCTAAGGGCTGAGCTAATGGCGTTAGTCTGCTTCTCATAACTGCCATGTCTATGAACATGTTCCAAACTAAAAGACAACAGTGGCAACAGTGTGCTTTTGCCAAACATTTCTTACCCACAGTTTTACACCATTTTCATCCATCCATCTTTTCTTATGAATGTGAATGAAAACACCATTTAGGAAATCACATTTCAGAGGCATCTTTCTTTTAAAAATAACTGTGGGCTTTAATTTTGTATCATCTGCTAAGCAGGAAAGCACTGTAGTGAGGTGAGATTTTTCATGACCAGTTGTAATTATCTGAACCTTATTTGTCCTATTTAATTTCCTATCATATCAAACACTACTGGAGTTTCATCTATATTTGCAAACTTTTTTTTTTTTTTTTTTTTTTTTTTTTTTGCCATAAATGCCAAAAGTGACTCAAAATTGCTTGCTTTTAAGTCTTACCTTCATCATTTACATTCTTTTTTGTTCACTTTAAGGCAAATAAACATGCAATTTTCTTATTTCTATTAATAAATTCTTGTAATTTTTCATTAGTGTTAATTTTTAAATGGGAAAGTAGTTACAAAATTAAAAGCTTGGGGAAACTACACCTAGAAAAGAAAATTTTTACTGTTAACTTTAAAAATTTTATTGGAAATTATTTTTGATAGGTTCTTTAAAATCAAATTTTGTTTGAGTCAGTATTCTTAATGAAGTATTTAAAACTATTTTAATATATTATATTTGATATTGGTAGTATTCAAGCTCAAGGGTATTTTCTTTAGATCCCAGTTGAACCAGGAAAAAGAACTCATCAGTCTTGGGGATCTGTCGACCTTCAGGCTCAAGTAAGATGTTGTTTTATACAATTTGTGTAGTTTAAATACCACATGATGTGGCATGAAAATGGCGACATGAAAGAAATCAAACTAGGGATGGGAATGGCAACTTTTACAATCATATTTATAGCTTCATAAAAAGAATGACTGGTTCTTTTCATGAAACTGTGTATATCAGAGCTGCATAATACAAAATAAATACAAATAAAGAAGTCAAATATAGTAATTCAGGGATAAGAACACACGTAATTATTCTAACCAGTAGCTGTACAGTCATTCATTCCTTCTTGTTGTTTACAGAATTTTATCAGTGTAAGTTCTTGATGCTAGAAATAAGTATACCAACTAATTATTTGAAAAAGGAATGTGTAAACCTTTGAATGAACATTTCATTCTATAAATCTTTCTTCTTGTTACACAGTTTCTTGTTGCAGTGGCATATTTGTGCATTGGCAGCAGTAAAATAGGGTTTCATTTTGTGGTTCTCCAAATTCTATTTGTATGGATGATAGTTACCTCTTAGAAAAATTTAATTGTAACTGTTTGTCACTTGGCAGTTGCTAAATGATGTTAGCTATATTTTTTCTTTTTTAAATGTAATTTGGCAATTGCTAAATCATGTTATTTATATTGATTCTTTCTTTAAAAAATATCTTGGAGAGTCATAGGAATGATGTTCATTCTTGCTGCTGATTTGTATTTTTATCCTTAGTTTGTATCTGGTACCGTTGAGTTTATTCCCTTTCACCCCCCCAAAAAAAAACATTAAAATGTGTGATACAAACAATGAAATAAAAAAAGGGGTGCAAAAAAGCTGTCAGTGTCAACTCAGCAAAAGCATGTAATCAGAAAATTTTAAAATCAAATAAATAGGAAACTGAAGTTGAGGAAACTTTCCAGTAGTTGCCAGAAAATATTTTAATATAACATATTTTTTTATTATTTCTTAAAATAATTGAGCTTTTCAAGTGTAATCTCGTGCACTGTATCTTCAGTAATCTGTCTAAATTTTTTAATTTTTCTGATTATTCTTTCAATCATTCAAACTTTGGAATAAATCTAAAAATTTTTAGAATATACATTTTTAAATATTCTGTTTGTAATATATTCACAAAAAATTATAATTTCAGTTAGGTTGCTTTTTAGCATAAACTATTTTTTATTAAATTGTTTGGAATAAGAAAATATTGGAAAAAGAATTTTAAGATTACTTTTTGGCCTCCATATTACTTAATATGTACTTCATTTTTTTCTATTATTTTTTTAACAAATATATTTCAGTAGCATAAGCTAGACCATGTGGAAAACTATACAAAAATATAAATTCTCTGTAAATGGTTAATTCTCAAAAGTCAGAAGAGGTAAAACTTTATAGTTAAAAAACATTTCTAGTGTCTCAAAAAATGCACTACGGATATCGGTTTCACGGGGGAATGGTGTATACACCTGGGTACTTGGGCTGAATACCCTACTTTTATTGAACAAAATTAAAAATTACTAATTATGTGTGCATTAACACAAAGAAAATTACTAAATTTTAAAAAACAATTGAGCTATCTGAAAAAATTTAGGTGACAAGTTATATAATAAATTTTGTCACAAATAACTTTAAGATAAATCTTTAAATTATAATAAAAAGGTAGATATTAACATTTAATTATTAATAAAAAAAATCTGAAATGTTTCAGATTTTAAATTACGTCCAAAGGGGCATTTTTTTAACGTTTTGAGTGTTACCTTTATTTATTAAATATCATGTTCTTTGCACTTAAACCATAAAATTCAGTTCAAGAGCAATATCGCAAAATAATGTTAAATTAAGCATATCTTTAGAATTTCCGATATACACAGTCTCGCGAGCTGGAGATAAAAGTTTTTTTTTTTAATATAACGTTGCCATTTCTTTCTCGCTTTTAAAAACATTGAGTTTGTAAATCAAGAATTCGTTAAAGTTTTACAAAATATAAAATCTATAATAAAACAAATTCCAAATTTGGAATTTCAGATGCCCATATTCGCAGTAGGATTTCGTCATTCAAAATTCGATGGCTCTATGTACCATTGTTTTATCACAATGCGAGAAATAGACAATCATTTAAGCAGATTTTTCATTATTTAATTTCTTCAAATATAATGCAGGACTCTAACATTTTGTGGCAACAGTTTGAAAAGTGAACCGACGTTTATGAGTCCGACGCAAAATCGCAAAACGAAAACAATAGTCCTTCAGGGACAAAGCCCCTTTGGACTAACAAGTTAATATGAGATAAGAATTTAAATGTGTAGTGAAACAGAAGTCGACTAATGGGGGAAGCATCTGGTAAAAGCCTTTCAAGCTGGTGACAAATATCCTGAAAGGGAGACATACAACAATTGGAAGAATAAACAAGAAGTAGGTGTAACTCCTTCAGTGAAAAATTTAAAAGGGAGAAAGAATAAAAAGCAGGTAAAGCTCTGTAATTTAATAAGTTTGAGCCATTTAAAACAATAAATTAACAATATTAAATCAACACTGATCCTGTCAAAAGGTATAACAAGATACAAAATATCTACATATATGAGAGGAGATATATACATACTATAATGAGCATGGTTACAATATGTAATGCAAATGCTGAGTGATAATGCAGGTAACAGTAAGAAAACATCAATCAATATTTACAATTTAGTATGGCCATAGGGTGTTTGCAGTTAACAGCATCATTAATGTCATAATTACATAAAATAATAGCAGGGTTTTGAATATTTTTTGGCTTTCAAAAAAATTCCTCGCTAATTTACAATATAGCACTATGGTTTTGCAAAAGTTTTGTCCTAAAAACATCTGTTAAAGTTTTTTCAGCACTAGTTTGAATGGGAGGTTTCTAGCCACAACAGTGCCATTCAGCCATTTGTTTTTCATGTGTAGTCACAATATTTTACAGTGCTATAGGAGAAACTGGGCTGCAAGTATATTTTGCATAGGAGAGAAAGGAGAGGATATGCTTCAGGAAGGAACTTTTTTCATGGAAAAGTTTCTTATTGATTTGTGTATTGATCGGTCTGATGAGAGTGGATGATATCGTGTAATAATTTTCATTTCAGAAACAGTGTGAAAAGTGATAATTAGGCTTGCCTTTAGATCTTATTATGAGAAAGTAAATGAGTTTGATTACTTCATGAAGTATTATTTTTATATATGTGAAGATAGTTTTAAGGACCAGTGTTCTATGAATCTCTTAATTATTCTAGCCTTCTGAAAGCATGCAAATGAACATGATGGCATTGAAACGCATTTCGGATCCAACAGAAAGTAAAAGACCTAGAAATCCATCAGGACCAGTTCAGAATGCATTAGATAGATATAAGCCTGTAGATAAAGATCATGCTGATGCTGTAGTCAACTTTTTGTTGAGAATGGCCTGTCAAGTAAGTACTTTTTATTTTTATTTCATAAATAGATATTAAAAGAATTCAGCAGGTTCTTTTCTTAAATAATTAACATTTTATTTGTTTCTAGGCTTATGTTCATCTGGATTACATACTATTTAAATTCTCAAAATAATCAAATTTTCAGATTTTGGCCTATCGGAAAGCTTTTCTTCTCCTTTGTTTGCAACTACTCTCATAAGCATAGCTGCAATATTTTTTATTATGTGTCAAATATATAAAATAAAGTTGGGCACTTTCTGTCATTAATTGGTCCGATGTCAACTTTTCAGCTGTCAAAATAATTATTGTTTTGGTTTCAAGTGCTATAAATTCTAATCATTTTTGCAAATAATTTAGATTTATCTCATTTGAACATTTCATTATTAAATTAGTTTATAACATTCATTTTCTGTAGAATTTCAGTTTATAATTTCCATTTTCACTGAAAATAGCAACTTACTTTATACCACTTAGAAAATGTAATATATTTGAATTGCAAAGTATTTTAACTGATATAATTATCGAAAAGAGAAATATTCATGGGATATTTTAAGTGCATCTCTGATTATGTACTAGTATCAGCTTCTATCGCGATTTTGTACTGGGGTGAATTTGACTTATTTTATGTTAATTGTGCTTATGCCAGTTATTGGGATTTATACAATGTTAATACATCATTTAAAAAAGAATCGACCTGTTTCATTTTCAGAAAATTATTTTTTTAGCCCTTTGACAGTGAGGGAAATGAGCAGTTTTTGTTTACTTAATTCACACAGTATTACGAGTAAACAGTAGTTGAAAGTGGTAGCTGTTTTCCCCCACCGTTCTTCCGAAAATGCCACCCTTCTCTGGCGATGCCGTACATAGCTCGCCTCACATGTTTTAAAAATTTCTTAAAGTATTTGTAGTACATAAATAACAGTTTTTACATACTTCAAAATAATTATTAAATAGTAAATTATAATGGATTATAATCAATTATGTAAATAATAGTAGTTAGTTATAAATATAAGACAAATATTAAATTGAAAGGACTAAATAAATACAACTAATGGAAAACTTTATGAAGCATTTAAATATGGTAATTACCAAAAAACAGCTCGTACTCTAGTGGAACAGAAATATTTGTCACGCAAGCTTTCATGCCCACGTCACCAGTAAAACTAAATCAGCTAGGACCATGAGAACTTTATTAGTCATTTTTACACCACTGTCGAACACTCGAAAAATCTTCCTCATCACTTGAATCCTCTTCTGAGTTTGATATACTGTGAACAAAGTCTTCATCAGACTGAAAACTTGATAAGCTTTCTGTATCACAATCATAATCACCATCATAATTATCTAACTTTCGCTTTTGAGCCATTTTACTTTACCAACAGCCTAAAGAATGTGCCAAAATACGCATAAAAAGAACAAGGTAAAAAAAAAAATTCCTGCTTCATTATGAAAAGAAATTCATGAAACCCGTACTGCCATCTATAGACAGTAAAACTAACTAAATTTCACAAGTAGGATTCCTTTGTAACATAATCAGTGCAAAATAATAATGACAAACGAGCTCAGCTCATCAGCGTGTATTGGAGAAAATTTTTACTACGCGAGTAGTGCTAGTTTCTAACCATTTCGGTCAAAATCTTGCTTCTGAGCGGAACTCATTTGCGCGCATTATAAAGCACGATTTGATAGTGAGCTAAACTTGTTCATAACCATCAAAGGGTTAAATACTTACATTTTTTGCATGCATAGTAATCATATTATATTAAAGATGCATTTTAGAAGTAATGTGAAATAATGTGAAAACTGTTTTGTTATGTATCGCATTGCATTAATAAATTATGTAGGTTTAGTGTTTTTCTTTTTAAACAGGGTTGCCACGCTACCTGGAAAACCGGGAGAACCGGAGAAAAGTCGGGGAATTCGAAAATTGACCATAATATTCAGGGAAAAGTCAGGGAATTTAAGTATTTTTGTCAAAATCTGGAAAAGTCAGGGAAGTTCATACAACGATCCCGCCAAAAAAAGCGATTTTTGCGCCGACGTCGGAAGAGATAACTTTTTGGCAAATTATGTATCACGTGAGTGTCATTCGGGTAGCTGGTATAGAGCCAATTTTCGCAGCTCCAATTTGATTGTCTTTTAGAAAGGCAAAGCAAACTTTCCCCGCAAGTTTTGGTTTCCAGTATTCTCGAGAATCGCATGTGCAGTGCATGAATTAAAGAAAGTACCTGTTCTCGTATAAAACAAAATGGGTTTAATCCTAGTATACGGTACCATGGAGGTTAGAATCAAAGAATATGTATTGTAAAGAAGGAAAACCTCTCTGCAACAGACGTGGCTGTGGCTCCGTTCCATCATAGAGGGAAACAGCTGTGCATGTCTGATATATCTGTCGCCAAAGCTCGAAACCGGTGTCGAAGTTCGAAGGTCACGTTATCAAGAGTTCATAAAATGAATATCGTTTAAAATTTCTTTAACCACTTTCACTAAAAAGATGTGCCACGCACGTCGAGATGCTTTTGTCTCAAACCGCGAGCGACGTGAACACCACGTCGATAAGCATTTATCGCAAAAATGAAAATAACGTGGTGCACACGTCGCCTAACAATGAGATTGTTTATTTCTCGAGTTACTGCTCTGGATTGCACTCGCAGATGCGGAGCGGCGTAAATGAGACACTTTATCGCTTGTTATATTGTAGCGCATGGCATCGCAACCCTGAAGTTTAGTCTTAGCGCAAGTGGTTAAACTCTAAAGGAAAAGAAAATATTTTTTGGTCCAAGTAAATTAATTCGTGGATTAGTTATTTTCAGGGGGGGGAAAAAAAAAACTACGAAAATCCGTTTTTAAAATTATTGCGAAAAATCCAAGAAGAAACGCCCTTTGATAAAACGTTTCTTCTTGGATTTTTCGCAATAATTTAAAAACGGATTTTTGTAGTTTTCTTTTTGTCAAAGAGCATTTCTTCTTAACACATGTTTCTCAATTTCCTGTACACATCGCGGAGAGGGAAATTCTGGCCGCCAGGTTCCGTCGCCAAATCCCTTGGCAAATTTTCCCTCCGCATTCTAGCGGCATAATAGCATTTTACTTGTATGGAACCTTTTCTTCTTTACATAGACGTTCTTTGGTTAGAATAATAATAAGATTTGGCGACATCATGATGCACAGTAAACGGGTCATTTTGGTCTTGGTGACAATTTTCAAAATCGTGCCCAAAGCCTTACCGTATACTAGAATTTTACCGCAAAATCTTTTTAAACTTTTTTTTTTTTTTTTTAATAAATACCTTGCCATTTTGCAGTAAAATAAAAAAATAGTAATCAGTCATCTAGGCTAGCCATGTAATATAACTATATTCGCTAAAATATCGTTGATTATTCTAATTCAATTTTTAAGTAATTATTTTTATGTTATTCATATAATTTAATGTTGCTTCTTCCCTCTAAATTTATTTATTATTAGTAAATAATATTTCCAAATTTCAGGAAATTTTCTCTGGCATAATCCTGAAATTAATTATAGCAGTATGATGACATACCATCACGAAATTTAATGCACATATTTTTTCCTTTATGTATGCTGCGAAATTAATATAAAATACCTCAGTTTATTAAATTAGATTTCTTTCTTTCGTTTAGCTGCAGAATGTCTGCGAAAAAAGCCTTATTTTATTCCAGATTGGGAAGATTCTGATCTCAGTCTTCAGTGGAGAAAACAAAAACTATTATAATTATATTTGTGTTTTCAAGTGTTAAGGTGCCTTTTAAGAACATACCTCACGCAAATTAAATTTACCTAAAATCTAACCTAACTATTTAGCATTGCGTTGTGATTTATAAGGACCGGATTAGCCTCGTGTTGAATTGGTGATGATCATGAGTATTAAATAAAACATACATTTGTTATCCAATGTATATATCTTAAATTTTATTAAGTTTCTTAAGTGGAAAACTAAACAAAATTATCAAAGTATACCAAGAATAATTAAGAATAAATGTCCTCTGGGATTTATTGAATAATTAAGTGAATTTGCTACACAATACAAGTAATACCATAATTAATTTACCTCTTAGCACAGCCAACGTACATTATGCAGATAGACTGGAATTTTCTTGAAACACACCTGGAAAACCTGGAAAAGTCAGGGAATTTCATTCTCCTGTTTGAGTGGCAACCCTGTTTAAATAAATATGTTAATTTTCTATTTTACTACTGTTATAAACTGAAAAAGCTTCAAAAACATCCAAGCTCACACATGACTAATACATGTGCACATAATTAACTGTTTTGTTATATATCACATCGTATTAATAAATTATATAGATTTTTTCTTTTTAAATATGTTAATTTTCTATTTTTACTACCATTATAAACTGAAACAGCTTCAAAAAACTCACACATGTGAGTAATATATGTATGCATAAGTAACATATTACTAAAGGTTATTGGAAACATATAAATGACTGTATGATGAATGTATTTAAATCTAGTGTAGAACAGCATTAGGTATGAATAAAATATGAATATAATAAATAATTAAAAAATTTCTTCTAGCTGCTTTTCTCTCTCTGCTGAGAATACGCTATTTTCAACCTTATGCTATATGCATTAGGTTAAACTTTTAATGGTAAAAACAACTGAGTCATTTTGGTATTTTTGTGAACTGGTTAAGATTATAGATTAAAATTCAGCTAAATAATGGCAAATTTTCTCCTGTTTTGACTTTATCCATTCAAAATAGGTTATTGCATACAATAAAACATTTTTAAAAAATGTATATACACTTTTTAATGTGATATTAATCAGTTTTGTAATTCAATTTCATTTCCTGTTTCTTTCTAGATAATTGTTATTTTGTTATTTTTGTTGCTCATACGGAACTGAAATTCAGTTTCAAGATCCTCTTAAATTTACTGGTGTGAGAGCAGATCGGAAAGCAAGTATACACACACATGTGTAACCAAAACAAAGGTTGACTTGCAATAACCTTTATTATAATATATAGTTAAAATGTAATCATCTGACTGTTTTTTCTGCTGTGGAAAGAAATTTTCCAACCTTGGTTCAATAAGATTTTGTTTCATTTCTAAGTGTGTGATATGAAATTTGATCCCACTTTGAATAGCCATAGTCTTCTCACTAGCTATTGGATATAGTATCTGCTGTAAAAAATAAATTCATGAATTAAACTAATATTGAAAATTTTTAAAAGTCATAACTACACATACTGTATACATTCATACACATGCATACAGAGTGTCTGAGAAAAAGTATGACAATATTACTCGGAGTTATTTTAAGCATAAGTAGAAAGTCATGGTGAGGATGTTTTATTACATTAGATATTCCTGTATTTAATAAATTTTACGATACATGTGTTACAAACTACTGTTAACCTCTTTTAGTCATCTCGTTATCTACATTGCTTTTAAATTTTTATAATTGCTTGAGCTCTTGTTAGTTGTCTTCTTGTTAAAGTTATTTTAGTTAATCTAATTTTTATTTTTGTACTACTTTGTTTTCTTCAAGTTTAGTATATTATAAAGTTTTTATGCATTAGGTAAATGAAACATCAACTGCCACTGGTTCAACAGGGGAAATGCTTTCTCGGAGATGTGTTGCACTTTTAAAAACTGCTTTGAAACCAGATGTGTGGCCAAATGCAGAATTGAAACTTGTTTGGTTTGACAAGCTTCTGAATACTGTAAAGGTTGTTAATTTTTTAATTATTTGTTAGAATATGTATGGTATTCAAAACTGAGTCAGACATTCTTTTTGATTAGTTTAATTTACATACTTTAATGCTGTACTTAAAATGTTCTTTTAACTGATCCCAAGAGTTTCCATAAATTTCTGTTAGTATTATTTAAAATGTGAATTGAAATTATTTATTGGATAACTATAAGCCCAACTGAAAATTGGTTTAGCCTAAAAGCTGTAACTCAAACTAAAGGTTAAATGATAGCTCAAAAAATAAGATGCTAAATATAAGACAAATATGATACATGAAAATTAAGAAGGTAGTAAAAATATAAAGTATCATTATATATGAAAATTAATTTGTAATTGAAAATTATTTTGAAATTTGTCATCATGATTATTTTGAAAATTGAAAAAATGTATTTTATTTTTTACGAGCTCAGCTCACTGTATGAAATGATTTTATTTCAGGAAAGTTCACAACCTAATTATGGAAACATATGTACTGCACTAGAGTTGCTTGCATTTTTACTCTCAATTTTGAGAAAAGAAACTGTGTTGACAACATTCAGACCTTTGCAACGAGGCATTGCTTCATGTTTATCATGTAACAATTCAAAGGTAAATTTTTAACTAATTTTAATTAAATTGTTAATTTTATGATTAATTTAAATCATGTGCTGAAGTAATTTAAATCATATAATTTAAATTGCTGTAAGAGATCATATTTTTTAAAAATTTTATTTGTGCATCCACATTATTATTTTATAGTGTATGCTGCTTTTGGAGTGCATTAACATAGTTAAATATTATAACATACTTTATTAAGGATTCTAAAAAAATTCAATTTTAAATGAACTCTAATAAATAAGATATAATTATTTCTTAAAAGCACTTTGCTTACAAAATTAGACTTGTAAAATCAGTGATAAGCTACGTAGGGAAGTCAACTGAAAACCATAAAAGTAGAAATAAAAATCCGCATATGGCACCAGTGAGCTGTAAGTTGGCATGCCTGTTTGCGATAGTATGCCGGATGTCTCCTAGGTGGCAGAAGCACAAACACCAGCACAACAACAGTTCCAAAATGGCAGCCCCACTAGCTACATGCACCAGCGAGGAGCAGCATTCTGTGATTCGGTTTTTGCAAAGGTGTGAAACCGATTGAAATTTTTAGGCAAATGAAGGTTCAGTAGGGAGATACGTGTTCAGTATGGAGCAAGGAGTGGCGCTACTCCTCATCACCGAAACACAAAAAGTTTCGGACACAGCCGTCTGCAGGGAAGGTTATGCTGACCCTCTTTTGGGACGAAAAGGGCATCATCTTGGAACACTACATGCCACAAGGAACTTCTGTGACGAGTGCTACGTACTCGGACCTAAAAAATCATCTCCGGCTTGCCATCAAAACGAAACGATGTCGAAACTGTCAGCCGGTGTGCTGCTGTAACACAACAATGCACGGCTACATACGGCGCGTGCAACGGTTGCGACCATAACAGACCATAAATTTGAATACCTCCCACATCCCCCTTACTTGCCAGATCTCGCACCGAGCTATTTCCATCTGTTTGGTCCGCTCAAAGAAGCAATGAGCGGCAGGAAGTTCCACTCCAATGAAGAGGTACGCAACACGGTGCACGAGTGGTTGCGCCGTCGCCCAAAAGACTTTTTTTTTTCTGCAGGTATTCAGGCTCTTCCAAAGCGCTGGCGGACTTGCTTTGAACGAGGAGGGGACTATGTTGAAAAGTGATTTACTTCTGTACCCTGTGTGACCAATAAATAATATTTAAAAAAATAATTATAGTTTTCATTTGACTCCCCCTCGTATAATGTTGGATGCATCATATCATGATAGATATATACTGGTATAATATTATGCAGTGCGCATTCTGATAACAATTCACTACCAATGTATCAGCTTTAATAGAGAGAGGAATTTTTTTTTAAATTTAAAATTCCTTTCTTCTGTTTGTATTGAGTTTTGAAGTGTAAAGCAATTTTGGGCCTAAATGACAGCATAACTCTAAAGGTTTTTTTTTTTTTTTTTTTTTTTTTTAATTCAGATCCCATTTGTTATGTTTAAAGCAGTTTTGGTAATCAATTTATTTCCTAGATGGCACCATTAAAATGTTATTTTTAATTGAATGTGTGGGAAAATGGTAGAAAAAAGAAATGATTAAAACAACCTGCCCTTTAAAAAGTAAATTGCCAATAAATGCAGTAAATTGCATACTACATGATTACCCCAATTTTATTATCTCTGGTGATGTAATATATTTCTTCTATGTATTTGAAATGATTAAGAGTTTAAATATATGTTTAAGTGTTACATAAAACTGAAATCTGATTGCATCAAAAATTACCTTTATTTTGAAATCAAAATGAATATTTCTAATTAAAATTTAATTAGAAATGAGTTAAAATTGCATTAAAACATACATTATCAAAATATGTTATATAAATAAATTTCATTGTCAAAATGATTGCTGAAATATAAAAATTTGTGCTTATAAATTTGTCCTCATATCTCAAAAACTTTGCGAGTACTTGAGTGATTATTGATATTTTTGTCTATTATTGTTAAGATTTAAGAGCATAGCTAATTGACTGACAGTGCATTCAAAATAGTGTCTAGCTATAAAATCACCAATCAGGTTTTTCTTGCCAAGAATGGAAAAGGAGAAAAAAATCTTTGTATTTAGTGCAGACGATTAAAAGTATTTGCAAATGATGTATTCATTAAATAAATACTGAGAAGGAAGGTGTTGTAGCCTAAAACATTATCATGTTAAATTCTAAGCCATGTAGGTGTGTAAAACTGTAGCATAATTGTCTTTCTTGTGCCACTGCCATCATATTCTACTGATTCATCTGTGTACTTAGCCCAGAATTAATCTATTGTAGCAGAGATAAATGAATATTTTATTTATGTTCTCATATATATATATATAATATTCAGGAGCAGGAATTTTGATGATATAGAAGTGTTGATCCATAATGACTAGAAAATTGGAGGCGAATGCAGATTATATCTTCAGTTTTATTTTCAGTAGCATGTTAACGCTACATGCAAGTCAGCACATTAAATGTGCCTGTTCCAAAAGGCTTACATTTTTGATAACTTTGTAGCAAGAAAACAGCAGCAGACACAGCAGTCTAGCTAGACCAAAGCATGGAAAGAAAGTGTGTAACGTTCAGGATGAAATCTCAAGTCAAACTAAGTTAGTTTTGGTTCTCAAAGCATTTTGATTCGATAGTTAATATTGCTGTAAAATTATTATTGGCTGCTTTAGTTCAATTTACATCACCAGAATTATGTAAGAGTCATGTGACATAGATTTTTCTTGAAATGATGCAGTGAAAATAGATGTTGCTATTTTTAGAATAGAGAAAGGAAATTAATTTACGCTGCTAATTTAATCTTTTACATATTCTTTTTCTTACATATTCCTCTCTTCAAGAAGAAAAAGGTGTAGCGACAGAAAAGCTTTTTTAATATATATATATATATATATGTGTGTGTGTGTCATATTCATTGCATGCATTACATTTCTTATAAGTGTATCTTTTAAGATTTACCTTATTAAATTTCAGGTGATACGATCTGTCCACAATTTGTTATCTCGTTTGATGAGCTTGTTTCCTACTGAACCTACAAATTCCAGCGTTGCTTCAAAATATGAAGAGCTAGAATGCCTCTATGCAGTTGTTAGCAATGTTGTTCTTGAAGGCTTGTCAACTTACGAGAAGTAATTTTTAGTTTTTAATTTTTTCTGTGATCTTTCTTCATTTGATACTGTTATTGTTATTTTACAATACTTTTTTTTTAATCTTAGATCTACCACTGCATCACCTTCTGCATTATTTGCCACTTTGATGATACTGAAATCTGCTTGTGTTAACAATCCATGCTACATCGATCGTTTAATTTCAACTTTCATGCGTGTATTGCAAAAGATGGCTAAAGAACATCTCGCTCCTCCTACTGCTGAAACTAATCCAAGTAATTATTTTTATTCTCTGTTTGCAGCAAATTTTATAATTCCAATAATTAGATTTGTGGAATATATATGATCTTTAGTAACTATGCCATTAATGAACATTTTTGAGTTGTTAAAAATTGTAAAAAATGTTTTCATCACTTCAGCCATTTTTTTTTTCAATTGTCTTAAGGACGTGCATTTTTTTACAACTGTATTACAGTCTTTCTGCTATTTTGTGACAATTTAGCAATACCACCTTCCAATTCAGCAATACCTTTGCTTTCTAAATGCAATATTTTTACTTTGAAGATGTTTTATTTAAAGAAATTAATTTAATCTGCCTTAAAAAAACTTGCACATATAGATTGAATAATGTACTTAGAAATAATTACTGGCATTTGCTATAATTTAAAAAAACTACTAAATTATTTTGGAGCTGCTTACAATAAAATTAGTCATTTGGTAATGATAAACTATATTGTTTTCTACAAAAGCAGTTTTACCATTTTGTATTAATTTGAAATTTAGCTTCATTGCATCATTGCACAGAACATTTAGTCATTTCAGTCAATATCTTGATGAACATTAGTGGCCTGAGCTACTCGTATATAAAATATTATTGGATTAAAAATTGATTTTTCGCTTGTTCCTTTCAGTTCCGTATATTTTTAATTATATGGCATAGATTAAAAAAGTAAAAATGTTTATTTAAGTAAAATTGTTTCTAAGTGTGATTTTCAGGGTGATGTTTAATTGCATATTTTCTCAGATTTGACTGTATGTAATATTTAAAAAGGGTTGCTGTGTATATTAAAATAATGTTTGTTCCATAGCATTTTTTATGATATGTAATTTTGTCTAAAATTAGACAATCTAAACATAAATTGAAAGAATATCATTGCTGTTCTGAATGAAATCATTATTGGAGTAGCTAGTAGAAATTAAGAATTTTAGTGGTAATAAAACAACAGTCATTTTCTAATGTATGCTGTAATTGAAATTAACTGATTTAAATTAAAACATGAATGAAAATCAAGTTAAAATGTAACAGTTGTATTATTGTATGTAGTTATGACACCTGTATTAAACTTGGAAGTGCTTGTATAACAGAATCAAACTACACGTATGCACAAGTTCTAACGGGTCTCAGAATGATTATAAGGTGGCAATCTACATGACTAGACATTAATTGCAGAATAAAATTAATATTGAAGAATTCACAATTTGGTTTAATCTGATAGGAACCACAATTTTCTAGCGGGTAATCATGCTCGTAACTTTTATTTGCACTTACCATTACCATTTGGACAACTATTCTGCTGGACTCTTCTGCAGTAACCAAGTTTATCATGAGCCAGTAGCCAGCCCTGCTAATTTGGAGCTTACTTCTTTTTCTCACTCACTTCCATGATTTTGAAGAAGATACTATTTACACAGAAGCTTGTCATTTGAACTATATAACTTTTTGAAAAGAATGAGTTGTTGTGTGACTTAGAGGTAAAGATGTCATTTAAAATAACTTGTTACTAAACTAAACTAAACTAAACTTACATAAACTAAAATTAAATTGCTACGTAGTCATGTTATCATATATATACGTCTTCCAATTGAGCTCAAAAACAAGAGAGTTGTGTAATTTTGTGATCAGTTTGAAAGGTATTTTAGCTTCTTGTTTGTATTCATATCTGTAAATAAGCATATTTAAATAATGTCCCTCTTATGGCTTTTTTTTTTTTTTTTTTTTTTTTTTTTTTTTTTTTAGTGGCTACTGATTTGTTAATTCTTAGTTTGGATCTTGTTAAGAATCGTGTTGGAGTTATGGGTCAGGATATGCGGAAAACATTCATTGGGACTATCCTTGTTGGATTAATTGAAAAATCACCAGATGTTAAAGTTTTAAAAGCATTGACCAAGATGGTGGAGGACTGGGTTAAAAGCAAGTCGACCATAGCTGTAAACCAGAGCCCCTCTATACGTGAAAAATCTATTCTTCTTGTAAAGATGATGCAGTTCATCGAGAAAAGATTCCCGAATGATCTCGACTTGAATGCGCAGTTTTTGGAGCTTGTGCATTATGTTTATAAGTAAGAACAATTTTTGTAAATACATTTTATGTATGCTAAAATAAAATTGTATAAAATGTATGTGTATGAGGGGGTATTTGTGCATTATCTTTTTGATTATGAAAGTTGATAGAGATCCCATCTAAATTGTACCTGTCATTCCTGTGGAATTGTGAAAGAATTTATTTTACAAACAATTGGTATTTTACGTACTGTATTCATGAAAAAACATTCATGGATTTTTACTCTTTTGTTAGACTCTCTAATTTTACCTGAAGCTCTATTTAGAACAGTATGAGTACAAATTTCCTGCAGGTAATTGTTCCAATCTGTTGTTGTTTTTTCAGCCATATCCAGTCATTCTTTTGTTAGCCATCCAGCCTTTCTGCCAGATGTTAATAAACCAAAGCACAGTCATGTGCTGCATCAGCATTGTTTATCAGTTTAAAAATAAACTACCATATCTTGTCCGTTAATGCACTTCTTTTTCATGGTCCCAAAACTATGGAAAAAAATCCCACTGCTTGCTATTCTGTAGAAAGCAGGTTCCAAATTTTAATCTTCTCTCCCTCCCCCAGAGTGCAATTAAAAAATGCAGCAATAACAGATATTTATAGCCTGGTTCATAAAAAGAAAAGGTGGCTTGTTGAAAATCAACTGCGTTACGCAGATGAAAATGCAGATGTTGTGGGTGTTTTACTGCACCATGCTTATCCATAACTGGCACTAAATTATTGGCAGTTTCATAATTAATGGGATGATACATTAACCTTTTGAGGCCGGGGCCTTGGTAGCAGTAAAAGCCTTGAAAGGATGGGGAATCTTGAACCGAATGCTTTCCCCCCTTTAAGAAATCACTTCCTATATGCAACAAAGATCCTTGTAGTTTAATGGATTCTCAGAGGGGTGCATTTATGTCACAAAAGGAAGGGAAATGTAGGGATTAGTGACAAGACTTCAAGATGCTTTTTGTTATTGAGGGAAAATTTCATGCTGCAATCGTTCCGGAATGAGACTATTGGGCGTTGCACAGATGGAAATGTATAAACTTCCATTAAACAAAATGTAATTTTTATATTATAATGCATTAACAAAAAATTTGTTTGAATTTTAAATTACACTACAAAATTATGTGTCTGTAGAAAGGGCTTACAGTAATTATTTCTGTCGTATCTTTATATTAGTGTCACAAAATTATTTCAACTATTTGATTATTTCATGGACAATTTTAAATTATCTAGTCTTCATCTCGGACCTTTTTTTACACTGTTAAATTTCCTTATAAATTTTTATTTGGTTTGGTATATATCATTAACTATAGCTATATCTTTGAACTTTCTTCTATACAAGGAATAATTAGAAAATAAACGCTGTATAGAACTGATTAAAAATTAAAGTTCAGTGGAACTTTTAAAATTATAAATAAAAGGCACAATAAAATTTTATTTTACTTAATTGTTAAAAATCTGCTTGATAGCATACTATTTAAGAAGGAAACTTTCAGGAAATTAGAATATATCTGGTTTATCTTTATTTTGTTGTAGATTGTTAGTATTGCAATGTGTAATTACGTGAGTGTTTCTAATTTACATTCATTTCTTTTCCAAAATATATGCAGAATAAAACAGAAGCTCCAAAACTGTTTTTAGAATATTATATTTCAGTTTTAAAAATTAGAAAAAAGGATTATTTAATGATATAACCATTTTATACTATAATTATTTTTTGTTGTTTGACTTCTGAATCAGCATTTTATACTATTTATTGAAAATTAGTAAGTCATATATTTCAAGTATTAATAATAGAATAAATTCAAGATGTTAAAAATGTCAAATTATTTGTAATGCGGACCCATAATTCAAAACACCACATTTACTAGTAAATTGGACTAGTCTTTTTATACTAAATTCCCTGGCTCACTAGGGGAACATGTTCACTACGGTATCAAAATTAAAGTAATTTCATAGTGCAAAGAAGTTTTCAAATTGAAGGGAAAATCGTTTGTTATGTATAGTTTTTAAAGAACTGCGGGAAAACGTTACACTATACTTAGTTGTTTGTCTTCAATGCTGTATTATATTATTCTATATTTTATTACGCTTACATAATTCAGCACATTAATAGAAATTTCCAGATAATTTCAGGTGCCCAGTCAACAAAAATCTCTCCTGTTTGAAATCGTCGTCGCATGTGAATTTTTCTATTTCCTCTGTTGTCTTAACCAGTTCGTTTCATCTCCAGAATATCTTTGTAGCAGCTTTGATATCAACCATGGTGGCATATTTTATACAGTGCAATTTAAATTCTGTGATATATTAGTGAGTTACTCAAAAAAACTTCATTTTCAGGTCAAGTGAAACCTATACTGACACAGTTGAATTGACCGTGTTTTCCGTTTTCTATCGAAAATTTAGCAACTAATTCATTGGTTTCACTAACACCTTGGTCCTCACCTATTATCAAAATTATTTTATAACTGAAAGGTCAAGCTATGCCCTCAGATATTTGTCCCTGAGCATAGTTGTTGAGATATGTGTCTATTGAATGGCAAAGGTGTTCAATTTGTTAAAAGGTCAAGGTTCAGAAATTGAAGGGAGAATCACATCTGTTGTCTTAGAACAATGATTTGTATATTATATGACAGCTTTTACATCCCGTTTGTATTGTCGTAATTCAACGGACAGTGACATTTTGCAAATGCTACTCTAATTTATTCTGAACGTCTTACTTCAAAATTATTTGACCGTGAAATCGCGACACTGATACAAAGGTAGCTTTTAAAATGTGCCATCACTCAGTAATGTGTCATCGAATGGCTAGAAATGAGCTCCTGGGAGAAACACAATGAAGAAATTCCTCTTTTCTGTGAAGGGAAAAGCTTTCAAACTGATTCACTAGTTTAGTATATTTACAGTTTCCAATTGTCAGACTGAAATTATAAAGCTATTTTTCTTTGATAAAAAATTTATATTTGTGCTCATGTGATTTGTTTGAACAACAAATCCATCACAGCAAACTTCCGTGTGTGAAGGTCACATACGGAAATAAAAACAGAAAAATCTGTTAAAAATGAACTGATAAGAATGTAAGAAAAAAACTCCGTGTACTTGTATACAGGTACGTGGGAATTTATATTTGTTTATGGAAAGGGATACCTACATATTCATGTAGTAAGTATGTCTGCATTTATATAATATGGTATAAAAACAGGTATATGCATAAAGCGGAAAGCATGCGCACCCTTAAATGGGTATAAAGTATATATACACACGTACATGTACGCATACAGGCACACGTATGCATTTATATATATGTTTTTGCGTGTGGATTTATGCATGTATATATATACAGTCAAAAGTCGTTAATTCGGACACCCATAATCCGGAATGATCTATAATCCGGACCTCAAAGCTACAAACTTTCTGCGCATGCGTCGCGTTCACGCATGCGCACAGGCGTTTACGAGAGCGCGCAAGACCCTTACGGCTGCGAATATGTTTGTGTGCATGCGCGTTTAATGTGTAACGGAGTTATACGCTAAGCTAAAGTTATCTAATTCAGTTAATGTTGCAGATTGCGTTGTTCCTTAATCTTCGAATTGGATCCGACTTATTATTTTTTGCAGACTGTTAGAGCAATTTTATAAAAGTAAGCTTGAACTTTCGATTATGTCAAATAGAATTTCCGATATATATTTACTACAAAGCGAAAGTATGTTTTGAAATCCGAAATCTGTTTATCAATGGATTGGAAGTTGATCTGTCAACACTATCCTTATCTTCAGAGCAGATGTTTTTATTTTATTTGGATTATAATTCCGTACTAAGTTTAGTATTTCATCTGGATGTACTCCGTCTTTGATATGATTTAAATCAAGTTCCTCGTCATTATAATTCGCTTCCGATAGTGAAGAAAGTGACCCAGAGGTTATTGAAAACGAAAACATTTCGATTGACAAATTAGTCGGTATTCTCAACACAGCAATTATAGGACTTGAACAGCGGAACTTTGTAACTAAACAAGAAATTATGTCTGTTTAATGGAATTAAAGAGAAAGTATTATCACATGAAACGAAGCAACTTACATTGAAGGAAATGTTTAATAAAGTAAACAAATAAATATTAAGTTTTTTCTTTTTGTAAATTTTGATACCCTTTAGATCATAATTGTTCTTTATTTCATAAATTACGGTTTCATATTTTTAATTTTGTAATTTTTGCATGCCATCTTACCAGATTTAAACTGATGATCTATAATCCGGAAAAATCGATAATCCGGAATCGCCGAAGTCCCGACGAGTCTGGATGAAAGACTTTTGACTGTATGAAGATATAGATATATTTAATTATATACATTTGTGTATATATATAATAATTTATTTCCTAAACAGTATTGATTAATTGATTATATTATCTCCTAAGTGTATATATATATTTAATTATATACATGTGTGTGTGTGTGTGTGTGTGTGTGTATATATATATATATATATATATAATTGTATACGTTCTAGTATTTTAAAATGTATATAGTTTCTTCTCTTTATGATTTTGGATCTTGTAGAGGACCTATTGATTATTTTTTAAAGATAGGAAAATAGGAAAGAGATACTGAGCAGTTTATTACAGAATTAAAAATTAGTTTCAGGATGATATAATTGTTAATTTTTATAAGTATGTTAAAAAGAAATATTCTCATTTGCTTTCGTGGAAATTTTTGGAGCAAGTAACACAGAGCCCTACGTCGCATTTTTCGCAAGCATACGTTGACCGCTTCCTTATTCCTCTTCTCTAACAAGCAGCGCATCTTCGTGGAGTTTTGTTTTGAATGGGCCAGTGACCTATCAATGGAATTGAATCTGAAACACTAGCAGAGGTGACTGAAGCTTCTGAATCATTGAGGAGTTGCTTTATAAGATTTTTTCTAAAATCTGCGAAAGATAAGTCTGAAATTTTCATTTTGCACAGAGTAAAGGAGTTTAAAACTGCTAGATCGAGTAAGTGAAAAAAGATTTTCTTTGTCCATTTTAAAGTTTTTCTTCCGAATGTATAACTATTTGCCATTCGGTCATTCAAGTCAACGAATCCCATATTTTTGTTGTAGGTTGATACAATTTCTGGTTTTTCCATTTTGTCATGGGCTGCAATGGGATTGTGCATATTGCTGAGCATAAATACTTCTCTCTTGTCTTTCCAACAAACTGCAGTCATTTCTGATGAAAATTTTATTTTAATTTACCCTTTCTGCATTCGGATGCCAGCATTCAGTTTCGCATAATTTTTCCGATTGCTGCGAATTGTACCACAACTGTTTATTTTATATTTATGCAGGAATTCATGAAATAAATCCTGTAAAGAAAAGAAATTATCCATAAAAAGTTTATGTCCTTTGCCTTTTACACTTTCTGCTAACAATATTACCGTGTTATGAGAGGCACACTTCCCATTGTTTGACTCGTAGGAATCTTGTCTGAGGTATACTTTCATGTCATATGTGTAACCATGGTGGTCTCCAAGCTTATAAATTTTAATTTCAAAACGCTTATGCTTTTTAGGAATATATTGTTTAAAAATTACTCTTCCCTTAAAAAGAACAATTACTTCATCTACAGCCAGTTCTTCAAAGGGCTCATATACTTCCTTGAAATTGTTTCTCAAATGCTCAAATATATGCCTTATTTTCCAAAATCGATCATAATTAGGATCGTTTCTGTCTGGTGGTGACATGTTATCTTCAAAGTGCAGAAAATGAAGAATTTGCAAGAATCTATCTCTATGCATAGTTTTATTAAAAAAAGGGGTTTCAAGCATTTCGTCTGTCGGCCAGTAATCTTTTATCTTGTCTTTTTGAATATGCCCCATCAGCAATATCAGCTCCAAAAAATTTAGCAATTCATTTTCATTAACATCTTTCCATGTAACTGTATGTTTTTTTGTTTTTAATTCAGGGTTAAAACTGGAATTTTTCCTTAGTATTTGTTCCGCATAACGATTTGTTTCTTTGACAATTCTTTCAATAATATTTTGGCCGAAAAGATTTTTGAAAAATTCAATCTCTTTTGTAGCTTGAGAAGCAAGGCCTTTTTATTGTTTCTTCCAATAAAGTTCAAAGCATTTACCTTGTGGTCAGGTTCTGGTTCAAGCCATTCAAATTTCGAATCAAAAGAGAATTTGCCCACATTATCAGTTTGTTCATCACCGTAATTTACCGAATCTGTTAATAAATATGAAATTTCTTCCACATCCTCATGTTCACTTTTCTATGTCCAGCTCACAATCGGATTCGCTATCTCCGTAGTTTTCTTCATTAAGCTCTTGAAGAAGCTTTTGTATTTCTTCTTCAGTTAGCTCTCTTTTCCTTTTCGGCATGTTTCGAGAAAAATCAAACTCCTAGAAAACTTACGAAAATATGCAATATTCAAAAGCAACGTAAAGCTCTGTATACAATTTAGAGACGCAGTTATCGCGAATTCTGTAGCTGTGTAGCTACAAGAACGAAAAGGGAAAAATTGGGAAAACCGGATCCTTAGCACAAAGACCTTTCAAGGAGATAAGTGGTTAAAACCCCAGGGACATCAAATTTGACATTTCACCCCACTCTTTCAGCCTGGAAAGTGGAGGGAAAAAGACATGGTCACTAAAGTGGACAACCCCGTCTTTTCAAAGACAGGTTCTATGGCCACTATAATGGCCATTTTGTCTTCAAAAGGTTAAGTACTATATATGCATGTATATTTGTATAAGTTTTCTATTTGTATATTTTTTTGAAATGCTGTTTTAGTGGTATGCAGATTTATGCTGAAATGCACAGTAATGATTAAGTAAGGGTTATTAGCAACAAGTATTATAAAATCTTGTTGAAAATATTTTCAAGGAAAAAAATTATTCTTTTGATTAATCCTATTCATCATTTTGTGTCATATTTTATAAAATTTCATTAAAATTTTTCTCTGAAATAAATGGCTATTACTAAGGCTTTATATTACTAATTTTATAAATTTAAAATAATAATAATTATTTTTGAAATTCAAAGTTTTCAAAAATTCTTTTGTGCTTCAAATGTAGGGAAAAATTCAACCAGATGTAGAAGAATACCGTATTTATGCGAATCTAATGCGCATCCCCATTTTAAAACTTTAAATAATAAAAAAAATTGTTTGTCAGCGAATGTAATGCGCATCAATGGTATGAGAATTTATTGAATCTTATTTTATACAAATATAGATTTGTATATAAACTATCAATCAATGGTATGATAATTTTATTTAAATTTAGATACCATATTTTATACAACAATGGATTTATACATAAAGTAGCACAACATAGAATTAACCTATTAGTGGGCTATTGTTATGTGAAACAATCATTGTTAATTAATTACCACTACCGTATATACGGTACCTATCGTAAAATATGAACATGAAATAAATTGTAACATTTCTATAGCTAACAGTTTCTACAAACTGTTATTAATAGTTAATCGTCTTCATTCACTAATGTTTTCATCACTGGAATCCTCGCAGCTGTCTTCGTCAGAAGCAGATTCATTTCTTCTTTCCTCATCGTCATCCTCGGCGTTCCAGAGCACGTCATCTTCACTGCCATTCAATGAATTTGAAGTGCAGCATTTATTGAAAGATTTCGCAATCATTGGATCTTACATGCTTTTCCAGGCAGCAGAAACCCAGTGTGCAAGCAATGTGCGGTGCAGTACGCTTAATTTTTCTTATCAGGGTCAATTCATGGTTTGGCTCACAAAACCATTTTTCATACTCCGCCTGAACGTACCTTTTAAAACGTTTATTTATACTAACGTCCAGTGGTTGTAACACAGACGTCATCCCTCCAGGAATGATTACAAGATCCCTGCCTAGGCTGCGCATGTTCTTTTTCGCGTCGGTGGTGAGATAACCACGAAATGCTTCCAGACAAAGCATTGATGGTGGATTGAAGAGCCGACCGAAACGGCGTTCCCATACATTTCGGAGCCAATCAAGCATTAATGATTCCGTCATCCACCCCTTCTCTTGGTTTCGAATCAGGACATCATCTGGGAACAGCTTTTCATTCTTAAGGGTTTTAAGGCTTGTTTTCCGTTTGAAGATTAAGAAAGGGGGAAGTTTGCACCCGTCTGCTGTTATTGTCAGCGTTGCTTTACATATCCCCAAGTTTTAATGATAACTTCCTTAGTCCCCTTCTCCATAAAGGTGTAGTTATGAGGCATATCAAACCAAATTGGTGTCTCGTCAGCATTGCCAATTTGCCCCATTGAAAAATTCTTTTCCTTCCGAAGTGTGATGACATACCGCTGAAATGTTAGTAGTTTTCCCTCAAAATCTGCAGGAAGCTTTTGGCATATTGTTGTACGGTGTCTTAGACATAAGCCCATCCGCTTCATAAACCGATCCACCCATCCACGGCTAGCCTTAAACTCTTGTTTTGGTATTCCAAGAACTTCAGCCTCTTCTTTTGCTTTATTTCTTATGGTGTCACTAGTCACAGGTTGTTCATTTTTCTTCCTTTCACGTACAAATTCCAAAACTTTTTCTTCAATTTTAGGGTGTCTTCCTTTGCGAGAGCCAGTGAATTTCTTTCTACTAGCTTTAGTTGCAAACAGCGCCAATTTCTGTTGCCGCCACAAGCGAACACTGCTCTCAGCTACGTTGAACTCTCCCCTGCCTTTCTATTGCCATTTTTTTCAGCATAAAGAATTACTTTACGTTTGAAAGTAGCGTCATATGACATTCTCCTCCGTTTGCCCTCCCTTTCGTGACTACGTACTCTGCAGTTTGTATCCTCTATGCAATAATGTGTCAACGATAAATGTAACGGTAAATCTAGTCGATAAATACGGTAATCCATTGTTATGATTTAAATTTGGTTGACGTCATCGGCGAACTTTGCACTCGAATCTAATGCGCACCCCAATTTTGAATATTACATTTGGCCAAAAACGATGCGCATTACATTCGCGTAAATACGGTATTCAAGCTTAATTTGCAATTAATTTACATTATTATGGATTTCCAATTTAATAATTTTCATTTAAATCACTCTTTCTTTCTTCATTAATTATTAATTTTATTTTCATTTTAATTTAAAACTGGATATAATAGTATGAAAAGCAATTTAATTTTTCTTTTGCTTTTTTGTCTTTTTAAATGTTCAAATCTGAGCTTGATTTATTTTAATTTCAATTTTCTTTTACAGAGATGAAACTCTAAAAGGTACTGAACTACAATCAAAATTAGAACCAGCATTTATGGCCGGCCTGCGTTGTGTGCAGCCTCATATACGATCAAAGTTTTTTGAAGTATTTGATAGCAGTATGCGACGCAGACTTCATGAACGTTTGATGTATATTATTTGTTCTCAGAATTGGGAGACAATGGGTCCTCATTTCTGGATAAAGCAATGTATTGAATTGCTGTTAGTTACAGCAGTTGATGGAACTACAATTCAAAGTTCTACTCCAAATGTGTTACTGCCCTCTATTACATCCGTAATTGAGCAAGCTGATTCTCAGGAAAGAACTAATTATTCCATGACTGCTTCAGTGAAAGAAGAACCTGCGGACATTATATCTGTGGAATCACGAGAGGATGTAAGTAGTTATTTTGTAAATGTAGCAATACCTTGCATAGTTTGAACAATCACTTTTACCAATATCCCAGATTGTTTAAAACCAGACTAATCAAGGAACATAATACGCACAAAAAATAGTAGTGTCCAAAAAAAAATTTTTTTTTTAATATTGGTTTTCATAATTCATTTTTTATTCTTTAAAAACTGCAGTATTGCTGTCTTTGCAGCTTTCTTTCACCTTCTCTCTTTATACATTTGTTTTTAGCCATGAATTGTACTGTTTAGCATTCTAGAAATCGTAAGGCTAAGTTCAGTGCTAGAATCATCTTCTGTAGAAGTTCAACTGAAGTTCTTTTGAAGAGTTTCAACCATTCTAGTAATTTTTATAGTTTTTCAGCTGTCAATTCTCATGCAGGCACTTCAATGAAGTCTTCATTGTCCTGAGTGAAAATTTTTGTTTTGCAGTTGGAGGGGGGGGGGAGAAATCTGAATCAGATTTTAAATTACGCCCAAAGGGGCGATTTTTTTTAACGTTTTGTTTGTTACCTTTATTTATGAAATATTTTCATTGCATTTAAACCATAAAATTTAGTTCACTATCAATGTTGCAAAATAATTTTAAAATGAGCATATATTTAAAATTTCCGGTACACAGTTCCGCATGCTGGAGATAAAAAAGTTTTTTCCCCCCGTAGAGTGTTGTCGTTGCTCGCTTTTAAATCCTTGAGTTAGTTACTCAAAAATTCGTTAAAGTTTCACAAAATAGGAAATTGATAATAAAACAAGTTCAAAATTTCAGATTTGGCCTTCCATATGCCCATATTGGCAGTAGGATTACATCATTCAAAATTCGATGGCTGTAGGTACCGTTGTTTTATCACAGTGGGAGAAATATACATATATTTATGCAGATTTTTCATTATTTAATTTCTTCAAATATAATGCAGGACTCTAAGATTTGGTGGCAACAGTTTGAAAAGTGAAGCGGCCATTTATAGTGATTCAACGCAAAATCGCAAAACAAAAACAATAGTCCTTCAGGAACAAAGCCCCTTGGACTAAAAAAAAAAAAAAGACAATTGCCAAAGAAAGTTATTGCAGCGCAGCACATAAATAAGGCCAAATATACATATAATGAAAACAAAATTGATTAGATGAAATAAGTAAAAAAATTAATTTCTCGCAGCTTATTTTCTCCATCATGGAAGAAACTTGCAAGCCTGAAGAATTATGTGTGGGACAATACTAAGGTACCCTAAACCTTCAAGGATGATCCTCTTGGTGAAACGTTTGGGGAGGGGGTCATGATCTTGGAATCCTAGTAATTTTTTTCTCCTTATCTGTTCTTTTCCATTTTTATCCCCCTCCTTTGTGGTTTTCCTTTTCAAATTTTGGATCTCAAAATGAGAAGCTGTCACATCCCTTTGTTTCTAATTTTTCATTGAGAGAAAACCATCTAAACATTTGCCGTGCATTGGGACCTGTAAGGCTGGAAAGGACGGTACTGGTAGTTGAGAGGCAAGGTACTGTCTCCAACATATTGCTTTGGCCTCTGCTTCATATTGCATTGGGAAAGTACTCAGCTGTTCTCGCTTGTGTCAATTGGCTGGTCAAAAGTGTTATGAAGCACGTCCTGAGGGGCAGATCATTGCACTGTGCTTTGTGTTTACAGGACGTTAGTGCATTCTAAATCAGACTATGGCTGAGCAGTTTATGGTTCACTACAATCTTCTGTAGTATCAAAACTAGATCTTGTTCACCACTAGGCTTTTTGGGATATGTTCTGGAGCATTTAGAACTTCTCCCTGTTTGTATGTTGACTCTTTTGAATCATCTGCCCATTTAAAAAAAGCATGAACAGTTGTCATTATTTTCATATACTTTCACAATCGAAATATCTTAGTAAGTCCAATTTGTATGATGACTTGTTTGAAGCACGACCATCATGTGTACCATTTTTCCTTTTAAGAGTATGGCCACTGATTGTGAAGAATATCTCTCAGCTGACATGAATGCCCAAACAGTAAAGCACTTTAAATGCACAATTCTGGCTGTTATATGTTTTCCATCATTTGAATAAAAGCAATATGAACGACATCATCTATACATAAGACAGCGGACATAAATCTAGTGGTTACATTCCATGTATACTGATAGCTGAAAAGCAGCCTATCATATTGGAACATCTTCTGTTTGAGGAAAAGGAAAAAAAGAAAATTGTTGCATGGGGCTTGCTCAGTGCTCACTTCCGAGTTAACTGTTGTGTACTATGCTCTTTCACACATATCAAAACTGTTTCAGGAAAAACTTATTATTTATTGTAACTCATATAGTGTATTATAAGCTAGAAGCATTATCTGATATTTGGAATTCTGTAACTATTGAAATCATAAGATTGCATTTAAACTTAATTATCCATGAATATTGTGATTCTTTACTGCTGTTTTCTGGACATATAAGGCATTAAGGGAAAGGAGCTGACGAGAGTGAACTGTTTGTCTGAATTGCAATGTTGTTTTACTTTTTAACTGAGTGCCCTAAACTGAACAGACTTCAATCAAAGCATTTCAGTAACTGCGATTTTCCTCTTGATCGAATAATCAGAAAAGAGGTCAGTACTAATTTATTTCAGTACCTGAAAGAAACAAGTCTAAGAGGTCAGTACTAATTTATTTCAGTACCTGAAAGAGACAAGTCTAAGAGGTCAGTACTAATTTATTTCAGTACCTGAAAGAGACAAGTCTAAGAGGTCAATACTAATCTATTTCAGTACCCAAACAAGACAAGTCTTTGTTATTTAATTTGATTTAATTTTGAAGATATTCCTTGATACTTTTACAATGTACATTTTAATGTATATCATGTTTTTTGATTTTTTCCTTATTTGACATCTGAAATCATCTGAATTTTATTTACTTGTTCATCTTAGTATTTATCTTTTTATTACCTCCCTTGGTTTTATATTTTTGTTTTAAACTTGTACTTAGTAAGATTTAACATATGTCTGGTGCATATAACCTTTTAAATTATGTCTAAAAATCACTACCATGAATCCAGACACAACTTCCATCACTGCCATGGATATAATAATTAAGTTAAAAATATATAATTAAGTTAAAAAAATAAGTTTAAGATACGTAGTTTCTTCAATTTTTTTGGCCAGATATTTCTCATTTTTCCATGTTATTTCCTGTTGTGGAAGAAATTTTCCAACCCTGGTAAAAAGTGTTGAATCTAGTCCCCAATTTCCATCCTGACGTATTAGTGTGTACTTTTATATATGTTTCTGAAGGACAGAGACGTTATTTTATAGATATTTTTTTTAGAGTTTAGTTGAAACATATCAAATAGTCACTAAGCCGAGTCCTGCATTTGTTTAATCTTGCTAATCTAATGTTTAATTGCTAAATCTAATGTTTTGCAACTTTATAGTGATATGTTTGTATTCATGTTGAAGGGTATTTATGTATTTAAGGAAAGGATTTTTTTTTTAGGAAGAAATTGATATTGAATTGTCAGCTTCTGATGAGAGTCATAAAATGATGGATTCTCTAAGTCTTAAAAATCAGGCAGACAGCCGATCAACTGCTCAAAGCTTTTTAACTAAGCAAGCAAAATTTCATGAGACATTGCGAGAAGTTAAAACAATAAGTTTTCTTAACGCTACTGCCCAGTTATGCCATATGGATACATCTTTGGCTCAGCATCTATGGATACAGCTATTTCCTAGATTGTGGAAAATTTTGAATGATAAGCAACAAGCAGTTAGTATTTTTCAACTTATTTTTTGTTGTTTTAATTTAATCTCTTAAATTCATAAGTGGATGGTTTAGTTTCATTATTTTTAGGAACATTTGTGTGCTAATTAGAAAAATAACAAAATACAGTCAAAAGTCGTTAATCCGACTCGTCGGGACTTCGGCGATTCCGGATTATAGATAATCAGTTTAAATTTGATAAGATGGCATGCAGAAATTATAAAATTAAAAATATGAAACCGTAATTTATGAAATAAAGAGCAATTATGATCTAAAGGGTATCAAAATTTACAAGAAAAAAAAGCTTAATATTTATTTGTTTACTTTATTAAACATTTCTTTCAATATATGTTGTTTAAGTTGCTTCGTTTTATGTGATAATACTTTCTCTTTAATTCTAAAAACAGACATAATTTCTTGTTCAGTTACAAAGTTCCGCTGTTCAAGTTCTATAATTGCTGTGTCTACCGACTAATTTGGCAATTGAAATTTTTTTGTTTTCAATAACCTCTATCACTTTCTTTGCTATCGGAAGCGAATTATAATGACGAGGAATTTGATTTAAATCATATCAAAGATGGAGTACATAGAGATGAAATACTACATTTAGTAAGGAATTATAAGCCAAATAAAATAACATCTGCCCTGAAGATAAGGATAGTGCTGACAGATCAACTTCCAATTCATTGCGCGCCGCGGCCGCAGCGTTAAAGATAAACAAACGTTAAAGTTTAGATAAACAAAGGATATGCCTTTATCCATTTTTTTGCAGCAATTCCACTTTTTGTTTAATGAACTTCGAAATATACTTTAGCTTTGTAGATCCTTTACATATTAATAAATATATATCAGAAATTCTATTTGACATAATCGAAAGTTCAAGCTTACTTTTATAAAATTGCTCTAACAGTCTGCAAAAAATAATAAGCTGGATCCAATTCGAAGATTAAGGAACAACGCAATCTGCAACATTAACTGAAATAGATAATTAGATAATTTTAGCTTAGCTTATATTGTCCGTTATACATTAAACGCACATGCGTAAACGTATTATGCGCAAGCACACTTGCATATACGCATGTGTAAAAGTATTACGCGCATGCGTGGATGCATTATGTGTTGGCGCATGCGCAGAAAGTTTGTAGCTTTGAGGTCCGGATTATGGGTGTTCGGATTAATAACTTTTGACTGTAGCATGATTTTAAAATTAATTTAATCAGTGTTTGGCTATTAGATATGCTTTTTTAAATTTATTAAACATACAGTAAATGGGATACTCGGATAAAAATGGATCTTAAATAAATGTCAGAAGAAAAAAAAAAAAAATCTGAAGATATTTTTAAATATACATGTGTGGTAAAAGACTTCTTATAACTCTATAAAAATAATTTAGCATTAGGTGGTGTGATCTTGGATAGTATGCTTTAAATGAAATTTTAAAAACTTAATGTAAAATAACTGATTTAAGTAATAAAATATAAAAAGTTAGTTTATTATGATAGTCAGTCTGCTTTTGCATTCATGTAAGTAGAATTGGTAACTTCTTTCCATTATATAAACTAAACCTATTGTTGCTTTGATAACTTCTATACTCTTACCTTGATTTAATTTCATGGTAACTAATTGTTTAACTCATTTGCAAAATATGCAATTCTTTTTTATGATCACTACATTAGAAGTTTGGTTAGAAAAAAAAAAAAAAATTAAAGAAAGTGGCAAGGGTAATACAAGATACAAGAAGGAAAGTGTTATAACTTTCGTATATTTTTTTGATTCTGTTTATAATGGAACATGGAAAGTGTTTACAATTTGTAAATGATTTTCTTCAAAGTGAAGGTATGATGGAAATGTGTGAAACTGAATGAAGAAGCAGATATTTATCTTAACATTTGTGAATATCAAATTACGGTGGCATTTAGAAGAGAATTTTCACTAAATTCTCCTCTAATAGCATTAAAGTATTATTTACAATTCCAAAATAACATACCAGTATGCAGCTTATTACTAATGTTAACTTCTAACATTTTTTGCTGTACAAAGTTCCGCTTATTTGTGTTGTGCAATTTTTTATTGTAATTTTTTATGTGTGTTTGTGTATTGATGTTATGTATGTGTATTCTTTTTTAATAATGTTAAGATTTATTGTAAATATTATTACTGCTATAATCAGCATAATGGGTAAGTTATGCTGGCTGCCATTTCATATGATTTGATTTTGTTTTTGAATCCTGGAGAATGCATGCATGTTTGTAAGCATTAAGTATGCATGCAGCGTGAGGTTACTTAAGATACTGGTGAGCCAAAATTCCAGTTGTACTTAGGTAGCCAGAGGGCACGAGGCTCGAGTTATACTTGGATAGAGCTTTGCTCCAGAAACCTGAGTCTCATGGCCTTCATCCACCTAAGGACAAGAGGACTTTTGGCTTGCTAATGTTTTAAGTTGCCCCATGCTGCACACACACTTTGCACTTATGAACATGCATGCCTTCTCCAAGATTCGAAACCGAGCCCAATGATATGGTAACCAGCATTGCTAACCCACCATACTTATCAAGGCAGTAATATTTTAAAAAATATTATTATAAAGTTCCCTTGAGTGGTTTCTTGGTACTGGAAGAGGGGTGGGAGAACCCTGGATCTGCCCATCAGGTGTTCTCCATCTAAACTAGCGAGTAGATGCACACTTTAATGCAGTGGGATTAACTGTGTACAAACATTGGATAACTTCTAGTATCCTGCTCACTTTTACCTATACCAGTAAATGTTATTTTCTGTGTCCCAAAAGTTAAATTCATTGTGTTATCCAAAAGTACAATTTTTTTCTTGACCAATTTTTTTTTTTTTTTTTTTTTTTTTTTTTTTTTTTTTTTTTTTTCTGGCCTTTATGCTATATTTTAGTGGCCTTAATTTTTAAGTTTTTTTTTTTTAGGTTTGTTATCCTGATGAGAATGGATCCATACACAACTTTTATAAATCTTAGTAATAGCAGATTTCGATATATTCAGTAATATTTAAGTTGATATGAAATAATAAGATTTGGTTATAAAATATGTTAAAATTGTATTAGGATTTCATGTTTTGTATTGCTGCTATATTAACTGAATTTCATTTTTTCTCACTTAGGCTTTGAACAATGATATGGTACCTTTCATATCTAGTGGTTGCCATGTTATCCAAAAAGATTGCCATCCGAGTGCTACGGCTACATTTTTTGAAGGTGTATCTTACTGTGTACCCCCAATCCCTGTAAAACCACATCTTCTTTTGGTAATATTAATTTGTTTTACTTATTTATAATGTTAGTTTAAGTTGTACTTTTTTCAGGTAGAAATATTCTTGAACAAGATTTTTAATGAAACAAATGTTTAAATGTTAGCTTTACTTTTCTCATATATTAACTACAAGCTCACGAGTAGCTGAGCAGAAAGGTGAATGAACACTGATAGTTTTACTTGGGTTCAAATCTCGGTGAACAATCTGGCTGCATTAGAATTTTTGTGATTTGTTCCATTGTGTAGGGTAAATATGAGCAAGTTTCCTTACATTCTCAATGAAGACACCTCTTTCCTAAGGCAGATAGCCTACATGTGCTTTGCCACAAACCAAATAATCCTCATATATCAGTTGCAACCATTATCGTAGTTTTTAATTTTATATTTTTTATATTTTTAGTAATTTTATTGTATGCAAGAAAATGCATAATTTCTGAGAAGTTGAAGACTTTTTATACCAAACATAAAGTATTCTTATGAATTTTGTACATAGATAATTTCAGTGAAATTGTTGTATTTTCTGCATGATGTAGCATGAAAAGCTTGAGAGAAAAGATGTTCTGCCAGAAAAATAAGAACACAAGGGCAAGTCTATTTAGCATTGAGTAAACAGCTGTCTTGCTTCTTTGATGAGATATTGCCATGCTAGCTATGGTTTTGCCAAGAAATTACCAAATGTTGCTAAACTTGGCAATTTTTTTGGTTCAGTCCCTGTATAACTGTAAAGGCTGTTGTAATTGAATAACTGTAATTGATTCCTATATTACCTCTAATTGTATCCAGCCCTCACATGGCTTCCAGTAATTGAGAAGCAGAAAGTACTGAAGATTTCTCAATGGCTGGGAGAAAACTATTAAAGACCGAGAGAGAGCATCAGTTTCTCAGTAGTTGTTAGTTCAGAGCAACTTCAGACTATTGAGATATCTATGAGAGCTTTGCCTTTGAGATGCAATTTGCATTCAGTTGTGTTTGAAGCTCCTGATAGTTTGAAGTGTAACTTTTGTTTGTGCTTCTGTGATACTGTGAAGAGCTGTATGAGTATTTTTGTGGAAAATTCCGAACCGTGAAAAGTTTCTTTAGATAAAATAAATTTTAACAAGCTCTCGTCGGTTCGCTGTGCATTTAATCTATTACAAACCCATATGCATGTAACACTATTAGGAATGTCATAGTATTACTAAGGGAAGAAATTTTAATATTTTAAAAGTATATAAGCATAATAATTTTTTAACATGCACTGTTTTTTATAAGTTCGTTAATAATCAAAAATTTATAATTGTATATAAAATGTGTATAAAATTGTATATAATTAAAAAAAAATTTTTTAACATTTAATCAGGTATTTTTCATTATAAGTGACTAAAATTAATATCCTTAAGTTGCTGACGGAGATTGACTTCTAAGTTAATTGTCAAAGGGAAATTTAGCAAATTGAATGCAATCATTGTCATTTTTATTTTTCGTTGAAATTCTGTTAATATTCAAGTGCATTTCTTATAAATTCTTATTATTGCTATGATTTTCCATAACAAATGACGTAGAATATTTTGTAGCTTTTTTTTTTAAATAACTTTTATAATTTTTTTACCTTTGCCTTTCTTATAACTAACATTTTTTTTAAACTTTTATTTAGCTGAAAGCTTTATTTATTTATTTATCTTACTTTCTAATGATTTTTAAATTAAAACTGTATGCATTTTAATCTATTTAATGAAGAGCAGAAAGCAATAAATATAGGATAACGTTGTCTTTGAAAGCAGAAAAATTATTTCTTCTAATGATTGTAGCAATAAAGTGTATGTTATGTCTCTATTTAAGGTATTTAATGATTTGAAAGAAAGACCTAGCTCATAGAGCTCCCCCCCCCCAAATACAAGATAGAAACTGTGATGTAGTCATACCACAAAAGTGCATTTTATAGCAAATAAATTAATATTTATACTATAATTTTATACATCATTAAAATGAACTATGTGTAGATAATAGCTATAATTTGGGAAAATGTATTTATAGGGATTTTACATCAAATGTTTGAAAAAGCTGAATAATTACTCATTAATTCTAATACAATAGTTACTCATTGATTTCCAGTACTCATTGCTTGCAACATGCTTACTTAATCCAATGTAATTCCAAAACAGTTTTCTTTTTTAAAAACAAAAGTTTTCCCCAAAATTGGCATTTTCGTTTTAAATTTTCTGCTAATTTATTTAAATAAAGAAAAGACTACATTATTTGTAGTTTTTTCTTTATTTCCCTAGAAACTGGGGGAACTTTACTAATGTTTCTAACATAAATAACAATTTTTTTAATTAGGTGTAAAAGCAACTTTTGATTAGTATAAGTTACACCGATTGGTACAGGTTGCAAATAAGAAAATTGAACTGTGTTTGATGGCTCTCAAATTTGATAGTTCTAAAATATGTGCCAATCTAAAGTAGCTTTTATTGCCTAATTTGTCATGTTTCCTTTCCAGTTAGATGTAATAAGAGACTTTTTAAATAATTTTCTAGCTTATACTCTTATAAACTTACATACATAAAATTTAAATAATTGCAAAATGAATGATTGCCTTAATTTTGGCACGGCAGCTTTACTTATAATATCTAAAGCAGGGGTGGCCAACTTTTTGGTGAAGAGTGCCACTATCTAAGGGGGGGGAGAGTTGTGTGTGCCTCTTCCAACTTTTCCAACTCACTGAAAAATATAAAAAGGTAGAAAAAGGCAAGTCTGAGTAGAGCACATTTAAAAAATAATACAGTAAATAAAACAAACTTACAAACTAGGGTTTTAATGTTAATAAACATTTTTAAATGTTCTGTCAGTTAGGTTATGTATAAAATAAATATAAATAATTTGAAACATTTAGTTCTAAATAACTGTTAAACAATCGGTACTTAATTAATGTGTTTTTTGAGTATGTAGTTTTTTTATTAAGTCATCTATATTAGAATTAGTTCTTGATGATGCTAACAAAATTAGGTGTTTTAGGTGCATATCAGTTAACCTTGAATGATATTTTTATTTTATTATGTTCATAGCAGAAAACATTTGTTCGCAAACATACATATGTTCATCCAAAGCTACCACAACAATACTTGGCAGCCAAATTTTGTAAATCTGGAAAATTGCTTTGTTGGTACAAATTTCCGAAATTCAATATTATTTGGATCACTTGCACTGGAAAAAATTTCTGTGTATTTGTTTTTCAGTGTACTGTGCTCAGTACAGTACACTGTTACTGTGTATTTCAGTGTACTGTGTAGGTCAAAAGTTTCGATTTGGATTTCAGTTGGATATCAAATTGCATCTTGCCTAGAAACTGAATTATTATGTTTATTTTAATGTGTTTATTGTGTGTATCTACGACAGAATTCATACAGATGATGTTATTATTTATCAGTAAGCCTTTGTGTGCCACATGTTGGCCATCCCTGATCTAAAGCATGCGTTACCAAAGTTTTTTTGGGGGGGGGATGATGTCTCCTTACTGCCAAAACTAAAATATCCTGTACTCCCCTCTTTGAAAAATCAATGATCTAAAAAGAATATTTTCATTTTTCAGAAAAGGGACTAAGATGAAAGATCTTTTTTTTTTTTAAGCTAATTACTCTGATGTTATATACAATGTTAATTTTTTTTTTAAATATTCAACTAGTAGACATTTGAATTACAGATTAGCTTCACAGAATGCAAATGTAATAAATAAAAAAAGTGCTTAACAAAAGTAATTTTCATTTGAACCATGTTTTATTCTGTGAATTTCTGAAATATCATGTAGAATCTGTTATTATTAAATTTAACTTTGTAGATGACGCTGCTATTGCAAAAGCAGATTCATTAAGCATCCGAGCATTACGGGTTTAGCCCTGAAATTTCAAAGTTCCTCAGAATGTCATGAATAAGTGGTATTTTCTTGATTTTAATTAAAAAATGACTCTGATTTTGTACCTTGATTCCTTTTCTTCTAATATACATCCAAACCGAAATCAGATACATTAAAAACTAGCAGAAATTTTCATGTACAGTCAAAAGTCTTTAATCCGGATTCGTCAGGACTTCGCCGTTCCGGATTATTGATTTTTCCGAATTATAGATCATCAGTTTAAATCTGATAAGATGGCATGCAGAAATTATAAAATTAAAAATACGAAATCGTAATTTATGAAATAAAGAGCAATTATGATCTAAAGGGTATCAAAATTTACAAAAAAAAAAAAAAAAAAAACTTAATATTTATTTGTTTACTTTATTAAAAATTTCTTTCAACGCGCGCATGCGTAAAGCATACATTACGCATAGGCGAAATTAGAAAATTGCAACCAGAAAACTATTTGATTTGTATTCGTGATATTTATAATGACGAGGAATTTGATTTAAATCATATCAAAGACGGAGTACACCGAAATTAAATACTACATTTAGTAAGGAATTATAAGCCGAATAAAATAAAATCATCTGCCCTGAAGATAACGATAGTGTTGACAAATCAACTTCCAGTTCATTGCGCGCCGCGACGTACCCCCCCCCCCCCCCCCGTGCAGAGCAGCGTGAAATTGATTAAACAGATTTCGGAACGGTTAGATAAACAAAGAATATGCCTTTATCCATTTTTTGTAGCAATTCGTTTTTTGTTTGATGGACATCGAAACATACTTTCGTTTTCTAGATCCTTTGGGAGCTCCAGCATCGGAAATTCTATTTGACATAATCGAAAGTTCAAGCTTACTTTTAGAAAATTGCTCTTACAGTCTGCAAAAAATAATAAGCCGGATCCAATTCGAAGATTAAAGAACAACGCAATCATCAACATTAACTGAAATAGATAATTAGATAATTTTAGCTTATACCGTCCGTTATATATTAAACGTGCACGCGAAAACGTATTCTGCACTTGCGCAGACGCATATGCGCAGTGGTAAATGTCTTGCGCGCACGAGTAAAACGCCTATGCGCATGCGTCAATGCGGCGCATGCGCAGAAAGATTTTAGCTTTGAGGTCCGGATTATGGGTGTCCGAATTAACGACTTTTGACTGTATTTTGAAATAATTAAAATTTTATATGCTATCATCATCATTTTTATTCGTAGCCTTAAAAGGAATTTTTCAAAAAACACTCTGCGTTATGTCCCCCCTTTCCTAATATTTTTTCTTCCAAATCTGTGCATGATAAATGTATTTTTAACAGAATATTTGATTTTAAAAATTTCCTTTTTGACAATTTAAGCAATTTATGTCATCTTCATAATGACCACATAGAAAATATTCCCTGTAAATTATCAAGTTCTTTATATTAATAAAATCCTCTCCTCAACTTGTACGGCTGTTCTTTCATCAAAAGCAAATTTTCTTTGGAAAAGTATGCAAACAATATCTGTCTTTTCTTGTTTATGCAACTGTTACAGTATGTCACAACAGTACAAGAAGATATACTTTACAACAGAAAATTTAGGATGGAAATTAATTAAAAATATCTGTACAAAAATGCTTAAATATTTAAATTGCTAGAAAACAAATATATGTGATTAAAATTAATTTGGAATGCCTATACCAGTAGAAAAGTGCTTCATGACAAAATAGAATTTTTGTTTTAAATGCATAAAGCTTTCTGTTGACTACTACTATGATGACTGCATCAGCAAAGGGTCAGTTAAAGGAATGAACTAATTCTCTTTTATCCTGAGGTCCACTAGGAGGAATAAAGAGGGAAATGTGTTATTTTCAGTTGAAGAAGAGATCAGTATTCAATTTCATAAATAAGTTTATTTTTATATATGATGACTGTATCAGCAAGGGGTTCTGTTAAAGGAATGAACTAATTCTCTTTTATCCTGAGATCTGCTAGGAGGTATAAAGAGGGAAATGTATTATTTTCAGTTGAAGAAGAGATCAGTATTCAGTTTCATAATAAGTTTATTTGAATAATATAATGAGTTATATGAATATTGTTTAGAGTATTCTTTCTTTGTTTATTAAATGAAATCATTATTTTCCCTGATATTTTGAAAATAGTACTACTTTTAATTAAATTAATTTTTTCATATATTTTTTCTCTTTAGTATCTTGGCAAGTGTCATAATTTATGGCACAGAACAACTTTAATGTTAGAACAGACCTGTTTTGAAAAAGGTGTTTCTGTTCAAGTAAAATCTCGGTCATTGTCAGATATAGCTGATGCCGATGGCTCGCAGAGTTCATTAGTATGCAACCCACTAGATGCTCTTGCTCTGATGTATGCCAATTTGAAAGAAGAAGATTTGTGGGGTGGTCTGTGGCAGAAAAGAGCAAAATTTCCTGATAGTGCTGTTGGCGTAGCACTAGAGCAGCAAGGTTTCTTTTTACAGGCATTAGAAACATATCAGAAGGCTGTATCTAAACACATGGAGAGCGGAGCACCCACTCCATATTCCTTAAACTCTGAAACAGGTTTATGGTGGGAGCACTGGATAAGGTAAATTTAAAAGAATAAAAATATTATTTTAATTATGAAAAAGATTTTATAGGTAGATCCAAACATTTTCAGATTGATTTACTTTTAAAAATATCTGATAAAAACGCCTCATGTCTTCCTTGTGCAGCCTATTAAATTATACACATTTTTAGCTGCATTTAAGCTTATATCTTCAAATTTCATTAGAGATATATTTCTAATTCAATCCAGTTCTTGTTTTTCAGCATGACAAAAATATATAAAAATTCAATCTTCATAAAAAATTGTAAAATACAGAAAAACCTAAAACACCAAATGCAGTTAAAAAACAGTCCCCCTCCCCCAAGTTACAGCTTCTGCACAAACTTAATGTTTGCAATTGTGTTTCTGCACGAAAACAAGCAATTTGGCCAGTGGGCAGAAAGACAACATTTTTGGTGCATAAAAATTTAAGATTAAAAGATTTTTAAAAATATGAAACCCGAAATTTTTCGCTGTTACAGTACTTCCTTTTAGTTTGTGAAAATAGAGGAAATTTTAATAATTTATTTTTCAGTGTAATCTTGTACTTGAATGCATTTACTCTATTGTTTATTAAGCAGCTTTAAGACCCTTATTAAATAATCTGAAAGTTTGTCCTCAAAATGTTCCATAAGTGCTATTTTTTATGCCATCATAATCATTAACTGTTTCTAAAAGGTCAGATTTCATCTCAGAAAACGGAGGATAACCTTTTGAAGCTAAAATCTGAGCTGTAAGAGAGGTGGTCAAGCTCCCTAAATCCACATTGCTGTTTTTAATTGCATTGACATGACCCATCTTGCAGAGACAATGTCCATATAGAATTGCAAAACAATTCTTTTAGATTGATCCGATTTTCTTACTATCTCTTTCTTTTAATCTCCTGTCACTCAGTATTTCCTCTTGCGTACAAGCTCTGTTCTCCGATGTCAAAGCTTCATATGGTGTAACCTTCAAGAAAATTATTTCGTGAGCATTCTCAACCCATGCAAAATTGTTTTACCTGCTATGTCGCTGTATTTTACCTATTCTGTCATGAATAATGTTTGATTCGTCGTTTTCTTTCTTTCTGATTAAGATCTTTAGAAAAAAATTTATAATAGAGTAATACACAGTTTTAAACATTTCAGAACTAACTAGCATACCACTTTATTCTGTAAGCATTCAAAGAGGAATGTATATGATTTCTTCCATGAAAGTTATAAATTTATTCACTTAATACTTCCACTATTTGCCTGCAAGAAGAATTTATTACCAAACTTTTTTATATATGAGGGCAAAAAATTTTGGATCTACTTACATGCTAATAAATCAATATCTTTAGGTGTCATTAGTTGTGACGTGTAGAAGATCTTGAGGGCCCTGTCTTAAATTTGTCTTTAATTTATAAACCTTTTATTCTTTCTGTTTGTTTATTATTTTAAAAAAAAACTGCATGTCTTGCATATCATAATCACAAAATCATATTAAAGCATGAAATGAAAATAAATTTTATTTAGGATTTCTTTGAGATGACTTTGAAAATGAAAGCTGCATAATGAAATTCGTAATAATGTGAAGAAAGTTAAATTCAATATGGTGACTCTCGCTAATAGTAGCACCGAAGCTAAAGAGCTTTCAACTCGCTGAACATTATTTCCACAAGATGTTCTTTGATCACGACATATTTCTGATTTTATAATTTTTTAAAAAATTATCATTTATTCTTAAAAACTTTCTACAAGATCAATTGAGGGGTGAAAAGTAGAAAATAATGTGTGAAAGTCTGTGACATAAAATATGTCGCAATATTAAAGTTACTTCTTATGTTATTTACTTTCTGTTTTTTTTTAATTAATTTTTTTTAATTTTTAGCCCAAAAGGAAGGTTAGTTCTGAATGAGATATTAGTCTTGAAATGCCATTTTATATCAAAGCACATATGTGTTACATTACTTTTCATATTGTTGCTACTAGATGTTTATTTGTTTATTTGGGCCACTGAGCTGACTTCCGACCTTAGGCAAAATGCCAAACAGAATAAATCAGCTCAGTGGAGATATCTACTACCAGCAGCCTCCACCCACCAAGGTAATGGCTGACAGTCCAGTGGCATTTATTTCAAATTTCAAATTTTGCATAAAATGTCAGTTACAGTCAGTATATATCTTTTCACATAATTATATTCGACATTTGATGTAATCACCAGATGTTATCACCCTGCATTATATTTAAAGTAATTAAGTAATGAAGAGTCCACATAAATATATGTATGTTTTCCAGACTCTGAAAACAATGGTACCTAGAGCCATCCAATTTTGAATACCATAGTCCTCCTCAGGAATATGGGCACCTGGAAGCCCAAATATGGAATCTGGAATTTCTTTTAGTATTGTTTCATATTTTGTAAAACTTTAAAAAATTTTTGATTGACAAACTCAACAATTTCAAAGTGAGCTGTGACTACACTGTACGGAATAAAACATTTTTATCTCTAGAATGCAAAACTGTCTCTTGGAAATTCTAAAGATATGCTGTTATTAAATAATTTGTGATATTGCTGTTGAATCAAATTTTACGTGGCATAAGCACCAAGAACATGCTATTTAATGAATAAAGTAAATGCACAAAACATAAATCTTCTAAGTAAGTTAATAATAAATCTTCTAAGTATACACTGTGATTTATTTTATTGCTCAGGACATTAATATGTGTGCATATAGTTGCCCATTTGTAAAAACCTCATGGTATTAAATATTAAGTTCAGGGTATTAAATATTAAGCTGCATGTTTGTGACTAGCTACTGTCTCAGAGAAGTGGAAATTTTCACATTAATATAGTAATTTATATTAATATTACTGTAATTAGTTAATTTAGGGCTATAATTATATTTTATACCATATATTAGCATCCTAAAATGTTATGTAAGAAGAATTTTGCTTCTATTAATTTCTGCTTTATGCTCCTTACCATTTTAAATATAAATACTTTCAATATTAAAAAAAAAAATGTTTTCTGTTCATCTATGAAATTGTTAAATAATATAAAGGAAGCAGAAAAATAATTAAAAAGCTTGTAAATTTTCAAGTTAAAGGAACATCAGTCTATATATTAGGGCGAGTCAAATGAAAGTGAGCCAACCCCTCCTCAGCAAGAATGGTTTGGTCCATCATCTGCGGCGCATGCGCGTAGCACAGAGACAGCCTTCATTTACGAAAGTGGCGCGAAAGTGTGAGGTTAAAGTTTTTTAAGGCGCTTTTACACGGAGTTGAAGACGGTAGCGTGACATAATGGACACTCCAAAAGAGGAACAGCGTGGTGTGGTCAGGTTTTTGACAGCTGTGAAGGTGTTTCCCAACATGAAATTAGTCGCCGTATGACTGCTGTGTACGGTGAACATTGCATCGCATTGGCCACTGTTGAATTCAACACCTCCGAAGAAAGCAAAGGCTGTCATTTCCTCGGGAAAGGTGCTATTGACTTTTTTTTCGATCGTCAGGGGCCATTACTGATTGAATTTGCTAAACGTGGAGAGACTATCAATAGTTTGCGATATTGTGCAACGCTGGATCGACTGCGTGTCGCAATCAAGAACAAACGACCTGGAAGATTGACGAATGGTGTGATCTTGCTACACGACAATGCTCATCCCCACGTCGCTGATGTGGTTAAGACACAACTGGCAAAGTTCAAGTGAGACACGCTGCAACATCCTCCATACAGCCTAGATTCGTCGCCATGTGACTTTCACATTTTTGGGAAACTGAAAAAACATCTCAAGGGTACCAGATTCGTGTCGGACGACGCCGTGAAGGAGTCGGTTACAGACTTTTTGAATCGACAGCCCAAGGAGTTTTATGAGACGGGGATCACCCGGCTCATTTGTCAGTGGGATAATGTCTCAATGTTCATGGAGACTACCTTTAAATAAAGTACTCTGTTTGTCATATATTCGCATTGGCTCACTTTCATTTGACTCGCCCTTATACAAGCAATTTTCAAATTTTATAGTTTTTAAAAGCGTATAAAATTAGTTACATGAAGTAGTTTAATTTTAGTTGAACTATAAAAACTTTTCTCTTTCAGATGTCAAAAAGAGTTGAATAATTGGGAAGCGTTACTCCAAGTAGGTTTATCACCAGATTCATATAATCCTTTCCTTGTCTTGGAATTTGCATGGCGTCAACCAAACTGGACAGCTATGAAAGAAGCTTTGGATCTGGTGAGACTCAATACTTGTGCAAATGTGTGTTGAATAACTCACATTTGCACTATTGAATAACATTTCAGGATTTCTTTCCACAAATTTACACATTTGCTGCTATAAAGATACTGTTTGTTGTGTGATTTAATTATGAATGCATTATCTAAATTTAAATTGATGAAGGAATTTTCATTTTATAAACAGAAATAAGTTAACAAGAGGATATTGTTTTCCCTCTTAAACATTCTGTTTAGTTAAATTAAGAAAAGATTTTGAAAGAAGGTCTTTTTTCATATAGGGGCTAGAAAATCATTGTGAAACAACAGTCACTTTATAAATAGCAGTCATAATGTAGATCAGTGATTTTAAGATTGGATTCTAGGATTCCATGGAATATTTCCAAGGGTTCCACAGTTTTTATTTTATTTGTTTACTTGTCGCTTCCAAACATTATAAGTTAAAAACATTTTTGAATTGTATGTATATGATGCTTATAAAAAGTCAGAAAACACCGTTCTTGTGAACATCAGAAATTGTCGCGAGTTAGTAACATCAGTGGATTTATTCAGCTGCAGGGGAGAATACACACATTTCTCCAAATCTGATCTCATTTGTATGTAGATGTTGTTCGCCATTTTGTCCATTCCTTATGCCACCATGTTTTGTGACTAAAGCGCATCTTTTATAGCTGAGATTATTACATTTTTGTTTTTAAATTCATGTAATAAAGACTCAACATTGGCAGCATATCTTCCCTCACAGGGACCCCATCTAAATATGCCTTTTTATGTGAGAGTAAAAAAGAATGCTTTGTTCAGCTTTACAAGTAGATTTCAGTGATTGAACTCCTGTGTCTTCAAAAAGCAGACCTGATTGTACACTGACTACCAATAAGTATTTGAACACCTGTGATAGAAAAGACAAACTAACTTTTTTCAAAATCAATAGTTGGTAGAGCCTTCACGAGAGGTAATTACAGCGTGGACCCTCCGGGGCATACTTTCCACAAGTCTTTGTATGACAGCTAGTGGTATTTTCTTCCACTCGGCTTGGAGAAGACATAGAAGTTCACCAATTTTGCACGGGTAGTGCACCCCTGAATTCGGCGATGCAACTCGTCCCAGAGGTTCTCGATAGGGTTCAGGTCTGGACTTTCGGCCAGTCCATTTGATGAACTCCACTGGCACCATACCAAGCCTTGGTTAACGTCGAAACATGACAACTGGCATTGTCGTCCTGAAAGTAACAGGGGTCCAACCCGTAAAACTGCCACAACGTAGCAAGCACATTGTCATCCAAAATAGTGCAGTAGGTATCGGAGTTGAGCTTACCATGAATGGGGACCAAGGGTCCCAGCCCATACCATAATTCCACTCCGCCGAACTTGACTGTTGGCACAATGCATTCTGGCAGGAGACGTTCTCCAGGTAGACGCCAGACCCAGACGCTGCCATCCGAACGGTAAAGGGTGAACCTCGATTCGTCACTCCACAGAACCCGTTTCTACTGATCTATGGTCCAATTTCAATATGCTTTGCACCACATTAACCGAGCAGCGAGGCTGGACTTTGTGATCAAAGGCTTATGGGCAGCAGCACGACCATGAAAACCAAGCAGACGTGCTTCCTTACGGATGGTATTCATTGAAACAATACTTCTGGATGCCTGTTGGAACTCCTCGCAGATGAGGGCCATCGGTTGGGTGCAGTTCTTCCGAATTTCTCTGGACTGCACTCGTCGGTCTCTATCTCTCAGTTTCGTTGGTCTGCCGACTTGGGGGCACATTCCGACAATCACCGCTCACCTTCCACTTCTTAATCACATAGGCCACTGTCGATTTTGGGTACTTCAGATCGCTAGATATGTCCCTTAAGGATCGGCCACATTTGTAATACCCGATAATTATACCTTTTCTCGAAATCAGAGAGCTCTGAACTGCGAGGCATCTAGCATGCGACTAAAGCCGATGCTGTTTTCTACACGATATATACCGGCGGAATCCGTGACCTACCTTAGGACCACAGATATAGTCATTCGCATAGGTGTCCAAATACTTATTGGTAGTCAGTGTATACCTGAATGGAATTTGATCGGTTTGGCACTAATAATGAAACATTGCATAATAAACAAACTGCCTTTCACCAGTTTTTTGTAAATATCAGCTTTTCCTCCCGTTAATTTTTTCCATAAATTTTCTTTTTCTCCAGTTGTCCTGCACATCACTTATGTCAAAAAGCACACCACAAAATATATGAAATAATGAATGTGGTATTTTAAAACTTGCCAGAAATGATGCAGTTTAGTAACCACTGCTATAAACTTTTATGAATTTATTTCAACTGAACTGAGGAGTGGCACCCACCAACTGCATGGCCGAATAGAAGATTCATCATTTGAGCAGACATGCAGCAGCACCAGCAACAAACAGGGCTTGTGTAAAAACAAGCCTTCTAATCCTAATCTACTGCACAGATAAAACCACAAAAATGGGACAGAATGAAAGTAATAAAATGCAAATAGGATTGTTATCACTTTCATAGCACACAAATGCAGTGCCTCTGTGCATGATATGTAATTTTACCTTTTTTATGGTTGTTTTTTTACATTAAAGTTTTTTATCTCATGGCCATATTGTGATTGTGGTTGGTGAGTGCCTAAAGACAGGATTGTGAGCGACTGATTGGACACCACTGCACTTATAGCTTTATAGCATTTATGTGTATGATAATTTCTTTGCATTTCATCATCTCATTCACAAATATTAGTTGTACTTTTTTTTCATTATTTCCTTGTGAATTAAAAGCACAAATGCTTTTTAAATGTTTTAAAATTCGAAATAGCTGAATGATGCTTTACCGAAATGTTTTGTATGATTTGTTTCCTCATCCTACCCCCCTTTTTTTTAAGGTGGAACAGAACTGTCCAAGAGACATTACTTGGAAAATTAATCTTTATAAAGGTTATATATGTGTATGCCATCAAGAAGAACGTCATTTAAATATGGTCGATAGAATAGTAGAGTTGTGTTCAAACCTTTGCATTCGTGAATGGAGAAGATTGCCTCATATAGTATCTCATGTTCATTTACCAATATTACAAGTATGTTTTATTTATTTATTTATTTTCTATTTTAAAATTTTAGTTTAAATTTTAGTTTAGAATTTGTTTCTGACGTAAATTTTTATTTACAACTTAAAGATATCTGTATAATATTTAACATCAGTCACTATTTATCTTTTCTTTAAAAACTGTGAAATAAGCCGTATTATTATTGATGCTACATGCTTAAATGAAGCCATTTACAGTCCAGGGAATGTTTTCCTTTTTTTATAGACTTTTAAAATTCTTTAAGTTTTTTGAATTAAAATAAAAAATTACTCATCTTATAAAAATCTCCACTCTAAAAGTTAATGAAAATGTGTTTTTATCTATATATAGCTATATAGTTTTATTAATATTTTGATCTAGAAGAAGTGATTGTCTTTTAGCATATTTGCTAAAAAATATTACTTTGATTTTTATTGTCTAGGCTGCCCAACAAATAATGGAACTTGGAGATGCTGTTCAAATCCACCAGGGTCTACTTCCTGCTAATATAGGAAGAGCAGCTAGTTTGCATGATATGAAAGCAATTGTGAAGACTTGGCGAAATCGTCTGCCTGTAGTCAGTGATGATCTTTCTCATTGGAGTGAAATATTTTATTGGCGTCAAGAGCATTATAAAACCATAGTATCCAGTTACGAACCCGGTCAGAATGGACAGCAGGTAGAAGCTCAGACAAATCATGCAATGCTTGGAGTGCATGCATCGGCTCAGTCAATCATTCATTATGGGAAAATTGCTCGCAAGCAAGGGTTAACAAATGTATGCTTGGAAGCTCTGAGCCGGTAAGTATTCAGATTTATGAGATTGTTGTAGCTAGTTAAATATATATATATACACACACAAGTATCTATGTTTTATAATGGATTTGAACTGTATTTTATTAAAGGTACCTTTTAGAAAGAAGACCATTCCTAAAAAAGTTTCAAAATGAAGTATTAATGGGTGAAAAATTGTAAAACTGATTGAATAAAGTGTGCTTGACAGTTGGGAAAAAAGATATTAAATCTTTATATGTTATTAAACTGTATTTATTGTGTACAAGTCTTCCAATATGCATACTAAACATAATTAAAATTGTAATCATTTAAAGTTAGGCAAAAAAAAAGTTGTTAGTTTGCTCTAGATTGTGAATTAAACTATTAATTTGGAGGGCAAACAGACACAGGTTCTTCAGAACCCCCCCCCCCACACACACACATCACTGCTACAACTTTACAAACCCTCTCCTGAAGAAGTGGGACCTGTGTATAATTGCTCACAAAATCATCAGAGTTTTACTCAAATCCTGTTCCTAACTATGGTTGCTGTTTTGTCCAGTTTTAAATTTTATATTAGCATGCTTTTGTTCTAATTCAGTTTAAGCATATTTTTAATTCTGGCATGTTTTTGAATCCTGTAGCTTTAAGTGTCATACTACACATACTACTTTTATACTACACATGATTGTTAAAAGAATAATTTGAGGAGTAAAAGCCACAAGTAATGAAAGCTGAAAGTCATTGCAAATTTCTAAACTGCATTTTTTGCATTTGAAAATGCTGGAAAAAAAATCAGACTTTTTTATTGGTGTCGTTTATAATCACAGTTATTTTAATTAATATAACTAAAAAATGAAAATCATTTTAAGTATATTAAATAAATATCAAAAGGATCATTTGAATTTGCATGTTTCTGTAAAGCATGCATTTATCTTAACTTCTATTAGAAATCAGAAAAACTGTACTGCAATTCAAGAATATTTTAACTGTCATATTTCTTTCTGTAAAATTGCAATGTAAATGCAGTTTTGCAGTAAGAAATTAAATTTGAATTACTTTTTAAAGTTTTATGGCTTTAATGAAAATTTTTGCTTATTTAAATATATGTTGGCTCAGAAATCCTTGACAGCATCATTTAAACATTTTTTTTTTTTTTTTTTTGTTGTTGTTGTGACCAAAAAAGAAATGTATAAAAGGAATTTAAGTTGTAATAAAAGGAAATCATTTTGCATAATAGCTCTGTATAAACTTCAGATGAAATATGCAAATAAAAGAGATTACTGATGAAGATGCATATTCAATTTTTATTAATTTACTGTGATTTAGTTTTCTATTAGTTTCTGGGCATAAAAATATATAAACTAATTTTTATTTAAAATGGTAAATCTTGCTGTGATTTAAATATGCATAACATCTTAACTAAAAATCTTAAAAAGTCGACAGTTGTTCTTTCTGTTGGCTGCTTAAATAATTTAATCTTGCATTAGGCATGCACTATAAAAATTTTATTATTCAATATTATTAATTACACTTTTATATTCTTCCAAATTGTTCATAATTTAATAATCTTACAATGTTAAAAGTAGGAATGATTCCACCCCCCCATTTTGTTTTTATCTTTACTTAAAAAGAATGATGTCAGAAGATGCAGATCCTATTTTTTACATACTTTTAAAATATGGAAACATGGCAGTATTGTCACACATACTTATCTATTGTTTATGTACAACAGTAAAATCAGAGATAAGGCTATTAATGAGTACTGATTATTAAATCTGATGAAAATCCTTCATATTTGATGATTTTAGATGAAATCGATTGCCAAAACATAGTTACAAAATTAATAATCTGGGAGATATCAAACTTCGTTTTTCCAGTTATTGATGTGTATCAGTGATTCTCAAAACACATCTCACTTCAGCTGGAACGTCAGGGATCACCTGGACGCTGTCTACAGCCAGCATTGGATAGGACAGGGAGGGCCAGTTCCCTGACCACAGCATTCTCCTGATTAAACCTGCTTGGATTTCTTCTTTTGGGTTCATATTAAAGGTCTCATGTACCCAGGAGTCCCATCACATCTGCAGATCTTGTTGCACGCTTGTCTGTTGCTGCTGGACATGTGCTCGACATGCTTGACGTTTTTTCTAATGTACGCCGATCCATGCACCACTACTGTGACTCTTATATCGCTTTTGTGTGCTGCTCTTTCAAGCACCTATTGTAAACTGTTAATATTTTTCTTTTATCTTTACTTGTCTTTTCAGTTTCCTATGATTCATTACTGCTTTACCTGCTAGTGCTTTAATGCGGCATTACTGCACACACATTCCTATATGAAATCTGTCTATTCAGGTTCCTTCTACCTGCCTTTACATTTTTGGCATTTCTATCTGTCTATCTCTCTCTGTATATATATATATATATATATATATATATAATGTTGTATGATTTTAAATTCACTTAGTTCGAAATCAAATATATATATATATGTGTGTAATAATAAAATTCCATAATCAAGAATACACTTAAAATTCTAACTGTATGTTCTTTTCCTTTTTAATGGCGACGGTCTCTTATTTGAAAGTACGTGGAATTAAATCCACAGCCCCATAGTCAAGTTGTTTTCTCGCCTTTTCTACACGTACAGTTTTAGAATGTTCTGGAAATATTTAAAGCGAACTGGATTGGCTGACGAGGCTGACGTCATTTCTTGGAAGCTCCACCTTTCCAGAGGCTATAAAAGGACCCGCAAAGGAATATCGGGGCTTTTTCTTAAATATAACGATGCAGTAAACTTCATACAAAACGTTATTGCAGTCAAAAGTTGTTAATTCGGACACCCATAACCCGGAATGATCTATAATCCGGACCTCAAAGCTACAAACTTTCTGTGCATGCGCCACGTTGACGCATGCGTATAAGACCTTTACGGCTGCGAATATGCTTGTGCGCATTCGCAAAATACGTTTACGAGTGCGCGCTTAATGTATAACGGACGGTATAAGCTAAGCTAAAATTATCTAATTATCTATTTCAGTTAATGTTGCAGATTGCGTTGTTCCTTAATCTTCGAATTGGATCCGGCTTATTATTTTTTGCAGACTGTTAGAGCAATTTTATAAAAGTAAGCTTGAACTTTCGATTATGTCAAATAGAATTTCTGATATATATTTATTAATATGTAAAGGATCTATAAAGCGAAAGTATATTTCGAAGTTCATTAAACAAAAAGTGGAATTGCTGCAAAAAATGGATAAAGGCATATCCTTTGTTTATCTAAACTTTAACGTTTGTTTATCCAAACTTTGTTTATCTTTAATGCTGCCGCGCGCAATGAATTGGAAGTTGATCTGTCAGCACTATCCTTATCTTCAGGGCAGATGTTTTTATTTTATTTGGCTTATAATTCCTTACTAAATGTAGTATTTCATCTCGATGTACTCAGTCTTTGATATGATTTAAATCAAATTCCTCGTCATTATAATACGCTTTCGATAGCGAAGAAAGTGACAGAGAGGTTATTGAAAACGAAAAAATTTCAATTGCCAAATTAGTCGGTAGACACAGCAATTATAGGACTTGAACAGCGAAATTTTGTAACTGAACAAGAAATTATGTCTGTTTATAGAATTAAAGAGAATGTATTATCACACAAAAAACGAAGCAACTTAAACAACTTACATTGAAAGAAATGTTTAATAAAGTAAACAAATAAATATTAAGCCTTATTTTTTTTTTTTTTTTTTTTTTTTTTTTTTTTTTTTTTTTTTTTGTAAATTTTGATACCCTTTAGATCATAATTGTTCTTTATTTCATAAATTACAGTTTCTTATTTTTAATTTTAGAATTTATGCATGCCATCTTACCAGATTTAAACTGATGATCTATAATCCGGAAAAATCGATAATCCGGAATCGCCGAAGTCCCGACGAGTCTGGATTAACAACTTTTGACTGTAGTAATTCTTTTTTATTTACTCCGGAATTATGATTTTGTAACTGCTATTTCTCCTGACCAATAATAAATGGATCCTGTTTTTTAAACTTATCGTCTGATAATTTAAGCTACAACTACATTTATGATTCTTCACTGATCTATTTATTCCAGACAAAAGCTGGTACATCACACACACACACACACACACACACACACACACACACACACATACATATATATATGTAGAAGTGGTTTGAATTCCATTGTGTATTTTTTTAATTGCTTGAATATTTTAAGCAAACTACTCCGGATTTATAATATTTCATAAAATTAATAGTTATGAAGTGAAGGATAAATGCTTTTTGTAATCACATTATTGCAAATAATATTTCTTCCAAAATCGGACATAATCTGATGGGTATTTCTGCGAGGTTTAAATCTGCCTTTACTAAGACATCAGCTTGCTCAGAGAAATCATTCATTTATTTTAAATTTTGGTTTGCTAATGTGGACTGAAGTTAATAGTTATAGTTTATTACCACTGCATAACATATACAGAGAAAGGCCAAAATTCATGTAATTTAGATTTTTATTATGAATTTTAAATATATAAATTATTTCTAACACATCTTTTTAATAACTGTGAGATTCTTCTTTGTTTCAATTTAATGTACTTAAACCCTCCCAAGACTGACAAGTGAATTATTGCTTTGTCTGTGAAATTACTAGGTATCAGATAACATAAAATTGAATTCACAATTTTAAATGGATTTGTTGCCAGAGACCACACTATAAATAGCCTGAGCAAGTGTTAGCTCAAATTCTAATTGCATGCTTTAACTTCAGCTAGCAATATGGGTAATGCCAGAATACTAGTGTAGCAGAGCTGGGGGAGAAAAAAGTGCAACTGCAAGTATTGCTGCTAAAAACTCTAAAGCTTTCAAGAACTTCACTTCAAATATACTTAACCAATTTGCATCCTAATGAGAGCTAACAAAAAGGAGAAGTGTTAGTGTAAATCTGAATGATCAGTTATAAGAAAATGGATTAATTAAAATGTATAGATAGCAGTATATCTTATTTAATGTATTTTTCCCTCTTCTATTTACAGCATTCACTCCATACCCACTGTCCCCATTGTTGACTGCTTTCAGAAAATCCGACAGCAAATTAAATGTTTCTTACAACAAGCTCATGGCACTGGCAAAAATGATTCACAAGAGGTATGTGTCATGTATAAATTAAGCATGTAAGATACATCATGATATAATTATTTTATGGTGTCTCTAATATATGTTGATATTGATTTGTTTATATCTAGACCACACAGGCTCTTCATGAGGGTCTCAATATCATTGAAACTACAAACTTAAAGTATTTTACCAAGGAAATGTCCGCAGAGTTCTTTGCACTAAAAGGTGTGTTTTTGGCACAGTTAGGAAGACTGGAAGAAGCTAATAAATGTTTTTCATCTGGTGTCCAGCTTCATGATTCATTAGTAAAAGCTTGGGCTCTGTGGGGTGATTATTTGGAGCACATGTTTACCAAAGAGAAGGCTGAAAAGTATGTAAATTTTCACTTGTATTGTAATTTTTTTGGTAATTTATTGAATAGTCCTGTGTCACACTTGTTATTATTTTTGGTATTTCCTTAGTATTACAGTCTTCGTTTTTTAAACACTAAGTTGATATCAAGGTTATCGTAAAATCCATGTTTACTTCTCACATACACTTTTTGACTGCCATGTTTTGGCAGTTCTTTTTAAAATGGCATCAAAACCATTTTTCATCCCAAAGACTTTCGTCACAAGGGGAGACTCGAGATGATGGTAAACCATGCCCCTTTGATTTGTATTACACCCCCTTACCAGAGTGCAACAGTCTTTCAACATTTTATGTGTGAGTAGCTGTACCTGGATCAACAAAATGAAATTTATTGTTCGTAGTACAATGCTTTCAATCACGCCCGTTCCAACCTCATTTGATTTTGTAAAGCGGTTGAGTTTTATATGTAGTACTGGGCAGCACGCAGAATTTGGTTAGGGATACAGGGTTGGATATTTTTAGAGGGGGAGAATTAGAAATAAAACATTTAAAAACAGGTTTATTTTATATAAGATCTCAATACATTTTTGTAAATGAACATGCCTGAACATCTCTCTCCTTGCATACAACACTGTTGTTAAGATTAATACTTGTTTTTGATATGCTATCTAATACACTCTTTTGCAAAAAAAAATCTAAGCACCATGAAGGAAGTGGTTGTTTTTGATGAAATTGAATATGTGTATAACTCATATACAGATAACAAAATGATTAAAAAATCAAGGTCATAGTACCTGTTCACGGCTCACAATCACCCACTGAGGGCTGAAATTAGTAGTTGGTCAAACCGCCCCTACGGCAATGCATGCTTGAATTCGTCAAGACAAGGAGTGGTAGAGGTTCCTAATGTCATCCTGCGACACATTTCTGCCAGGCATTCATCAGTTGTCACTCCAAATCTGCAATATTTTGTGGTGTCCGAATCTGATGGCCTACCATGTCTCAGACACGTTCGATTGGTGAAAGGTCTAGTGACCTTGCTGGTCAAGGAAGAGTATCAAACGTGCGGAGACAGTCCAGAGATATGTGATCGATATATGGCCTGGCATTATCTTGTTGGAAAATGGCCCCAAGATGACGTGCCATAAAGGGTAATGCAACCGGCCCAGGATGGTATCAACATATTGTTGAACTGTGAAAGATGTGTGGAGGATGACTAAAGATGACCTACTGTCATAAGAAATAGTGCCTGCACCATCACACCAGGGGTTACGGCTGTATGCCTTTGTAAAACAAAGGCTGATTGGGATGAGGACACGAACACAGTGGTCATTTGCTTCAAGAGTGAAGTGGGATTCATCGCTGAACACTATACGATGCCAGTGAGATGGCTTTGATGATCGGCTGCGATGCCACTCCAGACGACTTCGCCGATGTTGTGGGGTCAAAGGTAAACGTCTTAAAGGTCTCTGTGAGTGTAACCCCACCTCAGACAAGCACCGTGAGATGGTGGACGATACCACGAGAGGTATGGATGTGGCTGTAGTGCGTTGAATAGTCAACAATGATACCGTTGGGATAGTTTGGGCCTGGCGAACAATCATCCTGTCTTACTTCACGTTTGTGCTCCTTGGCCTTCCACAGCTTTCATTTCGTCAGCAGTTTCCTTGTAGCAACCATTGCTGACAACATCTTTCCACAGCTGTGTCTATATGCTGCAGGAGGAGGCCTATTGCTTGGTATAACCACCCAGCTTCACGCAACCCTACAATGCGACAACCTTCGAAGTCGTTTAGTTGTCTGTAAGGTCTTCGATATCGTCGTAATGGAATCGTTAGTCACTTATTTACAGAATTAATTACAGTGGCAGCAACAAAAAAAAAAGATAAATTTCCCCCTCTGTTACTGGTTTTACACTTTGTGAATTGTGCACTAGAAATGCATGCTCTGATCGCAATTCTGTCCATTTGCCTTGAAACTTCGATCATTTGCATATTTGATCAAGATTGTGTACCAAATTTTGTCACAATTACGAAAGTCTGTCTTGATGCTTCGATTTTTTTGCAAAAGAGTGTATATAAGTTACATACAGTTTTTTCCCTAATAAAACATCCATTATTGTTTCCTGTGGATGACAAAAGCTGTCTTAATTCAGAAAAATTACTGTTATTTCAACATGTTATACATATCGATACAATACGACTTTGTATTTTTTTAATAATAGTTTTAATCTTTAATTTGATTGTAAATAGTAAAAAAAAAAGTCTGTCTTTAAATATACAGCCTTAGCATTCTGTAACTGTGTACTCTCCTAAACCGATGACAGCTCTTCAGCTCAAGGATTCTTCTAAGTGATACTATGTGCCATCTATTTTGATTTGGTAAGCATTGAAATAAAACCCAGAATTTCTGAAGTTTGTGGGGAAACATATTTTGTACAAAGAACGTGTTGGGGTTTTGTAATGGCATTATGTGACAACAAGCCATTATTTGCATTTCAGAAAAAAGTTGATCATATCGAATAATATACTAATAATTTACATTTTTTTCTTGCTTCTTCTGACGATAGTCCACCAGCAGTTAAGTAGTAGAAGGATTGAATACCAAAAGTTTGGTCTAGAGTTCAAATTCAGTGAACAGGCTGACTGCATAAGCGTTTTCGTGGGTTTCTCCATGTGTAATGTGCATAGATGCCAGTTTTTCTTTAGAAAGTCCTCCACAAGTGCATTCCTCCAGTTAATAGCTATCAAATGCTTTACCATAATTAAATAAAACAAACCAAAACAAACTGAGAAAAATAAGTCAGATTGATTAGTTAGTTTGTAACGTATCTAAAATATGTATAAAAATAATTTTAGACATTTGAATGTTTAAAACTCAAAATATTAATTTACTTTCATTTAATGAAAATTTGTTCCTTTTCTGTAGAGAGATTGTAATATTAACTCATCAGATTTGTATTTTAATGATAATTGTCAGTATTTGGTTTAATATTTACTAAAACATGTAGTAAAGTTTTTTATTTAAATAAATGCTATTAGTTTGAATCATTGTATTTTATGTCTTGCAACCTAAATTAATTCTTTGGCTGTTACTTCATCTGTTTTGTTTTGATATTATTTTGTCCATATTCAAAATGTATGTAATATAAAAAGTAAATGGTGTCTTACTTTTTTTTTTTTTTTTATTAATGTCATTTACTGTACTGCAAAAATAAGCATCTTTTTAGAACTGTAAATTTTCTGGTGAAGTGATTAAATACTTTAAAATGCTGTAAAAAAATGTGTGTTTTAGAAATGACATTGTTGCATTGACTTATTGACTTAAGATGTTTAATGAAATCCGTTAAATTTTAAATGTGTGAGAAGCTTTTCACTGTCAGGAGCTTGCAAAATTATATCATAAAACTAAAAACTAATTTGTATTGCTTTAGATTCTCATAAATTTATGTATTGTTTTTAGTCGTAATATTTCTTTGGGAGTCTCAGCTATTACATGTTTTCTCCATGCTTGTCGACATCAGAATGAAAGCAAATCAAGAAAATATCTAGCAAAGGTAAGTTTTTTTCGGTTCTAAATGAATTGTTTTGCAGATTATCTGTTGTATAATTGTATGAATTAATGAAAGTCATCGAGAACTGATGTTAAATTAATGTATGCGTGTTTTCTAAAAACTGTATTAGTGAATTTTTCTTAGCCAATCTTCAATATTTTTACATTTCTGTGCACCATAATTTAGCAAATATTGATGAAGGTTTTGTTCAAAAAATTTTACATAATTATTTAAAAATGAGGGAAATGTTTTTGATAATTGGGTCAAAAATCCCATCTGCTGAACAAAAGGAAGTTCAAGCAATTGTTTTCACTAATATTTCTCAAAATATTGAAAATAGCACACATACCAAAAAAAAAGTTGTAATTTGCAGAACCATGTTCCTTCTCTCCTCGCACCAGAGCTCATGTAGAATGGATACCTAAAGATAGATGATATCTTTGTAGTAGATTGGTTAATTAAATCTAACAAAAGGAGGAGTTTCGCTGTTCTTTATAAATGAGTGAGAAGAAAAGAATCGGAAAGTGTAAAAAAAGAGCTAATGGATTCTTCACCATGACAGTGCATCTGTCCCTAAACATTCATTTATTTCTTAACAGTGCTGTGCTGAATTTATGTAATATATATATATATATATATATATATATATAATCATTCTTCATTTCGTATGACATTTAGAGTTGTATGAGAAAAACAAGTAATGTGTGCATGGCAAAATTCATATGCATTAGTTAAATAGTACTATAGTAATTATTTGAATTTATTTTTGAAGGTACTTTGGCTTTTGACATATGATGATGAGCATTCTCAGCTGACTGAAGCTGTTGATAAAAATAGTGTTGGTGTCCCACCGTTGCAATGGCTTCCTTGGGTACCTCAGTTATTAACATGTCTTGTGCGTGGTGAAGGACGTCTCATGTTAAACATTATAAGTCAGGTTGGAAGAGCTTTCCCTCAAGCGGTGTATTTCCCAATAAGGACATTGTACTTAATTCTAAAAATTGAGCAGAGAGAAAAATGTAAGACTTTTTGTTTAAAATTTGATATTAATATTTCTATATATGAGCTTTGTATGAATATAGTGTTTTTGTAAGAGGAAAAATAAAATATTTTATGGTTTCAATGTGTAATTAATATTTTTATTTGTTAGCTGCCACTGTTACATATTGCTGGTTAAATATGAGTCTTAAGTTTTATATTCAGTTTTTCTTCTGTTCTGTGCTGCATTCTACTTTCAAATTATCTTTTTCTTCTTTACTCTTACTTTCTATCTCTTTTTAGTTATTTTTTCTTGTAATGTAAATTTGGTTTATCAACAGAGATTTTCTATATTTTGGTAAATGTAAGAATATGATGTTTATTTATTTTCATGTTGTAGATAAAAGTAGTAATGCTCATGCAGTTTCACAGACTGGAGGTGTTCCGTCAACACCATCAAGTCCTGCAGTTTCTTTATCTGAATCATCTGGTGGAAATGGTACTAAACTTTACATCTGAGTAATACAAGTGAATTTCCTTAATTCAGATAAGGTGTTTAAGCTATATATATATATTTTTCTTCCTTATTTTAGAGTTTTCTACTGCCAGTACACAGCCAACAGAATCAGCACCCATCAGAGCCACTCAGCCAATGTGGCGGTGCAGTCGCATCATGCATATGCAACGAGATATCCATCCGTCCATACTATCTTGTTTAGAAGGAATTGTTGACCAAGTAATAAACTTTCTTCTTTTAACAGAAATTATAGGTTTTATTTATTAGTATTATCAGTTTAAAATGTTTGCTACTATACTATATTATACCCTAATGCATTTCCATTGTGGACAAATTTGTCCATAGTGTGATTAAAATGGAGCCTATGCAAATAGATCAAAACTAATAATTAGTTCACTTGAAATTTAAGTATTAAGATGATTTAAGTATTAAGACTATAAGGATACTAGAAAGCCCAGTGGTGAAACGAAATGACCGCTGTTTTAGATATTATAAATTGTAAAATGATTTGTGCAAAAGTGTCTGCTAATTCAAACTGAATTACCCAGGGCAGGCAGCGAGGACACACCTTTTCTTACTGCCACACGGAGTTTACCCCTTCTACTTGCTTAAAGTAAAGTGCAATGAAGGAAACCACTGGCGGTACATTTCAAGAGCTACCGCTAGCTCAATAAAAAGGTGATTTAAATAATGAAATGTTAATTCACATGTCGAAGATCTCTTTGTACACGACATTTCTTGTGTAGATCCTTCCATCATTTTTAAGCTCGCCTTGCAGAGGACCATCCATTATTTTTAATTTTGCGTCCATTCTTTCACGAACTCTTGAACAGGCAACATAAAGTTGACCGTGTCCACTTTATGTTGCGGTTCAGAGGTTCAAGAGGTTCAGGTAAAAAAATGCCAACGTGCTTAAGCATTTGGCCCTGAGACTTATTGATGGTCACAGCAAAGGCAAGTTTTACAGGAAATTGCCTATGTCTCAATTGAAGCAGCAACCCTGTGCCATGGCAACTTCACCCCATTGGCTAGTACAGTTATGCAAGCAACCAATAAACTATCGGCGACAAACAGACACTTAAACTGCATATAATAAAGATATTTATTTATTTCATTTTATTTGTTTTTCATCATTGCCGGTTGCATATTTCCGAATTCTATTATATATAGATGTTAAATTTATTTATTAAATTTAAATGCACGTGCTCTTTTATTTTTAATTTTCTGGCTTAGCTTTCTTATAATATTCGTCACGCGCTGCACTGCACGAGGAATAAAACAATTTACAGTTACGCAAGCAGCCAATAAACTATCGGCGACAAACACTTAAGCTGCATATATATAAGATGTATTAAGACTTTAGACATTAATTTTGGCACATGTTAATTATTTATTTTATTCAGAGATTGAATGCTTATTTGCTTGATAATTTTTAATAATATTTTAAAGTTTAAATAGTTGTTGTCAGAATGAGTGTTGGTTCTATATAGTTTAAAAAAAATTAAATTATTAAAGAATTTATATATTTTTCTAGATGGTTTGGTTTCGTGAAAATGTATATGAAGAAGTTCTAAGGCAGTTACGGCAAGCTTTGGCCAAGTGTTATTCTGTAGCATATGAAAATGCTACTGCTGTGTCTGAAGCAACTGTTACACCTCATACCCTGAACTTTGTAAAAAAACTTGTTTCAACATTCGGGATTGGAGTAGAAAATGTTTCTAGTGTATCTACTACTATATCAACTTCTGTGTCAGAGTCTTTAGCAAGGAGAGCTCAAGCTACTGCCCAGGATCCTGTGTTTCAAAAGATGAAAGGGCAGTTTACTGCAGATTTTGATTTTAGGTATTCAATTAATTTTCTCTTTCTTTAAAATATTTGATTGCAGGTTTTGATGCATTTGGAGATAAGCATGGTGAATTGAGTGTAAGGGGGGAAAAATTAAATATTCAACAAAGGGCTAAATGCACAATTAGAATTTTTATCTGCATTTTCCCATCACAATAAATTTTGCAAAAGACTCCTTTGAATTGTAGTAAAGTTCTGGTTGACTGATATGGCAACATATCCAAAAATCATTCTCATATTTTCTGCCATCTTTAATATTTTTTTAAATCAGCCCTTTTAATAGTTTTATTTTTAAAGATAAATGCATATTTTTCATTGAAAATAAGTGATCTCAGCATGCCAATATGTTACTCAAATAGGCTTCACTCTAATTAATTTGAATAAATGATGCTGTCTCATATATCATAAAAAAATTAAGAGTGACATTTTAACAAAATAGTAATTAAATAACTGTAGGCAAATAGCATACTGGGTTCAGCATGTTTATGACATCAGAATTATAGATGTTTAATATATGCCTATTTAAATGTGAGGGATCTATCATTTTGACAAGTCAGTAGTTATAATGTTAGTTGGGAGACTCCAGTGACTAGTACTGCAAGATATTGGCTGTTGCATTGTAAATAGCATTATTAGTGGACACATCCCACTAACTTTATATGAAACATACTCAGTCTAATTTTAAAACAATGCCCATATAATATATATAATAGTATGTAGAATTTAAGGTAGTCATCAGGTAGTGGAGTTTGCATCTGTGTGTCTTTGCTCTCTAAATGAAACTTCCATTTTATCTGTACAGTATAAAACTTAACTAAGCAGTTTAAAATGGATGACAGAAAATAAAATTGTGCATAAATTTAGTATTGCATTAGTTAAATCGTTGATGATACAGTAGTTATTTCATAATAAATGTCTCTCATCAACATCCCAAGTAATTAATGGAATTAGCCATTGCAAAATGGGCTAAATTCATTATGCAAGGCACCATTGCATTTACAACTTAGTGTATTAATAAGTAGAGCAAAATATTTTAATATATTCTATTTTTATCACTTGCCAAATATCCATACTTCTGTCATATTGCATGATAGTATTTAATGGTAAGAATATAAAGGAACATATGCTAAAGTAATTTTAATAATATCTATTAATGCCTTAAGTAGTGCAAAAGATTTTAATGTGTCCTATTTGTAGCACTTGTCAAATATTTTTACCCGTTATATCACATATAGGATGGAATGTTAAGAATCTGAATAAGCATATGTTAGAGTAATATATCAAAATTTATTTTAAACCGTTTAAATTGAATAATTTTAAAATGGATGTATTTCAGATTAAATGAAAAATGGTGTTGCTAATTCTCATTAGAATTCATTGAACCATCATATTCGCCAAATTCTTTAAGGAAAAACGCAACTGAGTCATTTGAGAATCCTTTTCCCTCCTCTTCCCTAAATATATTATCTTTAATTTTTATGTTGTATATTTAATTATTGCAGTTGCAAGGTAATAGTGGTGAAATTTCAAAGGGGGGTGGGAAGGCCGAAATCGATTTTAATGCATTGCTTTCTTTCTTTGCCAGGAGGAGTCCAAAATGAAATTATTCAAAAAATTGTATTGAGGAAATGAAATAATTATATAATTTCAAAAATGATATCACTACATGAGAGGCATTTTGTGATGTTTTTACTATATTAATGTAAAATGATCAACTGATATGATACTGTTGCCATAGTAATGCCATCTTGAACAAACTTTAATAAATAATTAATAAAATTGAATTGTGTGTTAATAAAACTGAATGTGTATCATTTAGGGCTGAAATTATATTTCATTATTTCATAGCTATTTCTTTTTATATTTTTGTGCATAAATAGAGTTTTTAGGCAGTAGATGGGTTGGAAGGATAGTTTTTACTTAATCAAGCATTATTTTTCTATTTTTAGGACATTAAAAAACTGTAAACTGTACTTAAAATTTGTTGTGTTATGGGGGAAAAAATATTTTCATAGTTTATACAATCATATCTCATTTTACAAACTCTTGTTTTACAAAATCTCAGAATTATAAATTCATCTTTCAGAAATCGTCCATATGTTTTCACTTAAAATAAAATTATTAATGGCTTAATTTTGTTGCCATAGTAATGATGTCTTGAAAGAACAAATTGAATAAATAATTGGGCTAATTAATAGTATGAAATTCAACTTTTAAAATTAATTGGGAATTAGTTTGTTTTTGTAGTTTTGTCTGACACTTTTTTATAATTTTTTTTTATTTTCTCCTGCATGTTATTTGTGTATTTAAAAGGATTTTTGTATACCTTACTTTTGTATACTTTACTTTGTATACCTTTTGTTATGAAGAAAGATTTTACATACCTTTGTATTTTAAAATGTGTAACTATTTGTTTTACGTATATAATGATTATATTTGTCATATTCTAGCTCATTTACCGTGTTCTACTTCAGAACATTTTGTGTACAATTTTTATCAACATTTATTTTGTATCTTATGTGAATTAACCAATTATTATGATATAAGGCTTTACTATAATTTCTTCTTTCTATATTCGTTACTAGAATGCAAATTAGGTTTTTGTTTTTAAACTGAGGATTTTGAATCTCTAAATTAGAGTTTCTGCCAATTGTGTCTTGTTGTTAGTATTCTCACCACCTAGTTATATTCCAGCTTTATTATCTCTCTAGCCAATGTTTTAAAATACGCATCAATAAAATATCTGAGCCGGCTTAAATTAGTCTATTTTATGTATAGTCTTAAACTTTGTTTCTGTTTTTGAATTTAATTTTGTTATGGAATTTTAAATATCCACAAATAGTGGAAGTTTCATCTGTATGGCAAGTTCCACTTGTCCTGTTACATTTAAAGACTAAATAAAAAGTTTATTTTAGCCATCTGTAGTATTTTGTGACCAGTTGTTTAAGACATAACAATAACAATTAGGCTAATAGGGTCTGCTCTCCCACTTCCCTTTTATTCCATTTATAGTAACTGTGCCTGAGAGCATATTCGGTTTTACTTGAATCTTCATTGCAGGTTCAACTCAGTCTTCATTTAGTTTATATAAGTAAATAGGTAAATAGTAGCTAATATTTGTTATTAGTGAACAGTTTTGGTCATTGAGATTAATTTTTAGACAGATTCACAAATATATATTTCTTTGTATTTAATGGATTTAATGTTCAGGATCTTGTTTCTGTTCTAGAATGTTAAAAAATATTTGCATTCATTGGCTTTATAAATTATTTTGATCTGTAATATACTACTGAAAATAAAAATTCAAGTTTTTGCTGCATCTTATTTCTCCGAAGATACAAATAAAAAATGCAGCAGTATTTCTTAAGAACTTTTATGTGATAACTCTGCAGCGGCAGCGCCAAACAGGTGATACGGACTTAAAAACTGTACAGAAAAGCACCAATTGGCGAAACAGTAAACCCGTTTGGCAAACCTACAGGCTGACGGGGAGAGAAGAATTTTCCGCGGCAGTCAAGGGGAACTACTTCAACAAATGTGTGCGTCTCTGTTTCGCCGAGATATGTGAACTTGTGTACTCGCATCTGTACTGTGCTCTGAATTTCTTAAGCCGTTATAATGTACCCGGCAACTGTTACTTTTCCTTATTAAATTTGATTATTAATTGTAACATGTCTATCTTAACTAAGATTTCGGCTTTCCTAGTTAATGTTAGGGATATTTTCGTATGCACGTGTTACTCACACGTACATCATTGGTGACCCTGTCCCTCGCTCCTTCTGTTTCGATCCCTAATGACTATCTGTCTCAATCTTTGTTAAAAAACTAAAAATATGCCTTATTTTGATGCCAATGCTCTTCCTTATGACTGATAAAGGCTCCACCCTATTCATTTCCTCCTCATTTTATCGTACGGATTACACGTGGTTTATCACACTTAAGGAGGATTTACAGGTATGTGGTCAAATTTTTTTAATTATCTGTGATTGGTCTTAATTATGTTTTTGTGATATGTTTTGCTCTAAAATTATAGTTTTAATTTATTATTGATTGTTTAAAATTGATCTTTGAGTAATATTTGTGCTCACACTTTTATTGAGATATTGAATGTCTTCGTTATTTTATTCTAAATTGATACTGTTTTGATAAGGTATAGTGCAAAACATTAAGTTTACGATTTACGATATATTTATAATTGGCAACCATGCCAGGATCGGAAGGCCAAACCAACGAGGAATCGAATATGGCGGTTCAGGAGCCACAAATCTCACACGTGGCAGTTAAAATTCCCCCTTTATGGAAAAATAATGTTAAACTTTGGTTTATTCAAGTTGAAAGTAACTTTGCTTTAGCGAAGATTAGTAGCGATAGTACAAAATACAACCACGTGGTTTCTTCGATAGACCCTGAAACTCTTTCCGCAGTATCAGATATTTTATTTAATCCCCCAGCGACGGCTAAATATGATGCCCTTAAAGCTAGGTTAATAGGAGAATTCTCAGATTCGGAAAGCGAGCAAATACGCAGACTTATTTCTGAATTGCATTTAGGGGACGACAAACCATCTCACTTATTGAGAAAAATGAGAGAATTAGGTGGAAACTGTATAACTGACGAATTTTTAAAATCATTATGGCTGCAAAGGTTACCTTCCGAGGTGCATGCCATTTTATCAATAAGTTTGGAATCCTTAGACAATTTAGCAAAAATGGCTGATAAGATAGCTGAAGTGCGCACGCCAACGAACAACAGCGTGTTCGCGGTCCAGGCAGCTTCGGCCAGTTCCCCCAGAAACCCTAACGATTCTGGTGCCCCCCTCGAGGAGCTTAAGGCCTTAAGGAGTGAAATCTCTGCCCTAAGTAAACAAGTCGAGCGACTCTCCCGCGGAAAACACGAGGAATAATTTCCCCCGGGATCAACATAACAAAGCACGTAGTTTTTCGCGTGGGCATTCCCGAGAGCGTGTGAACAATTATTGTTATTTTCATTCGCGATTCGGTAGTAATGCACGAAAATGTCGAGCACCTTGTTCCTTTTCTCAGAACACTACGGCCCAGGAAAACTAGTAGTAGCGGCTATCGATCGAAATTCATCGGCAGTCGCGCATTCATGTCGTTTACATGTTTACGATAACAGATTAAATTTAAACTTTTTGATTGATTCGGGCTCGGATGTTTCATATGTGACACCGACTTCTAAGTTTAGGAAAATGCATCCTGATTCGCTTCAATTATTTGCCGCGAATAATTCCAGAATTTCTACGTATGGAACAAAATTGTTAACTGTGAGTTTAGGACTTAGACGAAACTTTTCTTGGAAGTTTTTAATCACCGATGTACCAGTGCCTATAATAGGAGCCGACTTTTTAAGGCATTTTGATCTTTTAATCGATTTAAAACGAGGTAGGCTTATCGATAATACTACGAAATTAACTCGTATTGGTTCTCTTTCCGATTCTAAAAATTATTTTTCGGTAAAGTTAATATCTGGTGATTCACCATATCACAGAATCTTGAAAGACTTTCCTAAAGTACTGAAGTTAAAATCCGATTCGTGTAGAGTAAAACATAGTACGGTTCATTACATCGAAACAATACGGTCCTCCTGTGCACAGTAAACCGCGTAGGTTAAGCCCTAAGTTATACGAAGCAGTAAAAAAAGAATTTCAATTTATGATAGATCAAGGTATTTGTAGACCATCAAAATCAGCATGGTCATCACCTCTTCATGTAGTTTCTAAAAGTTCGGGCGACATACGGCCAGTAGGAGACTACCGAAAACTAAACGCGTGCACCGAACCCGACAGATACCCTATCCCGCATTTACAAGACTTTAATAATACGCTTAGCGGAAAGACAATTTTTTCAAAAATTGATATCGTTCGGGCATATCATCATATACCAGTCCATCCAGATCATATACCGAAAACTGCAGTTTGCACCCCATTTGGTCTTTCGAATTTCCGTTTTTAAATTTCGGACTGTGCGGAGCAGCTCAAACCTTTCAAAGGTTTATGAACGAAATTCTTGGAGATCTAAAATTCGCCTACGTCTACTTAGATGATATTTTGATATTTAGTCATACGGAAGATGAGCATAAATCTCACCTACGTACTGTTTTTGAAAGATTAACTTCATATGGATTGACAATTAACGCTTCGAAATGTGTTTTCGGCGTTCCGGAAATATCTTTTTAGGCCATATAATCAATAAAGATGGTACCAAGCCTCTGACGAACAAAGTGGAACCGATACTTAACTACCCACTTCCTAAAACGGTAAAAGATTTGCAGAGATTTTTAGGATTTTTAAATTTTTACCGTCGATTTTTACCCAACGTAGCCCAGAATCAAATACATTTAACTTCGTATTTAAAAGGGGCTAAGAAAAATGATAAGACAATCCTGAATTTGTCTGAGGAAGCGCGGAGTGAATTTCAAAAGTGCAAACAGCTAATCGGCTAATGCTGTTCTTTTGGCACACCCGAAGAAAGATGCCCAGTTGGTTTCACAGGTTGATGCGTCAGACTTCGCGATCGGTGGAACGCTATCACAAATAGTTGATAGAAATTTACAGCCTCTCGCATTTTTCTCACGAAAGCTTTCGCAGGCGGAAAGGAACTATAGTGCGTATGATCGAGAGCTATTGGCAGCTTATGCTGCTATTAGGCATTTTAAGCATATGTTGGAAGCACGGAACTTTTCTTTAATCACCGATCACAAACCGCTCACGTATGCATTCCGACAGCGTTTGGATAAGTGTTCACCTCGTCCGGCTAGGCAGTTAGACTTTATCTCACAATTCACCACTGAAATTCGCCATATAAAAGGTTCGGAGAATATCGCTGCCGACGTACTTTCGCGTATAGAAGCAATAAGCATGCCTAACCCTATCGACTATGAGGAAATCGCTAAAATGCAAGAAATCGACCCAGAATTACAAACATTGCTTAAAGAGTCAAAAGTTCTACATCTCAAAAAAGTTACCTTACCGAATTGTAGCTTTACCGATATATTGCGATGTGTCAACAGGTAACGCCCGTCCTTACATTCCTCCGGCATTCCGTGAGAAAGTTTTTGCCACCTTGCACAATTTGTCTCACCCCGGCATTCGCGCATCAACAAAGTTAGTATGTTCACGGTTTGTTTGGTCTTCCATCCGCAAAGATTGCGCGAAATGGGCACGGCAGTGCATTCCGTGCCAGAAAGCAAAATTAAGCAGACATACTAGAACCCCGTTAATGAAGTTTCCAGACCAATCACAGAGGTTTGATCACGTCCACCTTGACCTTGTTGGTCCCCTACCTCCTTCTCAAAATAATTACTGTCTAACTATGATAGATTTACTAGATGGCCCGAAGCAGTACCCTTACCAGACATAACAGCACACACAGTAGCACAGGCTTTCTATGACCACTGGATTACTCGATTTGGTTGTCCGACTGTTATTACTACCGACCAAGGGCGACAGTTTGAAAGCGGCTTATTTCGAGCCCTTTCCCAATTATTGGGAATCAAGAGGATCAGGACGTCTCTGTACCACCCACAGGCGAATGGACTGATCGAGGAGTTCCAGTGACTGGGTGGCTGCCCTTCCAACGCTGCTGATGGGTTTCCGCGCCGCTCTCAAAGAGGACATAGGAGCAACCACTTCTGAACTGGTGTATGGAAAGACTATCCGTCTCCCAGGAGAATTTTTCAATCCGACACCTCCGGATGCGTTCCCCAAACAGTTTGTGGAGGATTTAAAATCTCACTTTGCCAGTGTCCGCCCGACCACGACTTCTAGCCACGGTCAGCGAACATGTTTCATTCATCCACGCCTTCACAAGTCCACATATGTGTTTGTTCGACACGACGGAGTTAGAAAACCACTTCAAACTCCTTATGATGGACCATTTAATGTGCTAGAAAGACGAGATAAAACGTTTGATCTCGAAATAAAAGGGACTAAGCAAACGATCTCCATAGATAGACTGACACCCGCTTTTGTAACCATGGACTCTTTTCAAGTTGCTTCCAAGAGTGTGAAAAAAACTTCGGACATTTGTATCACCCGTTCTGGACGATTAATCCGACCCCCGCATCGGTATGTCACATTTCGTTGACACTGCGGAGGGAGTATGCAGCGGCAGCGCCAAACAGGCGATACGGACTTAAAAACTGTACAGAAAAGCGCCAATTGGCGAAACAGTAAACCCGTTTGGCAAACATACAGGCTGACGGGGAGAGAAGAATTTTTCCCCGGCAGTCAAGGGGAACTACTTCAACAAATGTGTGCGTCTCTGTTTTCGCCGAGATATGTAAACTTGTGTACTCGCATCTGTACTGTGCTCTGAATTTCTTAAGCCGTTATAATGTACCCGGCAACTGTTACTTTTCCTTATTAAATTTGATTATTAATTGTAACATGTCTATCTTAACTAAGATTTCGGCTTTCCTAGTTAATGTTAGGGATATTTTCGTATGCACGTGTTACTCACACGTACATCAACTCCACTCCATTCTCCTTCTCTGTTATCTGAGAGTGTACTACTAAATTATGGGCATTAAAATATCTTATGAAGACCTAAACACTATTCTCAAGCATAATTTTTTATATCATTTATTTACATTAAAATATCCTAAAGTTAGGTGTTTCAGTATTCAATTTTCTATCTCTCTATGTATAAAGCCTTACAAACGATGAATAATTATATGTACTTCGAAAGTATTTAATGTTAAATATATTAATATTTCAATGTCTGTGCATCACATGTAATTTATCTTTTCCTTTAAGTGCACCTGGGGCAATGAAGCTTCAGAACCTAATAAATAAACTGAAGAAATGGATCAAGATACTTGAAGGGAAAACAAAGCTTTTGCATAAGTACGTTTGTACTAAAATTTAGATTTTTTGTTTAATTTTTTGTTAACAGGCCTGTATAGTTTTCATTTACAGAGATAGTAGTAATATATTATTTTGAAAGTAAATACTAAGTAAAACTGGATGAATACATATTCAGTTTGATTTAATGTTTTAAGGGTTAAATGTTTGATGAAGAAGTAATAATTTAAAATAAAAATTTTATTTTTAAACATGTTTATCTTTTATTAATATATATAATTTATATATATATGTATATGAAGGAAAAGCTGAACTGTAAAACCACACAGTGATTTTAAAAAAGAATACATTTATTTAAAATAATTCAGAATTTGTTGTTCTAAAGTAAAGTTCTAAGTAAAGCATCTTAATCTTCATTTGTCTCAAATAAGACTATATATAGTCCTGTATAGTCTGTAGTATAAAACTGTATAGTCCATATTATGTGCTTTGTCCATTCTGGTAACCTAATCGAATGTTTCTCATGCAGATCATTCCTTATTGAGGAAAAATGTAGATTTCTAAACAATTTTGCTCAGCAGACTGCGGATATTGAAATTCCAGGAGAGTTTCTTTTACCCAGAGTAATTTTTTTTCCTTTCACTTTTTAGATCTTTAAAAGCTGTTACATATATTTGTGTTTATTTTACAAGTATTCCCATTTCAGGATAATGTTTTTATACTGAAAATTTAGCACCATTTTAAAAGCATAAAAGAGTAACACCAACCATTGTTCTGTTTCTGAATTAGCACTATTTAAAACTTTAAAAAAATTAAATATTAATATCTTAAGAAATTTTGGAATTCTGTGTAATGTATTATTGTTTTAAGTGATTATTATCTTGATTATTTTAAATATTTAGCTTAACAGAATTTTTTGAAATGGAAAGAGTTTTTATCTCTTGTGAAATATTTAAGTTACATTTCAGCAAAATTTTATTCATTTTTTATAACAGTATTGGAAATGATTAGAAATAATATAATAAATATAATATTTGCAGAATTGTGGACATAGCATTTAAAATTAACATAAATATCTATGAAAAAATTACCAGGCCTGTTTTGATAAGTGAAGTTGGCTGTACTCTTGTATGTGCCCTAAATTCACCAAATGTGGCGATATGTGTTCTACGCTGGTTTTTGGCGTGATTGCATGTTGTATGGCAACCCTGTTGACGTTGAAAAATCTTTGCTGGAGTGGTTTAATTGCTCATTGGTTCGTGTCGTGCATGTTTTGAAATGGCCTATGTTGCAATGATGATTTCAGTTGCATATTTTAGATTGTGTGGAAAGTAAATTTAGTATTAAGGTACAATGTTGGAGTTGTTAACGAGTCTTTTGTTCACGGCTGTGTTTATGAGGATTGAAGTGTATTTTTGGAATTTCTGTGGCACTTTTAAAACGGAGTCGCTGCTATGAGAACTCAGACGAAGAACGGCGTTTCTGATAGTTGTTATGTGGATTTGCAGTCAAATGGTTGCTGGTAACGTATGTGGCTGTCAGTGGAGTTAAGTATGTGACTGTCAGTGGAGTTTGGTTTTCGTGTAGTATGTTAACTTTGGAGGAAGTTTTTATCGTTACTTTCGAAATTTTGAATCTCAGAAAGACATGTGATATAGCAAAATCGTGGCACTTTTGTTCAGAGACGTTGTGTGACTGGCAAAATTTTATTCAGGAGTGTATTATGGTAAGTGCATTTCATTTTACTGTTTTTATTTTGTAGAATGTTATGTTCATTGTTTTTTTACTATGAATTTCTGTTGTTATTGTTGTTTTTGAATTGTTTGCAATTTAGTTTAGTTTATTTGATTGATTTGTGCGCAATGCCTAGATTGCGCAATTCATAGATTTTTTTTTAAGTTTGAACAGAATACTGTGTACATGGTATTCTTTGAAATTTATTGTTGTTATGTTAATTTATTGAAGCGTAGTTCGTAGATTCCTTCACTGCCTAGAATGTGCAATTCGTAGATGTTTTTTGAAGTTAAAGCGTATCGCTGTGTCCATGGATTCTTGTCAAATATTTTTGGTTAGAAACTTTACATTTTTGCTATCTAAATTTTTTGTTTTTGTTTCAGATTTTTAGCTTAAATCGTGTCTTTTAAACGTGGTTTTTGCATGTGCAAAAACTGCGTTTTTAGAGACATTTTTGGCTTAAAATTCGAAATGTAGACAAAAAATTTAGGTAGTAATATGGCGGCGTGGAGTTTCTCGCCAAAAATGTTTGGTGAGAAATTTGGCGACCTGAGGGGGGAGTGTATATAAGAGTAGTTCCATGAAGTCTTGTAATAATAGTAATAAAAGATAATAAGATTACTATATACTAATTTAAAATTAAAATACTGAAAATTGGGACATAAAACAGTGATATTAGAGGAAAGGAAAGTTCCAAATAAATGATAAGTAAAACTAGATGCCACAATCAAAATTTAAACAAGAAGTCATGAATCAAAATTGGAACAGGAACTCATGGATCAAAATTGAAACAGGAATGCTGAAGTAAATCTAATTCTTCATGTGTTAATTTCCTTTTATCTGGAGTTTTACCTAAAAGTTGAGATAATTTAAAATGTTTATTTTTATATTGCATCATTTTATAAACCTCTTTATTAGAAAAGATGTTTGCAAAACAAAATCTCACCTGTGGCTAATTTATAAAGTCTCAAAAAACTTTGTCCTAAATTCAGTTCTTGATGAATATTGAAGAGATTGATTATGTAAAAGGTTGCTGTAGTATTTCCTATGTGATATAAATTTGACTCTTCCCTCAGGAAGTCTTCTGTGGAGGTATATTTGTGATTGATGGCTAGCTTTTGGTAGCTTTATCTTTTCAATAAACTATGAAGCATTAAATAAACAAAATAAATATAAAAATTAATCACAGTGAGGAAATAGTTAGGAAATCAGCTTGTGTAATGATCTGGGCATTTGGAAGATGACATTTAACAAATAATAGTCAACAACATGCATAAGATACAGCTCAAAACAAACTTCTCTGTGGAAAAAATGTTTTTTCATAAGAAAAGCTCAGAAACCCATTTTCATGTTTATTTAAACCCGCCATAAAAAAGATAGACAAACTTGGTCACTGTATATGCAATTCTCTTTTTGGTAATATGGTTGACTATTCTTTAGCCAAAATTATTTAGAAATTTGCTCATTTGTTTAATTAGCTTCTTATTCATCAAAATGCAATGGTTTAATTTCATGTTTTACACTCTTCACTGTTCATCTTTTATAAATATTTAAATTGTTGTTTCCATTGTGATATTTTCTAAATAGATAGCATTTATATGTATCATTATCATCTGTCATCTTTTAATATAACTTTGCGCATCTATTTATAAGCTGAATGTTAGAAAATGTCAAGTCAAATATTTTTTAATTACTATTGCTTTTATATGTTTTATAAAATTACTTTAAACAAAAAAGGTCTATATAATCTGAATATTCTTGTAGATATTATGAGATATTTCTGCATTTCATAACTAAATGCAGAAAATATTAATAAATTGCTTTAAGAAAGATATGTTTTATTTTTAAAATATGAAGGAGAAGTTTTGATCATATCTTTTAATTGGTAAAATATTTTTTTACAAAAAAAAAAATTATATATACACACGTTTGTGAAAATTGCAACACCATGAAGGACTTACGCGAGTGAGCTGAAATTTTCAGGAAATGCAAAGTAACGCATGATATGCAAATGATTAGAATTGCAAATCCGTAGCGCATGCGTATGCTGAGCAGCGCCCTCTGAACGGCTGATGGATCCGAATAAATAGACAGCTGTAGCGAGGCGTGTACGGTTATCGGTGGTTATCTGCTAGTGGTAAACGTTAACTCAATCTGTACTTATGCCTCGTCGACGAAAGAGAGCGAGATTTGAACAACTTACAGAGTTTGAACGAGGGAGAATCATCGGCCTTCGTGAAGCTGGATTGTCGTGTATCGTGCAGTAGCCTCTCGTGTGCAGCGTAACAGCAGCACAGTGATGCGCGTTTGGAAGCAGTGGACGGACGAGTGTCGGACAACTCGGAAATCCGGGAGTGGACCCCGAAATGTGACGGCAGCTCGCGATGATAGACACCTGGTCCGCATGGTGCGGACGGACCGTACAGCTTCCTCTAGACAATTGGCAGCACTGTGGTCAATAGCTACAGGTGTTTCATTGTGTGCTTCATCAATTCGTAGACGTCTGCTGCAGTGTGGACTGCGCGCACGGACTCCTTTATACAGGATCCCCCTAACGCACGACCATCGCCGCCTGCGGCTACAATGGGCCAATCAGCATAGAGACTGGTGTGCTGATTGGCAGTATGTCGTGTTTTCTGACGAATCCCGCTTTAATTTGTGGTACCATGATGGCCGCATTCGTGTCAGACGCTATGCCGGTGAACGGCACCTTTCGGAGTGCATTATCGAACGCCACAGTGGACGAACACCCGGAGTTATGGTCTGGGGCGCCATAGCATATCATAGACGATCTCAATTGCTACGAATTGTGGGCAATCTGAACAGCAACCGGTATATCCGTGAAGTTCTACAGCCCGAAGCTGTTCCCTTCCTTCAAAGCTTGCCAGGCGCTGTATTTCAACAGGACAATGCACGCCCTCATACTGCTCGGATTGTTAAATCCTTCTTTGCAGTGCAGCAGGTACAGCTTCTTCCTTGGCCTGCATGTTCCCCGGATATGTCGCCAATTGAACATGTGTGGGATGTCATTGGTCGGCGTCTTGCTCGTGATCCTCGTCCTGTTGCGTCTGCAGACGAACTTTGGGTACGCGTACAAACGATATGAAATGCTCTTCCTCAGTCAGACATTCAAACTTTGTTTCACTCCATGTCACGTCGTGTAGCAGCACTTATTGCGGCGCGTGGTGGCCACACAAAATACTGATTCTGATCTCTTGTTCTTGTTTGTTTGCTTTGAACATTTAATCATTTATTTGTACCGCTACCACTCAACTGTGTATTAAATTGCATTCAATTATGACGATTCCTTCTTGGTGTTGCAATTTTCACAAACGTGAGTGTGTGTATATATATATATATAAATTAATTTATGCTTTTAGTTAGACTTTAAAAATGGAAAATTATGAATATCTGCTTAGCTTCTGTAATAAGCTAGCATTAAGTACAAAATTAAATTAATATCCTGTATGTTAAATCAAACTTATATAAACCTTTATTGTCTGATTTCAGCATAATCATTATTTTGTTCGGATATCAAGATTCATGCCAAGAGTTGACATTGTGCAGAAGCATAATACTGCTGCTCGGAGATTGTATATTAAAGGACATAATGGAAAGGTAATAAAAGTTTATGATAAATTGTATTAAAATTTTTTCATTATGAAGTGTTTGAGAAATTGATGTATTAATTTAGAAGTCAAACAACAAAAATCAGCATTATATTTTCAAATTTTCACAAGACTAGTTTCGATGGTTTTACCAAACCTTCATCCTCAGCTGATGGTTCAGTAAAACCAGATAAGATAAGAGTGGCTGGACAGGAGTTAACACCTGTTCAGCCATTCTTTCTTATCTTACCTTATCACTTTATATTATCTCATTGATTTGCAATTTGGCAACTTAGGATGATTTTTTTTTTTTTTTTTTTTTTTTTTTGTTAAAGCCATCAAAACTAATCCTGTAAAAATTTGCAAATATCAGTGAAAAATTTTTAAGTCATATTCCATTGAAACAGCAATATAAGACTTGAACAAAAGGAAAAAAGAAAATGAATAAACACTACAGAAAGCTGAATAAGTGATAAGTTAAAAATTTCTTTTAATTAAAGTTCATAAAAACTGAAAGAGCAAAATTTCTCATGAAATCTTCATCAGAGTATAGTGCTCAAGAAATGTAAAATTTATAGTCTGTTTCTAAACCAATCAATGAATAATTTGGCAAGGCCAAATAGTTTAATAGTGCTTAAATAATAAATTTTTAGATTAAATTGTTAAGTATCCACTCAACCCTAACAGGCTGTGAATATGAGGAAACAGCGCTTAGCTCAGTACTTCTGTAAGTGTTTAAAAAAAGGGGGTGGACCAAAAGGAAGCAAATTATCAAAATATACATAAAATTCCAGCCAAGGTGCTCTTGAAAATAGGGCAAGAAGTATAGATAGCCAGTAATGGATGTTATATATGGAGCGTTTTATGGGATACAAATGCAGTTCATCAAAAACATTAAATACGATTCATTAAAAACATAAATTTGGGATAGCAGAGTAAGGTGAAAACCCTTAAACTAAGGCCAGCATACAGGCTGAAAAATGCTAACTCTTGAGCAGATGGTGGACTCTGAATTATTTGCTTTTGTAAAAGTCCTTATTCAAAGGGGAAATTAAAAAAAATAAATTATATAAGTAAAACTTTAAAATAAACCAAGCAATAAGAAATGTCTTGTAGAAACGAAAAAAAATATCTGGTGCCTAGTAGTAGTATCAAGTTAGGAAAAAAAAAGTAATTATTAATGATGGGTAATTAATGTCAAATTAAAAACAATAATAATAATAATTAATTTTTGATGTTACATGTATATAATAAATTAAAAACGGCAATAGTCCTATCAAAAACTCCCATTAAGTAAAAATTGAAATGACAGTTGCAAGTCATTATCATTTGCAATCAGCTTAGTCATTAAAGGACCAAATCCTGAAAGTACAAAATATAAAAATAAAGAAATTAAAAATTTGAAAAGAATTTTTAAGTATTGTTAAAGGAAAAAAATGGAATCGGTAAGAAAATTTGTCTTTCAAGCACCAGCTAATAGTTGTGGAAAAGCAAATTCAGTTGAGATGCAAAAATTTTTAATGCAAATTAAATGAAAATTTATCCATATTACAGAAAATGACCAAAAAATGAAGAATTGATAATGCTGATTCATCAGGAGGAATTGGCTTATTTCACTCTCTTCCCAATACCTCAGACATTGTATTTCGTCCTTGTCATGCATATGTAATTTAAAAATTTTTATACATAAGTTTTCAAAGCTCCAAATTTAGCTAACCCATATACATGTCAAGAATTCCCCTAAATGATATAAAACAATTTAGAAATGTAAAAAAGGTAGAACAATACGCAGGTATCAAATCAGTAATGAGATCAAAAACATTTAAAAAGCGTGAAAATAAAATAATAAATTAGGCCACAAAATTTGTAAAAGCTTCAATAAACTTACTTCAGTTCAGTGTACAGCTGTAACTAGTTGTAACTAATAACAAATGTATATTTTTTTTTTTTTTTTTTTTTTTTTTTTTTTTATTCCAAAGGGCAGGCATGCTAATCTATAGTTGCCAGATTTAGAAAAATTGTAAAATTATTATTATTAAGCAGGTGAAAAATGGTAATTAGCTATGGCATGGCTAGACAGTGTGACAAGCTATTAATTCAAAAAAGTACTGCAATTGTGACTTAAGAAAATTCTTGGTTCTTAGTTAATAAAAGCACAGAAGCCAGAAATCGAGGATATTTTACATTTTTACATCATATTATTTTATATTTGTATAAATCTTCCAGTCTAAGCCATCCAACTTTACCCTCCTTATTAAATTTTTCAGATAAAGCCTTCACATCTTCTATACTAAAAGAATAAAATTTAAAATTAATGCCTCCTTTTTTGAGAAAAAAAATTAATAAATTTAGAAGGAAATTTGTTATCCTTGAGAGTGCTACTTAGTAAGGAGATTTCATTTTTAATATCTTGAATGTCTGTACAAATATTCCTTATCCTCTTAATTTGACTGATAAAGGCTATTACTTTTTTAGAAATATTGGAGTTCCAACTGATTAACTTAAAAGTTGTGAACTTAAATTCTCTTCTTTTGTTAAAAACCTTAATAGTGCAATGATTAATAGTTTGTAAGTCAAGATAGTCTATAAAATGTTGATCAGTATTAGTAGGATTAAGTGTGAGAATGCTAGAATAGATTTTTAATCTGTCTATTGCATTATTATTATTGAAAGTAATAATATCTATGTATTTGTAGGTGTTGGCAAACAGTTTTAATTCTCGTTCTTTTAATCATAGTTGAAATTTATACTCTTGTGTAAACGGAAATAAAAATCAAAATCTGTATTGAGTTGTTAGAGCCCATTGGGAATTCCTCTGACCTGTAGAAAAATATTACGCTACTTAGTAAAGTTATTGAATACAGTATAAAGTCCGTAATCCGGACGTCCATTATCCGGAATTATCTATAATCCGGACCTCAAAGCCACAAACTTACGCATGCGCGTAATGCGATTACGGATCCGCGTTTAATGCGCACGTCCGTTACACATGCGCGTAAAGTGTTTGTCCATGTGTGCTTCCAATAGAAAGTAACAGAGAGGTTATTAAAAATGAAAAAATTTCGATTGACAAGTTAGTCGGACTTGTCACAGCAATTACAGGACTTGAACAGTGGGACTTTGTAAATGAACAAGAAATTATGTCTGTTTATAGAATTGAAGAGAAAGTAGATGTTTTGGATCTTAACATTGAAATAAAATAGTTTGAAAGATTAAGATCTGTTTTTGTTTTAAAAAAATTATGTATTTACAATATGTTTATTGCCCTCCCTTTTTTTTTGTGAAAAGTTTCGTTTGTTCTTACAGATATATCCATACTTAGTAGTTAATGATGCCTGTTTAAGTGATGCAAGGAAAGAAGAACGTGTGCTGCAGCTATTAAGAATGTTGAATCATTACCTTGGGAAGCAAAAGGAAACTTCTAAACGTTTCCTGAATTTTACTGTACCTAGAGTAGTTCCAATTAGTCCACAGTTGAGGCTAGTAGAAGATAATGAGTCATCCATCTCCTTGCTTGATATTTATAAACAAGTATATTATTTTCTTCTTCTGTATTGTAAAAATTTGTTGAAATCTAGAAGTGTAAGCAGAAGTATATGCTTAAAATATAAATTTAATTAGTATAATAAATTGCAGCATTTTTTTTTCTTATTAATTGCCTTAAATGTTTTATCATGTAATTTGTCAAGTTTTTTTGTTTCAGTCTTGTATTTGTAGTTTCCTTTCAATAGCACTAAAAAGTATTTTGTCAACTTGTGGTTAATGTATATACAGTCTTAATATCATACATGCCATTGTTCTGTAAGTGGTTAGTACACCCAGTTACCAATTGGAAGATTCATTTAAACCTGAGTGCACAGGTGATTTTTTTTTCCAATGTTTTCTCACATTGAAAAACCTGATAGTCTCTTGTAGTGACACCCAAACTAAAAATGTATTGAGTGTAATGTACCATCACATGCATTTAGCTTTCTGGGTCTCATGCCTCTTTTTGCTCATTTTGTTAATATGTTATAATACAGTAATTATATCTCAATTTCCCATGTACGACCTTATGAAGTAAGTAGTAGCATGTACTGCTAGTAATAGAAAGATTCATGGGACATATCCCAGTAAGGAGGCACAATTAATTTTCATGGTTTTGGGCTTCAAAAAATAATGGTTCTCTACAAATTATGTAAATAACTTTTTAGAGCAGTATAGTTTGACTTAAACTTCTTTAACGCCCTCCCCCCCCCACAAAAAAAAGAGTGTTTGGGGTGATCTTTTAAAATGAATTGTTTCAAATTCTGTAACAAGTCATACTTATATTTCTCTTCACGTATCCATTAATATCCTGTAATTATGGGGAAAATGGATGAGAACTATTATCAAACAATTGTACATGCATTTTATTTTGTTTAGATTTCAATATGTATACGTTTTTAAATCAGACTAAATGCATATTTTGCATAGTCTGTGCCAATTATATACTGTGATAATTATGTAACTGAATTGCACATAATTTGTATTAATAAATTAATTTTAAATTTGCAGCGTTGTGCGAAGAAGGGCATGGAATATGATGCTCCATTAACAAGATTTTATGAAAGACTTGCAACAGTGCAGTCACGTGGTTCACAAGCTAGTCATCAAGTCTTACGCGATATCTTAAAAGATGTATTAAGTATCATGGTATCAAGAACTTTGCTGAAGGAGTGGGCTGAACATACATATCCATCAGCTACTGATTATTGGATATTTAGAAAACAAGTCAGTAATAGATAAAATATAATTTTATTGCTATAGATAAGTGTTTTATTCTTAATCAGTGTTTGTTATAAAATACTGTTACAAAATTTCAGGCCATAACGTTGTTATCGATTTTCATTATCAGCATTATCCAGTTACTCTCCTGTTGTTTATGCAAGCATTAAGAAATCATACACTGAAATGGTGTCAATATATATGTGTGTGTGTGTTTATTCTGTCATACATACTTAAAAGTTCATTTTTCTAATTCCCAGGTTCTTGACACAAGCTAGCCCAAATAACCATCTGGTGCTTTCCTTAATTAACCGATCTTTAATTACAGTGGTACTTTGGTATACATCATTAATCTGTTCCCGATCTTTGGATGTATACCAAAAATGTTGATAGTATGTTGAATTTTTCCAGAAAGGAATAAAGAGAAAATAATTTATCCATTCTTATTTTTAAAAAATCCTGTTATTATAACATTGCTTAATAATAAAATACAAATGCAGTGGGTGAAATATATATTCTATGTAAATGAAGCACTGCACAAAATAACTGTACATAGATGATGTTCTGCTATCCAGTTCAAAACTGATTTTTCAACATGCTCTAATGTCTCTCATCTTTGTTTGGTAATTGATATCCCCCTCTTTCCAGTGTTACATGATTTAATAGCAGGTTTGTTTTTGCATTCATAGATGCCTCATACGTGGCATTCGGTATACAGTAGCCAAATCCCAGACACACATGTCCTCTTCATACTTTTCTTTTTCATTTCCATGGTGATTCTAACAAAACTCTTTGTTGACTCTTCTCATTAACTTTCCTAAAACTCAATTGTGAGTAAATTTACAAAACATTTACGAAAAAGCATAAAAATTGTTTGAAAATTCAGAATTATAAGGCAAGTTATGTACTGAATAATAATGCCACTCATGGGCAAGTGTAAGGTTGTGCCAAAGTATGAAAAGCAAAAATTTTTGCATCCAGACAGGACTTATTACCAGTTTGGACATATTTCAGAGACCACTGTTTGAACACAATATCGTTCAGCACATGAGAAGCAGTTACTCAATTTCTAAAATAGAAAATTATTCTTCATATTAATTTAAATACATTTTCTCATACACAAACTACAGTTGATATAGTTTTCTTAAATAACAATAAAACCAATAAAGTTTTACACAGGGTACTTTAATTTTCCATAGTGATTCAAATAGGCATTGTTTGACTTGTATCCAAATGATCGTAGGTTTTTGTGATGAAATGGCATAATAAATCAAGAAAATTTTTTCTTACTTTTGTAGATGTAAAACTATCTTAAAGATACATTAGGAGGTTAATTAACATAAATATTCAAAAAATAGTATTGCTTAACAAGTTAATTATAGGTTTGAAAATTTGAGCCGACACTTTTAAAAAAAACCAAAATTTATTTTTCACGCCATTTCTTATTCTACAAAATCTTAAATGCAACTATCGATCGAACAGAAAAGCAGACATAAGGCATCTGGACATGTGATCCTTGTGACAGACAAATTCTTTAGGGTTGCCACAGAAAGCAGTGTGTCGCCACAATTCTCCCACCTTTTGAGTGGATGGCTACACACTCAAAACATAAAACTTACATCAATATAAGAGGGTTATATAACAAAGAAAATTACTTAAACCTTAAATCATATTACTTCAAAACAAAATTAATACTGAGGAATAATACAACAATAATAGCACAACAAAATAAATCATAATAACTCAATGACATGAATTACATTTTTCGTGATTTTACAACTCTACCACTACTGGTGGCGAAAGGAACTTGCTCATTTTGAGTATTATCTATTATATTATCCAATTCCAATCTAAACAATCTCTGTATTGGTCTCAAGAATACAGAGAGGTTTATTTTTGTAATTTCTGGTAGACTGCTGTCTTAACTGCCCTAGATACTCGGGGCGAAATCTCATTCTTAACAATTCTCTCATTCTGTGGAGATACATTGCTCTTCTACTCAATTTTTCTTTGTCCACATTGTCAATGTCAGGTACACCTGACTGTGAAGTTTCATGCAGAAATTTTTCCGGAGTTAAAGGCAAGGGATCTTCAATATCATCAGACACCATACGTAAGTGGTCTTGAGTTGACAATTCTTTCACAATTGCACAAGATGGTGCTCTTCATAACTAAGAGAAGCACGACCTAAAATTTTTCTTAATATTTTTTTACAATTCGTATTAAATGCTTCCACCATCCACCCCACCAAGCGACGGATGGAGGATTAAATTTCTATTGTATTCACGTTTATTGTATCACTAGAGCAGAGGCAGTCCCAGTCAATGGTTTGTAGAACTCTCTCTGCACCCACAAAATTTGTCCCATTATCGGAATATATGGTGGTAGGGCGTCCACGATGTGCGATAAAACGCCTGAGAGCGTGAAAAAATGATTCAGTTGTTAATGAGGTAACCAGTTCCATATGGATAGCACGATAAAACGCACAGGTGAAGCGCAGAATATGATTTTTGTCCATCCTTTAAAATGCAAGGGTCCTGCAAGATCACATCCTACGATTTCAAAAATGGCTGAATCATGAACCTTATCATTTGGTAAAACGCCTGGGACTGTCTCACCTCTTTTAGCCTTAAATCTCTGACGTGTTACACATTTTCTTATACAGTTCCTTATAGTTTTACGTGATTTTAAGATGCAGTATCTTTCTCTTAAATGCAACATCAACAATGTAGTACCTGCATGCAACAAATCTTTGTGGGCGCTTAATATCAATAATTTGACTACTGGATGTTCAGAAGGTAATATGATGGGAACTTAAAGCTATTAGAGTCATCACGATAAGCAACATTAGACTTAGCTCTGATTAGACCCTGACTATCGACAAATGGTCTGAGTTGTCTCTGTTTCACAATTAAACAACTCTTTTTGTATTAATAACATTAAAGCTTTTTCTCCCCTTTCTATTTCAGATACAGTCAAATCCTTAGAATGGTTATTATTATTATTACTTACATTATTATAAAATCTGAATATCCATGATAACATTCTTACAATTTTCTTAAATGATGAGAAATACTTATAGTACCATCCAATACAATTATCATTCTTTACCAATGTAACAATAACTGTCTTACGTATTTCTGAATTAACTAAATCCTCATCTGGTTCATCATTAGATTTAGGCCAATTTGCCTCATCTTCCCGTAACCAATCAGGTCCCTCCCACCATTTTCGTTCTATTAATTGATCTGCATAACAACCTCTAGAAAGTAGGTCAGCAGGATTGAGACTACCAGGGACATGTCGCCATACAGTGGGGGAGGTCAAAGACCTGATTTCCTGTACACGATTAAAAACGAATGCTCCCCAACGTTGATTTCGCCGTATCCAACTTAAAAGCCGTCGAGGAGTCAGTCCAACAGTGAATACGAACTTCATGTAGGCCAATATCATTAATAACTGAAGATAACAATAACCTAGAACCAATATTACAAGCAAGAAGTTCTAATCGAGGAATCGTAATAGGTTTTTAAAGGTGCTACTACTCTCGATCTTGCGTGTACCAAACTAACCTTTACCTTTTTGCCACTCTGTACTCTTAAAAAGATGCATGCACCATACGCACTTTTACTACTGTCACAAAAGATGTATACTCACAACTCACAGCTTCATTAATAGATCTGAGACCTATCCATCTAGGTATTTGGATACTGGATAGCAAGTACAACTTTTTACGCCAAAACCTAAACTTTTTGGTTAATTCATCGGGAAGAACATCGTCCCATTTAAGCCTTAAATTCCAAGTTTCCTGTAAAATTAGTTTTGGAATCAACATTACAGGAGCCGTATGTCCTATAACGTCAAACACCTGATGAGCTGCTGCTAAAACTAGTCTTTTAGTAACTGGGCCGTCCAATTTTATATCTTGACTTATTTTTCTGTAACTGTATACCATACAAGGCCCAAAACAGACACATCTCCTTCCGTGGAGGAATCTTCCTCTGGCACAACACTTCTTATATTGGATTTCCAGAATCTTAAATTAAAATGACCCGAAGCTATAATTATTTGTGATTCATTTACAAACATTCTCATTTCTATTTCTGAATCCATACTAGCCACACAGTTATCTAAGTAAAAGGATGTTTTCAAAATCTCCGCTGTATGACTTAAGCTTTCGGGAACTACACTCAAATGATATTGCATTGTAGCGGCGAATAAATACTGACTACACATAATACCAAAAACTACCCTTCTATGCCAATGCAGTTCAACTTGTTCTTGATTATCCCTACTGAACCGCATAAATCTCAAAAAATCTCGATCTTTTTCCCTTTTAGATATTTGCAAGAACACTTTTTCTATATCTGAAGTGACACCAACGTAATTCGTGCAAAACCGATTAAGAATCAAAGGTATAATCCAATTAAATTTGGTCCAGTAGATAAACAATCGTTCAATGATGGGTAACCAGGCGAATGAGAACTTGCGTTAAACACTGGTCTTATACTTGTGCTACTATTTTCTTTAAGAACCGCTCTATGAGGTAAATAATGTACACCCTTATATTTATTCTTATCCGGTACTTTTTCAATTATCTCGAGTGCTAACCAGTTCTGGAAAATGTCTTCGTAAGCGTCAAAATTTCCCATAGTCATTAATTTTTAGTACTTACAAGACATTTTTCTGCTATCACTTTGTTTTCGAGTAAAAGCGAGCTATCCGATGCTACTTCGTACCTTCCCTCTGAATTTACCGTAACAGTCTTTTCAAAATATTTTTGCATATCCTCCTGTAACTGAGTTTTGGTTTTACCTACGGAAGGTTCACTAATTCCCAAAACATCTAACTTTCAGAGATCACTAATACATTGACCCTTCACTAACAGAGAAGAAATTACGAGGGATGTGGTATTTATCGTAGTTGGCTCAGTGCCAGTAAATTTACCCATAACAGTCCAGCCTAACTGCGTATGCACTGCGCTGATGCCACACATAAGGGGAACAATTTTTCCAGTTAGCAACTTACCAGCAAAATCTGCACCAATTAGTAATTTTATCTCTTTATCGACATTACATGTACCATTTTCTAAATCACTTAATTTGATACCATGTGACTTAAGTTCGCGTAACCACGAACCAAATGGGAATTGTTTAATTTCAGAACAAATTTTGTTTTGACCAAGTACCTCTTATTTACACTTATATTTACTATATATATTGCTTACTTCAATAACATCTTTTTTATACACATTTTCTTAAGTCTCAACTCAAAACCAAAAAGAAATTGCTTAACTTTTGATTCAACTTACAGTTTAAACTTTCAGCAACATCATTACATAAATATGATTTCATAGAACCACTATCATAAATTGCTTGTACAAACATTTCTTTAGACCCATTCTGAATTTTTACAATTAAAGTTTGAAGATATACATCTGATACCTTAACATAGTTATTAAGAATGCCTGTTTTATTTTCGTTATTCCCTAACTTTGTGACACTTTTTGTTTTGTTAGAAGGGAAATCGGAGCACATAATCACAAAATGTCGATTTTTACATAAGGTACACCTATGTTTAGCTGTGCACTGATTTGCTCTATGGTTTTTCTTAAGACACACAAAACAAACATTCTTTTTCTTAATGATATCTTTCTTACATTCTAAACTCATTAAAGATGCATCCTTACAACTTTCAGACAAATGGGATTTTTCACAAAAAATACAAGTATCAGACTTTTTTATACTCTTGAAAATTTTCATTACACTTACTACTGTTTGCATTAATTAGTTCACATGCAGTTGGAACAACAGGTTTTGTGTCAAAAAACTTATTTTTGTTATTACTTTATCAGAACCCAAAACATCACGGGTAAGTTTAACTCTAAATTCAGTTTCTACTTCCCTTTTTAGGAAATCAATTAATGACTCCAAATCACTCTTACCTGTTGTTTCAGGTGACATACCTTGTTGTCTTTCCCAAATTTGTATTAAATCAGCAGGAAGTGCTGATTCCACTAAAGGAAATAAAACAACTGTAAATTTATCTTTAGTTAAACCGAGTGATTCCAATGCACATAGTTGAGTTTGCAACTTGTATTAAAGAGTTAATAAATCTATCTTTTGTTTGTTATTGATTACCAGGTTTAATAGTTCTCTAACATAAATTTGAATTAAAACGTTTTCATTTCCAAATTGTTCTTTGAGATACTCCTCGGCTTTTTCGTAATTTTCTTCCGTAGTAGGAAAACTTTCCACTATTGCTCTTGGCACAGCCTCAGGTTTTGTAGATTGCAGTAGATAATGAAACTTGTCTCTCTTGTCAATGCAAGTATCTTCGTGTATTTTACTAAACCTCCTCCAAAATGTCAACCACTTTCGGGCATCTCCATTGAACTTCACCAGTTCGATCTCTAGCAGTTTCTGTTTTGCGGCCATAACTATTCCTGACGAAGAATCGCTATTCATTGAACCAGTAGAAGACTGTAAACACTTATCCTGTTGGCTTTTACTTTCAACGTAGATAATTTATCGTAATATTCTTGAGCTGCACTAAATTCTCTTTCGTATTCTTCTCGAGTACAGCCTTTTTTCTGTAGAATTTCCCCAAAAGAGTCATCCGTATTTCATAAAGTTTTATACTTCTCTGAAATTTTATCTAAATAAATTTCTAAATGGTTCAAATCCGGAGAATTGGATCGTATCAGTTCTTCCAACTTATTAGCTGTTTTCGTAAATGCACTCCTAATTGCTTTCTGCTTCTGTTTTAGTATTTCTAAATCGTCCATGTTTGCACCAAGAACTTCTCTTATTTTTGTAAATTATCAAGTATCGAAATCGATTAATGTCACCCTGTAACAATCATCCTGGCAGGCTCGCTAAATTTGTTGCTTAACAAGTTAATTGTAGGTTCGAAAATCTGAGACGACACTTTTTAAAAAAAACTAACATTTATTTTTCACGCCATTTCTTATTCTACAAAATCTTAAATGCAACTAACTATCGAACAGAAAAGCAGATGTAGACGTAAGACATCTGGACAGACGAATTCTTAGGGTTGCCACAGAAAGCAGTGTGTTGCCACAAATAGTTTCCTAAATCAAATGATATTTTGAAAAGTAATTTTTTGTTGTGGCTTATCTCACTATCTGGATTACAAAACTGCATCTGTTGTTGGCGTGAGCCTTGAGCACTACGTAGGTTGAAAGTACAATTTCGCCCAGCTCCACCCCAATTTCGAAGGAGTGAATCCTGGGAGACAGGTGAGTGTCTTCCACCCCTCTTTTCTTACCACCAAACCACTTGAGAGGACAGCTTGCCATGTATTTTGAATACCTTGAAGCCACACAGACACTATACATTTACAGATGTCCATTCATTTTCCAGGGCTCAAACCTAAGACCACCTGTGTGGCAGACAGCGTCACTAATCATTATACTGTCTGGGTGGCCTGAAAAGTAGTTCATAGATTATTGAAAGAATTACAAGTGCTGTTAACTGATAATGGATTTACAGAACATATATTTTATTTGACGACATCCATCAGAACTGTTTTGATCTCTGTGCGATTAGATTGCATTTACTTTGCTAGTTAATATTAAATGCATGAAAATATTGAAAAAAAATTCATATTCTGTTGGTAATAATAATTTGTTGAGTTTAACTCTCTAGTATATCTTAAATTTTGCCAAATAGTTAATAATGCAGTAATGTGTGTTAGTTTTTTGCACATAATAATTTTGCCAAATAGTTAATAATGCAGTAATGTGTGTTAGTTTTTGCACATAATAATCATAACTAAAATGCTAGATCTTTACCTAAATAATGTATATTTTTCTTTTAGTTTACTTTACAACTCGCACTTGCTGGATTCATAGAGTACATTCTCCATCTGACACGACTTAATCCTGATATGATGTATATTCACCAAGACAGTGGTCTAATGAATGTATCATATTTTCGTTTCAACATAGATGATGCAAATGGTATGTTTATTGTATTGTGTTGTTAAGCATATCCATTAAAAAAGGGCGGGGAACATTTTCTAAACTTTTACCGATGGAGATATTGTGCATATCATAGTCTAATGTATAACAATTTGATAGTTTAAACACATTATGTGTCCTGGTAAGGCTCAGATCTTGTGTTTGAATAGCACTTGTTCATTTTTCAACTGCATAATACTAATTTTGAAATACAAATCTATATAATGTATAAAATTTTGAAATACCTGTTTATCATGTTATTTTAGGAAATTTTGTAAATATTAAAAAATGTAACTTTTTCCAACTACACAATTTTTTAATCATCGTTTTATATTTATATATATGACTCATTATCTTGATTCATGTATTGTTTCTGTGCAAAGGGTATTCAAACTGTTAATAAAGGGCCACTTAAAATAAGTATTCTAATTATTGTGATAATTTATTAATTATTTTAATAATAATAATAATAATTTTAATTAATCATATTAAAATTATTGTAATTTTAATAAAAAAAATTCTGGATCTTAATATGAAATATGCTGACGTTTAACTTGCAGAGTTTTTCAACTGGATTCAAAAAGCAAATTTGTAACGAAGCTGTAAGCTTGTAATCTTGAATTCTGCAGTAAAAAGTAGATGATTGATACCTAATTCGCTGAAGAAAAGGTCTGTGACGCTTTTGGGGCCTTTTCCTCTCTCTCTGTGGTTTTTGTTTGATTTATTGCGGATTAAAATTCAAGTATTGATTACACTCAAGCTGTAATGTCTCTACTTTGGGACATTTTTAATATAGAAATCAATACTTGTTGAAACTTTTATGGTTGGATTTTTGATATGATATGATTTGATATATGATATGATATGATTTGATACTTTTATGGTTGTTTGATGAAATTATCACATTTTTAGTGGATTATTTGTGATAAGAAAGGAGTTTCCCGTGCTTTTCCTTTTGTTTTTCTTTTCTTTACTTCAAAAGATTTTACTAGTACTTTTCCATTACAAATATTGTGTGAAAAAGGCACAAAAAATAATCTGACCAGTGTACCAATATTTGACATTAACAATCTTCAAAACTGCATTTGGTAATTTTTCTTTTTAATTGATCACCACATATAAGCCTGTGTTTTATGGCTTGGACATAAAGTTCTGAGGTAGTATTGTTAATAAAAAAGTACCATTTTGTTTGTCTACAGGTGTTAAGATTCCTCCCCTTCAGAAAAATTTTAAATAGCAGTTGGCAGGAAGGTTTGAAACCTTTGATAGGCGGTCTTCTACACTTATCTGTTGCACTAAATATTTATGTTTTCTTTGAAACCTTTTATGTTCTATCTTGTCTATGGCCCTTTCCCACTTTTTTCTAATAAAAAGCATTACTGTTTCAGTAAACTCTGCAAGGCTGATGTATTTTTTATTTAGCAGCCCAAGATATAATTTCTTCATCTTCATTGCCTCCTCTAAATAATTATTTCCTTGATGAATGAAAAATGAATACCACCTTTATTATGAATGCATTCTCTTTACTTTTTGCATTATATATATATATAGAAGGTTGTCATCTGTAACTGATTTAAATTTCCATCAATTTTATTCTTGAGGTTTTTTTTGTTTTTTACTGCATGAAACCCTTTAAAAATTTAATGGATATTGTCATTTATCAGTTATTGCAGGCTTACTTTTATGCTATCTGAAGCACTAGCATGTATGAGAGTTGCTCTTTCCTCATAAAGCTTGAATCCTCTTATAATTCATTTTTATCAATTTTACTGGTGATTAAGTGCAAAGGGGGGAAAATATTGCCACTTTTTAAAAAATGGAATTTTAATAGAATTGTATTTATAAAATAATAATACTTAGCTGGAATTTCCAACAAAGCACTGACTGATCTATCAGCTTCGTAATTAATCAGTTAATACTTTTCCTCTAAGTATTGTATTATATGCTATCACTGCTTCATATAAGTTGACTCTTTTTTTTTTTTTTTTCCCCAAGTATATCTAATGCAGCAGATCTTGAAATTTTTAAATCATGAAATTGAAATCTTCCCGATTCAGTGTTCATTTGCTTCATAAAAGCTCTTATTTTGTCCATAAGCGTCAATCTAAAAATTGTCTTATCTTTCTTTTTCTTAAGTAGTGTATAGTAATACCAAGAAAGCTTTGTGTGTAAAATGGGGGGATATTCTTTGTAATTTTTATGTCCTAAATTGTGACTGTAGTCAGTCACCATTTGTCTCAACTTCCATTGTTCCAACTTCGTCACTCAATTTCAACATATTCTCTCTTATCTTGAGGTTTTACTTTTTATTTATTGATTGATTGTTAACAAATATTAATGATACAATGCATATGTTTAACAAAAATTATAGGAAAAGATTATTAGCTATGCTTTCTAAATTTAAAAAAAAATAAATACATAAATAATGTGAATTGTAATACAGTTAAGATTTCTGGCATCTAGATTTTCAGACTTAAATTTATCATTTGTAATGCTTGTTTCGCTGAAAAACTTTGGTAGTAGTAAATTTGACGTTAAAATATTATTTATTGGGTATCACTAAGATTAAATCTTATTTTATTTTCTTCATAAGTAATTTATGAGCAACTTTATAGTTCCATAATTACTAATATTTGTTAATGTTAAGCTAATATTATATTTAAATTTGTCAATATTTGCATGTTTATTTTGTTTTATTAGGGTGATTGATTTGGTTAAAATAATCTTTCTAGGTGAGCTAGATGCTAATCGACCCGTTCCATTTCGATTGACTCCAAACATATCAGAGTTCATTACAACAATTGGAGTGTGTGGGCCTATGACTGCATCCATGGTAGCTGCTGCAAGATGTCTTGCAATGCCAAATTTTAAAGTGACATCTTTACTAAGAGCAATTTTAAGAGATGAAATGATTGCTTGGTATAAAAAGGTAAATCTGCATTTTTTTGCCCCTCCCCTTGAATTTAAACAAATTGTTAAAACTTATGTAAAAAAAAAATTACACAGTTATGTGAAACTTTCTTGAGATTGTGTTTTCAGAAGATTTGTTGAATTTTATATTCAGTGCAACCATGATTAAGGAGGCAGGGAGGTTGAATATTGCAAATTTTCGCAAACCATTTGATTTGAAGTGGTATGATAAAGTTATGAAAATTCTTTGGAATTTCTGACACTTAGTTTTATAGTTTAAGATATTTATGTTGAATTTCATCAGTAATCATGTCCACTAAGGCTACCACCAAAGCCATAAATTGTCAGAGCTGTTTATAGATATTCATTGTATAACTATAATTTATTAACCTGATAAATTTTAGATATTGAAATGTCTTTATGAAAATATCATACTCTATTGAAGAACAAAAGGATACTGATTAAACTAAAGTTAATTACATTTACATATTTGCCCTGGGAAAATCATTATACTCAATTTAAGGAATATAATTAGTTACTAATATTTAAAAAAAAAAAAAAACTTATTATTGCCACATTTATATTCAACATCTTAATATTGCATTTATCAAATAAAATAATTCTAAGAAAGATCAGTTACATTTGAATTCTTTTCTGTTTCTTTTAGAGTCCATTTTGCATAATATAGGATAATAAATAAAAAACTGAGATTTTTTTCTTTTCTTCTAATCAGATTATATATTTGTTTGGAATAATGGCTTTTCTTCCTGAACAAAATGATATATTAGAACCTATGTTTACAAAAAATTTAAAAAAGGCCCTAATGGTGCCCAGTAATCAAAAGTGTGTAGCAGGAAGGGTAGGTTCTTGGTATCATAACAGGAATCACTTTTATATATATATATATATTTTCTAAAGCATAAAATAAAATAGTTGCAAAAATGGTTCATTTTTCAGTTGAGTAAATTTTTTTAAATTTCCTTGTAATATTATAGTTTAATTAGAGCATGATATGATTTACTCATGCAGTGTTATATTTGCTGAATTTTTTGATAAAATAATAATATTGAATTTAAATCACTTTCAAAAGCTTTTTACACATATTTTACATAACTATGTTCAACATCATAAAAGTGCCAAAAAATAAATTTTATTTATAGAGAAATTAAAAAAATTTTTTACATCGGACTTATTCAAGCACCCATTTCTGTAGACACCTATAAAAAAGCAAAAATTAACAATTACCAGCAAATTAACAATTGAAAAAGAAAAAAAAAAAAGAGAGAGAGAGGCCCTAATGGATCAGTGGTCAAAATTCAGGATTTCACGCTAGATCTTTTTTAAATCTCAATTGTGTGTTCTTGTGGGTATGTAAGTTACAATTCATTCAAAATTTTACTATAATTAAAATCCTTTTATATACTGTGTCTGAAAGGGAAAAGGTGCCGGTTTTTGTCTTCATTTTAAGATTTTGGTAATGAGGTGTATGTGATGTCAAGTTTCTACAAATCTCCAAGTTTTTTTTTTTTTTTTTTTTAAATACATTCATTTTTAGTGAAAACAAATTCCTGTGTATATGGAGAAAACAACAGTGCAAAAACCTAGAATTGTGACTGTCTTGTATAGAAAAAGGCAGATGTGTTTAAAAAAAAAAAAGAAGAAGAGAGTGAGAGAGAGACTTGACACATCATTGAAATAGATGAGAAGATATTCAAAAAACATTTCTCTCCAAAGCCACCAAGGAATTCAGAAATATTCTCCAAAATCAGCTACAATTTTATAGGTTTTTTTTTTTTTTTTTCCCTCCCCCCAGTGGGAATGCAGATAATCAGAAAGTACCAAAATATCTAATGAAATATTTTTTTAATATTCAAATTATTCCTAAAATCAATATATAATAAGTTTTCATCCGTTATTGGGTATCATTAATGTCTTAAATTAGTGTATAAAATATTCAGTATAGTTAGTACGTTGTTTCAAGGGGCCGAACACTTGCAACTTAATGCATTCATTCGGAACAACTAAATAAACAAAATTCAACCGTAGATTATCCTTAAATTCAGATATATTGGTTCACCGTATTGAAAAAATAAGCTGATGCTCTGTCATGATCAGGATTAAACATCCTTAATCCATCCTTAAAATGTGTTAATATTAAAGGTATTATGTTTTACTGAGAGTTCAGGGTGACATTAAATATCTGATATTTATTATATACAGCCCATGCTTTGAATTTATTTTCATTGTTACATATTTTAATCTATATCTTGACAGCTTTTTTAGTATCATTAGCTAATTATCTTCTATGAATTTCAGAGGCAGGATGATTCTTACCCGAATGATTCCAAGCCAGATGCTGATGGTGCCATTATAATTCAGATGGTTAATAAAGCTATTAATGCAATCAGTACTAGATTACAAAGTAAGTTTTATCCAAGCAAATGTTCCATCAGTGCTGTTAGTAATGGATTACCAGTTCTTTCTTTTCCCAGAATTAATGTTTTTTTGATTGGTTTAATCCCTTTAAAAACACATAAAAAGTGACAATTCTTGTATTTCCATGTCTGATTTTCATCAGGGAGTTTTTTAACTTTGAATTTCAGGAAATACATTTTTAAATTAAGAAGATATAATTTTAAAAAATTCACCTTAGGGGTGTAGTCCTTGTACCACACAGTGCTTTTAATATTCACGTCTTTCCTGGTATTGAGAATTAATAGTCTTTAACTTAAAATACAGCATTTCATATTTCATAGATAGAATTGCAATACTTCACTGTACTAATCAGTTATATAACTAAATTGCATATTTTAACCTCTTCTTTACATTCATTTATAAAACTAAGGAAAACTACTGGATAAGATGCTGTGAATTTTGCATATGTGTTAAGGATAGATTTTTAGTAATTGTGTGGTAATATTTATTAATCGGAATATGAATTTGAACTGTTTCAGATGCAAAGTATGTCTATAATTTAGAGGAGGTTATTGTTATGACTAAAATTTTATATTCCTGCTTCTGCAACATTTAAATTATAAAGTGTTCTACTTGTAAATTCAGCATGTCTATGTCTTAATTTACTGTACAGCAACCATGCATTTAAATTGGCAAATACTGGCAATTTTTTCTGCTTGAATTTTGACTGAAGATTAGGCATGTCAGTTACAGGAAACTACTTTTTTATGGTTATCAACCTGAGAGGAAGATTATCTTAAGAGAAGACTTTCTAAAGAGATCATCTCTTACATGTGACTTAGTTAGAAAACAAAAATCTTACATAAGTGATCTACACAGTTCCAAACTCAATAAGATATGAAAATTTTCTTTTTATCTTTTGAAAGTGCACATAATGCTACTTTACTTCAATGTATTTTGTGTTTTAAACAAAATTTTAATTTAAATTTTGCATTGATCACTCAAATAGTAGCTTTTATTCTTTATGGATTGAGCATGTCTCTATAGTTGTCTAAGACTTTGAGAGTCAATTTGGGCATAATGGCAGCAATTTCTTCCCCCGTTTCAGAGCTTTTAATGTTGGTCACCTAATGGTAAATACTCCTCCTCCCTTTTATTTTTTAATGAAGTTTTGTTGACCCAGTGAAAAATGGAAATTTTGCTTTGGCTGCTTTGGTACTATTATAAATTTCTTTGAACAATGTGAACAGTTTCTTTCCAATTTAACATTTAAAAAAAAAAAAAAAAAAATTATTTAGATATTTTCTCTGTATATTTCTTTCATAATAATGATTAAGGTAAATTAGATTTGTTTTTAGTCATTTCATTGTATTTTATAGTACTAACATACACAGCTGGATATAAAAGTTTGCAAGTTTGTAAACTTCTAAAAGAAATAGAAAAATTTTATAGGGTTCGTACACTCCTTAAGAGTTCTTAGATTTTTTGGGAATCGATTTTTGGTCTTTAAAAGTCCTTACTTTTGGCCAAAATCAGCAGAAGGTCCTTAATTTTAATCATCTGAAATTTCTGTCTGTTTTTATGACTGTCATTTTGAGGAATATTTTTGGAAATTCACTGCCATATATATGGGTTATCTTTTGAATGGGCTAATAGGATCATGGATTATAATTTGTTCGCATTTATAGTATAAATGGTGGGATACTTTTGGGGATGTGAATTCTTTTATTAAACGGTTCTAAATTTGGTGATTTTAAGATTAGTTTCTATAGAAACTTTTTAATTCCGAGATCGGATAATTTTTTGATGATTTTTTTTAAAACATTGTAACATTGACAAATTTCATTAAAATAATGGTAATATATTGAAATTATATTTAAAAGTAACATTAAAATAAAACATTTTTATTTTTCGCTGTTATATTATAAAGTTTCATTTTGGCAACTTATTATACAATATTTTAAATCTGAAAAATAAACAAGGTATAATGCTATAAAGCACAATTTACGAAACAGCTCTTAGCAAAAGCAAAATTAGCTATGTAATTAATTAAAAATGTCTTGTTCTTAATTTTTTCATAGTAAGAGTTTTTCCGATGTAACTGCCTCAGAATATTCAAAATTCTCAGAATGTGCATCAGTTTTCTCTATAAAATTAATTTTATACTTTTCCCTCCTATTTTTTTTTCCACAATATTTCTGGCTTTTTGCTGTTACAGAAGTGGTAGGGAAAATTTTTCTTTAGGATTTTAGACATTCAGCTTTGAAAGTTTAGAAGGATTTGAAGGCAAGATTTATAGACCCACAATTCTAGAAGATTCGAGAAATATGTGACAAGATGAAAAATGTCCCCATGGTATCAACATGTATTGGATGTATTTTACAGTTTGCGATGAATTTCTTAATTTTTGGAGAACACCTGGAAGAACATTGAAAACATAATATTTGAATGTTTTACTTCTGATACTATAATCTTAACATGTTTATCTTCTCTTTATTTTCTCTACTTTTCACTAGACAGAAGCATGGAAAATATCAAAAATGCTTCTGATCTTATCACATGGGCAGGCATTACAGAAAGGGATTTTTTGATTAATAAAGAAATTGAAAACTTACAATTTAAAAGATTCGTCTAATATTTCTTAATGCATCATACACATAGCTGGCACTAAGCATTTTCCCACCTGATGCAATCTCTGGATCCTAAATTCTGCTGCCTAGTGCCTTTCTAAATTCTGCTTCCAATGCTTGCAGTAAATTCTAAAAGTTTTGCCATTTCTAGACTTTGTTGTTCGGTGTGTCACTAAATTCTAGAAATTCTCCTATATCAGCTCTGTAACCGGCCTTTACTATATATATTTCATATTGCTTCTGAATGTCCATATTACCAATGAAATAAAATTAACTGCTTTTTCTGTACATTCTAAATGCATTTAGTGTTTTTTAGAATAACAGAAATCCTTAATTAAATACAAAAATTCTAAAATGTAAAGAAAACGTGTTAAAGAAAGAAACTGAATACATAAAGCAAATTATTCTTCAAAGATATGTGCAGTTATTATTATGTAAATTTCCCAATTGTTTATGATTTCAACATTTACTATAATTTCTCATTTCTATTTCCTCATATGATAGAGTTATTGAGCCAGATTAAATTAAAATTAAATTGTATAATCTTTGACCACTAGTCCACATTATTAGTTTGAATTTGACTGTTCTTGTTTAATTACGTCACCGTGAGCTGTAACTGATTTTGTTAGCATCAGAACATGCCTTTATGTTCTAAGTTCTTTCTAAATAAGAGGCTTATTTAAATCTTTGTTCCTTATTGTAGTTAATTTCAGACATAGCGATAATATGCTTCACATCTGTTGGGGGTTTTGGGCTATTTAACTTTTACCAGATCAATTAAACCCTCATAGGTATATTGTGGAGAGTTTGACAAGTTAGGAGATAAAGCACGCAAAAACTAGTGAGAAATTGGTTCGCATATTGAGACAAATTTCTAATTGTTAGAAAAGATGCTTAAAAGAGAAGGAAATCGATATAAAGGAAGGGAAGGCTTCAAATTAAAATGACGGATAAATATTTTGTTGACTGTTGTTATCTTAATTAATGTGTAATTAAGTTTACATTATATTGTTAAAAGAATCTGTGTTACTTAATATCATTTAAGAATCTTTGTCGTAAATTACATGTATTTTAAACTGTGAAATTTTATTAGATTTTGATTTTAATGGGGCCTTTTTTTAACAAATATTGTTAAAAAATAAAATTTAATAGTGGTCATGTAAATCCATAAAGACTAAGGTTATCAAACTACCTAATTACATTATTTATAACTATCTGCTTACCCTTTAAAATTATCTCTACATATTAAAGTGAGTTACTGCATTTCATTAATACTCACTATGGTCACAAGATAAAATATAAAAATTCAAGTAAAACATATTCTATGCATCTACTGAGATTTAAAATAATACAAAACAACTTATCACTTCTGGTGCTTTAATGGCTTATTGGAGCCTTAAAGTATATTAACTGGGTTACAACCCCTGGAACCGTACACGAAGCTATGTCACTAACTGCATCAAACTAACTTTCAACACTTGCCAGCCTTGTAATACCATCCTAAAAGGCCTTTCAGGTTTGTTCTAATCAGCAGTTCTCTCTCTAAACAAGCAGCAGCGGTGATAACATTCAGTCTTTTGTTATGAATCATGTTGATTATGATCTTACTTCTCATTTTAACCTAGTCAGTTTGACATAAAATCTACCTGCTTATTTACTAAACCTTTAGACTGGCCAAGTATGTGACAAAAGGAGACACACACAAAAAAAAAAAAAAAAAAAAAAATCAACATAAAGCTAACTGTTTGTAAAACATAAATGTCACTTATCTTCTTTCAAATATGACCAACTATTACAAGTGTAAAATATTTAATGCTACTTTATAAACTACATAAAGTTTATTTTATTCTCAAACTTATTAACAATTGTGTTAATTCATGTTTAGTAATAATGCGTACTTCTTAGGGATCTATTTTATTTTTAGGATGGTATTACAAAAGTGAAATTCAGGGATAGATAATATCTTCAATTGAATTTATTCAGTTCCCATTTGCTCATAAATCCTTAATTTTTTTTCATTAATGGTCCTTAAAAGTACTTCATTTTCGTGTGCAGAAATGTGTACGAACCCTGATTTTAATAATTCTCCCCTCCCCCAGCATGTTTTCCTTGCATTTTGATACATTGTATATTGATCTTCCACATCATATATTGAGTAGTTATGTGCCCCTGAAAAAGTAATGTGAAGGTTTATTCTCAAAATGTTCCATGCTTGCTCTTTTTACACATTATCATCATTAAATCTTTTTTCGTGAATATAAGATTTCAAATAGGAGATGAGATAATAATCAATTCTAATCTCTTGACACCTAAATCTGGACTATAAGGGGTAATCTAACTCCTTAAACCCACTTTGTTTTTGAATTGCTGAAAGAAGTCCAGGTAACCATTCTTGCAGGATCTTTACAAAAGGTGCAAAATTGGTGTAGATCAAATTTTGCTGCTATCTCCTTGTTTACTCATTCTTTCCAGCATGATAGATGTGTTAATTTATTTCTTTAGAAATAACTATTTTAGCCAAAATCTAATCACAGAATGATATTTAATTAAACATTTTGGTACAAACTAGCATATTACTTTTCAATAAACAATCAAAAGAGTATGCATGCCATTTTTCTAACTACAGTTTCAAATTTTTCATTTAGTATTACTATTACATGTCTGAAAGAGGAATTTATTACAAATTTAATTTTTATATGTCAGACCAAAAGCTTTTATATTTACTTTTTATAATTATTTATCTTTAAATACTCAATTTATTTGCTTTCGTCAAGAAAATTAAAAGCTGAGTTTAATTTGGAAACCTTAAATTTATTCTATCTTGATCTAATAATTTCATACTATTGCTTTCCAGATCTTGCTGCATTCGATCTTACTGTATCTGAAAGTAAAGTGAGTACTTTAGTTGCTGCAGCTAATAGTCATGATAATTTATGTCGCATGGACCCTGCATGGCATCCATGGTTGTAAAAATGTACCATTCTTTGGACCACTCTTAGTGAAAATACTGCTCATCTATTACATCATTCACACCATCAGATTTTAATGTCTTGTAATAAACATTGTCATATTTTGTAATATATATCTTGCATATAAAATCTTTTATTAAAAAAAATCTTTTTTGTGTGTGTGCGTGCGTTTTAAAGGATTAAGATAAATAGAAGTTTTTAATGTTTATTTGGCTAATTAATCATAATGCTATTTGTTAATACAATCTGTAGTATAACAACACACAAAATGCCAATTGATCTTTCACAAGTCTGTTTTTCATTTAATTATAGCATTATTTTTTGTTGGTTCCTAAATAGTTATATCATAGTTTGATTATATAACACAGTTAGTATGGTCCTTTGGTGATGTATTCACAAATTTATATTTGATAGGTTAATATCTGAATTCGTTCCTACTTAATGGTGGATACTCGAGTTTTAGGCAGCAAGGCCCCGTCTTCATTAAAACATAAACATTTGAAATAATTCCTTTTTTGTGAATGAAGAGTTTGTAAAATATTGATAACATCAAAAACAGATTTTTCCCTTTCGGGGATATGAGTTTTTATTCTGTGCAGCAACTTATCAACATTTTGGTGATTTCAAGATCGGTTTGTATACAGAAATTTTTTATTCCAGGATTTGTGAAATTTTGACGATTTTTTTATAAACAATTTGCTAACCTTTAGTAATTTACCAACCAATTTACTTACATTACTAAACTAATATTTTTATTTTGACAAATGAACACAATAATAAATGCTGTAAAAAGTTTTGGAAACTGTTAACATTGTGTTTCATTTGTCTCTTTTATATTTTTTCAAGATAAGAGGTTTTTTCCATGTAATTGCTTCCGAATATTTAAAAGTTTATAAAACTCACTTCATATATCTCTTTTCTGAATCATCCTCCTCCTCCTCCTCCTCCCCCTCCCCTGGTCCAAAATTTTAGTTATTGTTAGAGTTGGGAGCGATAGTTTTTATTTGGGATTTTAGACCTTGTACCTCCTTTTGATCCTAAAACATGTTTATCTTCCCTTTCCAGTAGACATAAGTATTGAAACAATCGAAGAAATTGAAAACCAACATTTTTTTTAAAGTTCATCATGTATGCCCATATACATATCTCACTGCATGTCCTAAATTCTAAAACTTTTGCCTTGAATCTTGTTGGTCAGTGCTTTATTAAATTTTAAAAATTCTGCCACACTGGCTTCGGCAACAGTCTTGACCATAATCATTTCATATTTATTCTCAATAAAAGAAATAAAATTATCAGTTTCTCCTATACATTTTAAGTGCAAGCAGTTCTTTAGAATAAAAGAAATGTTTAATTAAATCTGAAAATTCTAAAATGAAGAAGAAATTCATTGATAAAGAAACTGGTTTTTAGAAAGAGAGAGAAAATTGTTTATCAAAGTACATAGTTGAAACATTAGGAGATGAAGCAGAAGGGAACACTGATTTGTTTATACTAATACATTTCAGAATCAATATCATAAATTACAACTGCTGTAAAATGTTCTTAGTGCTGTTTTATTTTATGTTTATTAGCAATAAAAATTGTAACCACGAAATATTATGACTAAGGGTACCTAACAACGTAATTTAATTATATGTAACTGCTTACAACTCCATTAAATCTGCATGAAACTACGACACTAGTTGGGTCAGACAAACAGCAGCTACTTTCAGAACATACCAGCAACAGGTATTCACATCTGTTCTGATCAGCAGCTGAAGTGAGTCATGCTGATTATTATTTTACTTCACTTATGCCACCTGACATAAAATTTGCATAAGAAATGTGATATAAAAGAATTAATATAAAGCTGTATAAATAAAGAACCATTAATCTTCTTTAAAATATGTGGGATATAAGTGTAAAAAAATTTTCACGAGATTTTATAATTTAATGCTAATTACTTCAATGAATTAATGAAGTTAATTTTATTTTTGAATGTTTTATAATTAAGTGAAATATTAGATTATGTTTAATAATAATGTATCTTACTTAGATTTATTTTATTTTTATAAATTACAGAACTGAAGTTTGGATGTAGGATAATTGTTTAGTTTATTCAGTCTCTATTTGCTTGATTAGGTCCTTTATTTTTATAGTTTGTTATGCTCCTCCCATTTTACAGAATAAGTCCAGCAATAATTGTGGTAGAAAAAATTGTGCATCACTTGAATGGCAACAGCAGATGAAATTCTATACATTTTGTTTTTAATGCAGCCAATTCATTTTGCGATTCTATTACATTAAGAAATTGAATTCTAGTTTGGATGAAATGAAATCCACTGTGGATATTAGGGATATTTCTCAACTTGCTGCGTTTTAGAAAATGAGACTCCTCTGTGTTTGCGACATTTAAATTATAAAAGTTTTCTTAAATTTATAAAAAATATGTTGGGCTTTTTCTTGATGTACAGATAAGTGAAATTTTATTTTATTGTGGTTATATATAAGTTGCAAATATAACTAACTGTGAATAGATTTCTATTAAATGCATACAAAAAATCTGGAATGGAGCCTGTTGCTGTTAAGTGTGAAAAGTAAGAGATTTGGTCACGACATAGAAAGTGGCGAGCCTGCCAGGATTATTTTGCTCACAACATAGAAAGTGGCGAGCCTGCCAGGATACTTGTTTATAGTTGAGAAAAAATTGAATAAGTTGCATTATATTAATATATAAATAGACTATTAGATTAAATTTTTAATGGAAAAGTTATGCATTAAATTGTCTGCAATGATATATGACATAATTTTGTTTCGCTGTATTGTGAATGTTATGACCTATTTTTATTCATTTTTATTATATTGAGCTATATTTTTGGAATTGCTTAGTAAAGAGTTTTTGAGGATTTGTGTGAATGCTGATAAAGTTACAGATTTTGAATTTTAAGTGGGTCTGCATTTAAAGCAAAAAATGGATGTTGATATGCTAAAGAAAAGGCATGCAGTGCTTTCACTAGACTGGTTAAGGTTCTAAGGAAAGAACTTAGTAAAGATATTCAAGCAGATAAAGCTGTATTAAAAGATAAAATTGTGAAATTACAAATGATAATTGCTGAGTTAAAAATCTCATGATTCAGAGATACTAGATTTATTAATGGCAAACCCACTGAAAATGAGCTAAAAACAAACTTAAAAGGGTGCTACTTTGGTAGACGGTTGCACGGATTTTGGCGAGTAATACGACTTATGGTAAACCCATTGCTAGATAAGTTATTTATGGTAACCGATAATTTGTTGTCATTTTATTTAAAAGATAATGTGTTTTATTATGCAGAAATTCCGTGTTTTAAATATTATTTATGGCTTCTAAATATTAAAAATCAATTTAATTTTGCATTTTTACTTGAAATAAAAATTTTATTGTTTATGATATTTTATGTTTGGGATGATGTAATCAATAACATCATCTCATTTTAAAAGTAATTAGTTTTAATATCTATAAATTTAATCTAATGTTTTAAGCATTATTTATGGCTGTTAAATATTAAAATACAATTTAATTTTGCTTTTTTTTTTTTTTCCCTTATGTGTGAGTATTTAAATTCTAGGTGTGATGTAATTAGCTCTTTGATTGGTTATAGAATATTTGTGCATTAACGAGCTGTAATCAGCTCCTTGATTGGTTACTGAAAATTTGTGCATTACCGTGCCATTTTAAAATTTAATTCATATCTTCGAATTCCTTCAAAGATGAATGTTGTTATTGGTAAATACGAAGAATGATTGGTATCGGAATAAAAAAAATTTTCCTTTGTACTTCAGGGAGGAACGGTTAAAGGATCTTCGAAATCTTAAAAACAATACCTATTATTTGGTTTTGTTGTTGGAGGGTTCCCCCCCCCTCCCAAATTTTTAAGTTTCGAATACTTTACTATACGTAAACACAGTGTTTTTCAAGATGGCTGACGATTGTAAAAACCGCGCCAAAAATCCGTGCAACCGTCTTCCAAAGTAGTACCCTTAGAAGCTGTGAGGAATATTCAGTTGAATTTATCATGCTTAATCGTCAGGTGAAATCGTATAAATAATGTGGATGACTGTAGCGTCAATATAATAACACAGATAGCATAAGCACTTTCATTAGAGCAGCGTCAGTTAAAAATGAAGAAGAATACCCTGCTTCAACAACACGTCAAATATCGTGAGTCGAGATTTCTAGTTTTCATTTGAAATATTGTCACTCATTATTTTGAGTATTTTTTATTTGTGTTTGAAATATCATGGCTTTAGATTTCTAGTTCTCATTTGAAATATCATCACTCATTATTTTTGCGCCATATTTCCCCATTTTTTTAATACAATTGATTATATAATTTTGCAATCACCTACTGACGAAGAGGCTGCCATAAGATTCTTTTAGGACAAAGGAAAAATTCACAGCAATAGACTTAGTTCTCATAATCATCCGATGAAGTTAACTTTTGACTCAAAGTTTCTATATGGCATTGTTATGTACATTCTTGCTGTTAAAAAAAAAAAAAAAAAAAAAAAGATTGAGAGCCAAAACGTGTTTTGAAGGCTCGCATCTTTCTTTCCTTAATGCTGTTCATTTAGTACCTGTGGTGTCAAGAATTGACGTCAATTAAATTTTGCCAACTTCAGTTAGAAATCAGCCATAGTTGGAATAACTACACAAAAAGAAAACTTTTTATGTGTTCTTCCGGAACAATGGGTACTCAGGGGTTTATTCTGGGAAAGCAAACAATGTTTTTTTATCACTGTTCCCAATCGTGCTACAAGATTGATGATAGCTGTTCAGGATGCATCGCGGATGGCAGCATTATATTTTCAGACTTAGGATATAAGGATGAATTAAGAAACCTTTCGGTATGAACATTTCATTTTGAATCACAGTTATAATTTTATAGACCCCGGAACTGGATGTCATACCCAATCCGTGGGGCTGTGCTAAATGGAGATATGTCAGCAAGTCACTGCTCGCCACCTATGTGATAGAATTTACGTGGCATCAGTTATATTCAAATTCCTGGAATATTGAATATTTGTAGTTTTGTAGTCTGTTTAGATTGAATTTTGCTTTATTTTTTTATATTATAGATTAAAGAACTAAAAAGATAAATTTACTTTATTTGAAAATTTAAAAAAATTACTTTTCA